AAAAAAAAAAAAAAAAAAAAAAAACAGTTAAAGCAAAATTAAGAATAAAGTCGTCCCTGGTTGGATGATGATAAAAAAAAACATTCTTCTTCCATCTCTTTCCCTTTGTATTGTAGTACTGTGATGAGATCTTGTTGACATGAACCTGATGTTTCACTCGCACAGCTTGGAATCTGTCCGCAAGATACAAAGTCTCTCATGCCAAACAACAAGAATTGCTGATAATCACGAATAGTTCCATTTCTCTACAGTAATCACCATCCCCCTCGAGAGAAAAACCTAACGCCACGCTTTGAATGCCATTCACTCCCTTATGACCAATTCGCAAAACTATATTCCTTTCCTATTGTCTCCTTTGTGCTTCTTTTTCAAGCTTCATCTAACCAGTCAAGCAAACAAGAGCAGCTTCGAATTCATCGACGACTCTCTCCTCAAGCTTGTTCTCAATATCCTTGGCGACGACAGCAGGCTTCTGTCGAGCCCATTCCGTCTCTCTTTCACCGACAGGCATGATGCGCTCACGCAGGTTGCGTCTCGTGCGCACGATAGCCTCGACCTGTTCCTTTGCATTGGAACGGTCAACTTCCAAGCTAGGGATCTCAGCAGCTGAAGCACCTGAGCTTGCGCCTACTGTTCGTAGTCGTTCAAGGATGAGAGAGATGAGGGAAAGAGAGTGAGTCTCGCTCGCAAGTCCAAGAGTAATGCAGCCAGCGTATGGGTGTCTGAGAGAAGGTTGCTTGTTCTCAAGATCAGTTTCAGCACGGCGAAGTTGAGCAGGGAAACTGTTGAGGAAAGCACCAATCTCAGCGGCAATTGGCGGACCAACTGCCTCAAGAAGGTTGAGACACAGAGGAAGTATGCCCTTTGACCAGATGGCGAAAACGCGAACAGGTTCGTCAAAGGGACCCTTGCCATTCATGTTGCGAAGGTAATGAGACAGGTTGGCGGATGACAGGCGCGATAGCACACCTTCGACCGCCATCTGTTCTGCAATGAATGTGATGGACGAAAGCTCAAGCAAGAACAGAATAGCGAGTTCACCATAAACAGGGTCAACCGAATCAGGTGTGACGAGGCGATCAGACCAAGAGTACAAGCTTGTGGCGTAGCGAAGAGTGCCAGCGTCCGCACAGTTAGTGGCAATAGTCGAGTGCGCAGAAGCAATGCCAGGGATGCGGAGGATACTCTGAAGCAAAGCTGTCAACAGCACAAAGTCTGCTGGCTGAACCGATTCAGGGTTGGCATGGACATTACTGCACAGTGCCCTGAAGTTCTTGTGTACAGCGTTCAGGATCTCAAGAGGTATGACAGGAACAACTGGAGCCGATCGCTTCTCTTTCTGTACAGGATTGTAGACCTGGGGCTGGAGTGCGAGGAAGAGAGTACGCAGGAGCGTGCGGTAGTACTCAACATCGCGAGGAGTAGAAGCAACCTCAAAGTCCTGGTTCGAAGTGCGAACGATGTCCCATGCCGTAGAGAGCAAGTCACGAACAATGGGCTCTTTAGACTTGATCGAGGTCAGCTTTTGCAACAAGACGAATGCTAGATCAGCGCGAGTTTGTGCGATGTTATCGAATAATACGGCCGGAATCGAAGCTTCCATGTTCGCAGCAAGAGACTTTTGAACGACGGTTGCAAGGTCTTTCTGTAACGATGGGATATCCTCAGCGAATGTGCCAAGCATGATGGCTAGCGCTTTCCAGCTCTTCAGGAGATTGACCTGAGCTTCGACCAGCGATAAGTTGACGTTGGCCCTTGCGACTTCCTCGACAAATCCTTGATTGTTGCGACCACTCCAGGATGACTCAAAGTCCAGCATTTGACTAGCAATCTTGCGATCGTAATAATAATCACGACCGAAATCTGCTTGTTGGAGAGAGGTGCGCTTGAAGTTTTCGAGCTTGCACTGCGGGAACTTGATGACGAAGTTCTTCGATAGATTCTTGTGTAGTGAGTGGTTGTAAGCATTGACTGCAACTCCATGTTCAGTAAGGTATTGCAGTTTAGTGGCTACATTCTTTGCGGTTGTAGTGTCACCAAGCTGGCGAGCATTGTGGAGGTAACGTGCAAGAATGTTTGAAGCGTAAGAAGCCATCTGAATCTCGTTGGCGTATCGGATGGTACTCTCCAGGTCGGACTGTTTGCCATTTGGTTCGATCTCCGCCAGCCAATCTGCTGCGCTCTTCAGGAAGTCGGCATGTTTGCCAATACCGTGTGTTGCCCAAGCCCACTGTTTTTGTGCAGAAGCGACGAACTTCAAGATAGCCATTGCCCGTCTAGGAGAGATGTTTTTGATGTCAGCCAGCTGATCTAAAGCATACTTCAGTAATGCTTTGCTGCCAGTAACCTCGCTCTTCTCGGTAGCCTTCAGTCTATCACGAGGTGTAGTGCCAGTAAGCAAGCGGATAGAAAGCCACTGCTGTTTGTTGCTGACAACAGCCGAGAACATCTCCCAGATTGTAGTTTCCACATTGATGTCTTGCAAAGGTTGATCAAGCTCTGCGAGTACGGTCAGGAAGCTCTTTGCGGCCTCCGGACTCAGGTGACCAAGAAGAGAAGCCGGTTCTGACTCAGATTGGTTCAACGTGCGAACAATGCTTGTGAACAGGGTAGCGACTGGTGCTTTGTAAGAGTGTTGGGCAGCAAAGAGGCGCGCAAGAAGAGGCATGGACTGAAGGAGGTTCTTGGTGAGGTAACCAGCTTTACGATCGGTGAGCATGCCAACGTCGAGGATCGTTGAACAGAAAGACAAAGCAGCACTAGTTTGGAGTCTGATTGGTCCTTCGTTCTCAAGCGGTCCGGGGTTGATCGAAGCGAGACCCGACGTGAGAATGTTCAGGAGGGGGTGGAAAGTCAGAGAATGAGGGCTTTCTGCCAGGTACACCTTGAGAAGATCTTCCGAAGCTTGTGCAAATACACCAGTCAACTTTGCAGTAACAGCTTTGTTGTCGTCCACGCTGTAGGCAAAGTTGAGTATCTCGGTAGCTGCATTAAGTATACGCGTGCTGATCTCACATCTTTCTGAAGCGAAGACGAAACGCCAGCTCGGCGAACTTTGCAGCACATCGAGAAGAATACGTTGGAATGCTGCAAGCACTGCACTCGTCAACTTCTCCGGTGTGGTTCCAGTTGCATCGGCTGGGTCGTCAAAGCGAGTAACAGCCTTTGTGTTAGACTTGCGCGACACAGCCCGGGTAGCGACATCTTGTATCAACCCTTCGAAGAGACCAACACAAGCACGAAGCAGATCGTACTGTCCGATCGGAAGCTCCGTAGCGCTAATGATGGCAGCGAGACCGCCGACGTTGTCGTCAACAGATAGCAGTCGACTGCGTGTCAAAAGAGACCAGATTCTTTCCGGGTAAATGGACACCAACGATTGCATGAATCGAACGATGTGCACTAACAGATACAAAGAGCCCTCCGATCCTGGTTGTTCGACTTGAGCATGCAACTCTTCCTCGAACATCTGGAAGATGACTCTGACGATATCATCGTTTCTGTCGAGACCATAGCTCAAGCGACCTAGAACGTGCTTTGCAGCATTGATGTCATCCGCCTTTACAGCAGCATAGACGAGCGAGTCGACGAGCGCAATAATCTCAGCGGCTGCCTCCTTTTCAACAGCTCCAGACGCCAATTCGATGTAAGTTGCATTGGACAGTCTGGTTGCGAGGAGCTTGCCGAAATACTCAAGTGCGGAGTGTTGGTGGTGCCAGCAGACCACATAGGGACTGTTTTGGTTTGCGAGGATACCAACAGTTCCTGGAGGAATCGTCAGGTCAGTCTTAGCTTGACCAGCATCTCTGCCTGACGTGAGACGCATGTGATGAGTCCTGCCGTCTCTCGGGACGAAGAGCGGAATCTCATCAAGAAGCTGAATGTGATTCTGAAGTTCGTCCTCTCGGTAGTTCTCGTAGCTTCTCTCAAAAGTTTTGGGGAGGATCTGAGTGAGGGTAGACATGTTTTCCAGGATTGCGAGAATTTCCGAGTCTTGTCCATCTTTCGAAGCCCGGCTTTGACTGATCGAGAGCAGACAGTTAAGGAAAGGTCGAACTTCGTAAGCATAGCGTTGCTTGACTTGATCGAAAAACTTGCCGCCCATGCCACTGCCGTCGGTCAAAAAAGCTTTGACTGGCTGCACCGGATTCCGAGCTCGTGTCCGTGAGAGATTTGGAGGTACTGTATCGTATGAAAGGATTGAAAGCACTGCCTGGACCATATCGGGTCCGTACTGGAAAAGATGGTAGCCTGCTGAGACTAAGCTGAAGAGTGACATTTTACCACAAGCAGCAACGTGAAGATCAAGTTCAGCGCCGTACGCAAGCAGCAGACACTCAGACAGAGAAGTCACCATGTCGAATGTTTGTAAATCGGCGGCTGCAGCATTGGCCATGAAGCCAATAACGTCTTCTCCCTCTACGGGATGTGCGTTGAGAATAGCGTCTAGTGAAGTTTCTGTCTTGGTCTTTGTCGCGTTGCTAGAACCATCCTCGATTTGAGACTGTGCCTCAGCACGACTTGCTAGGACTGCTCCACGAAGGCTCTGTGCGATAATGCTCCATGCAAGGATGGCAGGCCCAGCATGTCTTATACCGAGCTGAGCTTGTGCAGCACCAAGGAGAGTGGAAGTGACCAATTGAACGCAGGCCTCGTCATCAATGTAGGGTTTTCCAGGCAGTTGAGGGTAATTTGCAGTATCTGGTTGTTCGCTGATCGAGTCCACGGTAATTCTGACCTTGAGTACTTCCAGGGATATAAGCGAAGTTAGGCATCGAATAACAATGATCAGGTCTGAAGTCTCGGGGGTTTCGGGAAGCGCAGAGAAGAAGTATGTCGCATCCATTAGAGAAAACCAAAGAACGACCGGCTCGGAATCAGGAATATCTTTCTGGGTGAAGATGTGGATGTATGCCAGACGCAGAATCAGGACAAGCTGGGTAAAGACAGATTTTATGTAAGAGTTGGCGAGGTCGTCGTCTTCGGAAAGCAGACCTGACCAAGATTCTGGGTTGAGTGATTGCAATTTTGCATCCAGAGCGTTCACACATTTGCAGAAAAAGGATGGGCTGGATGTCGTTGTCTGGGTCCGCAAGACAGCAAGACCAGCTTCCAGAAGCGAAACTCTTGTGTTGACAGCCGTCGACTGCAGATCTTGAGGCAATGCGAGACCGACCAATAGTGCAGACAAAGCCAAGATACTTGACTTCTCGGCGTAGAGCGTGTTCAACAGCCTGGGACGTCTCTGTTGCTGAGTATCGAATACCGACTTTTGATCTGGTTCGGGGGTTGGATTGATGGACTGGCGGAAATGGGCATTCGCAGCAGCGTTCTGAATTCCAAGTCGTTCATCCTGAGACCACTCAGCCAGCATGCGCGAAGCAGAACGTTGCTGCCATTCGACCAGAACAATTCTCAAAGCATCCGTCTCTTGAATAGCAGCTTCTTTCGATAACCACAAAGCATCCTCCTTGATCTGATTGATGTCATACTGGCCAGATTCTGAAGGAAGAGCGTTGATAGCGGAAGTGCGTGTCTCGAAATCAGACTTTGACTGGGAGGTAGGAGGTTGAAAGGGCGTGAGGGGAGCACCCAGAATGGAGAGAACAGTAGGATCTTGGAAGAAGGCGTCTAGTGTGAGAGAAGAAGTGACGGAGTCAAGAGCGATGACAGCTTTATAAGCAGACTCCCATGATCTAGGAGGATTAGTACAAGTTGGAGCTGGACAGAGCAATAGGCGCATACAGAAGAGGAAGCTCGCGGGCCAAACATTTATCCAGAGCTGGAAAGTAGACGGCCGGTGGAGAGGGCACCATTGTGCAGATAGCTTTAGTGTATGAGCATGCGCGCCGGTCCAGAAACCTCGGAATGGCAAATTGCGCGACAGCAGGAAAGAGCGGTAGAGGGTGTATCTGATGGCCTGGAAATGGTAGCTGCAAAGACCAAAGACACGCCAAGACAACGAAACGCGACTTTGAGAGGAACAAGGAAGGAGCTCCAAATCTGGGGAAGCACCGCCGCCAGCTGACTCATCCATGCCTTCCAGATCTTATTGACGATTTTCTTTAGCATACCGTCGCCATCCCTCCACCGACAAGAAGAGACAGACTTCCAACATGTCTAACTTGGGCCTGGTCGACCACTCGCCCTTCAACGCCGAGCCCGCTGCTCCAATTCCCACCGCCTCGAATCTTGTTCTCATCGACAATTACGATTCGTTCACCTGGAATGTCTACCAATATCTGTGTCTCGAGGGCGCAACCGTCACCGTCTACCGCAACGATGAAATCACAATCGATCAATTGATCGCCAAGAACCCCACTCAGTTGGTCATCAGTCCCGGTCCTGGTCACCCTGAGACAGACTCTGGCGTTAGCAAGGATGCCATCCGACACTTTGCTGGAAAGATTCCCATCTTCGGTGTTTGCATGGGCGAACAATGCATCTACTCGGTCTTTGGTGGTACTGTTGAGAAGACTGGCGAGATCCTCCACGGCAAGACTTCGCCTTTGCGACACGACGGCAAGGGCGTCTACGCCAACCTCCCACAGGACATTCCCGTTACTCGCTACCACTCGCTTGCTGGAACCCACCCCACTCTTCCCGAATGTCTCGAGGTTTCTTCTTGGATTGCTGTTGGTCCTGACGGAGGAAAGGGTGTCATCATGGGCGTGCGCCACAAGGAATACGTTATTGAGGGTGTGCAATACCACCCCGAGAGTATTTTGACCGAGGAGGGAAGACTGCAGATCAAGAACTTCCTGTACATGCAGGGCGGTACCTGGGCCGAGAACGAGCGTCTACAGAAAGAGACAAAGTCGAACGCTCAACCAGCAAAGACCAATGGACAGGTCAAGGACAAGCAGACAAACATTCTCGAGAAGATTTTCGCCCGTCGCAAGGAGTTGATCGCTGCTCAAAAAGAAATCCCCTCGCAGAGACCTATCGACCTCCAGGCCGCCTATGACCTCGACCTTTCACCACCTCTCATTTCTTTCCCCGACCGCCTCAAGCAATCTCCTTACCAGCTGTCCTTGATGGCTGAAATTAAGCGTGCTTCTCCCTCCAAAGGCATAATCTCAATCTCCACTTGCGCTCCTGCTCAAGCTCGCATCTACGCTCTCGCCGGTGCCAGTACCATTTCCGTCTTGACTGAGCCTGACTGGTTCAAGGGTAGCATCGACGACCTCAAGGCCGTTCGCCAAGCTCTGAATGGCATGCCCAACCGTCCTGCTGTTTTGCGCAAGGAGTTTGTCTTCGACGAGTACCAGATCTTGGAAGCCAGATTGGCTGGTGCCGATACTGTTCTGCTCATCGTCAAGATGCTCGAGACCGAGACTCTTCACAGATTGTACAAGTACTCACAGTCTCTTGGCATGGAGCCTTTGGTCGAGGTCAACAACGAGGAAGAAATGAAGATCGCTGTCGACATGGGTTCAAAGGTCATTGGTGTCAACAACCGTAATCTCACAAACTTCGAGGTCGACCTGGAGACCACGAGCCGTCTCATGTCGCTCGTTCCCAAAGAGACTGTTGTCTGTGCTCTCAGCGGAATTGCTGGACCACAAGACGTCGTTCCTTACCAGAAGAACGGTGTTGGTGCTGTTCTTGTTGGTGAGGCTTTGATGCGCGCAAAAGACACTGCTCAATTCATCGGTGAACTGCTCGGTGGCAGTGTCAAGTCCGCTCACAAGGAGTCTAAGAAGACACCCATGGTCAAGATTTGCGGCACTCGTTCTCCTGAAGCAGCCAAGGCTGCAGTTGAGGCTGGCGCAGACTTCATTGGCATTATCTTGGTGAAGGGTCGCAAGCGATGCGTGTCTACCGAGACCGCTTTACAAATCTCAAAGGTCATTCACGAGACACCCCGCGCTGGATCGGATGCCGTCTCAAGCGAGGATTCATTGCCCGTGTCAGCAACAAACTATTTCGACCACACCACATCACACAAGTTGGTCCACCCACGACACGCGTTGCTTGTTGGTGTCTTCCAGAATCAGCCTTTGTCATATGTTCTAGAACAACAGAAGCTTCTCGGTCTTGACATTGTACAACTACATGGATCTGAACCTATTGAGTGGGCATCACTTATTCCTGTTCCTGTCATTCGCGCTTTCCACCCTGGTGATGCTGGTCTTGCTACTCGTGGCTACCATGCATTGCCACTGGTCGATTCTGGCGCTGGCGGTTCTGGCGAGCAAGTGGACTTGACACAGGTACAAGAACTTTTACAGAAGGACAGTGGTCTGCGGATCATGCTTGCTGGCGGCCTCAGCCCCAGCAACGTTAAGCAAGTCTTCAGCGGGCTTGCCTCTAACATGAATCAAATCGCTATCCTTGATGTCAGTAGTGGCGTTGAAGAGAATGGTGAGCAGAGTCTTTCGAAGATTCGTGATTTTGTTACTGCTGTCAAGGCTGGACCTTGATCATATAACGAACAAAAATAAAAGAATAAAGCTTTTCACTTTCAGACTCCTTCACAGCATCACTTCCTTGATTTTCCCTGGCTTTAGTACATCCATCGCCAACAATAACTACTTACGATCACTTCGCGCTCGTAGGCTGCCGATCAAGGAGAATTGCCTTGTCTATTGTTCTTGACATCGGATGTAAGTCTCTCTCGATCGTGATTTCACTTACTGGTTCGGAATCACTCAGCATCACTATTTAGATGCTCTATCGAGCTGCAGCTATTCTTCATTTCTCTTCTATCTCCTTCCGTCTTACCTTCCGTTCACCACACATCAACCAACTTCCACTACTTCTATCCTTCCATCTCTCATCTCTCTCCCTGATTCCACCTTCTGATCTCTCTAATTCCACCATCTCATACGATATACCTCTGCATTCTCATACTATCTTTCAAGATCACGAACACTTGCCTGGCGCAGCTTGCTTCAGATCTCCAGAGATCCCTGAGAGATCTTGACTACTTCTCAGACCCATCAGTCAACTATCTTCCAACAGCACCGTGCAGTCTCTCACGTCAATCAGTCGGCACTACTCCACTAGCATCTCACGATCTCACGCCAATCAACTACACAACGACAACCATGGCTCCAAAGTTCAAGAACGCCGTCATCTGCTTCTCCGGAACCTTCGACGAACCCGCAACCACCCTTCAAAAGTGGACCGAAGCCAACGGCGGCACCCACACCCGCAAACTGACCCCTGACACCACCCACCTGATCGTCAGCGAAGCCAACTGGCGCGCCCGCGTCCCCGAAGTGACGACCGCACTCGAAGACGCCACCATCAAGATCGTCAACTACGAATGGTTTGACGATAGACTGCGTCTCTCCACCCGCGTCACAGAGACCAAATACTTGTGGCTTACCATCGATGCCGAGCAACAAAAGCAAGAAGCCAAAGAGGCCAAAGTCGCTGAACGCGAGGCAAAGCGTGCTGAAAAGGAAAAAGAACGCAAGAAGAAGGAAGCAGAAAAGGTTGATTATGCTGCTGCGTTCATGTCACACACCAATGCTGTTGCTCGTGTTGAAGACAGCAGTGAATATGAAGAGTCTAGCGAGGAAGACTCTTCTGCTGAACAGACCAAATCTATGGCGCAGCAGTTTGCTAAGGGAGCTAAACAGGCAAAGCAGGATTTGATGAGTGAGAACCATCATATCTATATGGATCAGACGGGGTTTGTCTATGATGTTGTGGTTACTAAGGCTTCGGTCGAGCTTTGGAGATTGGAGAAGGCTTCTATTATCGTGAGTCCATTTCCCTTCCTCTGTTCCTCTGCCCTGGAAGATTTATCTCACTGACCTGTTCAGCTCTACGAAACCAACGCCGGACCACCTTGCTACTACTCTGTCGTCGTCAAGATCCCAGAAAAGACTTCACCCGAGGAGTACGACCTTACAACCGTCCACAACGTCAACTTCCCTACTGCCTTCAAATGCCTGCGCGACAACTTCAAACTCCTCACTGGAGTATCCTGGGACAACCGTGTCAAGAAATTCAGCGATGGGCCTAGTTTGGCACCTCTGCCTCGCCCTGCCATCACCGTCATTCCCGCTGCAAAAAACTCTCCTCCTGGAAAGCTGTCGAAGGTAACCAAGAAGACCAAGGCAGAAACCGCAGAAGAGACTCCCGAGATGGTCAAACAGAGACTCGAACGCGCTTTCTCGGCTCAAAAATACCGCTACCGTCTTCCTGCCGAAGGTCAACCTCGTGGCACGATGCCCGATGGCTCCCACTACGATCGCCAAACCACCAAGAACGTTTATGATCTCTTCGGCAAGCAAGCAGACAGAAGTGCAGAAACTCTTGCTGCGAAGGAAGCCAAAAAGGAAGAAATCAAGAGATTGAGACGCATGGCGTTGAAGAGACAGAATCAGAAGCCGGAGATTGTGGTTATTGAGTCTGATGATGAGGAAGAAGAGGAGAGTGGAGAGGAAGAGGAAGAAGGTGAAGATGGAGATGGAGATGAGGAAATGGAGGATGGATATGTTGCTGTCACTGCTGGCGGCAAGGATGTCGAGATGCAGGGTATTGACTCTGGAGACACTGCTGGCAATGGAGCTGGAGTAGGAGTTGGCGAGGAGGACTTCACCATGGTCGATGCTCCTACTACTCTGACTTGATTCGAGGACACCACGACACCTTCGACTTACAACTTACGACTTTAACGACTTTACGACACATGGTCTCGGTTTCTTGCATCGGCTGGGGCTTTTCGAGCTCAGACAACCGACGGAGCAAAGGGCTTAATCTTGTTTCCTTGCATTCTTTTGATGCGGTTTTCTTTTCTTGCAAGTTATGGAATTAGGGGCAGAGACGCAGAGCAGCGCGGGATCTTTGACAGCTTCGTGGAACTAACGAGCGTTGGTACATCGAGCAGAGGGCTGCTTTTTATCTTATGAGCACTTTCTTATCAGTCATCAAATCTTTTGCAGTCAATTTGCTTATTCTGCATCAGAAAACAACGTTGCTGATTGACAAGCCGTGAAGAATTGATAATGCGAAGCAAGACTGCCTGATTTTGCTCAAAGATTGGATGAGTATGTTTTGCATCAAACGTGTGGACGATCATGAATCATCCTATGGTAGCCGTGTGGTTTGTGAGACTTCGAGAGAAGAGAAAAACAAGCAAAGGCGCCCAATGTAGTATTTCGCTGTCTTTGGTATGGAACGTAGGGTGGAAGAACAGGCGTAAAATATGTATAGAAAAGAGGTCGGAGAGGTTGGTTTTTTTAGTTGCTTCTCTCGCCGCCCTTTGCAGCTCTCAACTCGTCCATCTTTGCGACGCGCTTCTTGAACTCTTCGTATTGGCACTTTTCGTACGAGTGTCTCTCGTTCTGTTTCACGGTGTCAGGATCATTGGTCGTAAGGACAGGTGGGTTGATGAAAAGTCGATTGGAGAGGAGGTAGAAGAGAGGGTAATCGTACCTCGCACTTCCAGGGAAGGTAGTACTCGTTGTGTCGGCAGCGGTTCAGCGGGATCAAGAGGTGGGCGCAGGTGTCTCTGTAAGCGATGGGGAGTCTTGCGTCGGACATTTCCTCGCGGGAAGCAGCTGTTGTTGCATCCTCTGGTTAGCATTATGTACCAAGCAATCCAATTGACGAGCGAGTGTATGGAGCGGGTTGCAAGATGGTGGGTATTGGCGCGCGAGCGGGATTGGGTCGGTCTTGGAGGCATTGGGAGTAGCGACTGAGGGAGGACGTACTGGTCGAAGGACCAGCTTCGAGGCCGACGGCATGCTTGATTGTCTCGGTAATGGCCATGGTTGTGTATGTGTCTTGACTGGGATCACGACAGCTCCTGCTATGACATTGGATTGCGGTCGCATTGGCCGGCAACTCTGTCGTGCCAAGGCCGGTGCGAGTTCACAGTGCGGAAGCGCCAAGGCCAGTCCAACGCGTCCTCACGTCTACCTCAAGTCGACCGTGTCTTCCTCGTGTGTCGCATCAGAGAGTGCATCGGTGCGTCGCTACCCGGCACTCCAGACACTGACAAGGCTCGTATATGCTAAACAATGCATACAGGGTAGCAATCATTCAACTCAGCAATCAATCTGGCTCCAGCTCGCCATTGCGACCACGGCTCGACCAAGCGTCGCAACCTACCTGTTCCTTTCGCTCCTCCACCCCCTCTCCCCGTCTTCACTACATGATCGACCATGACCGACACTCGCATTTACTCGGCTACATACAGCAATGTGCCCGTCTATGAGTTCAACATCGACGGCAACCATGTTATGCGACGTCGCTCCGACAACTGGATCAATGCGACTCACATTCTCAAAGTCGCTGATTTCGACAAGCCAACCCGTACCCGAATCCTCGAGCGCGAAGTCCAGAAGGGAACACACGAAAAGGTCCAGGGTGGCTATGGAAAATACCAAGGCACATGGATTCCCTTGCCCGAGGGCCGCCTGCTGGCTGAACGAAACAGAGTCCTCGACAAGCTAAGACCAATCTTCGATTTCGTTCCTGGTGACAGGAGCCCCCCGCCTGCTCCCAAACACACAACTGCTGCTTCCAAGCCGCGCGCCAACAGAAAGCCTGTCAACAGGGTACCTGCACTGTCTCACATCTCCGAGGATGTTGAGATGTACCATCATTCAGAAACACCTGATAACGTCACGGTTGCTTCAGAATCATACATAGACGACTACAGCTATCCCCAAGACTCTCGCAAACGTAAACATCCAGATGATGAAATGTCGCTAGCTGACCAACATCACCAATTGTGGGCTGACGAACTACTCGATTACTTCATGGTGCTTGAGAACCCCAACGATCCTTTCCAACCTCCTCCTATTCCACCTAGCGACATAGATCTCGACCGACCAATTGATGAAAAAGGACATACTGCTATGCATTGGGCTGCTGCTATGGGAGATTTGGCTGTTGTCAAGGATCTTATTGGCCGTGGTGCGAACATCAACGCCGTCAGTAACAATGGCGAGACTCCGTTGATGCGTGCTGTCATCTTCACAAACAACTACGACAAGAGCACTATGGACCGTCTGGCTGGCTGGCTCGTCACTACTGTGCCTATGGTAGAATGGTTCGGCAGCACCGTCTTCCATCACATCGCAGGAACAACCTCGTCAAAATCAAAATATGCTTGCGCTCGCTACTATCTTGACTGCATTCTTTCAAAGATGGCAGAGACTTATTCTCCTACAGACATTGAGCATGTACTCAACATCAAAGATCGCAACGGAGATACTGCTATTCACATTGCTGCTAGGAATGGCGCAAGGAAGTGTGTACGAAGTCTTATTGGTCGACATGCTTCCGTTACCATCCCCAACGACCTTGGAGAAACAGCAGATGATCTTATTATTTCTCTCAACCGCCGCCGAAGAGATGGCCGCCATCGTGCCATGTCTTCGTCACCCTTCCAAATGGACTCAACCTCTCACAACACAGCCATAAATCTCGACCCAACTCTCGAAACGCCCTCATCCAACAATCCACTTCTCGCTTCTGCGCCTGGCAACACATCCATTTCCTCGAAGCCACATCACACCTCTGAAGCAGGGTCTGCTCTGACTAATCAAATCTTCCCTCTACTGCTCAGCAAATCAGAAAAGCTGGCTGCAGCATTTGATGCTGAAATCAATGAGCGTGAAACAGATGTCGCAGAAGCCGAGCGAGTTGTTCAAGTCCGCACCGCCGAGATTGAGTCCCTCAAAAAGCAATCAATGACCCTTGCAATGAGTGATCAAGAAGATGAGTATGACGCTCGTCTACAAAGGCAGCTCAGCAATTTGGTCTCACAATGCGAGAGCTTGATTGAGGATGAACAAGCCTCAGATCTGCAGCACCTACTTCGACAAGTCTCATCACAGATGAATTCAAACAACGACATGGACATGAACGACTACCAAGACGAAGGCATGGAAAAGTTGTCTCTGCTGTTATCGATCAAAAGGTTAAAAGAAGAGAGAATGGCATTGGTGAGGGAAGTTGTGGCAAGCCAAGCAGAGGCTGGCATGGGAGATAGGCAAAAAGAATATCGGAGGTTGATTGTGGGTGCGTTGGGGGTTAGAGATGAAGATGTTGATGGTATGCTGCCTGATATTGTAGGTGAGCTTGAGGAGTGGCAAGGAATGGAAGGAGGAGTAGTAGGGGTCGGTGCATAGTGGTGTCGATATCTGGAGTTTGGTTCAGGACTGTACGATTGGAAGAGGAGGAAGAACATTCAATCGAAGATGCAAGAACGCCTTTGTGCATATGGTGAGGTTTTCTTCATCTTCGATATGCATTCCTGTCATTACCATCCATCATCGATGGACTTCATAAGATTTCGTACTGAGTATACGAAAAGCGATCGTTGATGTATTCCCGTGACTTTTCGTCGAGGCATTTTCAAGACCGAGGCTTCTCCGCGCTTCCTATGTTTGCTGACCAACCTCAACCACAACTTACCTTGGATCGTCTCTCTGATCGAGTCTATCTATGCATCTATGGTTTGAGATTCACGTTTGAAGTTTGCCCTTCATTCGATCACCCTGTCCGGAAACATCCGGTGAGTTCAAGTACGGAGAAATGTCGCTCTCTGTTGCGAGACACGATGCACGTTGATTGCGCGTCACGGTGACCGCATACCCTATACCGCTTTCACATCTCGGAGTCTCGCGGAATCAACCCCGGAAGACGATCTACCAAAGACAGGAAGGAACTGCCGAGTAGACATTGGTCAGCTTGATATTAGTGGTCGTAACGGATAGTAAATAAGGTCGAGCATTGACAAGGATAGACGAGAAGCCTGGTCTTGACAGCACCAGGACGTCCTTCCCCAGTCACATCCCAAACGTCACAATTGCGGGTACGATGTCGTCTACGGTCGTACCTGCTATCTTTGATCATGGTCATCGCTGACCAGATGTAATTGACGAGGTGCTGGAAAACTGGTTCATAAATAGACTGCTCTGCTCATACTCTCGGAGTATTCTTACCTGACTTTTACTCTATCATCTTTATACCTGAACTGTAATTCACAATGGCACCTCCAGACTTCAACCAAGAGAGCAGACGTCAAAACCCGCCTGTCTACACTTTGCAGGAGGGTAAGTCTCATAACATGCAACTAGGACCAACATGAAACTAACATTGGTACAAGGTGCACCTGTCTCTGATCCTTCAGCTTCCCTGCAGGTCCGTACGACATATGGCGGTGGTGGTCTAGGTATCCTGGCCGATACTCAACTCATTGAGACACTCGCCCATTTCCCTCGTGAACGCATTCCTGAACGTGTAGTCCACGCAAAGGCAGCCGGAGCATGGGGAGATTTCGAAGTTACAGACGACCTCTCAGACATCACTGATGCCAAATTCCTCAGTGGAAAGGGAAAGAAGACTCCTCTTCTTGCTCGTATCTCGACTACTGCTGGTGAGAGAGGTGCTGCCGACACTGTCCGTGATATTCGTGGCTGGTCCATGAAGCTCTTCACCGAGGAAGGAAACCAGGACTTTGTCTTCAACAGTCTGCCCGTCTTCTTTATCAGAGACCCCATCAAATTCCCTAGTGTCAACCGTTCTCACAAGAGACATCCTGTAACTAACATTCCTGATCCGGACATGTACTGGGACTACCACGTCAACAACCAGGAGGGTATCCACGCATTGATGCATCTCTTTGGTCTGCGCGGTATTCCTGCTTCGGTGTGTATCGTTCTTGAAAATTGCTTCTGTACGGCACTAACAAAATACCATAGCTCCGTCACATCAACGCTTTTGGTGTTCACACATACAAGCTCGGCAAGCAGGATGGCAGCTTTGTTTACGTCAAGTGGCATATCAAGCCTGAGGGTGGCATCGAGAACCTCACGGCAGAGAAGGCACTCCATCTTGCTGGTTCAGCTCCCGACTACCACGTCAAAGATCTTTACGACGCAATCGAGCGTGGAGACTACCCTACATACACCGTGAACCTCCAGATTATGAAACCCAAGGAAGCAGAGGCTTCAGGTATCAACATCTTCGATAACACTTTCACCTGGCCTCACGAGAAATACCCCCTGCGTCAGATTGGCAAGATCACATTCAACAAGAACCCCACCAACTACTTCCAGGATATTGAACAAGCTGCCTTCTCTCCTTCAACGATGGTTCCCGGAGTGGGTCCCTCCGCCGATCTGATGCTCCAGGCACGCATGTTCAGTTACCCTGACGCTGCTCGCTACCGTCTTGGACCCAACTACCAACAACTTCCCTGCAACAGACCTATCAGCCAAGTCTACTCGCCCTACCAACGTGACGGCCCCGGACGCATGGATGGCAACTACGGCGCCGATCCCGACTATGTTCGCAGCAGCTACACCAAGCTCGCCCACGGCAGCCACGAACTCGCCACACACGAGCAATGGGTTGGTAAAGTCACCTCTGCATCATCCGATGTCACCGACAAGGACTTTGAACAACCTAGAATCTTGTGGCACACTATGCTCAAGGAAGAAGGTGGACGCGAGAACTTCCTCAAGAATCTGTGTCCTCATCTTGGTGGTGCTTCGGACCCTATTATTGAAGAGGCTATTAAGATGTTTGGCAGAGTCGATGAGGGACTTGGCAAGGATATCCGTCAAGGTATCAAGAACCACAAGGAGGGAAAGTCTATTGTTTGAGCGAGTCTTGAACAATGATATGACAGGTTATTCCTAATGACGATAATGAATACGCCCTACGTTTCTTAAACAAAAAAAACGTCCATCTCGAATCATCAAAAACATGTGGGTGCAAGAAACCACTTTTTTCTTCAACCACCAACAAGCTCTTCCTGCTTATGAAGGATGCACACCCTTGGGCACCTGAACCTTAAACACCAAAGCCTGATTATCAAGATTATACCCCGAAGCATCTTTATAGCTGTATTTCCCACCATCCATAAATCCATTCTGAGTAACAAAGTCATTGTCACTCAGCGAGAAAACAAAGTACTCTCCATCAACCCCATCAGTAACAGGAACAGTAGCAATAGACTCCCACTTTTCATTCAACAGCCCTGCATCTTGAGCTCCGCCGTTATGAACACCGAAACGATTCAGTTGGGCATTCACATTGAAGTCGAGGAAAGTGCAATACGTTGCCGGTTGTATGTTTGTGTTTAAGACGCCCTTTGAACTGGCGATGGACGCGTTGAAAGCGTCGTAAGTAGCACTGGCAATGTTTGTCGCGTTTGAAATGTCGAAAATGTCGAGGTGGCGGTAGATTGATGTGGAAGAGGCTTGACCATGTCCGGCATTAGAGTCTCTAGCCAGAATAAAGAATTGGGTGGGGGTTAAAAAGTGGATTTCGGATTGTGCGGCTACTTTGTCGTTGTCGTTGTAGAGAGGCAAAGGCACCACATATTCGGCCGAGTAAACGGGAGGTGAAGAGGGCGAGGCAGGGATAGAGTATTGTAGCAAACGAGCATAACGTCTGTTTTTCTTCTTGAGCCCGCCTTCTTGGTTCAGTGCCGATTGCATGAGTGCATAGAGGTGTTTTCCATCAGGAGAAGCAGTCAATCCCTCCAATCCTTGATTATTCGCTCGTCCCTGCGTCGGATCCTCTGGATTGACCTCCTCGTCAAGGTCGTAAATTGGCGGGGAATCAGCACTAAAACTCTCCGTCCCATTACGCAAAGGGATATAAGCGTCAGGAGGACGAATAGCTTGTACCATCTTTCCAGAAGCAGAGAAATGGTAAATATAAGGACCGTATTCGTCGGAAACATAGAATGAACCATCGGGATTGAGGATCAAGCCTTCAGAGTCTACGGACACGCGGTGGCCGCCTGTGCCGTTGTTGCCAAAGCCATCGCCGGTGTATGTTGCTGATGGCACGTCGGGGAAGCCAGAGAATTGGAGGTAAGGACCTGTGGCATCGGCGTCTAAGCCAGTAACAGGAGTCCCCCTGGGATCGGTAAAGAGTATCGTGTCCAAATAATCGAAGTGAAGATTAGGACCAGATGGCTCCTCCACAGTTGCGTTTTCTTGCAGAGACAACTTGATCAAGAATTTGTGGACTCTGTTCTGGTAGTTCAAGGTACCTTGGGTGTTCCATCCTCTGTCTGTTTCCATCCACCAGAATCAGCGAAAAGTTATTCAGAGATTACCAAGAAGTCAAACTATCGTGTTCATTTCAGGGCAGCAGGGGATGAACTTACCAGGCAATGCCCACAATATGCCTTGGTAGGAGTTTGGACCCATCTTTTTCCAGGTCTTTTGATCAATGGCAATGGACGAACCAATCCCACCCAAAGTATCTCCAAACTTGTCTCTGGCATCGCTCTTGACAAAGCCGTAGCCGGCCAATTCCTGGTAGATATAGGTATGTCCTCCACAGATGGTGGAATTGACGACTGACGAATTGGGTGGGATGGGTGCCTTGGGCGGGCTTGGTGGACTTGGTGCATTTGGTCCACTGGGCATACTAGGAGGAGCAGGAGGACCAGCCGGACCAGGAGGACTAGGAGGACCAGCTGGACTGGGTGGAAGAGCAGTAACAAGACCACCAACAGCCGCCATAGCAGCCAAACGAGAAAGCAGCAACATGATGCCAAAAGAAGCCAACTGAAAGATCAACAGGCGAAAGTGTACTTACTTCCCTAGACACCAAAAGCAGCCATCTGCCTCTTTATACCATCTACCTACAGACTTACATTGAATCTTAGGGAGGCGGTTGAGCTCCGCGGCCCACAGAGTAGTCATTGTGCATACAACAGAACATTGCCACAGGTGTCTTGGTTGGTTTCCTTTCCTTCTCCTGAGCAAAACTCCACTCCTGCTGGCCAAGTCTCTGGAGACCACGAGGGAAGGTCAAACACCTTGATTGGTTCGAAAGCCGAGCCGTCTGCGCCAAGACTTGATGTCCGCTCTGCGGCGTGCTGCGCCTTGAAGATCCATGATCAAGTGGATTCCGATCGAGAGGAGATGATCAATTTCGATTCGAGATGTTGTCAAAACGAAAGTTTGGAACGTGGGTTGAGTTCAAAGGGTCGGCTGCGGGCACGTGTGAATGCAAAAGCCACACGTGAGGAGCTGCTGAAGCGGAGGGGCATGGTTTTGTTCGAAGGGGAAACTTGTGGGACTACTGTGGAAACCACGATACCAAAACAAATTGCTAAGAGGTGCGTCTCTTTTGCATTTGGAGTAGCTCTTTTGGTCTAAATTGTATCGAAACAAAATTTGTGGCGATTTTGATCTAGGGTAAATAGATTATTTGGAGCTCGGCTTCAAGTCAAGAGATCCAGCAACCATTGTTTGCCAAACCACTTGAAGTTGTGGATGGTTGCATGGTTCCTCAATAGAAAAGTACCCTCCAGGACTCAGAAAGTCCCGCGGTTTGGATTGAATGCTTTCAGCAAGCCTGCTGAAGGATATCCTGGTCGCACATTTGGTGAGCATCCGGCTCTTTGGCCAGGACAAGCGAACCATTCAAAAGTGGTCACAGACACGACAGCGCCTCGGCTCTATTCGAATCTTTCCATACAAAGAAGATGCAAACTCTCTTCAAAAGTCGCAAGACTCGGCAATGAGTTCTGCAAGCTCTTCCAAGTACTTTTTGTCTTCATCGTCAAAGCCGTTCTTGACGGCACAATCGATATCAATGATAGCGACAACCTAGAGACTTCATCAGCTCACACTCTCCTACAGCTTCCAACCACTCCAACGTCATCAAAATCTCACAATAACGAGAACAGAAAAAACTCACCTTGCCATCTTGCAAAATCGGCACAACAATCTCAGAAGCGCTCTCAGCATCACAAGCAATATGACCAGGGAACTCTTCTACATCAGCGACTAATTGTGTCGTTTTGGTGCTGGCAGCAGTGCCACAAACACCTCTGCCAAACCTGATGGTCTGGCAAGCTACTTTGCCTTGGAAGGGACCGAGGATGAGTTGGTTGGTTGGGGATGAAGGATCGAGGACGTAGAAGCCTGCCCAGTTTGTGTGGGAAGAGGGGGATGGGAGAGCGTGGAGAGCGTGCCAGAGGAGAGAGGCGGCGTTAGAGAGGTTGCTATGAGTTGGGATTGTTAGTGGGTGGGCAAGGATTGGAGGGGTGGGAGGGGGAGGTGGTTACCAGACCTAGATAGATTGCTGTTAGCTTCATACCGTACTTTTGAATTGCAAACTTTAAAAAAGGTGTTTTTGTGTACAGACATGATTCTGCTGCTATATGTATCGAGCACACCAGAGCAATTAAATGAATGGGTTCTTTCTTATGGGGGTAGCCGAGGGATCACGATAATATGCAAAAATGATTACCGATAACTTGAACAAACAAAGAGAAGAACAAGACTTACCCAATTCCTCTGCTCATAGAACAATCCCCTCGCTTGCTCAAGAACTTGCGAGTAAGCCTCTTGCTTGCTCACATTGGAGACAAAGTTGGACGCGTCGGCATGCACCTTTGCCATGATATCTTCAGCAATCGCATTTCCAGCTCTCATTCTTGCAGCCTTCTTACCATGATGATGTATATGCTCTCCTTAACCCTCTCAGTGATTGGAAATACTTGATATAGAAGAGTCACGCGATAACAAAGAGAAAAAAAATTACGGTTGTGTCGGGCATCCCAACTCCACTCCGCAATTTGCTCGGACCACAAACCATTTCGTGGAAGGTGGAAGAATGCAAAAAAGGCAAGCACGCCATCGCTAATAAGCACTCAATAACAACAGACACCTGGTATAGCAACTACAAACTCCATCTATTGTCCGTGACTACGATGCAAAGCAGACCATGCCGATACTTGAGGGCGTCGCAAGAAGTTAGCCGCTGATACCCGACGACTGCATATTTTCGGCCATGTCAGCGTGGCTAGAGGGACTACCCTGTTCGTACGGAACATCGAACAAATCTGAAAAACAACAATGAATTTTTGCATGTGTATAGACGATTGTGCTAAATCTATAATAATAAGACACGCCTGTGTGGTTGGTCTACGTTCGTGGCATCGTTGTTGGGGCACATTTAGTATCTCTGCTCACGTCCGCGGCGAAGCAGTGCAAGGAAGTTGCAAGCAGGTCCATTGATGCAGTCCTTTGGGACGGTGTTACCGCAACAGATTTGTTGAAAGATCTGGATAATCTATGTACGCAATGAAGATTGATATGTAGAAAGGCAAACAATGCAGAACGAGGGAAACAGGGGTTATGACCTCTGTGAATGCACGCCGCAGGAGGCGTTTTGGTATCTCTGAAAGCAAAACAGAAAAGAAAACAAGAAACAATGTGTAAAGCATACACCATACAAATGATGCAAGAAAGACAAGAAGGCAGAGATGATCTCAAATGTCCTTCTTATCCTCATCCTCAACTTCCACATCCGCATCAGCCATCTCCCATCCATCAACGACAGAGGCGGCTTCACTCCTTCTTCTGCGCCCGCGCTGCTTCATCGCATCTCTGATCTTCTCAGTGACTTGTTCGTATCCGCCTTTGGAGTCGATGGTAGTCATGGGCTTCATTGCCGTAAAGCCCATACCGCCATCACTGTCCGTACGACTACGGTTGCGGCTGCGCGAGCGATTGGGAGTGTGAGGTCGTGATGAGAAGAAGCCGAAGCCACCGATGTTGCCAAAGGATTCGTTGCGAGGCAGGTGTGTAGAGTTTTGTCCGCTGCCACCTCCGATGCTGGCGCCTGCGGTGCCTGTGGTGCTGAAGTAGCCCGCAAGGTCCGGAGAAGTCATGGACATGCGGTCGTATTCAGAGCTGCGACGAGAGCGGGGCGTTTGAGGCTGTGAGTATTGAGGTGAGAGTGGGTGGCTAGGATCTGAGATGATGCGCTGGTGGTCGAAGTCGGGATAGAGTTCAGGACCAAGTTCGTTGATAACTTGTGTCACTTGTTCGACCAGCGAGGCACGCTGAGCTCTTAGCTTGACCAAGGTATTGCCTGACGATGGTCCCAACGAGAGAATGAGAGGGCGTAATGACTTGACAATGTCCATACCAACCTCACCGAAGCGGAGAGCAGCAAATGTTATGGCAGGGAACAGGATATAGCCAAAGGCAAAGACGGCCCACAGAGGAACCCATTCTGGCACACGGCCGCCAATACGGTTATAGTGAGTCCAGATAGCCAAGATGATATTGTAGAAGTTGTAGAGAAGAGGTGCGACGACCATAGAGACAAGCAGCTTCCAAGTTGCCATGACGTCGCGACCTTGAATCTTGACAGTTGATGCTGCCAGGGCTTCACGGGACTTTTTGATCGAGTAAACTTTGCCGGTGATGAAGACAGGACCGAAGAGGACTAGACCTGGAAGCACTGCAACAGCCAGCACGAGCAGCTTGCCTATGCGGTAGAGAAGTGTGACGATGACCTTGAAGATAGAAAACTTGGCGTAGCTGACTTGATGATCGCGGATGTTGAGCATCATCAACTCCTTGTTGTACGCCAGGATAGCCTTCTTCAGATTGACAATTCGAGGATCATCCTTGTAAGTAGTGTAGCCTTTGACGAGACGTCTATTCAATTCAACAACCATAGGCAAAGGAAGCTTCTTGCCCTTTGGATTGTACAATCGTCTTACTGCTTGAATGAGCTGGATGGTGTCAGCGTGTGAGTGACATATGTCGAACTAGACTTCAAGCATACCATAAGAGTGTCGTAGTCAGGACTTGTGACAGTGACAGAAACGAGAGCTTGATAGACGGTTTCCAAGACTTGGCCAACAGCTTCACGCTTCTGACCATTCTTGTACATCTCAACCAGTTCATTTGGAATTTCGACGGGGGTACCAAACTCAACGACAGCTCGCGAACGGAACTTGTGAGCGTGGAAGTAGTTCATACCACAAGGAACAATCTTGACGCCACAGTTGGGATCCTCTGCTAGCGCACCAAGAGCCATGATAGCAACACCAGCTGCTCACAATCAGTCAAGTCATACAACGATGAAGGCGCAACATACCTTTGAGGGGTAGCAATTCAGTCCTGTCGTGACTTCCTCCTTCAGGGAAGATACCAATACAACCACCGTCATGCAGCTTCTGGAAGACAGAAGAGTAAACTTCACCCTGATCAACATGAGGAGCAATCTCGAACTTTGTGCCCTCGAAGCCTTCAGTCAATTTGGCATCGGCCTTTTCGTCCTTGACTTCTTGCCCGGTGAGTTGACGCAAGGCGACATTTCCGCTGAAGGGCTTCTTCAGGCGAATCTCGTTGGGTCCCAGAATCTCCTTGATTTCAGTGTTGGCAAACTTGTTTTTGAAGCTCGGCAGGGCAAGCACTCCTCCAACCATGTAAATCTCCTTGTTCTCAAAATCCGTGTCAACACCCTTGATCAAAAGCGGATCGCCCTCGGGATCTGGCAGATATATTTTGCCTTTGGCAGGCTTCTTCAAATCCAAGGCACGGCCAACAGGCACTGAGCCAACCATTCTTGCGCCCCATCCGATAAACTTTCTCTTCATAGACTTCTCGGCGATCAGGAAACAGACGCGGCGGAAAGCATCTCTGCGCAGGACACGCATCAGGATCAAGGGGTCGACAAATTGATTGGCGTGAGGAGCGGCGACGATGATGACGGGTCCATTACGAGGAACCTTCCAAGAACTGCGAGGGTGGACCTCGCGGAAGAAGAGATCAACGAGGACGGAGAAAGTCCACAACCAGGCATCGTAGACAAAGTTTGCCCAGAAGTCGGACGTGGTCTTGCGAGATGATGGTGCCATATCTGATGTGGACTGATGCAAAAGAGAGTAGGATGTTACGTCTCGTGTGGAACCACAGGACAGATATATAGCCTCTGATCCCCCCGGGCGGCAGGATTGCGGGATGTCTTTTTATGCTGTATCACTTGGCGGAAGTGAAGATGTTCGCGATTGGACGTGGGCGAGTTGCAGGCATCCGTTGCGGCGCGCCGCAGGAGAGGAGTGGCCTCACTGCAATGTATCGCGTGAGGGGAAGTCAAGCTGTAGTCGGTCCAGAGGAAAGCACCTTCCGGAATGCGCAGTGTGTCCAGTTCGTGTCCTCAACGTATCCTGGACGAGCGCTGCATATGCTGGTGGGAGTTCAACAACAAGGGGAATCTTTTTAGGAACAGGGAAGTTGGCGGGGCTGTCATTTCCTGGGGAAAGCTGACCCTCCGCGGCGCCAAATCTGCCCGCTTTCCCGTGTCATCATAGCCAGATAGTTCATGTCACTCAAGTAATAATATCATCATACTCTCAGATTCGAGACAATACCTGATTGCTCGAAAGGACAAAAGAAATGTTAATATTTGTACACAAAGAAACAATTGCGCCTGCCTCAAGCAGAGCCAACTCCAGTAGCACCAAACTTCCGATCGCATCCGTTCTGAAGCTTGCAGAACAAGAATCAACATAAATCAATCTGACCTATTTTGTGACCTTCGACGCCTGAGTATAGTATCCCCACTTGCTGGAGCTCGTTTAGAAGAGCTTAGGCTTAGAGATCGGGTCGCCAGCATCGTCAGGGTAGACCCACATAGCCAGAGCAATGATGATGTATGTACCAATGCACATGGCCCCTTCGAGGTAGTTGCTCTTTCCATCAGCAATCAGGTAGTTAACCACGAGCACACTGACAAAGAAGACGACAGTCTCGAACATCTGGAAGTGCAGAGTCATGGGCTGTCCCATAGCCCAACCAAGAAGAACAAGGAAAGGAGTGACAAACAGAGAAATCTGGAGCGACGACCCGATGGCAACACCAATTGCAAGGTCCATCTTGTTCTTGTATGCAACAACACATGCTGTGACGTGTTCTGCGGCGTTGCCGACAATGGGCAGGAGAATCAGACCAATAAATGTCTTCGAGATGTGCGCCTCTTCAACAATGGCATCAATCGAGTCTACCAGATACTCGGCACAGACAGCAACGGCAACAGTAATTATGACGAGTGCGATGGCTGCGGGGATAGGCTTCAGGACCTCGGGCTCCTTGCCTTCCTCTCCATCTTGCTGCTCCTCATCGAACAGGTTGGCATGAGTCTTGAGCTGGAAGAAGAGGTAGAGACAGTAAAGGATAAGCATGATGATAGCAGTGCCGTGAGAAAGAATGAGGATGTTGTCGTCAGTGCGCTCCTTGGAGTTGGCCAGGGCGGCGTAAAGAGTGGCGGGGATGATCAAGGAAGCAGACGCGACTGCCATCAACGAGGACATGGTCGAAGCAACGGTCGAGTTGAAAGACTGCTCCTGGTGTCTCCAGCCACCACAGAGGAAACAGCAGCCAAGGACGAGGAGGATGTTGGAGAGAATACTGCCGAGCATACTGGCCTGAACAATACGGATTTCGCCCTTTTGCAGAGCAACGATCGAGACCTAGGCAAACATCGATTAGCTTGGAGCCTGCATGTTATGGGCGCAAGATGCGACATACGATCAATTCGACAGCGTTTCCAAAGGTTGCGTTCATGAGACCACCGATTGTCTGGCCCAGCTTCACGCTGAGCTCTTCGGTAGCAAAACTCAGGAGAGCAGCAAGAGGAACAATAGCCAGGAAGTTGACAACGAAAACGGCGGTAGGGTTCATGCCCAGAGCTCCGAGGACAATACCAACAGGGACGAAGACAAGCAGGACATTGACATAGTTGCTGGCGAGGACGGCCCAGGTAGTGTAGAGGAAGCTCATGGGATAAGCGATCCAAGGTCTATCATCGTTGCGATATGAGTCCACGCGCGTGCGCAAGCTCTTCATGTTGCCCAAACGCGAGGTGCTCTCATTGACCAGAGGAGTGTTCTCGTCGGCGTCGCCATTGGCGCCGTAGCTGCGACTACTATCCATCGAGGTGCGTGATTCACTAGTCGAAGTGCGTCCAGCGCGTCCAAACTTGGACCTTACTTTGTCTTTATACCAGCACTTAAGGTTAGTGATTTGCGCCAAGTGAGAGCCGAATGGTCGGAAGCGGAGCGAATCAAGATGAATCGTGAACGCCTCTACGCGAGGACAGGCAGATGTGCAGTGGACAAGGATCGATTGGATATCACTCACTCATGTTTAAGAGAGAGAAGAGAGAAAAGAGGACCCAGGATGGCTGAAGGTCTTAGCTGATTGAGAATGTCACCGGACTCGTTGGCTCCAGGATAACTCTATTCTACAATGTGAGCTGTCGCGCCTGGTGAGTGGTGAAAAAGGCCCGTTGTGAATCAATGAAAGCCGCTGGCACTGTTCAAGCCAAGAGGAATGGAACCGTGGTGGAGGCGCAGCACAGCACACTTGCAGCAACGAACTGGAGACAAGAAGATGGTGCGAAATGAAGAGCGGCGCAGAGGTGACAAAGGAACCAAGAGAAAAGGTGTTGCACAAGGGGTTGGCCGCACCATTCCGCCAAACAACTCTTGGTTTGTGGTTTTTGCGCAGAAGGGAGCTCTCGTAAAATGAAGTCATTGAGGCTGTGCAAACTGGTGTATCTAAACCTAATTTTGCTTAGAGCACCTTGCTCTCCCCATCTTTATACCCGTCGGTCATGATTTTTCTGAAACACGATATCTCAAATTGGTTTCGTGTTTCTCAAGCGGAAAAGACGTTCGCGCAGGGAGACGATCAAGCAGCTGAAGTGTGTCGTGATAGAGAATGCTAAGCGTGAAGTGAGGATTTCTTCTACAAGCTACATGTACGGGGTAGCTCCAAGTACCTCACCCCTGCTCATCATGCCGTGGTAGCACCACTACTGCTCGGGCCGCAATAACTCGAGATTGTTGCAGTCTTACAAATGTCAGCCATGTGTAGGCGCCAGAAAGCAAGCAATGACAGCCGGGGATCGTCTATGCAGGCTCATGCGAGATATGCGGCCTCTTGTGACCTACCACGTCCTCTTGCATCAGACTTCATGTCACCAGTGCGCTGTCAGGATCAATGGTATGCGATGAAATGAAGCATTGTACAGTGAGCATCGCATGAAGAAATAAATTCATGCTATAGTCAGAGAAGCGAAATAACCACAATAAAAGAACCCCAATCCCCCAAAATGAAAGACCACCTCATACCCGAAATTCAAGGTAAAACAAAAGAAAAGACATGAACTCCTCGGTGTATACCAGTCCCACCCATCGTTTCCCATGAATGCGCCTTTCGCATATAACGCCTGTTCCTCTTGAGTACGCCATCGACGCCATCGCAAGAATGCAGCAGTCAGAAAGATTACTGTACTGTATCGTCTAACGACCTTCGATAGCGTATCCCTCATCAGGGCCTCTGATCATTCCCACCTTTCTGGTACCTGCTTCGTGGATGATCTCGTAGAGTCGACTCTTTTGCGCTTCTCTCGTGGCTCGCAGGCTGAGGTAAGTGCCCTCCAACCCCTTGATCTGCTCATCGACAGTAAGAGTGCTTGTGCCATTAGCCCTCACAAGAGGTGAGACAAGCTTCTTGCGCAGGATCTCGAGGTTGCTTCTGAGTTGAAGCAAGCGACCGTTGTGGTCGACGAGAACATGCTTGTTCTGAAAAGTACGCTCACGAAGAGATGAGAGAAGCTGCTTGTTCTTCTCGAACTTCTTCAGCCGTGATGCGTTGACGCCAATGACACGAGCCCACAGCGAAGCCAAAGCCTCGTTCTCTTCTCGCTCTTGTGCATCAGTCTCGCGAATGACAACGCGCTGCAAGTTGAGGAATTGTCGGTCGATAGCCTCAAAGTGGGCGAATAGGCTTATACTTGCAGTCAACTCATTGTTGATGCTCTCTTCGAGGACGCCGAGGAAATCGGTAAAGGTGCGTTGGAGAGTGGCGCGTGTGACTTGTGGTGCGGTATGGCCGAAGAGTTCAGCGACAATCTTTCCAACAGCAGTTTGTTCTCCTGTACGATGGTCTTCAAGCAGACCAACCCGCGACAGTAGTGAGTGGAGATTTGAGAAGGCCAGCGACATGTGTGAAGCTGGCAAGGTGTTGAGCTTGGCAAGCTCTCTTTGCGCCCACTCCATGACAATAAGGATGCTGTCAATGTCGCCATCGACTCCTGCAAAGAAGCGAGTCAACTCAAGAGCAAGGGTCTTCAGACTGTCTGACAGCTCGTCGAGTTCGCGCACAATGATGGGACCTGAGGTCATGTTGGTTGAGCGAACGCTCTCACCCAAGTCCCATACTGCAACGCCGGTCTCGCCTAGCTGGACGACTTGGCTGTGGCCGTTTTCACTATAGTACATCAGAGGCTCAAAGGACTTGGCTAAACCAGCCACCTTGACAAGGTCAGGGGTAGGTCCAGTCACGGGTTCTGCAAACAAGGCGCGAGTGAGAGTCAGTACGAACAAAGCTGACATCAATGAGAGGAACGTAGTGTATCGATTCTTGGTAAAGCGACCCCAAAGTTTGCGGAAATGGGCTATGACTGCTTCGATGGGTTCTGTGCGCTGTTGCACATCTGCTCGAACGGAAAAACGGATATCTACCATCCTGGTCAGCCGTCATGATCAGTACAATCACACGACAATGCATACAGTTATCAGGCTTGTCCGGCCATGATTGTTCCCCTTCCTTCTGCGATTGAGCCATTTGCCTTCTCTGGTCTTCATCTTGCTTGAGGACTGCGGCAACGGTAGGACTGTAACTAGGATCTGGACTCCTTCCCTTGAGGGGACTGATGGGAAGAGGAATGCCCGCTGCTACCAAGATATCTTCATCATCATCGTACGGCGTTAGACCCTTTCTGTATTCCTCCGGACTGCACTCTCTGCTTCCGTACGGCGACATGAGGCCAGTCTGCTGAAGGTGATGCTTGAACCAACCACTTCCTGCCTTGCGCCAGGCAGGTGGTGACCAACCTCCGTCAATATCGGGTTGGGTTGCTGCCTCGGAGTAGTCTGAAGCAGTGGGGCTCATGAACTGGATGCGCGCATGCGAATCAGGTCGCAAAAATTCAGGAGAGTTTGCGCGGAACTCAAAATCTTCCATAGACGCGTCGACCGAAGGGTGCGATTCGTAGATGGGTCGAGTAACAGTCGTGCTCATGCTATGGCGGCGGTATCGCGTTGACGGAGTTAAGATAACGGGTACTGATAAGCTTTCGCGGTCGACGACGACGAGTGTACAAGATAGACTGTTGTATATGTGTCCAAGGAGCAACGATATATGAGAGAGAGTTGGGTGAATAGGTCATGAACAGACGGAGCGGTCAAGAGCGATAGGCAAGAGCGCAAGACGCTATCAGTGTGACTTGGGCCGAGAGTCAGTTGTGCGCCAGCCCTACCAGGCACGCGCGTTGATCAGCTCGCGGGTGTTGTTGGTCTTCTGTTTGAGCAAAGTGTTTGTTGCGCGTTTGTGTCCAAAAGTACCCGAGTGGAATTGGACAGTGTATAGTTATGCGCAGTGAATAAGAAAGAGGATCATCCAGAAATGAAAGCGGGAGTACGGGGGTATAAAGAGGGGTAGTATCGACTATCGAGACCTGGTCTTCCACCAGCCACCCGAATGTGCAGGCGCGACGCTAGCTCCGCGATGCCATTGGTTGCATCTTGTTCGGAACGTCGTTTCTTGATCTTGCAGCTGGTCAAAACTCATGGTTTCAGCAACATCTGTCTCATTCCGCCGTTCAAATCACCTTGCTTTTCCTCCGATAATCCATTTCGTCCATTCTTGGAGCGCGTCTGCGTGTTTGATTCGCGCATTTTGTTACTCAAACTGTATCTTAGCTCGCAATTCGTGCCGTTGACGACTTTCGGCCCAATCCATCATCTTCGAGCTTCCCCACTATCTTCCGTCCTCTCCAAGATTCCAAGGGCTACGCATATTCCCATCCATCAAAGTGGTCTGCGTGGGCGCTTGTTCAAATGGTCGTTCACTCTTCAAACTCTTGTCATTTCTTCTGTTTGTCATGAGTATCTGCGTCGGGTCGTCTCAGAAGCGGAGTCAAGGGCCCTTGCAGCAGTCCTCAGATCAAACCCCAAGCATCCGCTGCACCACATGTCCTGCTGACCGCCAGTTCGAGCCGCCTCTGATATCATACAGCCTACTCAATTAGCGTCTTCTCGTTGTCGCAAAGACACATGGCGGAGTCTGACCTTGTAAAACAACATATTCAAGACCGTGTTTGAGCCCAAATATCTATCGCAATTGTACTCGCTTCGAAAGGACCAGGGTAAGAAAGGTATGAGTCTTGATCTGGCAGATGCATGAACAGTGCAAGGGCAGCGGGCGGCCGCCTACTGAAGTTTGACCTGATTCACAGTCTGGGTTATGTACCAAAGACGCAGGGCATAACGCCAATCTCACTTAGAGGTTTATCGCAGAACTCTATCTTATACGATGACACATTTGATCATTAATCAAGGTGTGCGATGGTGGTTCCAAAGCAAGGCTGCGTGAAGAAGGTCAAGATGTTGCAGCAACAAGTCTATGCCCATTATGAGAAGTGAGGTCTAGAGCTATTCGAAGACATTCGTGCACTTCCACAGCTCGATGTATGGCGGATCCACGTCTTCAGAATATGTACAACTGTCGAAACTTGCTTGATTGGTCTTAGAAAGCCTCTCGCCACCGACAAGGGCGGCTTGATGCTCGCATACGAACGAGAGATGTGTCAGTCTCAAGTCGTTCGTGATTCCTGAGAGTCGCATCTGCAGGCGTGCGGCTTCCTTGCAGTCAAGCATTCAAGATCCACAGAGCACGCTCCTTCCTTCGACTCGTGCTTGTTCATCAGCACTCAGCCTCCTCCATGCATCCATATTTCCAACAACGCACTTCTTCTCTGCCACTCGCAAGTGCCGACTTTCATGGTCTCTGAGGCAAAACGCCCAATAGGCAGATCAGCATGCAGAGAACAACCGTGATTATTAGCCGCTAATAGTTGAGGTCAACAGCAGCTTGAGACAGAGTGACCGAGGCCACGGAACGTTCACGTCCACGTTTGACCGACCCGTGCCGCCCCGTTAAAACCTCCTGAGGTCTTTGACAGTTTGGACGGCAGAAAGAACGCGACAACCCAGGCAGCGTTCCTCTTTCGGAGTATTCATCCAGCAAAAATTTCTCAGTAGCAGAAGAAGGGATGTTGTGGCTCTATATCGCTGTGACGATAGCACCTGATGATGCGCAAAGCACGGAAATAAATACTGGGCGGATTTGCTCGGGAGAATGATCTTCTCACGTGGACGGTGGGACTGTCAACGGGTTCGTTCCTGTTGCCGTGCTCGCCCACGCCTGCACCTGCACATGCAGCAAAACTGTTATTCACGATGTTTCAACATCTATTGCTTCATAAGATTGGTGGTATTTATCCACATAAGAAGACATGACAGATATAATAGAGATCCAGATGCCCTGAGCCAAGGGCCCGAGCCCCTCCGGCTCCGCATCACATCATCATTTAGATAGGTAGTAGCTGAACTCCACCCTTCCAACCTTAAATTCTGCACCTTTAGCAAAATGCACATCTAAGCTTTTTTGTCTTCCGCCCAACCGCCTTCTGAACCCCCTTCTACGTTCTTCTCAACTTTCTCAAAGTCAGTCAGACCGGATGCTCTTGGGCAAGTCGTGGTGCATCGGCCGTCGAAGATGCATCGCGACGTCGAGGAGTTTGGCCTCGATCCTATATCTACGATTGTAGTTGGCGCGGTCATGTTCGTGTTGACGGGGCTTGCGCTGTCCCTGAGAGTCTACGTACGAGGCGCTCTCATCAAGGCGTTCGGCTGGGACGACAGGCTTCTCTGTTTCGCGTTTTTTCTTTACACAGGCAATTGCATTACCCTCATACTCATGGGATCAACACAAGCGGTCGATGGTCTCGACGCTGCTGCTGGTCGAAAACTTGCAAAGGTGAGTTTTCCAGGATCTAAGTCTTGATGGCCAAACTGACACGAGATAGCTCTCGATTGCTGGCATCACCGTCTGGAACGCGACTGAAATATTCATTAAACTATCTGCTGCACTGTTCTTTCTTCGACTGGTTCAAGAGATCTGGCAGAGACGTGTCATTCTGATATCCATCACCATCTATGTCATGGTCATGACTATGGTCATCCTAATCACCATCTTCCAATGCGGAGTTCCCTCGAACATCTTCATCCACAAGGACTGTCTGAACTGGGATTCGGTAATGGGACCAATCAGCTACTTTAGCGGAGCCTTGACAGCACTTACGGATTGGATCTTCGTCCTCACTACTATAGCCCTCGTCTTGAAAACGAAGATGCCACCACGAGCAAAGACATCAGTTGTGTTGCTGTTATCTCTGGCCGCCATGGGTAGCGTCGTGTCAATCGCAAGAATCCCTTTCATTCGCGGAGGAAGATATCAACTCAATACAACCGCAAAACTGCCTCGAGTGGTCATTCTCGCAGCCATTGAGGCAGGTATTGGCATCATTGCGCTTTCACTGGCCACACTGCGACCACTAGTCAAGACGTGGATGGATGCATTGAGCAGCAAAAATTCGGGCTCGTCTGAGGATGTGGAGCGCCAGGTCGCTGGTGCTATGAATAACGGCACACCCGCTCAGGTTGTTGCCGGTCCTTCTGGAAATCAAGGATACGAGGTTATCGACATTGAGATGGCGAGACCCAAGGATAAACGCGCAGATTCGCACTGGAATGATCAGGTGATTGCGACTATCTCCATGCCTTCGGAGATCTCTGGACGATATGGTGTTCTGGATAGTGTCTATTCCGCCGACAAACATCAAAGATGAAACTCTTTCGAAACATCAAGGGATAATTATATCACTACATTTATGGGAGAGAAGATCAACTACTCCTGGCACTTCGATTGCACAAAGCCTTGCCAAAGAGGGTTCAATCGGATCTTGATCACTCCTGGTCGGCTAACTCTGGATCTGGCGAAAGCAGTCTGAGCTGACCTCTACTATACAAAGATTATCTGCAAACATGGACCTGAGATCCCTCTACTCTTTGCTACCGAGACCCAGCAACGAGCCAGGCTACGTCTGCAATACAAGGCCAGCCTCATGGTCATGATCGCCAGCCACTAATCTGTTCAGCCAAGTGGCTATCCTCAAAATCGCTTTACTCATCTGCAACTCGACAATGGGGAAAGCACCAGTCGCATAACCGCTAGTGGCTAAATCAATATCCTTGATCGCATGCGCAAATACATAGTCGCAATTCAGCGCATTGCTATCCCGAGCCCAGCTGAGTGCACACTCCACAGGCCTAGCAGGATCGCTACAAGCTATCCACTCGGAAGAAGGGATTGAGAAATCGTCTTCTTGGATGCGGGAGATGAGATGCTGGAAGAAAGGCTGGATGGTTGTGTTGGGGAAGGCAGTGACGTTTGCATCGGCGTAGACGATCCAGGCATCCCAGACCTGCAAGAAAGGAGTACGTTTAGCATGACTGATGAAGATGAAAGAGAGACACAAGTCTTGCGATACTTACAGCATGTAAGTCGGTGGTCTGATTGGCGAAGACAACTTCAATACCATTACCACCAGCGGCAACACCGGACGCATGTAATGGCTGAGCAATATCACCCAAGAAATGCACAACCCACTTCAATGCATATGAACACTGCAAATCCTCACCACCAACCAAAACACCACTCTTCACTTTCTGTACACAATCCCTGAGTATCTGTGTCTGGTTTGCAATGGCAGAAACCACACAACCGCCCTCAGAGCAATCACGGTGATAATAAACGTTACAGTAATGGGGTGGCTTGTCGGCAGAATCTATCCAATGCCATTGGTAGCTGAAAGCGCCTTCGGTGGTGTGAGCGTAGTCGTCTGCCCATGCTGCTGCGAGACCGATGCTGTTGTTGTATTTGGGTTCGAGGATTTGATAGAGGATGGATTTTGTGGTGGGAGTTAGAAGTTGTTCTGCACTGTAGCCGATTTGTTGGTGGACATCTGTATAGCAGTCAATAACATAAAAATAACAATGTATATACTAGAATTCAAGTACCTTTGTTCCAGGCGATGGACCCGGAGGCCATCAAGGCACTGGCTATGACGAGTGACTGAACAAGCATGTCTCGTCCCTGTTCAGTAATGTGATTGGCAGTGTACAAAAAGTCAACCCAATAAATCAAAACCTATATGACTGATGATTGTAATGCTCTCGCGTGTCTGCCCAGTGTGTTGCAGTCGGTAGATGGTTGAACACAGAGCGAGGTCGCGATAAGATGGAATTGTGGAGATGATGCAGCGATTCGGGAAACGCGGGGTGAAACATGTCAGGGACAGGTACAGGTGGCCTCCCATAGTTTCCCTCTTTCACATGTCAATCCAGTCTTGACAGGCACCATGAATGGCTTTTCCGACCATGGGCTCGACGAGGGAGCTTTCGGAGAGTCAAAGGCCACTTCGGTCGTAAAGGCCTTTGACGCCTTTCGTACGCGACATTCGTCCCCTTCTCCCTCTTGACACGCCCGCTGATCTAAACCCGCAACAGCCAAAACCAAACCTTCGTACCAGACCAAAACGCAGAATGGAGGAGTGTGGACGCTCTTCCTCGCCTTTGCCTCGTTCCTGCTGGCAGTGACCGAGGTGCGCCGCTGGTACGTTGGCGAGACACACCACACCTTTAGCGTCGAAAAGGGTATCTCGCATAACCTGCAACTCAACCTCGATGTCGTCGTTGCCATGAAGTGCAGCGACCTGCACATCAACGTCCAAGATGCCTCTGGCGATCGCATTATGGCCAGCCAAACCCTCACCCGCGACGGAACCCTCTGGTCCCAATGGGAGAACACAAAAGGCGCACACCACCTCGGTGGCAGCGCTGCCGAAAGAGGAGGGTCCGACTACCAAGAGGAGGATGTCCACGATTACCTCGGCGCCGCCCGCAAGAAGAGAAAGTTCGCAAAGACACCACGACTAGGTAGAGGCGCAACACCCGACTCCTGTCGCATCTACGGCAGCCTCGAACTCAACAAAGTCCAAGGCGATTTCCACATCACCGCTCGCGGCCACGGATACATGGAGTTTGGCCAACACCTCGACCACAACGCCTTCAACTTCTCACACCAGATCAACGAGTTGAGTTTTGGTCCTTTTTATCCTGGTCTGGATAACCCTCTGGACAACACGCGCACCACTACCGATCAGCACTTTGAAAAGTTCCAGTATTATCTGAGTGTTGTGCCGACCGTGTATACTGATAACCCTTCTGCTCTGCAAAAGTACGCTGATGCTGCTGTTCCTTTGTCTTCGGGCGATGACTCGGTTCCTCAACCTCGTTTGCCTCGCAACACTATTTTCACAAACCAATACGCCGTCACAGAACAATCGCATATCGTCTCTGAGCGTCAGGTCCCTGGTATCTTTGTCAAGTTTGACATTGAGCCTTTGATGTTGACCATCGCTGAAGAGTGGGGCGGTCTCTTGAACTTGTTGGTCAGACTTGTTAACGTTGTCAGTGGTGTGTTGGTTGCTGGTGGCTGGGTCTTCCAGATTCAAGAATGGGCCAATGAGGTTGCTGGACGTAGGAGGCAAAGAAGACAAGATGGAATGGGAGGTGTACTCACAGGAAGAAAGAGCATGGACGAGAAGCACTAGTCTCTTCTTTGCTTTTTCTGGTTCCTTATACACACAAACACAATCAAAAATGGCACGGTTGCAACCCCGTAAGGTGAAACTTCACGCCCACAGAAGTGCGATTCCGCTGTACCTCCAAAGCTTCCATAATTTGGTCACTATCTCAGGAGATCTGAAGCATGAGACAAATCTTCACCAGCAGTAGGAAAAATATTTCTATACTCACACTTTCACAGTTTTGCTCGGCTTGCACCGACAACCTGTTATAGTCTGATCCCCCTGTACGCGAGCAAGATCTTCATCGGTCCCTGTGAATCCCGAGCAAGAACTACGAGATTGAGTGACTGTACATACGATGTTACCTGTATGTATGTAAGTCACAATGGAATACGTAAGATCAATACGCTCCAGCATATACTGTTCAATCGTCCAAAAAAAAAAATATTGTGCAGTCATCCAAAAAGCTCTACACATTTGACCAAGACTTTCAAGCCCATCGTTCCTAACCAACCACTTCAAGGCTCGCCCGGCCAAATCTCATCAGCAATGCTCCTAACCAACTTCAACTTCTCCACCATATCATCATAAGTCAACAGATTGCCCTCACTATGACTAGCAAACCCACATTGAGGACTAACACCAATCCTCTGCAATGCTTGTTCTCTGCTCTCCCCACTTCCCTGTGCCACAAACTCTGCGGCTTGCAATACTCTCTCCACCATCTCCTTCTTATCCTCGAGCTTGGGGAATTTGCTCGTTACCACTCCCAAAACGACGAACTTGTCTTTGGGAAGGTGCTTCAGGGGCTCAAAGCCACCAGCACGTGGGGTATCGTATTCGAGGTAGTAAGTACTGACATTGAGGTTTTGGAATAGTTTGGTGGCGATGCGGTCGTAGCCTCCTTCGCTAAAGTGGCGTGAGTTTACGAAGTTTCCGCGGCAGAGATGGATGCCTAGATGCATGTCGGAAGGACGCTCAAAACAGGAGTTGTAGAAGGAAATGTAGGCATCAAAGAGCTCGTCGGCGGTCTGGGTGTTGGAGGTGTCTGCTGCCCAGCCGTCGAGCATTTTCTCCGAGCAAAAGTCTGGGAGGCAGTTAGTCGAGGAGGGAAGACAGATGATGGGTATTACGTACATGCGAGGTTGGGGTCATCGACTTGAGCGTTTCTCAATCCTGCGTCGTAGAGGATTTGGAGCTCGGTCTTGTATGCCTTTGCAATGTCGGCAAAGTATTCTTGGTCGTTGGCGTAGACATCCTTTGGATAAGCCTTGCCAGTCTTGTATCTCAAGTGGTACCTTATCAATTGATTAGCAAGATACCAAATGAAGAGAAAATCAAACGAGCATACCAGTTTGGTGCGGCGAGCGTGAGCTTGATATTACCCCACTGCTCCTTGGGAACAATACTCTTCATATACTCAAACTGCTCGATATAGCTGCTTTTTCCAGTATGTTCGATCTTGCCCGTGCAAATCACCGTTTCTCCAGGCACATGGTCAGCTTCCAAGAATGCAGCAATATCAGGGACATAAGCACGGAAGATATCAGCATCAGGTCCTTGAATCTCAGTAAATCCCTTCAGAGAGGGAAAGAAAGTGCCCCAGAACATGTGGCGCCGATACTCGCCATCGCTGACTGCGTGGAAACCGCATTGTTCCTGGATCTTGACGACGTCCTTGATGGCTTGATCTTCAATTGCAGGCAAAGAGTCCTGGCCTGCCTTGTGTTCGTGGACGTCTTTGCGAGCGGCCAAAAGATTGTCTGGACGCTTGAGAGAGCCCAGGTGCTCTGCTCTGAAGGGAGGATTCTTGGGTGCTGACATTGTTCTGAGTTTCAATTCACAATTGGAAACGTGTTAAAGTGTAATGGAGAAAGTTGTGGAGAGCTTGAGGTTATGTGATGTCGCATGCGGGGTGATCTGCGAGGAGCCCCACTGTGGAGTTGTTGATTGTTGGCGCTCCAAGATGCACTCACCACCATCGTCATCGAGAATGACTTGATGCTATAACACAAGATGAAAGAATACTAGGAACTCATGCAAGTCAATCGACTTTGGTGACCGTAGGTCGACAGTACATGAGACTCAAAATGTCACCAAGAGTTTCTCGCTATGTTCTCTATCGACTCCATCATTCTCACCACATGTGATTGGCCAGAGTCAAGCCCCTTCCTCGAGCTCAACCTTGCAGCCACGCTCTTTTGACCTTCCACGTGCTCTACAGCCAAGCCAGAAACTCAACTGCCCTGAGAAAACATCTTATCATGCCTTCAACGATTTTCGATACGCGTGAGAGTCCGCGACTCACTGCCTGCTTGTCATGCACTCCTCAATCCAGAGTGTTCTTCGCCATCTGAGGCCAGAGTACATCCCCTTCAGCTTTCGAACCGTACACGAGTACCAGCGGGATGCAAGCAATGCCTGCGAACCAAACACCCAGCACTTGGCATTTCGTCTTGCAGATGTGTTTCTCAGAACTTGGGATCTAGGATTTACTGCTTTTGGCGGACCCCCTGTGCATTTCCAAATCTTGCATCAACGATTTGTGGGAAGCAGAGGCGCTTATGCTGCATGGGTGGACGAGCAAACTGTATGGTTCTTTAGGTTCTTTGTGCAGTCTTGATAAAACAACGCTGGTACTCAAGATCCAGTATCGTGAACTCTTCGCTCTTACGCAAGCATTACCTGGACCAGGAAGTACGAAAATGCTCTTCACCCTGGTTGCGTATCATGCCGGTCTTATGTGTGCTATCTTTGCGTTTCTGGTTTGGAGTCTTCCTGGAGCTGTCGGTATGTTCCTGCTTTCGATTGGTGTTGGCAAGATCAAAGACGTACTGCCGGGCCCTGTGTATGGCCTTCTATCTGGCTTGAACGCGTCGACAGTCGGAATAATTGCTCTAGCTGCTGTACAGGTGAGTGGGCATATTGAAAACCCGCTTCCGCGCTGCACTCTTGGTCCTTCATCAGTTGTTCAGTTGTTTGCCCAGTATGCTGACGAAGACATTTTGCAAGCTTGCTACCAAAGCCATCATTGACCCTCTTTCTCGCATCTTGGTCATATTCGGTGCATGTGCTGGGCTTTGCTACACGGCATTGTGGTACTTTCCCGCTTTGGTAGGTATCGGTGGTGCTGTGGCAGTAGTCTGGGATCTTTACCTTAGCCGCGCGATTGGTAGACTTCGTGCCAAACGGCAGCAAAAGCGTATCAACCAACAGCGCGCGGTGGAAGAAAGCGACCCAATCATCACAACAAGCATCCCACTTCAGAACATGTCTTTAACACAAGCATCATCATCTCAACGACGAGTCACGAACCAAGAGCAGCCCTCTAAACAGTTAATCACGAATGCCGAAGCTGCCGAGCGTGTCGCGGAAGATACACCAGAAACACAAGCTCACGCCTACACTTTGTCTATATGGCAAAGTATCTCAATCATCTTCTTATTCTTCGCCTCCTTCGCCGCAGTCCTCGCTGCACGTGGTGCTTTAGCGGCCCCACCTTTAATCCTTGATCTTTTTGCAAACATGTACCTAGCAGGCACCATCATCTTTGGTGGCGGTCCTGTCGTCATCCCTCTGCTCAGAGAGTACACTGTACAACCCGGTTGGGTCTCTTCTCGCGACTTCCTCATCGGTCTAGCCATCATCCAAGCATTTCCCGGTCCTAATTTCAACTTCGCTGTCTACCTCGGTGCCCTGGCTGTCTCTTCACATACGCAAGGGCTAGCCGGTGCAATACTGGGCTTCATCGGTATATTCCTTCCCGGCCTTGCTCTCAGCACAGCCGTATCAGGTATCTGGCAGATTGTGCGCACAAAAGCTTTCGTTGTAAGCGTGCTTAGAGGCATCAATGCTACAGCAGTCGGTTTGGTCTTTACTGCTGTGTACCGGCTTTGGGAGATTGGATATTTGACTCCAGATTCGGGCAGAGGCAAGTCTTTGGCTAATGACCCTTGGTGGGTTGTTGTCGCTGCTGTTGCATATTCTGGCGCTGCTTGGTTCAAGGTACCTCCAGCACTGGCAATTCTTGCAGGCGCTGTGCTCGGATTGTGCTGGTATGGTGCAGTCGGGAAGCAGGTCTTGGGACTATGAATTGTCCAAATGAGGATAGTGGTCAATGGATCTCAAGCAGGTTATTTCCGATCCTGATGGGCGTGTTGGTGTAATCGAAGATAGAAAGCGATTGAGCGGTGAAAGCGCGATTGCTTGGCTACGACATACAGGGTGGTCTTGCATCCTTTGAGAAGCGCGAAATACTGTACTTCGCGCCAGTTTCAGCCATCTCATCGTTGCTGGAACCAATCGACGAGCTTGCCGTCGTACGCCAGCTCTTGTCGCTTGAGTACTATGTGACATTAATATCTCGCGATAAACGCTCCCTGACTGGCGCGTAGCGAGTGTGACGAGATGTGACGGCGACGACGAGCCGCTTTGAACTGCATGATTTCAGCTGCCGAGTCTCGAATTGGCTTTTGGCTCAATTCTTCCTCTGGCAATGCCCCCTTGTGAGCGTTATGCACGAATCACGACTCTAGATAACCCAGGACAACAACATACATCCTCACTTGTTCAAGCGTGAATTCAGCAACCTTTATCAATGCTGAGCTGATAAGAGCGCAGTCTCAGCCTCTTATATAGTTGCCTCCTTGACAGTCACCGTTCTTTCCGTTGCCAAAACTCTTACTACCCTCATCATTCAAGACACAACACAAATGTCTGAGGACGTTGCAAGGAAGGTCATTGGTCTGCCTGTCGTCAAAGCCCTAGAGAACGCAATAACAACTTTCTTTGGCGGGTTCAGTTATGAAGCTGTCATCTATGGATCAAGCGCTTCTCCGAACACTCTAGTGTTGTCGGAAATTGACCTCATGATATTCGTTGAGGATTCCTTCGATCTGACTACCGAAAAAGCGCGCGATTTCGCTCGAATATTCAAGCAGGCCATGGCAACTCACAAAGTCACCTTAGATGTAGAGGTCTCGTTGGAAAAGAAGCTTATCGTTCCACTGGGAGTTGCCCTCAAAGCTGCGCAAGGTTCGGGTCTCCGGTTTTGCGATGGTCGGCTGCTCTCTATCTCCAGAACAGCAGCCTATTTGAGCTCGGACGAGATGCTCGAACGACTTGTGCTGAACGTACTCACAGTTCCGCAGGTTCACGTCTGCGGGAATAGATCTCTGACTAACCACATTCGAGATGTAGCGAGTCAGACTCTATTCACCTTCATACAAAATCTACCTACAACAGGAAATTCAGCGGCAACAGACTGTGATTCTTTTATCAGAGGAGTTATCAGCGAGGGGACTCGCTATGGTGAGGAGTATCTCGGTTACAAAGATCGCACGGATGTCATTGGTTACCTAAAGGCAATATGGGCGAAGCACCAGAAGCAGACCAGGCAGGAAATTTCCATCTTCTGCAATTCGAAACCTTCAAGCGCGAGTCCACGATCTGGCCGTATAATTCTCTTGAACGGGTTCCCAGGCGTCGGCAAGTATTCTATCGGCCGCAAACTTCACGCCTTGTTTGAACCCGCTCACGTGCGATTTGTCGACAACCATGTCTTGATAGATCCAGCGCAGGCTATTGCACCCGGACGAAATAGCGACCACAAAGAGCTTCGTCGTGCTTTCCGCAAGGTTGCATTCGATGCACTGTGCAACATTCCTGGCCAGGATGTGACCATCATACTCACATCTTGCCTAAGCTCTGCAACAGAGGATCGAGAAGTCTTTGAAGAACATCTCCGCATCGCCAGCTGTCGAGGTATACCCATATACATCTTCAATATCATTTGCGCACCAAACGAGCATAAAGTCCGACTATCCGCCCCAGAGAGGTCTGCAGGCACGAAAACGAAATTGCTTGACTCCGAAATTTTGAACAGCATGATGAGCAAGCATCGGTTGATGCGTCTCTCAGACCTCGACGAAAGTCACGAAGGAGATGTTGAACGAAGGCTGTTCGAGCTGGATACGTCCGGACAATCCATCGAAGAGAGTGCTGCCAAGATACTCGCAACAGTAACTCAGAGTGTCATGGAATAAGTTAGTTGGCCGACCGTCATATCAAAATGTGGCTGGGGGTCATATAACGTAGCGAAATTGCTTGCCAAGAGAAACAGGCAGTCACATCCTTCCAGTCTTCCTGAGCCTTCCATTGGACACTATTTCGATGAACACTCACGTATTTGGCATGCACGATCGTAGCTTCCCTTATAAATATGTGCTTTCTCTCCTCTATCTTGTTCACTCTTGCGCGACCAAATAGCACATTTACACTCAATCATTCGAACGATCATGACAAAGCCGGCGGCATCTTTCCATCTTTTTGGACGGCTTCCGACTGAGCTGCGACTGCAAATATGGCAGTACTGTCTTCCATATCGAGTATTTGAATTGGATTTTGCTCTTGACGAATATGTCTTTTGGTTGAACAGGGAATACCCAAAACCTCTCTTACCTTCGCCATGTACCCTTCGACATACAACGCTTCAAAATGGGCGTCCGCCACTCATCAGCCGTGTCTGTCGCGAATCACGCTCCGTGGCGACCAGATCAGGTGGTTTTGTCACAGAGCGCGACCCTGATCGACCCTCGGATACGGAGTGGTGGTCAGACTTTGAGTTCGAAGATGCCTGGGTAGACAAGACACATGGTGCACCTCACCTCAACTGGAGTGGAACGTACGCGCCTGAATACCAATGGTCTGGCTACCCTCTCAACTGCATGATATGGGAGTCTCGGAGGTTTTCTGCCACTCCATCTATCATGCTGGAGTCTATTCACAACCTTACTTTCGGACCTCCCCCTCCTGAAATCAGAGGACCTGATGGGCGACTTCAGTATGTACCCAGGCCCAACAAAGAGACCGAATTCATTGATGCCTACAAGACCTTGCCTAGCTGGCTAGTCGTGGTGGATATCGTCGTGGTGCATTTAGACCTCAGCTCTGCAGCAGGCACAGGGTTATTCGGCCTACTAGGGGATGCCCCAGTACAAATCATTCCAGTCTCCAACGAGACCGAAATCGACAAATTCTACGATCTAGCTGAGCGCTGCGAACGTGGGAAGAATGTCACTGCTTCACAAGATTTTACGCGAAAATCTGCTGAGGAGTGGAGGCAAGAGTTGAGAGATGATGTTTTGTACAGATTCTCACAAAACGAATCCGTTGCAGAGGATTTGATTGTAATCATGCATCCGGCCATCATGTTTCGCCTCTGTACGCAAATGTGCAATCACAGCGTTGAGGCTCACACTTTATTGCAGGCCCTGCGCGGATAGGCTTGCCCCACATCTTCCTCCTACACCTTTTCTCCGAGATGGTCTCGAGAAAGAAAATCTATATAACTTCTGCAGCAAGTTCCGTTACTATCGCACGCACCGTCTCTATATTAGGCGCACTTGGCGACACATTGAGCATCTATGACACCATCCAAGAGCCCAGGCCCGGTTGTCAATGTGTTCTGAATGTTGATAGGAGTACGCAGCATTGCCAAAGCCTCGCCCGATGGTAAGGGCATCGCTGGTGCAGCAAGTGCGAGGCGAGATATGTCTGCCGATGCCATAGCAGAGCTAGAAAGTGTACTCAAGAGAACCGATGATAAGTTGCAGGCTTTATAAGGTTTCATTGGAGCGGATTGAGGTAAGCCTTCTGCAAAGTTGGTGCTTTCTTCCTTTGATGTCTCGAAGTAATCTAGATGCGCCAATTTGCGCTCGACCAGACAGGCCTTATTCGCCTTGAGAGCTCGGCTCTCGTTAGCAAAGATGGAAAGACCTTTACATATCAAATCCAAAAGAAACGCATTAGCGATTCTAGTAGACATGCAGTTATCACGTACGACAGTCAACTCAACTCTACCACCAAAACCATACTCAAACTCCCCATCATCGTCACAACATTCAACCCTCAAACCGTCAATGCAGACAATTCTTCTGTCCAACCACATCGTCGATATCTCTTAAAGCATCTAACCTGCTGCCGCTATCTCTTCCTGGCAATGGTCCTTAAGGTTGATACACAAGATCTTTCAGAATATGTGCTCGCATGTCATCGCGCACCTCATCGTCAGAAATCCTTGGGTGTCGTTGGAGCTCAATCTACGGAGAGACCTGGCAGAGTATCGACCCCAAGAAGCGCTATAGGTCCATGGCCAAATTTCCTCTATCCCTGAGTCCTGGAATAGCTCCTCAATTGCAGCAGCTTGATGTGTACCACACTTATAGATTGCAATTGTTCTGTAACGAGATCGGGAAGAGATGGATTTCACTTGCTAACCTATGCACTAAGGGTGATGGGACCCCTTGTCCTTCATGGCACCGTCTTCTCTAATGCTAAGAGATACCAGAACCATAGGTTGTGAGCGACATAAATGCAAGAAGTATCCGTCGATCGTCATGTGGAATCCTCTCTAGCAGGTATTTCGTAGAGGGGAGAATAGAAGTTCTTTTGACCAAGACGAAAAGGGCTTTTCATATTGTTTTCCTGGGGTTTGGTGTGCAGAGATGATAATCAGGATCCTTTTGATTGAATAAGGTGGAAGAGCTCATACTGCGCAATGATTTTGATGAGTATGGGGGTTTGAAGAGAACTGTGGCAAGCACGTACGACGGATGCATTGGCTCATGATGGGATGGAAGTCCGATTTTGCAAAGAAGTCTCGCTGGAAAGATTACTGAATGCTGTGTGATTATTCTGTATAGCTGGTGATGCAATGATGCGCTGTGTGCTGAGTGTGCTATGCCTATAACAAAAAGATGCATGCCAAACGACTGAAACAAACCCCAAATCAACTCTAACCAAGAACCAACAATTAAACACCAACACAGATACTCCAATGAACATTCACCTCTTCCTTTCCAAAAACTAAAAACAAAAACAATGCTAAAATGCTTATCAATGCATAATACTCTGTCTCCACCGATCAATCAAATCGCGTTGCGCAACAACATTAGGATCGTGCATGCCACCCGCAGCCTGCATCTGTGCCATATGCGCATACGCCTGTTGTTGCTGCATAGGCATCATCATCTGCTGCTGTGGCATCTGCATTTGTCCGTAAGGATATGCACCTCCAAACATCATATTTGGGTATTGAGCGGTAGGTTGCAGGAAAGGAGGTGGTTGAACAAAGCCATAGCCAGGGAAGCCTCCAGCCGCCATTTGGGGAGGATACATCATTGGTGCTTGTTGCGGTTGCAGTGTTTGCGGGTTGAAGTATTGGGGTACTGCACCTGTGGATTTGGAGGAGAGGAGGTAGGGTGCAGGTTGAGGGGTGAAGTGTTGGGGCATGCCGCTGGTCAGACGATTGTATGAACTTGTGCGATTGCGCTCGCGGAGTTTTCTTCGTGCTTCTTCTTCGGCACGGGCGGCATCTGCTAGAAGAGAGCCTGCTGCGGGAGCATTGGCAGAGCGAGGGCCGCCAGGAGAGGATACAGGATGGGCAGCAAGAAGGTTTGCGAGAGATGAAGACGAGCGTAGGAGAGGAGGACGGACAGTACGAACAGAAGGTGGGTCAGAGGTATCGCCTCGTTTGGCTTCTGCTTCGCGCTCACGTTGCAAGCGTGCTCGTCTTTGACCCAGTGTTTCCTCTTCGGGCTCAGGGGTCTCGGTCTCAGCCTTCGTTCCTGTAATGCCTCCGAACGTGCTGAGGATGTCTTCGGAGAAAGCAGTGGACTTGCGTTTGTCGGCTTCTGCAACATCACCCAACGCTGCATTAAGCATCTGTTTCTGCTTGAGACGACGCAAACGCTGTCCCAGCGGCTCGTCTGGATCCTCATCATCGTTCGAATCTTCTCCCGGTAACGGAACTGCTTCAGGTGGTGGCAGAGCAGCCTCGCGGCGTTGTCGTTCCATCTCTTGGAGGATTTGTCGTGCCTCGGCTGCAGGCACACCTTTTAGACGGAAGCGACGACTGCTCAACGGCTCGTTGTCCTCGAATTCACGCTTCTCCATCAGACCTAGTGGACGATCCCAATCTGATTCATCTTTCTTGCCTCGGTTTATCAGGCCATTCTTAGTAGGATACAAGACGCCAAGTGGGACGTCTTCATCTTCTTCTTCTTCGACCTCCTCAGCGCTTGGAGCTTCCCATGCAAGTCTAGCACGTCCGTGTTTCTGCTTCTTATTCTTTTCCACCTGTTTGACGGCGTCCATCTGAAGCAGAGTACTATGCATTCCATTAGGAAAGGCATCTGCAGCGGCGCGATTACGAGACTTTTGATGAGCTTTGCGAGCCTGTAACTCTGCCAGCAAAGTAGTAGGCTGGGCAAAGAATGGCATCTGCATATCCTGTTCGTCGTTGTAGATACTCTCTCTGTCTGCGCCCACTCCCTGAGCAGGCATCAGGGTATCTTCTGCTTCTGCCTCAGGAGATGGCTCAGCTGGCTCCTCAACCTCGAGATTACCAAAGTGTACACTAGCGGGACGAGACTTTGCAAACTCGGTAGCTGTGTCTCCACCATCGTTCAGGTCCATATCAGTCATCAGACTCATCTTGCTGTTTCTTTTCTTTAGTTTCTTGCCTTCTGATTTACCACCAAAGTCAGTCAGTACGGTCATCATACTGTTGCGCTTGGACATCATGGGCTTCTCAATCGTGCCAGCGCTGACGGATCGATCGTGACCCTTCTTCTCATTGTCATCCATGATCATATCGAGCTTAGAAAGAGTTGCACTGCGACGGTTTGCAGAACGTTCCTGGGCATAGATTTCTTGTCCGCTAGTACCAGCGAACGGATGATCAGTAAAGACATTGACTGGAGCATTGACGGATGCAGCTAGAATACTGTCTAGAGTAGCAACAGCCGATGCTGACTGAATCTTGACCTCTGTTGGTGACCTCTGACCTTCGTTGTCGAAGAAGACAGACGCTCTCAGTTGTGGAGGCAAGTTGGCGGTGCTCATTCGGCTGGCTTGAAGATCCATCATGCTTCGTCTTTGTTGTTTTATTTGTGGGGAGGAGGGACCAGATTGCGGTGCGCCTTCTTCCGGTTCTTGCTCTTCCAGATCAAGACCAGGTAGCCAGGGGGCACTTTGCCTTGAAGCAAGAGGCATGGCGCTCAAGACCTGAGAGCGACGCTGGGCTTGCTGGTTGGCTGAAGGCAGCTGAGACAATCGCTTGGGCAGGTTCAACATGCGAGGGACTGGAGCGGGATAGTAGACCATGCCCTCGGTGGGCGGAGGTTGTGCGTAAGACATTGGACGGGCATACGACATGGGTCGAGGCTGGCGAGACATGCGCGACATTCGTCGTTGCGCACCTCCAGGGCCGTCTTCGTCGGGGCCTGGCGAATAGTGTACACCATCAAAGTCCTTGAAGAGTGAGCGGGCATCACGGAAAGTGTCAGTGGTTGGTGGGCGATCCGGGGGGTTTTGGACAAAATCGTTGTATGCATCTTGATCGGCAGCCTGTTGGTATAGGTCGTGGGCTTGCTGCTGCCATTCCTCCTCTTGGCTGAGTTTGTGCTGTTGAGAATATTGTTGTTGTTCAGGAGCTTGTCTGTCGTCGTGCGAGTAGTGGCTCTGTTGGTCTGGTTGCGAGTAATGGCTCTGCTGATCGCGAGAGTAGAGACTTTGTTCATCCTGCTCATCGTAGCGTTGCTTGTCGTCATGGGAATAGTGGCTCAGCTCGTCGAGATCGGAGAGTCGTCGACTGGACTTGTCCCACTCTTGATGTTCAGGCTCGGGGGTCTTGTCGGCATCGTTTGCAGGTTTCTCTTGGTCGTCAAGCAACTCGGCGTCTTCTATGGTCGGTGCGAATGAGTAGTGGGATGGCTGGCGTCGTGGACTCGAGTACGAGGTAGGTGAGGCGAGGGGCGAATCCAGGGGACGACCCTCCTGAACGGGCTCAGGCATGCCCGAGGGTCGATGGAAGCTGCTTACTCGTGAGACGGCAGGGCTCGTGATGTATCCTCCGGGCGAGTAGCCTCCCCAGCGAGCGTGGTTGTTGACGTCGACGATCGAGTTGGCGTAGCTGGAGGTCGAGTGATTGCGGCTGCGTGTGCTGATGACTCTGTCGATGCTCTGCTGGCGGCCCTCACGAGTTTGTGACTGTGACAGCGACTCGGAGGCAATGCTGCTTGACCGTAATGACGCCCGGTCCTGTTCCTGTTTCATCCTGCGAATCTCGTCGCCAATGTCGCTTCCCCCCTGACTCATCTCTTCTGCTGACTGCTCCAAACGCTCGACATTCTTGATGTACGCCCCCTGCAGGCTCTCGAGTCCGGGAGAAGGATGTTGTAGCGATACTTGTTCAGCCGACGCCGTGCGCATCAGCGCTCCACGTGGCGGTGCACCTGTAGACATGCCTGTACCATGTAGCACTCGGCCCTATCGTAATCCACTTTTACGAACTGCCACCATTAGTCTTGGTCGGATACGAGGGATGAAAAGCAGTGTCCAGATGGTCGTCTAGAGGAAAAAGGAAAGGTTAAAGAAGTGTGACACAGTCGCACAACCCTCCCAAACGACCGCTCAAAAAAGCAGCCATGCGAGTCTAACAAGCCTCCCCTTGAAAGTTACAACACCGGCGTCCCTAGCAAAAGCTTGGCTACATACGACTATTTTATTTTTAGCGATCCAGCCGCATTCCCTAATTGTTTCTGTCCATCCTAATCTGACACATCGCTCGTATATCACTCTAGGTCTATTCGTCTTCATAATTCAATCTCTCGCATCACACTCTCTCGTACTGCAGAGTCCAGCCACATCATGTCCACACCGTTATGAGGCAACGTTCAGAAAAGCAAGCATCCACCAAGGTAACCCACGCGAAACAGCCACTTCTTGGCGTACGCATTTCCCATCGACTTCCGCCGAACCTTTTATTCTGTCTAACAATCCGTCCAATCGCCTGCTTATCTGTTGCTATCATCTGCACATCTACAAGGATTCTTGAAGATGACTGCTTGAATGATTCTGCACGCCGATTAGGCTATCTTCAGATGACAGCGGTACTTAATGTCTAGATCGCTTCTTCGTCTCATACTCCGCGCCTCACAACGTATCCACTTCCACATGGAATGGACAGATACCTTTGTAGTAACTTGCCACGTGTGTGTAGAACAGCCAACACAGCTTAGCATTGCTTGCCTGTCGAGGAATGCAAGGAAGTCTTTTGAGCCGCATGTCCATAACTCTCCCTTCATGCCTATCTCGGCTCTCCTCATCATTACCACAGCAACATATTTCATGAGCCGTGGAGCGGATTTCTCGCAAGGTTAGTCTTTAATATAATGTTTGCGGACGGAGTATAGACAAGGATTTACTGATTTTAATCCCTTGCTCGGGAATGGTTAGAAATGCAGCACTGTCGAGATTTCTCGTCTAGTCATCAGCAAGGCTAAAATCCAACAAAGGCTACAAGCATCGAAACAGACAAAAGAGCTAGAGAAGCTCCGCCAACTGTGCCAGCTGCACCAGTCTCGTCTTGGGTACCGGTGCAACCTCTCCCACCCGTGTAGTTTCCATTCTTGGCTTGTGTTGTGTTGGAAGGGTTACAAGTCAAATTTGCAACAGTCTCTCGATCGGTAACAACCTCATTGATAACACCACTAAGTCCATCACCGTACTTTTCACCCTCGAGCGCACATGCCGATACAATTTGTCCTTCGAGGTTATTGCCTTGGCAGCCAGATAGTCTTCCTGTAGCGCATCTGGTGTTGGGAGTGAAGACGACATAACCATCTGTGCCATTCTTGATTGTCCATGGGCCATGGTTGAGAGCCACTGGATAGGTCTGAGTTTCGTTGAATTGGAGGTTGACGACTTTGGAGATAGTGTCGTAGATGGAGTCTGCTGAGGCATCGTCCGAGATGTTCAGTGTACGGCCGTCGGTGACATAGCCGCCAATGTCGACCGAGCAGTTCTGTGCGGCGGGACACGAAACGCCCTCGCTGATGATGTACGAGCGACTGCTGAGAGATGTGTAGGTCAAGTCGGCGTAGCTCGTGGTGACATTGAAGCCAGAGCAGGACTGTGCTAAGACTTGTTGACTGGAAGCCAACACGAAAGCCGAGATGACTGAGATGGTGAACATGTTATTGAATGAGTTATGCAAAGTTGACTCCAAGGTAAACAGAAAGATAGACAACTGAGCAGTTGGGGGTATACTTATTTATATATGCCATACCAGCCAGGCTGTAGAGGCTGGGCGTATGCGATGTGACGCTCCATGAGCTCGGAAACAACAACTACAGGCTGGCCGATCGCACCGATGTAGTATGGAATCGGTGTATTCGTTGCTTCAGAGTCATGCGCATGCGTTCATGTTGCAAATGCCCAGCAAAGCCAAGTGTATAGTGAATCCTTTGCGGCCGAGCTTGGTAGTTGTATAGGCGATCGTTAATGCTTTCGGGTTGTCACGGGTTACCTTGAATCGACACTGTTGCAGGACCAACTTGAACTTCTTGAAAAGTTGGAACTTGCATCTTGTTGGTCGCTCTGACATTTTCTCGAGAGTAGCAATCAGGCATGGCATAAGCATTCTCTGTCGGAGCTATGGCATGTTGATCGACACATGCTTTGCCGACTATTTTCACATAGCTTATATTTTCTACCGGTGTCTGTACTGGATTCTTATTCAAGCCTTAGAGGCAGTCTGTGTGAATGTTAAAGCAAGTGATAATCTCAAAAAGAAGATGCAAGATAGAGTGAAGAAGGTTGGGTATAAAGTTGGGGGTAGGTCAGATGCAAAGCTGTGATTGGCTGAGGGTCATGGTCTTGGCAGAGTCTTTGGATGTTGGATGTCATGAGTTTGGCCACCACCTCAGCGCACTCGCACCTACGCCTCTCATACCCGTCTTGTCTTCACGGTCGGCGACTGTGAATTCAATTTCTACACACATTAGCAACATGTCGCGCGCCACATCAGCAATCACATCGGCGGCATCGCACCGCGTCGTGCCTTCGGCCAACGCCACCACCTCGAGATTGACCACCTCCGCCCGTGGTCTCGCTACCGTCCAGGACGCTCCTCCAGTTCAGCACAAGCGTGGTCTCCAGGACCAGGACCGTATTTTCCAAAACCTTTACGGCCACCATGGAGCCGACCTCAAGAGCGCCATGAAGTATGGTGACTGGCACAAGACCAAGGAGATCCTCGGCAAGGGTCACGACTGGGTATGCATTGCCACGCATTGCTAGATTATTGCAGCCCTGCTGACACGCCTGCTTTAGATCATTTCCGAAATCAAGGCATCTGGTCTCCGTGGCCGTGGTGGAGCTGGTTTCCCCTCTGGTATGAAGTGGTCCTTCATGAACTTCAAGGACTGGGACAAGGACACCAAGCCCCGCTACTTGGTCGTCAACGCCGATGAGGGTGAGCCCGGAACCTGCAAGGACCGTGAAATTATGCGCAAGGACCCCCACAAGCTGCTCGAGGGATGTTTGGTCGCTGGTCGTGCCATGAACTGCACCGCCGCCTACATTTACATTCGTGGTGAGTTCTACCACGAGGCCACTGTTCTTCAGCGTGCCATCCAGGAGGCCTACCAAGCTGGTCTCATTGGAAAGAACGCCTGTGGATCTGGATACGACTTCGACATCTACATTCACCGTGGTATGGGTGCCTACGTCTGTGGTGAGGAGACCTCCCTCATCGAGTCGCTCGAGGGCAAGCCTGGAAAGCCTCGCCTGAAGCCTCCGTTCCCCGCTGCCGTCGGTCTTTTCGGTTGCCCTTCGACCGTCGCCAACGTCGAGACCATCGCTGTTGCGCCCACTATCATCCGTCGTGGTGGTAGCTGGTTCAACTCCTTCGGTCGTGAGCGTAACGCCGGTACCAAGCTTTTCTGTATCTCTGGTCACGTCAACAACCCCTGCACTGTCGAGGAGGAGATGTCTATCCCTCTCCGCGAGCTGATTGACAAGCACTGTGGTGGTGTCATTGGCGGCTGGGACAACCTCAAGGCTGTTATCCCTGGTGGTTCCTCTACTCCCATCCTTCCCAAGAAGGTTTGCGACGACCAACTCATGGACTTCGACGCCCTCAAGGACTCTCAGTCTGGTCTCGGTACCGCCGCCGTCATCGTCATGGACCAGAGCACCGATGTTGTCCGCGCCATCGCTCGTCTCTCCAAGTTCTACCACCACGAGTCTTGCGGTCAGTGCACCCCTTGCCGTGAGGGTTCCAAGTGGACCGAGCAGATTATGCACCGTTTCGAGAAGGGACAGGCTCGCGCTCGTGAGATTGACATGATGCAAGAGCTCACCAAGCAGGTCGAGGGCCACACCATTTGCGCTCTGGGAGAGGCCTTCGCTTGGCCCATCCAAGGTCTGATCCGCCACTTCCGCCCCGAGCTTGAGGCCCGTATCGCCGACCACGCCAAGGCACAGGGTGGTGAGGCACTTGCTGGTGGCTGGCACCACAACTCTCTCAAGGATGGTCTGCTTGTCTCTCCCGGACAGTAGATTCTTCTTTTCCTTGAGTGATGTGTAAATATTCAGTTGCGGCCTCCTTTTTCCTTGTGTTGTCTAACGTGAGTACCAATGTGTATCAATGGCGTTTTCTTCTTTTTGTTTAGCCCATAGTTCAATATCTTTTTCTTTTTTTTTTTTTGGGAATTAGAAAAATGCAAGATAAACTTTTCCCCAAATTTCCACTTTATCGTGTGCTGTGCTGATGGTCATGACTTCATTTTGCATGTTGGTATCGATGTGTATGTAAAACTTGACTGCTGCAGATGATGGAGAGGAGACAGTGTGAGTCGAGTAGGTGAACCTGTCTGTCACGTCTTTCTGCTTTTCTAGGTCGTTGATCATTCGAGATACTCTTGTTTTCTTTTGATAGGCCCCGTACAGTGGAGGACACGAGTGAACGCTATGAGCAGGTTGGGTGGTATCTCATGCTATAGTAGGCAGAATGATTACACAAGACAGGAGTCACGAGTGAAGGTGTCTAAAGCATTGCTTGTCTTCGGAACAGTGCAGCATAAGGTAAATATCAGGAACCGGGCTATCTTGGTGACTCAACGATTGGAGTATCTGTTGAACTCAATTGCGGTGGTAGAGCCATCTCTATGCCTTAGCAATGCATCTTTGTACGTAGTCCTGGTCGAAGATACATAAAATTGCTCTTGAGACAAATGGACCATTGAGTGGTTGTGTGCTTGATCTTTTTAAAGACGGACAGCAGAAATTCGATTTCTAAATGGTAGATGCACAACTTTCTGTTACATCGCTGGGTGTTTCTATGAATGTGTCGCATGGCTTGAGGGTTGTCACAACCGGAGTATTTGAAGAACAAAATTGGTATTCGGAAAGCAGGATTTATGAGCGCCGGAGAAGATATACAAAGAGGAAGAAGGACGTGGGCGTGTGAGCTGATTGCATTGTAGCGTGTCTAGTGCAAGTTTCTCTCGACCTGTGTTGTTGTATGTCAGCCCTCTCCCTCTTTTGACTTGCAGCATGCCGGATCTGTCTTGAGTACATACTCTCCATCCATTGCTGTATTCGAAGCCAGCGGGGGCAATGGGGCGGTCGCTCTGTCCTCTGAGCCAGCCTGTCAGGCGACGGTCGCGGTCCATCACTGCGGAAGGGAAGTCGGGTCAGCGTTTCTGAGTCGTTGGGATATCGCATTCGACGGGATTGCGCACTTTGTCTGTCCCACTGGTCGATGGAGTGTCTGGCGCGCTTGCCGCCGTTCTGAATGTTTCTGATCTTTGAGAGACCGGCACCGGTGATACCGAAGAACTGCGCGTGCATATGTTAGTGGTGGGATTGACGGCGTGAGGGAAGATGAGATGGCGGCGTACGGCAAGACAGATGCCATAAGGCAATAGAGCTTCAAATGGAACACCCATGGCTGTGTGTTGTGTTGTGTGATATGGTCCTTCTGACACCCTCGTCGTCGATTGACCCAGCGGGATTGATGACCAGCTACGTCTTGGCGCTGGAGTCGTGAGTAGAGCCGGATTTCAAGCGCAAAACAGGCAACTATGCGGTAGGGGAAGCTGCGACTTCTCCACATGCTTTGGGGCCAGAGCACAACACGAAGCCTGAGGGGGCTGAACAAGAGGCTCCAGTAATCCAACATCAATTCGACAAGACGATCTGCCGCTCTGAGCTCATTGTTTCCGTTGTCGCCCTATCTCGAACTGTCAAAGCAGTCGCTCGTTGTGTCTGCTAGAGTCCCTATCGGCCGCCTACCTTGTCGCCGCGTCGACCTCAGCCTACGTCCAAGCTTCAGCACACCCACTGCACGTTACCCACCACCTTGACGAATACCGCGTTTCTACGTGTTCTTTACCTCTGGACGTCTCCTCAACCTATTAGGCTACTCGTACCAGCTTTCCGAGCTTCCCTGCTGCCGCCGGGCCGGCTTGCGACCAGTTTGCTTGCTTGGGCGCCAAGGCTTCAACAGCACGTCTCCCTGTGACCTCTCCATGCGCTCTACAAACAGGATCTAGACGTGTCTGGCTCTACAGGACTGTAGCTCGAATTGCGACTCATAACACTCTCACACCTTTGCATACTTGCGCCGTAGTCGAAGCACCACCTACAGCACCATGCGCAGCAGTAGTATTGACGCAGAGGGCGAGGAAGATGATCTCGACATGCCCGAAACTCAGTCGCCTAGCCTTCAAAACGATCTTCCCGAAGATCAGGACGATGACGAAGACGAAGAAGATGATGACGAGGAAGACGAAGATGCAGATGCAGATGCAGATCAGGACGATGACGAGAGCGAGATTGTCGGTGCTGTAAAGAGAGCCCCTACAAGGAGTAGATCTTCAAGAGCCAGGAAAAGTCGCGACATTGAAAGCAGCGAGGACGACGATTCTGCATCCGACGGCGACAATGATTCCGACTCGTCTGACGAATCTGCTGCCACTCAAGCGCCCTGGGAAAAGGAGAGCGATACTGCTCAAGAACAGGACCAAGACATTGTGACAGACTCGACTTGCGTGTATGTGGCCATATTGATTGCTTTTCGAAAGAGTGCTGATTTTGACTTGGCAGATATTGCGGACAAGACGAAGAAAATGATCCGAGCGACGAGTATGAAGAATATCTCGAATGCGGTCATTGCGGGGATCATGGTAAGTTTTTGTATCATCGTGTTTAGTGTCAAGCTTTGCCAGGGTCCTTGAAGCTGACTTGATGCGTGCAGCTCACAAGCAGTGCGCCAGAAACGCTAACTCGCTTAGCTCGGATCAAGGTACGTCGGTTTTTGTGACTTGCATATCAGTTCATGCTCCTGCTAACAACAATTCTAGACAAGAATCCTCAGACCTGGCTATGTCATGATTGTGTACATAATGGTTTCCTTTCTGTCGACAGGTCGACCATTAATGATGGCTCTCAACGTCGATCGTCTGTTCCCAAGTTAGCCCGAGATCTCCTGCCTGCTGCTCGTGGCGGCATCAAACCAAACTCGCATTCAGTCTTCAACAATCTCATACTGGACGATGATCCGATGGATGGTTCTCGCTCGCTTAGGAAACGTAAGAATTCTTCCGTCGAGCTGGACGACCCAACACCAAGGGCGGCATCACGGAAAAGGAGACGATCAACTGCATCTGGCAGTCAAACCAACATCAATGTCACGCCAAGAGACGCAGTGAAGGAGCAGTCGACAACACGGCAAAGTATTGGTTCAGCGGAAAGTGAAAAGTCCTCCAAAACGCGTCGCCTTCGGAAACAGCCTCAGTCAAGCACAAACGCAAGGATCATTTCCATCGAAACACACGAGGACAACCCTAAAACTCTTGTTATCGCCATCCCCATCAGCGCCGCTGCTCTCGAAGGCATTGAGCGCAACGCCCAAAGAAAGGCTCGAAGGCGCGAAAGAGACAGAGCGCGACGAGCACTAATGGGCAGTCGCAAGAAGAAGAGTGGCGCGCAGAGCGATGTTTACGAAGCAATCGAAGCTACTTCCTCACACTACCCTGCCGTCGCCACAACTCTTTACGACAATCCTTACTACCCCTTTCCTGACCGAGAATTGGACACCGTGCAGGGCAAGCCTTTTGGTGGCATCCTCACTGATGCCGAAGCTGACACAACCAAAACGTTTCCTCAGCAAGCTGATCGTGATCTTTTCGAGGAGTCTCGCCGCCAGGCCGAAGAAGCCAGAAAGGCCGAACAAGCTGCCAACCCTATCGAATTACCTTCAAGATCCAAGTCATCCGGCGGACTTCCTACTAAGATTAAGTACATCCACTTTGGCGGCTGGGAGATTGAGACACTGCATGCCGCGCCTTATCCTGAGGAATACAATCGCAACCCTATCCTGTGTATTTGCGAGTTCTGTCTCAAGTATATGAGCTCGTCTTATGTCGCTTTCAGACACAAACTCAAATGCCCACACAAACATCCCCCTGGCGATGAGATCTATCGCGACGATATCATTGATGCCGACGGTAACAAGAAAAGCATCTCCTTCTTCGAGGTTGACGGTCGCCGCAGTCCACTTTACTGTCAAAATCTTTGTCTTTTGGCCAAGTTGTTTCTTGGTTCAAAGACCCTGTATTATGATGTCGAGCCTTTTCTCTTCTATGTCATGACGGAAAACGATGAATACGGTTGCCACTTTGTTGGCTACTTTTCGAAGGAGAAGCGAGATTGGACGCCACCTACTGATCCTCGTGCTTCTATCGAGATCGGTTCTGATCCACTAACAAATGGTCTTCAAGCCAAGGCAGGTGCCAACGCTAATGACCCGCCAGGCAACAATGTCTCGTGTATCCTGGTGTTCCCAGTCCATCAGCGTCACGGATTTGGTCGTACTCTGATCGAGTTCTCCTACCTATTGACTCGAGTGGAAGGTAGAACGGGCTCTCCTGAAAAGCCACTCTCCGACTTGGGTCTTGTCTCCTACCGCTCTTACTGGCGTGGTGTCATGTGCAGATTACTGCTCGGGTACAAAGAGGCACCTCGAGGCTCGCATGACATCTCGTTCTCGAGCATGGCTCGTGCTACAGGCATGACTGTCGACGATGTCATCTCTTCACTGGAAGCGCTTCGTGCTATTGTCAAGGATCCCGTCACCAACAAATATGCCCTTCGTTGCGACTGGGCGTACATGGCAGAATACCTCGACAAGCACGACAAGAAACGTCACATCAAGATCGATCCTGCAAAACTCATCTGGACACCGTATGTGATGGGTAAGCCTACAAGCTATTTCCCAGTCGGTGAAGAAGCCAATGGTCCTATCCAAACCAAGGCTCGTCGCGATGAGCCTGAGGATTTGCAGACCGCACAACCTGAAGAAGGCGTTCAGCAAGCTCAAGTCAATGGAACCTCTACACCTGATCCGGACGCAACGAATGGCGACAACCTCTCGCCCAAGGCTACTCGCAAGGCTCCCCCATCGACATTGACGCCTCAGCCCTCCATCACCCAGGGCTCTCCTCCTCGCCGCTCGCCTCGCAAATCGCAATCTCAATCACAGCCCGAGCAGGCCAACGGCGCAACACAAGATGACCCAACCTCGCAAAACGATACTTCGGACACTTCATCGGTCAGACGTGGGTCCGCATACACAGAAGACAGCATCCCCGCCTCGCGATTCGAAATCTTCCCACCCATTCCCGGCCAGGTCACGAAGCGCAGACCTGGTCGTCCCATGGGCAGCCGCACTCGCTCTAAACTCACCCCATCTATCAATAGACACGCCGACAGCATAGCAGAAAGCTCTCCTCACCCAACAGCTACACCCCGCGGCCGACCCACCAACGCCGCCCGTCGTGCCCGCAGCAAACTCGACGAAATGGAAGTTGCGCCCTCAGCCGAAGAAGACGAGATTCAACGCCAGATCTCTTCTGAACACGAGCGCGCATTAGAAGATATCGTCTCCACCAACAACGGCGCAGCATTCACGCGGCCGAAATTTATGGGTAAGATTGAGGTGCCTGAACATGCTGTTGAAGATGACGAGGAAGACGAAGATGCTGAAGGTGAAGATGTGGAGATGGAAGAAGGAGTGGGGACTGGATATGACGGCGTAGGAGGTGCAGCTCTGCCTATAGAAAGAGAGGACGAATATGTTCCTGGCAACGATGGCGATGAAGAGGATGAGGAAGATGTTGATGCTGATGGGGATAGCGATGATGAGATGCCGGACGCTTAGTTTTGGTCTTGAGTATTCTTGCTCGCTTGCATCACCCACCAACCTTTGTTGTTGCTTTTTTTGCTTTCTCGGTTTCTGGAAATCTCTACTGTTACGGGACACAAAATAGGGCGTTTTCTGAGGAATTATTAACGGACGATACCATTGGGCGCATTCTTTTTCTTCTATCCCTTTTTTACTCATGTACTTTTATTGCAATGCTCGATACCAGGAGTTGCTTCTTTTTTTCGCGATTGAACTTTAGACTTTTCTCTTCTCTTCACTTCCCTTTCTTGCTTGTGTTGCGACTGCCCTGTGTGCATTCCCTCTTTGACGGTGGGGAAACTGGAAAAGACATTGCTTTTTGAAAAGGGCAGGCGCACGACACTTCGATTGTGCCTTACCAACGCCTTGCTTTTGTTTTTTTCGTCTTGTTGCGTATGTATGCCTCTACCTGCCGCAATGATCAAAAACAGAATCTTGCTTCCCAATTCGTGTTTTTTAAGAACAAAAATTTGTGTGTTTTTTGTTGCATGATGTACAGGTTTGCTTGGAATCCATGTTTTCAAAAAAGTCTGTTAAAGAAAGACAAGAAAAAAAAAGAAAAAAAAGAAAAGACAAGAAAAGGGTAAAAAAAGAGAAAAAAGAAAAAAAAAAAAAAAGAGGTTTCTCTCTCCCTGAGCTTCTCTCATTCAAATCTTGCTTGTAGGCTTTTTGTAGTAGAGTTCTTTGTTTTGAGTACAGCACATTTGCTCAGGGCTTGGGTCACTGCTCAGAAACGTGTCGAAGAGGAAGTTGTAAGTATATGTTTTGGTTTGGTGGACTCCAAAGTTCATCAAAGGAATATATTTTTTCCTTCGATCTGGAGCCGTCAAAGGAAATTGGTCGATACAACAAAGATTAGAATATTTGCAGGTCTTGACGAATGTGCTATGGGAGTATTGGCAAAGCTTTTTTTCTTTTTTTTTTCGGGACGAGGAGAGGAGGTGTTTGGGATTTGCTTACTCTCTACCTGCTGTACAGTATTATCAAGCTCCTTTCGATTGACAGTGATCATGAGGATATAACCTGACCCACTTCAAATCATTGCTGGAGCTCGAGACACCCTCATCCAAACGGAGTAGCTACGCGGCATTGCGTGTGGAAGAACTACATCAGGGGCACGGATGGGCAAAAAAAGAAAAGAGGCTACAAGCCTTGAGTCTACACGGGACTGCAGAAGCGCCATAGATGTGGCTATACCTTCTTTGTACCCAAATTTTCTTGCTTCCTACGGTATGATATGATTGAGCGAACACTCTCTTTGTACGCGGCAAAGGGGAAGACGATCTGGCGCCGCTGGAGTCCGAGACACCGAGTCATTCAAATCGAGTAACCTCACGACATTGAGTGTGTGACTGCCACATTACATATGGGGCCTGGTAAGAGACACAACAGACCCAGAACTGCTTGCCGCCGCGACCACAAGTTCCTGAGATCCTGAAGGAATTGGTTGTAGAAGCACCGTAGATATGGTTTTTCCATTCATCTTACCTTCTTTGTACCATGATCTTACCACATCATCACTGATGGCTTCAACATTGATTGTGTGCATTGACTGAGTTCTTAATAGTGGCAGAGGGGGTATGTTCGGCCAGTCTTCATGACGCGTCTGTTCGGATAGATTGAATCTTCATCTTCGGTGAGCTTGTCAGTGCTGGAGGAGGAGGAGGAGGAGGAGGAGACGGCGAGTCGGGCAATCTTTTGGGCTTGCTGTGACGAGCTCGTCATCGAGAACGGAGGCTGAACGATAAGGTACAGGGATACGAAGGATTTCGCGCGTGTTTTTTGGGAATCTGTAGCCGGATCTCTGCGTGCATGAGTATCGGGAGTAGGGAGATGCAGCGACAACAGGGGAGAAAAGGGTCTGTTTATCGAAGGTCTGGAAGCAGCGGGTAAGCTCATCACGCAGACGAGTAACGTTGGTGTTGTCAGGCAGATTCGTTCGGTGGTGGAAGAAGAGTCTGATGCTCGACCACTGGCCGGTAGTGTAGCTGTGGACTTCAAGACGACGAGAGCAACGAGGCAGAGAGATCTCTGGTCGAATGGATTCATGCAGCCACCGAAAGGTACTTGCGATCGGCGTGAGTGAAGAATTGGCGTGCTGCATCGAGACCGTCAGACGAAGCTCGACCGTGCAAAAGACGACTTCGACTTCATGGAGGTTCTGAGGAACATCTCATACTCCCACCGAGAGTATTGATGGAGAGAGATGAGTGAAGAAATTGCGATGGAGGCACCTCCCCCCTGACAGCCAGCGATCAAACGTCTGAACCAAAGATTGAAAGTGACAGGCGCCACCTTCGACTTGATTGGCTTCCACGTAGCGACGAACCAAATACTGCTGCTCTCACGCCCTTGTACATCTGAGCACCCAGCAGGTGAACAGACTTACACCATACTACTCCACACATCAATTCATAAACCAAGGATTTGTATCACTGTCTCACGTCATGAAGCTTTCCGGAGCCCCAGCATGAAATTCCGGGAATCTGGAGAGTACGCGTTCGGATTCATATGCCTGAGGCTTCTGCCTGGTCACCTATCAGACCTAAGGCCGAAGTTGCTGTTCATCTGAACACGAGTCTTGTCTCCCCGAACCCATTGGGCAGGACTGGATGGACCTGCCTACTGTAGAATAAAGCGGTCGGCGTCATTGCGGGCGCCAAACATCGTATGGCCAATATCACATCCATGCCAGTAGAACATCAGTCAGGTCTCCCCGCCGGGAAGATCTACTTCCGTCATGTTTGACAAAGGAGACTAAAAGGGACTATGGACGTACGTTCCCAGTGACCACGACTCGCAAGCAGATCCTATCGTGTACATCTTACGCAACACGACCTCCAGAGTGCGTGCAATTCCGTGGTACAGCAAGCACGTCGGTGTAGATCTTAATGAACATGTTCGTCACTCGACCGCGCCGAACTGTAGCGTATCGACTAAAGGTCGGTCAGAGGGGTCGCCTATGTACTCCAGGCGTGCTTTGGAGCTCTCCCGCTCTCAGCCGTCTGTATGCGTGGTCCTGAAGATCTGTGCGAGAAACCTTCAAGTGAAGAGCGTGTTGCAAGATGCTGGGATACCGCAGTGGATGGAGCGGTCTATCGGGTGAGTACAATCAATCTTGTTGTGTGCAAGGTCTTGGTCGGGCGTTGTTCGTGCCCACATCCCCAATCGCCAACGTTCAATACTCCCATCTCTTTCCCTTGTGACCTATGTCTGATTCAGAAGTCTCACTGCTTGCATATTCGCCTTGGTCGTTGGTCTCCACTGATCGGAGTATGATTCAACGACTCGAGCTCCGTCTGCTGTGGTGATGTTCATTGGCACTGTTGCCGCGGTTGCCTAATCATTGTAGATCCAACATTGTTGATTCGCTGATCATTCACAGATAGCCGCGCAAGATCGAATAATTCCAGTTGATTGGAACCGGACCGTAAATCAATAAGTAGTCTGTCGGCCAATTATACCATAAAAAGCGTATGATTAATGGAGGAGATTGGTGGTGATGGGAGGACCCCTCTGTTACGTACGTAGGAAGTTTAGATAGGACGGAAGATCCGGGGCAGAAAAGGGGAGATGTTATGCTGCCGTCATCCTATAATCCAGAAATTGGACTCCAACATCAATTGTCCGGTTGTCGTTGTGCGAAGGTTGGCCGATCCGGGCTCGGCCGACATCGCGGCTAAATCGCATGGCAAGACAAATGCTCGAAATCTGCAGTCCTAAGCGCGCGTCTGATCAAAAAGGGCCAGACAGTAACGGCGCTGCCTGATGCGAAAAGGGCAAGGAAAACGGTCTCGGTCGAGGCGGAATGCCCGAGAACGCCACGACGAACGCCTCGTAGAGCCCGAAGCCAACAGACGGTATGTCTGTTTTCTCCCACGCTTTGCCCTTTGGGGGAAAAGGTCTGCCCTCAAAAGTGCGCTTCCGAAGCAAGATAGTCACGAGTCAATATGGTATGACTCTGTGTGAACGGCGTTCGAAGCTGATGTGTAGAAGGTAGAAGTCAAGGGCGATAGAATTCGACTATTTTCTGCAGGCCTACGGCTTCGTACAGACCCGAACGCGATGTCTCGTGCCGACGCCAGCCGGGCAGGGAGATAACAACATACTCCACACATCGTTTGTTCATCATTCTGGCTCGGCTTCGTTCGTAGCTATGTCGGCATTCACGTCTTTGAACGGGCGTAAGGGCTGGGTGTTGGCCAGACGTTTTGCTCTGGGAGCCATGGCGGCGTCGAGGGACTGCCAAATCCAGCCACGAAGTCAGAATGAAGGCTCAGGAGCATGCGGTTGAGTCGATGCCAATAACAACCATTCCTGTGGTCAGCAAGATAGATGCTCGTCGCATTCTTGCCTCGCGCCTAGAGCAAAGCTTACGTACTGGCTTTGTTGGTGTACGGAAGACCGTGCTGAATTGGGCGCTGTCGCGGTACGGGCCAGCTCATGAAGCTTTGCCGGGATGTGCTCCGAATGATGTCGAGGTGGGAAGTTTGGATCAAGGTATTTGAGATAGGCCATCAGGGCGTGTCATCAGCCCTAGTTGGACAATTATGATAGACCTTACGTGCTTACGGTGAGGTTGGTGCAGAATGTGTTGGGATATTCAAATGTTTTTGCCACAGTGCTGCGATGGCAACTGCAATTCATCATCATGAGGTGGCAAGAGCGAGGCACAAGCTCAGGGTAAGAACCATGAATGTTGCGTTGGAGATGTATGAACCAAAAATCACAGCTGTTGTCTTATTCAGACGAGGGGTATATGGATATAGTACTCGGGAAAACAGTGCAAATCAAGAACGAACAAGCGAAAAAAATATACAAGATACAGGAAAAGGGTAATCAACATTAATAAAAAGACAAGGAATCCAGCCATGTGATGTCCTGTGCAAACCCATCGGCATTCATACAATAAAAGCAAAAAATTCCAAAGATCAAAGGACCAAATCCAGCCGATGGGTACCCCGCCCCCAAGGTGCCTTCCAGGACTCCTCGCTAGGAATGATCAGTGGTGTAAAATCAAAAACAGGTGCAGGGCGTGGCCTAGCATTGGGTATATAGTGATGAAGTTGTTGTGGTATATGTATGCGGGATTGCGTTTGAGATCGTTTTGTGTTCGTGTTTGTAGTGTTCTTGCTCGCGGATGCTTCAGCAGAAGACAGGTGTGCCCATGTATCCAGCCCAGTCCGTCTTGTCTTGCAACATGATTGGATCATGATCGTGGTTCTTCGTCCTTATCTGAATCCAGTAGAATCTTCGTGATCGTGTTTGTTGTATTCATAGGAGAGTCTTGTTGTACGTGATTTGCCGGCCGTTACGTTGTGTGTTTATACTTCTAGTACTGCCTGGACTGGTCCGGTGCCTGCGTAGTGGGGTATGTCACTCCTCCTGACGTCTGGTAAGGATTGCCTAGATCTGCTTGGTACTGCTGCTGCTGCTGTGTTGAAGCATAGGGCTGTCCAGGCTGCTGCGGGCGAATGGCCAAGCTTGAGTGCGATTGCGGCATGTAAGGACTAGGTTGCTGCGTGTTGCGCATCTCGATAGGGTTGCCTAAAGTCTGGTGTCGGCCAATCTCATGAGCCGGATTGCTCGAAGGTTGCTGCAGGAGTGTCTGAGTAGGGAGAGGTTGGTAGGCTGGCTGTCGGAAGGGTTGGTACTCAAACTGCTGGTTCTCTGGAAGGGCACCGTATGGCTGTTGTTGCATAGAATAAGCGGGAGCTGCTTGGATCATGCCCGATCTTGTGGATGATGCAGGACTTGCGGCAGAGTGCGTCTGTGTGTGCTGTCTAGCCATAGCCACAGGGTCGTGCTCGGTGCTGTAGCTAGACGGTCCTGGCAAGCTGCCGCTGGATGGAATGTACATGGCGGCACCTGAACCTTGGAATGGTGTGCTTGGGCTTGTCTGCGAATGTTGTGCCATGGAGAGGTACGAATCGGTGCTTCTTCGCGAGAAAGCAGGGCCGGATTCTGGTCCTAGTGGCGGTGCAGGCTGCAAACCATAACCTGCAGCTCCTGGACTTGGAGCAATACCCTGCGCGACATCAATACCACCCTTTAGAAACCTCGCTGACGCAGAGGCGGCGCTGTGTGGAGTGTGAAATACCTGGGTATGCGACCAGCCAGGAGGTGCTGTAGGCGTTCGGGAGCCGAAAGATGTTTGCGGCGATTGAAGCAAGGCTTGTTGCTGGAGGCCATAGGGGCCAGGGGGCATGTTCTGCGAAGCTGTTCGAGGGTCGTACGCAAGAGGGGCCCGTTCTGTCATCGAGTAGCCTTGTGGTGGAGCGTGGTCATTGGAGCGATGGCGTTTATTCGGGTCATCGTCGTAGCCGAAGAGAGAAGATCCTGCCTGAGTGTTGGTTCTAGGAGAGTAGGGAAGCGTACGCTTAGAGCTGTGGATGACTGTTAGCGCTGAAATTCCGCTGTATAGTCGCCTTCGTCATACCCAGCTACATTGCGATTCTCTTTGCGCAAGCGCAGTCGCACACCCTGGTCCGAGAATGTCCTGGACAAGTGTGTAGACTCAACAAGGCCCCGCCACTGTTTCTGCTGCACCACATCGAAGGGCTCGGACGTGATGGACTTGAGGAATACGACCTCTCCAGTGTCCCTGCTTGCTGTCAACACTTGTCTAGCGTACTGTTTTGCACTACTCACTTTCTAAGCTCAAACAGACTGAAGTTGAGCCTGTGTCTTCCCAGCACGCGGATCGAGATGTCTCCAAATACGAAGAACCCACCATCTGAGGTCGCAAGAACGATTAGTAACTGGGACAAAAGCATCTGCATCGCAAGTACTTACCTTCATTGTTGATGTCCTTGAGTCTGTGGAGAGAGGAGACGCTCTGGCCAGTGATCTCCTGACCGGCAGCGACTTGTGATGGGGAATTGTCGCTCGAACTAGACTGCTGCTCCACTTGAAGAGTGCATTGCATGAACAGGTATGGACTCTGTAAGAACTGTCTGCGCAGGGGTGTCAGCTCTGCACGAATGCGTCATGCCGCTATCTATACGTACTTTCCGGGGTCCGCATTGGATGTCACTCTCAGCTCGATGATCGGAGGAGGGTCCACTGGTTTTCTATCTGTTCACGGCACCGCAATCAGCAGCCATACTTGGAGTAGTTTGCGAACAGGGGTGGATGCATACTTTTCTCTTTGCCCGCCTGGGTCACGAGGGCTTCATTTGGTTGTTGGCGAACCACGAGCTCATAATCGCCGCTGTGGGACAACATGGTTAGTTTTGTCTGTCGAACCGTGGTAAAACAGATGTATCGCTGTTTTGGGGCTTGGCGCGAGAGTTGGCAGCCTTACCTATCCAGCGCTCGATTGCTGGAGGGTGGTTGCTCTGGCTGAAGATGATATGGATAGTTCATCAGAATCCAGCATGTGAGGTGCTCTCCAACCAAACTGCACTCTCAAGTCGACCTAGCAGGACTTCGTGCTGCGATCCTGCCTGGACTGATGAGAAAGATCGGGAGCTTCCGGTTGAATATTGGTAAGATGAAAGAACCAGTCTCTCGGGTTCCAGTCGAGCAGAGTTGGGGATCCTGACACCAGAGTCGTAGGATGGGACGCGTCTGGCGGGAGTGTCGCGTTTAATTGAATGTGATTCTGACGTATGAAATTTGGACAGGCAGAAATGGATCCTGTCGGGCATCAAGCGCGTGGCGCGGGGAGATGAAAACTTCGTAAAGCTCGCGGAGAAGAACTGTCTCAGAAGTGGTGATTGCGGCTCAGAAGTTTCCATGCGCAGCGACAACAGGGATACAAGATGTTGTGGTCGTCTGTCGTGGTGGTTGGAAGTCCGTAAACGTTAGAATGGCGAAGGTCGCATCCAGCCAGTCGAAGAAACGGTTCGCGTGATCCTTCCTCGCAGCAGGAGTATGCAGCGTCGAATTGGTAGAAGCTATCAGACGTTCAAGAGCGGGTCGGCAACCTTATGGAAGGCTTGCGAGTGACGATGTCAGGACCGCAGAACAAAACCCTGACAGACAGCAAATTGTTAACCACACGTCTTCTCGATCGACGGCGAGATGGTTGCGGGTGGCCTATGGGTGAGGGCTGTAACCGGGACGAGCCAGCGGAACAGATCCGTGGGAGCGTGGTAGTAAAAGCGTGGTTAAATGGCCTGTGCAAAGGACAAGCTGAGTCGAGTCCTGCGGTACAGAGGGCACCAAAGCTTCAGACTGTTGTGTATGTGGGTAAGGGAGTTTGGTTAATGTGGCCTATGCAAGGCGTGGTTCACACGCGCGCGGGAGGGGCAGCGGCCGTCGCGGGCAGATGCAAATTGGAAGCGGCGCCGAGGAGCGGTGCTTGTCGGTGGTAGGCTACTAGCAACTGGCCAAAAAATGAAAAAAGGGCTGAGAAAAAGGGCGGATGCCGAATGGTATTTCTCGTGCTGCGCTACAGTGAGGCCTTGAATCGACTGGTAGCTTCAGCACAAAAGGGCACTAACCGTGGGTGATGTTTGGAAAAGTACCGGCCCTGGGCGCTGGTCGACGATCTGACTGGTTCAAAGTTGCAGTGTTCCCGCGAACGATGTCTTTTTCGCTCGATTCGCTACCAAAGATTCAAAATCCCGAGTCCTTGCAAGCGTCTCGGGAAGGCTTCAGTGCACCCATATAATAACCCCCAAATGCCGAGTCGAACACGGTCACCGGATGTCTTTGAGAACTGACAAAACCTACTGTCTCAGACCTGAGACTAGGGAGAATTCATTCGGAATCAACGTCTTGCCTTATGACTGTGTGGCGGCGATGTTCCAGATGGAAATAACGGTTTTTCGTCAGCCTTAAACACAAAAAAACGATGGTCGGACCTGGAGTTTGGCTGGTGGTTGGTGAAATGAGAAGGGGAGATTGCGATCATTTCACCCGATCAAGCAACAACAGCAGCTTCAAGCCGTCGTGGCATGTTCCTTCAGAAAACGACCCCCCATAAGGAAGCGCAACCAAGCAAGTCCCCAACGCAGCACGCAGCTCAGCGCAATGCAGCACTGCATTACACCGCGCAGCACCCCTCAGTTGCTGCTCCTCCCTCACATGCAAGCATAAAGAGAAGGGCGCCTCGCGCGGCGCTGACCCTGTTCCTCTCCTTGTCGCATCTACTGCTGTTGCTGCTGCTTCCCTTTCGTACAGCTATATCGCATGTACAATTATCATCAGGGCTTGCCTAGGTAATCATCATCAATTAATCGCGTTCTCGGAAATCTCGCCGGGACGCGCGGGAGCTGCTGCTGTCAACGTGGGACGGCGATATGGATTCTTCCTGTCCCGCCGCCCGTGTTCCGTCACAGCACCATGGCTTACCATAATGATATCAGGATTCAGCAGCAGCCAGCTCCAACCTGCCAAGGTGCGGCGCCATCACGTCTGTGTGTCATGCAAGACATGGCCGTTTTGCACCGCGCTGTCCGGTCTCTGCATCCTGACCTGTCAACAGACTCACGACCTGCCTTTGCGCGCTCGGTCTTTCTGTCTCACTGCTTCGCTCATACCTCGTCGCAGCTGAATCAAATGTCGCCTGCTAGACAAAACATGCGGCGACCCTTTTGTGCATCTAAGCGACTCTCGCCATCGCCGTCCATCGGAAGGTTGTGCATCAGGGCCCTTGAAGATAGCGCCGTCCCCTGTCAAAGGACGTCGACATACTGAACACAAAGCGCCACGTTTCCTCGCGGACACGCGCAGTCGCGTGGCATCCTGGCTTACAACCTGCAGGTCTACTGCAGCTCACAAGCCAGGGATTTTTCATGGTTCCTATTCGTCTCGGGTTTCGCAAAGAAAATCAACGGTCAGAGACATTTTGCACTCAAATCTCCACGTGCTTTGACACCAAAATAATTCCGAACTGTGCCTGACGTGCATCCAACCTGTCATTGTGATGGAAGAGGAGTCTTGCGTATTTTTTCGCTATCTACAGCATGTCTTCCGAAACATTTAATTATATCGACAGATGCACGCGTTAATCGCGTCAAAATGGATAAGCCGAGTCGCATCATCATCAGGATTTGCTAAATTTGTAGGTTTATCCCACCGGGTAGCGCTAGAGTCTAACCCGGACAGGGCCTGCATACATACTTAAGCGACTGTCAGGATCTTGAGAGCCTTGTGTCTGTGTTATTTATCACTCTCGCTATCACCACTCATGCATGAACATCACATAAGAAACATGCAGTGTGCTCACCGACAGCTAATCGCTATTTCAAGCATGTATGCATATGTCCTCGGCTTTTCTTACTAGACAGGTTAACGCAACGCTGTTCTAGAGACACGACTGTTGGAAGCGAGGCCGGTTTGGGATCTTTCTCCACAGATACGCATCCTACGTTGATGCTTTTACAACGAGTCAGGACAACAATGTACTTGACTCCGGATTTCAGCTGTGCGGACTCGTCACATCCGCAGTTCATGCAGTATGCAGGGCAATATTTCATATTGCTTGATAGGCGCTCACTCAGCCGTCGACTCGATTGCTAATGGCAATGCACATAACATTTCGTTATACAATGAGCTGCTCCTTGCCTTCCATGGGCAATTAGCAAGATGACACGGATGCACACCACTCATATTCCCGTGTGCCAATTTGCGCCATCTAGATCCGGAAGCATCAACACTTTGTTTCAACTGGGGCCTCCCTCTATGTCTGTAATCTTCCTCTTGCGTACTGCTCCGGCTTACCGCTAGGCGCACATCTCATTGTGCCTAGAACGCTGATCTCGATCAGCACACAAGAAGATGCTGGAAAAGCTTGAAGCAACACTACACGTACACGGTACACAAAGCACGCGGAAGATGCCCGATGGACGACCTGTTAAGCTCAGAAAGTATTGCTGCGCTCTTTGACGGCATTACTCTGAGTCATCAAATCGCCGAGCCTGGCACATCCCACGCGTAAAGGAGGGATGGAAGGTTCTGAATGAAGCGCGTGCAGTGCGTACCTCTCGCGAGATACATGCTTATTTTGTGCAACTCTCGGTCGCCGGATGTATCTGACCGTCGGCCGGCAGGGCGAGCTCTTCATGCGCTCTCGTGTTCGGGAGCTTCACCTATCCTTCCATGCTAGTTAGCACAGCCCTGTAGATGTCTCGAACACTATTCAGCTGCGACTTTGCGCAAAGCAGAATAAATGTCCATGGCTGTTGAATCGACTATGGCGACACTCTTCGGCAGCAGAACCTTAAACGCGCGCCGCGCTGCCGAAGCTGATTGGCGGCGTACGTTTGAGCGAGCCTCGGTGCGTGGTCATGCTGGTGCTGTGGAGAACTTCTGACGTGGAGTCCAACGTTTGCACATTTTCCTTCGTGCTCGCTGTTTTTGCGATTATCCACCAGACAAGCGCCGCCATATGTCTCATTATTTGATATTCTGCGACAAGTCTACGTTGTCGATCCGGTACGGCGTGTCTCTGATCTTTCTCTTCTACGACAATAGTCGCCGACTATGAAGCCCGAACCGTTTTCTGGAAGGAAAGAACGGATCATTACTCGTAATCCCTTCGGCTTTGGAACCAAGACGTAGGACCCTCATGTCTTGAATCCATCGCTGCGAGAAGCGCTTCTTCGATAGGAAGGAGGCGTCTTGAGTTAACACTACAATATCAGCTCCAAGGACCGATTAGGATGTGCTTGTCATCGATCATTTCTCTTTATGGAGGCGCTTCCCTTCATTCGTCTCCATACACGTGGCATCCGAATTCCGAGATCAGCCAGCCTCTTGCGCAAAAGTCATCATATGACATGCTAAGCCTCGCTATCATGGGGGCTTGCGCGTGAAGTTGCACAGCATGCAATTGACTTTATGAGCATGCCATAATATATCTGACACGAAAACCCTAGCCAACCTACCAGAACCGTCTTGTGCGACTGATATGTCTTTGTCCTATCGTGCCGTGCCGGCGACGTCACGTACCAATGAACTGCACAAAGCGTGTACGAGTAGCTTCCGGGTGCAACAATGGAATGGGACCTCGGCCCGTCCGAACAGGCAAACCGTGAGGCTTCAAGTCTCAGACATGAATCAAGAGTCGTTGCGATAGTGGGAGTCATTTTATCCAGTGTTCAGCGTCACTCCAAGCTCTGAACACGATTCGAAGTTCCAAGATCGAGCCATGTTGACTAGTGCCACCGACTTGGCGTGCAGCCACCTTCATCAGCCAGCAGCCAGCTTGAAGTCTCGTTTACGGGTCTGGGCTAGGCAGAAACCACCAAAGTGCCATCTCAAATTATGCGCCGCTGCGTTTGATGAGAAGGAAGCTCTTGTTGTGAATAATCTTAGCAGTGGTCAGCTGAGCAAGCCTTTCCGTACTGACATGAGTAATGACCCCTGCTGAGACCTGAGTGCTGTCAGGGTCCTCTGATAGCTCCATACCGTACGGGTGTGCGCGTCACAAACCGTCTTCACCCATGGTTCTGACTTGCTTCTTGTGTTGAACTTTGTCATAGACACGACGTTTCCAGGACTTGGGCTCAAGCCACAAGGTTTACGTACATGAAGGACAAGACTCTTTCCGGACCACGGACTTGCTTGCGAAAGTGCGCGGAGTCCTGTCTTTCAGCCAGTGGTCTTATCTCGAGGGCTTTGTATGTCTCTACAGCTCAACTCACAAGCCCTAGCACTCGGTAAGGCACAAAGTACTCACTTCCACCAAACGAAGACGAAGTTTGGTTCAAGGAGATTAGCACACAGATCGGAAACGGCCTGATCGCGGGAAATTAAAGGGACGCAACTGGTCGTCACCATGATCACGACAGCTTTTGATTCAGATCTTTCCACAACGCAAACGAAGAAAACTGCCATCTGAACCCCGCGGCTCGGCCAGATAACCATCCACATGTTCCATGCCGGCATCATCCACTATCGTCGTCTCAAAGTTAGACCATATCGCCGCCACAATTCCCTTCATCTCCAAGACTGCCAGATTGCTTCCGACACACATTCTTCCGCCAGAACCGAAGGCCCAAAACCATCGTGCTTTCTCGCCACCACCATCCACACCACCTTTCTCATCGAGCCAGCGCTCGGGGCGCCAGCAGCCTGGCTCGGAGAATACTTCGGGGTTTCGATGGAGTGAGTGCGCTGCTGAGACAACTCGTACACCGGCTGGAATGCCGTGGACTTCGGCACCTGACGGGCCCAATGTGGTGTTTGCTGGTGTCACTCGAGGCTGTCCTCCAGGGATTGCAGCGTGTAAGCGCAGGGTTTCCATCACTACTGCGTGGAGCAATGGAAGGTCATCAATGTCCTTCAGGGATGGCAAAGATGTGGCAGACTCCTTGGTCGTCGTAGGGCAATTCAGATGCAGCGAAAGCAGCTCCTTTCGCAGCGCTGATTGTATTGCGGCGTTGCAAGGACGACTAAGCTCCCAAGCCAGGTAGGTCAATGTGATTCCAGATGTGTCAAACCCAGCCGCAAGATGGTCCAGCATCTCAGAAGCTAGGTCTAGCCTCTGCTCTTGGCTGAGCTGGTTGTCTCGGTTCTCTGTGCTCTTTTGCTGCTTCTTGAGCATGCCTCTCAATTGACCATACACAGTGGGGTAGTACCGAGCAGATTCTGTAGCTTTTCCGGACAGTATCGCGGCTTCCGCGGCATCGCACCACTCCAAGCATTGATCCTCGATAGCCACGCTCTTCCGACCCACCCAGTCCGGAATCAACCATTGACCGAACCCGAGTTTTGAGAAGAGTTGGAAGACATTAGGCATCTCCTGGATCCAGAACAGGTATGGCTGGCGACTCTTGTAGTCATGGAGCCATTTCGCGCCAACCTCGGGGTCGTCTGTGAAGTTGCTTCCTTGCTCAAGACCAAAGATGTACGCGGTCACGACATCCAGAGTCACGGCAGAAAAGAGCTCGTAGGCTTCCAAGACACCTTCGGGAGCAGCGGAGATCCTGCGAAGCATGCGATGGCACAAGATTGTGTCGCAAATCTCGCGAACTGCCGGCGAGGCTTGTAGTGACGATTTGGCGTAGACATTGCTGATCATGCGCTTGCGTGCGGAGTGGACGTCTCTCTTCTCCATGGAGAACATGTTGTGTACTCCTCCATATGCTGAGAAGGCGTTTGAGTACCACCCGCCCTTCTCGAATCCTCCGGTGTACACCTTGCAGAGACCTTGTTAGCGAATGTTGGGATATATGACAACGGTCATCGCGAAGACGCAAGAGTATGGGTCGAACAACCGCACCAGAGTTGAGAATCCGCTTCATTGAGGACTGTGTCGGCCATCGAAAGACAGAGTGTCCTTGAACATGCTCGCCGCATCCCTTGAGCAGGGAGCAGTTGCTTCAAGAGCTTCTTTGATAACGCGCCTCATCTTCGAAAGCTTCGCGTATTGTGACAAGCGCATCTTGCGGACCCTACGTGCGCGTATTGTTCCAGGTCACGCCCTACCTTATCTGTCAACAGCCTTGATGGTCAACCGTGCTACGACGCTCGAATGAAGGGAAACTCAACTCTGCGCAACCTTCACAGCCCTACGTCAAGCTCATACATATTGGCAACAACATGACTCACCGTTCTAATGCCTCCATTGACACAGTTCACGCTTATCTCATTGGGACCAAGACGAATCAAAGGGCCAAGTCGTTCATGTGCAGCAAGCACAGTTGCGTTCTCCCTGCCGCACCATCGTGCCCATAAAATCCATGCAGAACTCAACGATGAGGTTGGATGAGCTGCTGGTATCTTGGACAAAGGAGAAATGAAAATAGGCCCGATGATGAAACGGTATACAACAACAGAGAAAGCATACAAGATGGCTGCTCCCAGCACAGCAGGGATCAGCATCCTGGTAAGTACAGACAATGGAGATGTTGATGGATGAGTGAGGAAAGGAGAAATCGAGTCGAAACAGCTCGCTCCGGAGGATGGCGGGGTCGATCAACGAATCAGAACGTCCCGAAGACCTTATGACTGTCTTTATTCTCTCCCAGAGATCCGACCAGTCACACAGATACACAGTCATTTCTGGGCCAAAGATTCATTCGTTGTGCGACTTTTCACCAATCAGTGACCTCTCCATTGGGATTGTGCTTGATGTACAACAATTTCTGTCACAGATGACTCAAATGTTCCATATGTTGAAATGGTGCTCTCGCCAAGAGATAAGATGATTGGTGCCTTCCAGAATTATATATCATTACGTCAGTCCAATGCGATTTCCTGAAGAAGCACAACATCATGAATCTCGAAAACCAGCATCTCAGCGTGCGACTCAAAGACCGGAGGATGTCCACGACTACACTGGCAGATCTGCCAGTCGAGCTTTTGAATCAAGTCGTCTCACACTGCCCAGCCACTTCGGTGGGACACCTGTCAAGGACATCCACATCCTTACACGAGTTTGCGGAAAAGGAAGGCTGGCGAACATTTACGCAGACTCATTTCCCGAATCTGGGACCATCGTCGTATTGGCGGGATGCTGCGCGCTCTTTGACGACCCTGTCGCGCAACTGGCAACGCCGGGCATTTCTTGCAACATATCTTACACCTTCAGGCGATGCCACTGCACTGCCCGCTGGACAAGCTATCAAGAAATGGAGGCGGCCGGCTGGTCAGACTATGGGTTTTCAGCCTGCAGTCGATAGTTATGAACAGTTCACCGGCAGCCGTTGGGTAGACCGACGACAAGTCGTTGCATGGAGTGCAGGCGCAGAGCTTGTGGTGCGTGTGAAGGTGAGAGACGCATCAACAGAAGAGGCATATCGAAATGCAACACCACAAGAAAGATTGGACAAGTTCGAAAACAATGGCACGCGAGTGCGGTGGTGGACTTACAAGCCACTGAGCAGCGTTGAAGGGCGCGACGACATCACCAGTGTACGGATACTCAAGCGAAACGACCAGCCATCGCGCAGCAGTATCGACAGCAGCGAACAGATCATCATCGGAACTGCCAACGGAGATCTACAGCTTGTAGAAGTGCCGCCTGTAGAGGACAGCAGTGTCATCAAGACTTATTATGTCACGAATGGCGTTTCGGTGCGATCAGCATCATTGTCGACAGATGTTGAAGCTACTCAGGACCAACCTCAGCATTTGGCGGCTAACCTATCAGATTCGCGGATTGCTCTGTATCAAGTAGACCCCGCTCAGTTCAAGATTGCGCCAGTCAGCGAGATCAATGCCATGCCACAGCGCCATAAGGGTTGTCGCATCTGGTCAACAAAGTTCCTAGACTCAAGCCGCCTGGCTGTCGGCTTAGGGCCATCCGTGGAACCTATCAACATCTTCGAGATACGTCCCGAGGGTATTGTCGAGGAACATATGAGAAAGATAGGTCTGACTGGGAGTGCGGATGAGTTGGACCAGGTCAAAGCCTCCTCGATATATCCAATCGAGCCTTTGCTGGACAGCAATGGAGGCAGAAACGGGAATTTGTTCCTCAGCGGTGGCTACGATGGCATTGTGAGACTGCACGATATGCGTTCACCATCGCCCTTCACTGCTATCTACCATGATCCTACAGATGACGCCGCCATCTACTCTCTTCTTTCTCGAGGCAGAGATCGTGTTGTAGCTGGTGCTTCACGTCACGGGTTGCTCAAGGTGTTTGATCTTCGAATATCAGGAGGCAGCGTGTACGATTATGCTGGAGTATCGGACACAAACGACTCATCCACTGGAGACTGGAACATCTTCATCAACCCTCGCGATAGATACGTCAACTCGGCTTGGAGAGGACCAAACAGCTGGATGCGCCGAAGTGCCGAAGGTTCTGTCTACAACCTGTCATCGCCATCACCAACCTCCCCATTCATCTTTGCAGGAGTGGAGAACGCCGTTGTTGAGTTCAACTTCTCCTCCGTGCTCGACAAGCACCCAGATCCAATCTTTCTCGGCAGCTCCGTCGGGAAGAAGGATAGACGGGACAGTGTTTCTTCTTATCTCCAGCACAAGCAAGATATCCTCAATCTGGCCATGTATTCCCAGGGCACAGACGGCTCGAGAGAAGCCATGAAATTACGTACTCAACGCAGTGTTGAGGAGACGCTCGGTCAGGATATCAATCCTGCTGGCCTAGATGAGCGTTGGAAGGAGAACCAATAGAACGGTATACGAGTCAGGGCAGAATCACGAATACCAACAACACGGCTCGGTCGCCACTACTAGAAATGGACTTTGCATTTAAGCCTCGGTTCAGGGTGTGTACGACGAAAACGAGGATGCATGCCTAGATACAGCAGCCTTTTGCTCCCGCCGAGGTTCTGTGTTCGAGTATGACTCCTGCACCCTCTCATCCGACCATCTCCATCCATCCATCCCTGCCTCCCCTGGTCGATCATTATGCAATTACTCTTCTGGTGGGTGTGCACCCATGTACCTTGTACCAATCGGCAGGTAGAAAGAAGGTTGAGCGATCTCAAAAGCTTATGCGGGGATCGACAATGTACATCAATGACTCGGGCAAAGGCCTATCTAGATGTAACTTGTCTACATCTCGAATCAATGACTGTTGTTATATCGTATGCCGATGTTTTCCAATGAATGTCTAGACAGCATGCCGCGAACCCTACTGCTGCTGCACAAGCCTACGTGCTAGCGGTGAGATGGTCAGATACTGCAGCTAATATGCATCCCAACGACCCCGTCCCATGAACTATGTCTACCGACAAAACTATTCTACCAAGCACCATCATTCAAGTATGACTTTAATCGACAGATACCTCAGGTGAAGTATCTATGTTTGTCATACCTTATCTCTCTTGCAAATCAGATGAGATCTTCTTGGCCCCTTATTACGTCTTCAATGCTAGTCAACCAAGATTTATCTTGTCATGAAGGGAACGATGCGCTTCCTCCCGTGACTATAGGCCAGATCACTGCTAAAGGCTTGCGTGGTGTTGTGAAATGGTGCATCACTTGGTTGGCTTTTTGGTGCATGGGCGTGTAATGCAGGCATAACGTATGTCCTTACGACGAGTGGATGTTCTATGTGTCAGGCTGGATAGATCTAAGTGACTTACTGACGACTGTCTCTATTGTCATTGTCGAGCTATTGCCTTGCTTGCCAAATGATTGTTTCCTCTGATGGCTGTGACGTGCCTGGTCAGCTGCTGCATACAAAGAGCTCGAGTTCCGATTACGACACCGATATTTGTCAAATTTCCTGTTGATTCCTAGGCTTTCGTATGTGACTTTGATCAGTTCTGATGTTTACGCATCATATCATGTCCATGAGAAGCGGCCTGAAGACAGGGTCACAGATTCAGCTTCCCTCTCGCTCTCCTTCTTAGCATGAAATAGTTCAATTCCGGGATTCTGATGATTACGCCTTCAGAAATATGTATCTTGATCCAATTTCCTGCTTTCAGCATACAGAAAATGAGGTTTGAGCTTGGTTGTTGTTTTTGTCCGTCAGCATCGAGAGGCGTCTGGGAGACAGGGTGCTACCCCTAGCAAGTATGGCTGAAACATATCTTGCGATGAGACAACGACATCCATCTCGTCTGGTCTGTGACCAAGCTATGGACGTTTTCAGTGTACAGTACTATGACACATCTGGGTCTTAAGTTGATCTACTGGCTGTTGCGATCGTAATGAATAGATCTATTAGTTTAATCGTTTACGTTCCGAATGGCCACTGGAAACTTATGACAATGACCCAGCTTTCTCAATTACAGCATAAATACCACAAACAAGCAATAAACGTGCAATAAACAAGCAGCCAAAGAAGCGGAAACAATCTATAGACCACGAAGAGCTCTTGTTGATCATATCGCATTGCGAAACTGCAGATGTCGTTGTCATCTGCTTCGAAAACTCAAGAGACAGGGTGTGACTTCCAGCAACGCCACTAGGTCCCGAAGACGCGATTCACACGAAGAACATTCTCGTCAAAAACATCATTGAGAGCACCTAACCAAGGGAACCCGAAGACGCGACGCAGGAACTCTGGAATGACACATGAGTACAGAAATACAAGTCTTCAAAGTGATGGCGATGACAATGATGGTAATGATGATGACTACCACGGCGCTGATGATCATGACGAAGATGATAATGATGATGATGGTAATGATGGTAATGATGATAATGATGATAATGATGAGGCTGCTGATGATGGTGACGGCTGCCGAAGTTCTTGATGTATGTGATGAAGGTGACAAGATTACACGGTGATGCCATCAGGCAAAAGCAGTCATTAATAATGACCGATCTCGCACCGCTCCTTCCACCAAACCACGCAAGCTGTTCGCGCGACTTGGCTAAGCAAGGCCATTACGATCGCATTCAATGCGACAACACAAAGACCCATCGTACAAACGTGGTAGACGCGATTCACGCGACGAAGGATCGATGCGTGTTTGGGAAGCATAGAGACAATGCTAAACTGTAGATACACATGTGGATCTCGAATGATGGCCAATGATCACCGGAGGGTGACTCTCATCCTACAGCCTGCTCTGTGGATACACAGTCGCATTCGTATACTTCGATGCCCTATCTCTGCAGACACGATGGAGTCATGGACGGACACCGGATAAAAACAAAAGCCGGAGGCAGCTCCATCGCACTTGATTTGCAATCCACAGCCTCCCATCGAAGAAGCTGCGAAGGACCACACGATGCTTGCATATCACCGAAAGAACGAAAAACATAGCATCCACGAAGAACCACACCCCCTGTCTCGGAGTCTCGACCGTGGAACTCGCTGTTTGTTCCTCTTCGAAACGTCCGCAGAAATCCGACAGACTTCGCCACAAAACGTTTTTTTGCGCAGGGTGGAGCTGATCGTGAAAGGGCTTGCGAGGGCTTGAATCACGACTCTGTGTTGTTTACTCATCATGGTATACTCGAGTAGAGTTGAACCGTCTTGCGCCGAACGTGGAGCGTGTACTCGAGACATTTTTCGAGCTTCTCTTGAGTCGTGGTATCTGCAGGCGGCTAAAGGAACGCTTGTTCTTGCTGTTCGGAAGAGCGAGACTGCGAGATGGACACTTGAGATCATACAGTGATCAAGCACAATTGTTTCGTCAAAAGAAAACGATTGAAGAAGCCTTCGATATACTTTGACTGCATAATAAGCAGCTGCGCTCTAGACTCGACGCCCATAGAGACACTCGAGCGAGAGCGACTACGCCACATACCACAGGCACAACACGATGGTCATAAAGAATCGTAAGATGCACCATGATGTACCTGCTAAATTAAGCAAAGTTTAGGCACGGGGCTTGGGCGGAAGAGATCTAGGTACCCCTCGGTGCGGAACATCACTAAATCCGCCGAGCTTTAGACTTTCTTGAGGGTTCTGACGGTAGTATTCTACCTCCTGAGCATAGTTCGTGTGAGTCGAGACTGGGAAAAGGTTGCTCTTGTACAAGATTCTACAACGACATTGACCTGCAGATAACAATCGAAGCTTATAGGTGAAGGTAATGAATACCGACAGCCCCTGATCATCCAAGCATACAGTATCATTAGAGTATTAGGGTTGCGGGATGAGAGCATCTAGTAGTGAAGTCATGCAAGGTACGCGTTTACGGATGAATCGGAAAAAAAAAAGTCGTCCTCTTTCGGCATTGTCGCTGTATTCGTCAGGAAGTGCCATACCAACTTCGGCGCCGAGAGACGGTATATCTGCTTGTTCGAGCTGCAAACCAAAGAAGTTGACCCTTGCAACGCAGATCCAGTCTGAAACGAGGAGCTGAGGTCAAACATGAATCGAGTTTACATCAATGTCTTGGACATGTGTGGATGCGCAACATCATGTCAAGACGCGCTGTTGCCCTGAACTGACACATGAAGCCCACTTCAGGGATAAGGTGTCGACATTGAACAAATCAGAAGAAGGCCACCGAAAACCCAAAGATCCATCTCTGAGACAGTGTCTCGCAGTATCCGAAGGAGTCAACGGCTGGATCCTTGGAGTAAGGGTTCTTGGCACATATCAATAGTTGGCAAAGTCTCCCTATGTTGATCGATGGCCAGAAGAGTCGAAGAAAGACTTTTACGATAGATCGAGAGTCGACAGCAGAATTGATAATACAGATCGCTGACACAACAACTAGGGTTGATACGAGAAGTGGCAGAACAAGCAACTTGCAAAGTGAACCATCCATGTGGCAGGGACTGTTAGCGAACTTCCAACGTTTCCGTGAACAGTTGAAGCGGTTAACGTGACTGTTTGCAGGGCGAAACATACGGTTATGGAGACTCGCTTCGGCAGCTGAATAGAATCATTCTTGTAGGCATCTGCTTGGCAGCGTCAGTAGAGAGGAGTTCGCATGAAGGCAGCACGATGCTGCAGACTACAGATCAAGATCGATTACGCCAATGTCTCAGACGTGGAGGTTACCCCAGAGGGCTCGCCCATGCCGACTGATCCATGGACCCATAGCCAAGAAGACATACTGCTTCACTGCGCCCAACAGTTGAAGAAGAAGGATAGAGGCGTTCGGGTTGCTTTTTGTCGCGAGTCGCGATATGCACGTGTGATCGATATGCGCCTCGTCGAATCGAACCACCAGTGTTGGAAAGACGATTGCTTTCGAGCGTTGGCCTCTTTTCCGTGCACGCGGTAATATCGCTCCGGGAGATCGCCAACGGCTTTCGAGTAGCTGGCCCCCCGTCTTCCTTTCCCCCCATTCTTCGCATTCACGACCAAACCAGACTGTATAGTAGTCATTGTGTGCAATATAGCATGTCATTCGAAGCTAAATCATCTTGTGAGACTGTACAGAGCGTATCTTGTTGGGCTTAAATCAGATCATGAAGAATAATTTCAAGGACAATATGGTAGCAAGGCAATTTCATCAGGGTAGCGTCGAAGGCGGGGGCTTGAGCACCAAGTGGCCGTGCAAGTAGTCGGCAACTGCTTCCTCGAGGAACATGAAGATTCCTTCTTCGTTTTCACCTGCTCGGACCGCTCGACGTTGGCCACGAGAAATCACACCGTCGAAACTAATCAGCCGATCCGTTGAAAATGATCCAGATGTCGGTAACAAGATCCAACTCGTGGTGGCTGTTCATGGAATCATGGCGCAGTGCAACCTGCAGTACGATGCCTGGACGTCTGCCAAAGACAAGCAAATCTTGGGAGTGCAAGCCATACCGCCGCCGCCTTCAATAGTCTGATGGCCCCGTCTTCTCGAATTCCAAAAGATTAGGCTCGGGCGCCGAGGAACCATCCCTGAAGCAGAAGGAGATAGCATAGTAAAGCCGAATCGAGGGTCCCGACGTCTGAGACATACCAGAGGACTGGGCCGTCACCGTAATCATAGCGTTTTCCGACCATGAGTTTATGCTTCCGGCTCTGGGGCAAGGATCTCTGAGACCACCAAGCACTGTTGATGTCAAAGCGCACAGCCCTCATGCTATGCCAAATGCCTACAGCCACGAGTAGCCGCCATCATCCAGCAAAGGTATATATCTAGCCTTCGTCTTCCTCCATAGCACTCTCTTTTCATTATCAGCATCTCAATCATTCTCTCATCTTCTACACTCTCACCCAATACACTCTCTTCAAGCAATCATCCACTCTCTATAACACCCAATTATCAATCACATTCCTGATCATCTGATCAATATGCGCACTGCCGCAGGTTTCCTGTCGGCTGCCGCCCTTGCCGGTCTGGCAGCTGCTTCTCCCGCTCCTCAGCAGCTTGACTTCAATCTGCTTGCTGCTGCTCCTACTGTCCAGACTGCTCCTGTCTTGAACGGTATCTCCAACCAGACTGTCACCATTAGCAGCTCTGCTATTGCCCAGTCTATCTCTGCTGCCGTTAGCACCACCGCTACTGCTGTCTCGTCTGCTCCTGCCCAGGTTGTCAACAAGCGCAGTGTCGAGAAGCGTGATATTTACAACTGGTGGAACTGCTTCTTCTTCGGTACCCAGTGTGGTACCAGCTCATCCACCACCACCAGCGCTGCCAAGGCTACCAGCACCAGCAGCACCAAGACTTCTTCCTCCTCGGCTGCCGCCTCCACCACTGCTGCTGCTGCTGGTTCCTTCTACTTGAAGGATGCCTACAACAACTACCTTGGATGCGCTTCTGGACAAGACGGTATTGCTAGCTACGTCTCCAACAAGGCTTCTGCTGTCACCTTCACCATTGACAGCAAGACTGGCTACCTCTACGAGGCCGGCCAGGCCTATGCTGCCAACGTTGGAACCAGCGTCAACCCTCAGTTGACCTACTTCAGCACCATCTCTTCCCTCTACAGCTTCATCACTTGCTCGCAGAACACAGCCCAGGGTTGGTTGGAGTGCAAGGCCAACGGTGTCTTCCAGCAGGCCATGACCTGCAACAACGATGGTAATCTCTACTTCGGTCCCACTATCCCCTTCTGGTGCTCCTGGGTTCCTCTCTACTACGTTCCTGTCTCTGCCGCCTCTTCCAGCTCCTCCAGCTCCAAGGCTGCCTCGACTTCTTCAGTAGCCTCCTCTTCCTCAGTTGTTTCCAACTCCCGCTCCAGCTCTTCGGCTGCTGCTTCGTCGACCTCTTCCGGCTCTGCCACCGTCAACACTGTCTCCGGAACCAGCTCTTCCACCACCGCATGCCCTACTACTCCTGAGGAGGGCACCTACTGTGGATTCATCAACCCTGAGGACCCTTGCGCTCCTCAGCCAGACGGATACGGCCCCAAGGTTACTCCTGACACTGCTTCTGCCTTCCTTGCCTACGCTCCCTTCCACAGCATGGCCTCTGCTGCCCCTACTGTTGTCCCTAGCAACAACACCGCCATTGGAGCAGGCAACGCCTACCAGCAGACTTTCCTTGACCTGAACGCTTCTTCCAGCGCCAACTCTTACCTTGGTCTCTACACCTTGACCTCTTACAGCGTTGCCGACTGCGCTGCCCACTGCGACAGCACTTCTCTCTGCACTGCTTTCAACATCTACATCGAGCGTGATCCTAGCCAGAACCCCTCCAAGAACGACTCGACTGCTCCCACTGTCTGGGGTTACTGGTGCCCTAACCCCTCGTCCATCACCAACTTCAAGTGCACTCTCTGGGGTTCCAACCTTGATGCTTCTACTGCTACCAACCAGGGCGAGTGGCGCGAGGACTTCCAGGTTGTTGTGACCGCCTCCAACGGATATGATGCCACCAACACCACTCTTCCTCCCAACGTTGTTGACACCACCAACACCACTGTCTCTACTACCAGCATTGCCTCATCGGTCTTGTCCAGCGCTACTCCTGTCTCCAGCAAGTCTTCCAGCACTTCTTCCAGTACTTCTTCCGTTGCTCCTTCCGCCACTGCCTCTTCTGGCCCTACCTGGAGCGGCCCCAAGACCTGCGGTGGCAAGGCCATCAACGCTCCAAACTACTGGATGGGCTCCAAGTTCTACCCTGGTCCCTTCAACCCTCAGGTCTGCGCCGACTACGCCGCTTACCAGCACCTGCTCAACAAGCAGGCCGCTATCGCCGCTGGCCTGTCCTACTTCACTCCCTGCAACAGCTTCAACGCCTACTACCTGCACAAGAACGGTATCCCCCACGGTACCTACTGTGCTCTGTACGATGCTAGCATCAGCACCAGCTACGCTACCTACACCGGTGGCTGGTCTGGCAACGACAAGTACGACTGCAGACAGTCTTACCAGTACACCCGCCAGACTCTTGACCAGGGCCGTTGCTAGATCAGCAACTCCACCCTGATTGAGATCTGACGAGTTTACAAAAAGACATGTATTCATGAGTTTTACCGAGCGATATAGACAGCGGGCGCGTACGGGACCCTTTGACAGCACCGGGGTTTTTTTCTTCTTCTTTTCTTGTTTGATACTTTACTGCTTTGGATCTTTGAGAATCTGATTTGAAAATTGTACATACATACCAAAACCACTTTTTTCACACACAATTACTACTTCTCCGACTTTGATCTGTGACCTTGCAATCAGACCCCTCTCAGCTTCCAGACCCTCGGGACCCTCATGTTTCCAAATTCTCAAAAGGGTCGTATTGTATCATGCTTCGAACGCCACAAGCAAGCCCCAAATCGATAGAAGCAACGGCGAAGGATGCAACGAAGAAAACTTTAAGCCTTGGCACTCAGCCCTACCTCATTATTTCCTATCTGTCCAAGTTTTTTTTATCTCCCTTCTGCTTTGGTCGAGGTAAGACATTACGGGGTGACCGAAGTAGCGCTCACAAGGACGTTTTGAGGTAAGACATTTTGCTGTTATGTGGTGATGACATGTCTTAGACTTTCGAGTTCGTATTCTTGACGGGTGGTATGCGGATGACGTTTTTGCGAGAAAGTGCTTTGGACGTGTTGGTTTTATTTTGAGGTACGAAAAAAACTGGGTTTGCTATGCGCATTCGTTGAAGTCTACAGATTCTCATGCTCAGAACTTTTGCGCTAAAGCACAGTGTACGACCAAGTTGCGTAGAGAGTCCGAGTTGTCGAGTCCGAGGTTGCCGGCATATTCCAACCTCAATTGCTCTGGCGTGAGCTTTGTGAGAAGCGACTTGATCGTTGGCTCAAGGGCAAAAGTTGACGAGAGCGAGACTGCTTGGTCGTCTACTTGATGCTGGGAATGCACTACACCAAGCCACTCTTGCTCTGTTTTCGCTTCCCAGGCAGCGGACGAACAAGGCAGAGGCATGTTCCATTCCATCTCATCATTCAGCGGTTCGTAGTACGGCGAGGCTTCACCAGTTTCAAGGTCCTTGCTGGCAAAATGATTGACAATGTGTGCGAGGAAGACTGTTCTGCGCGCAGTCTCTCCAACTAGCCATGTCACCCATGCTGATGAAACTGTCCCGTATCGAGTAAGTGAGTCATTGCTCAGTGCCGCTGATGGATCTGTGGCTTCCGGGTGTGATTGGTAGAACCGGCGGGTCATCTAGCAGCAATTAGTTTGATTATACGATAGGAACAAATAAAGCATGCGACTTACTTTTAGCACGACAGGCAAGTTTAGACCTCTCGTCCGCGGACCCAGTTTCCAATCATCGTTGGTCATGTCTGAGTGGTCAGGTACTTCCATCATCTCATAGAGCCACATGGCATGAAGAGAATCCCATTCTTCAAGGCAAGAAGTTTTCGGCTGCACATATGCGTCAGCACTGGAAGTTGGCAGCTTGGAGGTGACTAGAACTTACGAATCCTTCGATGAGACGCTGACGCTTCGCAGAGATGACACGTCTCAGAAAGGATATGTTACTGTTGTTGTTTTTGGCAATGCCGTGATCTCTGGATTAGACATGTTATAAAGTTCATGATGTAAAAGAGGAGTATGATAATCAATGGAAGCTAGTAATGCCGGGTAATTGCGCAGCATTCGTATCACTTTGTCGATTTGTAGAACACAAGGAGATTCGTCGATTGCTCTGAAGGCTTCTCGACTACCAAGAGATATTGCAGGCGTTATTGGTGCAGCTATTGGCGCTGTTGGATCGGGTAGCGTAACATTCCATTGCAACCACTCTGATGACGCCCCTTGATCAACGATGTTTTGGATGGGCCGCTGATCAATAGGTCCCGTGGAGAACGGCGTAAAAGCTAGGTAAGACCCATCCTGCATGATATCCATATCATTGGGTGTCCAATTGGCGGTTTGGGCTGTCCAAGATGGGTTCGACGTTGAAGTGGTAGCAACTAAGCCATCCAGTGATACGGTTGTGTTGGTTCTCATGACATTCTCATCAATGTCGTTGTTATGTTGCAAGTCTAGAGTCATGAAATCCGGATTCTGTGATGCCGAGGAACGGCGAATCACATATTCGCAAACTAGATTGCGTGCAGTACACCGAGAACAAGTCGGCTGTCTCAGGCAACACTTTGATCTAGCTTGTACACACGCGCTGCAGGCCTTCCTTTTCGACGTAACCTTGTTCGGTTTGCAGTGACGTCTATGTCGGACTAGTAGATCTCCTACAACAGGCATTTAATCAGTCGTGATTCCTTGAAGAGCCGTACATAAGATGTCGTACGTCGCCTATACGTTTTGTGGCAGAGGTCACACTCATGCTGATCATCTACACTAGTAGACTGCATGATGAACTCAACCTCAGATAAGAGCTTGTTCAAATATGTCTGCCATCTTGAGAACAGCCAAGGACAACGACATGGTAGAGCGAGGAGGCTTATCTCAGCAGCCAGATCAAAATGACAAGCTATAGCTTAGCTAAACCTGAAGACCGCCAACGGCATGAAGTGTGATGCAACAACATAAATCGAGAGTCTGGCAGCTACAGAATGGATGATGATGATCAGTTGTTCAAGGCATGTCATGTGTGCTACTCAGCATTCTAATCGCCTGGACGCTGAAGCAGACGGAGTTGCGACGACTGATGCCCCTCCAGCTTGTTCCCGAAAGGAGCAAGGCGCCGGGGAAAATTGGTCAGGGTCCAGCCTGTGCTTAGTCATCACGTGCTCCACGCAGTTGCCTGCTTCCAGCCATCTCAAAGCGCCTTCCACAACTATCGGACTTTGAAGACGCCGTATAAGAAGTCACTCAACTGCGGGTTCATGAACGCGCTTGTTGTTTCTGTGGGCTTTCAATTTATGCCGTTCCGTAAAGCAGTCTGAGCTCAGCGATGAAAGGTCAAGTTCAAATGGCTATGGTCGAGATAGCCTGACAGAATGCACGAATACTATTAATTTCAATATTTATGAGCACCTCTGACAGACAGAGGTCCTTCAACCACATGTCAGATTAACTTCAGCAGCACCGTCATGACATAGCGGAGGAAGAATGCTCATACTGCACAGTCGGAGTAAAGACGTCCTCCTCCGGTGACTCCCATTGTGTATATAAAGAGGACTCTGGACACTCATAAGTTACCCTGTTGCATCTGCAAGATCCTTTAGCCCTTGCAACTTTTCTGCTGTTCATATGATCTTTGGCCTACGAAATCTGCACGGCGTTGCTGCATATATTGTGCGTCTGAATTGGGTAAGTGCCATGCCAAACACTAATCGAGTATCATCAAGGCTCGTTGCTTGAGCGGATCGTACACATCAAATTTGCCCTTGTAAGACAATATGCTAACAAAGCCGGACAGATCTTCACTCTGCCATCTGTTCGATCATACCATCTCGCATCTGCAACAATGTCACCCATACTTGGCACCCAACCCTTTCAAGTCACGGGTCTGCAGAATCTTAGCATCGGACGTGCTCTTCCGCATGTACCAACTGGGCATGACGGGTCCACTATAGTCAAAGGTACAGGCTGGTCCCTACCGTCTGGAGCATACACAGCCCGTCAAATCGTTGAAGGCTGTGCACCACTGCTCGAGACTGTACTGCACCACCTGAGCCCTTCACCACCAAACCAACCTTCAGCTCGCGAAATGCTCTTGGACAATCTAGCTTCCAACCTCGCTCTTGGCACTCGCGAGTCCAGTCTCGAGGTTTCTGCAAAAGATGCTAGCCGCAAGGAGTTCGCAGCTCAAGCTGTCAAGATTGGCAAGACTCTTGTCACTTATGCTCGCGAGACAAAGGATGTCTCTTTCGACCCTGACTATGCTATTCGTAGCCCTTGTGAGGGACATCTACTGAAACCTGCAGTCACGCTATTGATGTTTGGACCTCGTAGCTTGGGTCACCTAATGCAGATGTACAACGAATATTTGCACCAGATGGTACTGCTCCGAGATGCTCTTCTGCCGTTTGATAACTATGAGGAAGTCGTTATTCCAATCACTGCTGGAGAGGGGAAGCAGCGACTAGGCATGAGATTTACAGAATCAAATCGAATGAGCTTTATCGCTGAGCTCATGACAAAACTAACAACGCAGAAAGCTGTCGTAAGATCTGCGCAATCTCTCCTGGCGCGGGACTTGGCTGCAGACAATGCTTATGGCTTTCAATACCGATATGGTGTCATTCTGCCTGCAGCAGTCGTGGGAGGACAGTCTTTGCGTCTGCTACGCTACATCCCTGCCATTATCGATGATGCAACCCCGGAAGTGTCTTTCGAGTACGAGTTTGCAGATTACTACACTACTCCTCGCATCGATGTTCCACAACCCAGCCAGTCTTCGAATTCAGATGCCACTCAGCATGGACTCACAGATTGCTCATTCGCAATTGACGGGAGAACAGATTCTAAGTCGACAACTCGCATCCTGCACCTCCAAAAGTCCTACGCCAATGGGAATTGCTCAACCATAGATGTCGGCCAGATCTCCCGTGGCTGGCGCTACAGCTACAAAGCTTCTGCTCAATCTTCGAAGTCTGCTTCTAAGAAAGTGGTTGCGAGTGTTCACTCCGCAGCAGATTTCCTTGCAAGTTTTGGCTCTACTGGGCTTATCACGGATAAAGAGGGAGGTGTTCACCTTATACAATGCAGCAACAATCTCGAGCTTTTGGCATGTTTGGGAGCGATCTATCCTGACAATATCATTGTGCTTGACGAAGGTGCGACATTGGCGGATACGGAAGGTGTAGGACAGTCTTTACCTGGCGAACCGCGATTTATCCTTCAGATTACCTGATTGGATATGCTGCGCATGCTGCAATTTCCCCATTGATGGTTGTCGGTCAATTGCTTAGCTGATTCTCGACGAGTGCTTCTGTGTACTACCTTCCATCTCAATGGCCGCGGGAAATGATTCCAAAATACAAAACACACCCACGAAGTCGTCTCTGCAATCTCCTCTGCTGCCATCTTTGTAAACAGCTAGAATTTCTCCAGCTTTCATGTCCTTGCATAGCGAAGAGACGGATACGTTTGCCCTGGTGTTCAAACACTGACACATAGTAAAATCTGCATCATTTCCCAGCTCAATTATGATGATAGGGACATTGAGTGCGTTATTCTGTGGTCCGAAAAGGTGAAACATGGCGATGTAATCGTCGTTGTGAATGCCTTGTGTAAACGGCTTGTGCACCGCCAGAGTTTCGCCAGGTTCGAGGTCTCTGCAAAGTGAACAAATGCTCACCGCCGATGCGGATGACACATGCTGTAAATTTGCAAATCTCGCGTTCTCAGGTATTTCAATGTTGAGTACAGGCGGCCTAGGGGACGGGCTTGCCAATACAGAGTATGTATTGATGGGGGACAGATGCGATCTTGTCATCTTCGAGAATTGTAGCGAGACTCGCAGGTCCGTAGAAGCTTCGAAGAGGAGTCTATAGTAATGTCGAAACAAGAACTGGAACGATATCCCTTTTCCATTTGCTGGACGGTGTCTTAATCCGGCACCGCTATCTGATGCAACCCTATGGTCAGAGAAGGAAGTGCTGTAAGCAACTACAGCCTTCGGAAGCTAGTCCTTACAGCCAGGTCACTGCTGGCATATGGTCATGACGGCACACTTCCAACAGGTGCTGTTTCTGATGTAACCTCTCACCTGAGCATGTTTGATTTTCACAAAATTGGAAGTGACCGTAAACCAGGCTTCGGGGCAAACCGCGCAGATCCGTGGTAGCTAGCAGTTCAGACCGGTGCCAAGCTAGTACAGACTTTGCGACGTAAGTGATGCTACAGTTACAGATGCTTGCAACACCTCTCGTCTCTGTGATCACCGGTTTTCAGGCTTCACTTTTGTTTTCTATACCAAAAACTTCATATATGACCAGAAAAATTGAATCTAGAGTCTGGGTACTTTGGCCGAGTGGTCTAAGGCGGTGGTTTTAAGTTGATATATGACGAAAACACCACTATCGAGAGATGCGTGGGTTCAAACCCCACAGGTACCATCATATCCAAATTTTTACACTTTTTTTTTGTCTGTGAAGCCTCGAGACCTGGTACTGCCAAAATTGAGGAAAAGTACCATTGTAGGCAAGGTTGCTTTGTCAGGGACCTCTGAGCCGTGGTCTTGTTGCCGGATATGCTGATTTGTTGCAGAGATATGCAATTTTTGGTCTATGATGAGCATTCGAGAATTTTGTCTTGTGGTGTTTCAGGCTTCAACCGACGACTACCTCTAATAAGCAGTTTGGACTGAAAGACCAGCTTGTCGACGTAAGAATCAGTTCTCAGGCCTCCAAGCCACAACCTCTTCATCCTCCTCTGCCGCCTGAAGCTCGAAGTTCTCAAAAGATCTCCTGTTTCCTTGCTCATCGCAATCCAGTCCACAAGCCTTGAGAACAGCCCACCTCACAGCTTCAATCCCAATCTTTGCACCACCACCCCACCCTTGCAGTCCTTTAATCTGTTTCTCAGCACTCGCAGCCAGAACATCTCTTTTCTTCCTCCTCTTGCCTTCATCCAGTGTACTCAACTGTTCTTCCACCTCTTGGTAAATTTTGTCAAGTTTAGCGACTTGACGGGCGAGTTTCTCAGCTCCAGGGACTTTAGAGTCCGTCATAACTATCCTATCCACTTTGGACAGAATGATTTGATAATCAATCCCCACAGTCTCGAAATGTTGCAGCAACACAAGATCTCTAGGTTTGATACCGTGTAAAGCGTCGACAAGTAGAAAAACTTTACGCAATTGCCTTCTCTTTTCGAAGAATTTGTTAATTTCGGGGCCCCATTCTTGACGAGAGTGGTAGCCGTATCCAGGTGTGTCTACCACCACCAAAGCTCCTGCAACCAATTGCTTAAGTGGTTCTTTGGCTGCTGTGTCTCTTTGACTGCCTCCTACGCCAAACGCGTTAAGCGTCTTCGTATGTCCAGCCTTGCTGCTCACTCTTGCGATTTTCTCTTTAGGACGGCCGAACACTGCGTTCAAGAGGGAAGACTTTCCGACATTGGAGCGGCCTACGAAACACACTTCGGGGTATGGGGATCGAGGTATTGTGGAGAATTTGGCGGCGGTCCAGAGATGGATGGGAGGGGAAGCTGGGTTTTGGAAGTAGCGATGGGCGTAGGTTTGTTGGGCTGGTGTGGGTGGAGAGGAGACGTGGTAGCGTTGGAGGTCGACTGGTTTCGGAGGTACGATGTCTTTGACTGGTGGTGAGGACGTGGGAGGTGAAGATTTCGGTCTTGAGGTTGTGGGAGGTGAAGATTTCGGTCTTGAGGTTGTGGTGAGTGGAGATGTGGTTGAAGGTAAGGTGTGTCGGGCTGGCGACGGCGCTGTGGTTGTCGCGGTGCTCGTGTGTCGCAAACCCAGTATACGACTGCGGGCGAGATGCGCAAGACATCTCCGCCGTATAATTGAATCCATCTCGAGTGATTGACCGTCAATTGTGTTTATGCAAAAAATTGGAAGGAGCGAAGAATGCCAGAGAAAGCACTCTCTCGTCGCTGGTCCGAGCTTCAGATTCGGCCAAAATATTTCACCTTGATGGGAATTGGATGCAGCGAAGCAAAATAGGTAGACAAAATTGATCAGTACCTGCAAGCATACTGGCTGACTAGCACCTCTAAGAACTTGCGCTATGTCCTCTAATTCTCCATTTTCTCATGCTCATAAGTTCCATGATGCTCATGATCTCCTATGCTCTTGTAACATGTCCCTGATAACTCCTTGTTCGTGTAAATGCCAAAAGACCAATCCTTCTATTGTTCGAAACGACCGCCTCCCGACCTCAAGTCGGGCGAAGGCCTGGGCTGTTCATTCCCAGACGTGGACTGACACCTCCGTTGCGTTCTCTTCGGAGACTGCGAAGTTGCGACTCGATCTGTCTGCGTTGTTCTTGTTCCGCCTGTTGCATCTGTTAGCTGTCTGATCTACTTGAATGACCCAAGGAATGGTACTCACTCTTAGCAACTTGACTCCCTCTGCTCTAGTCTCTCTCATCATCTTCTTGAATTCATTTCTTAGCACCATGGTGCTGGTCGTTTCCCTTGTGCCACCCAACTCTGGTGTGCCGCCAGGGCTTCTGACACCAAGCCATCTGACCTTCTCATCGCTGAGCTGCACCTCCAGAGCATCCATCTTGTCACGAAGCGAATCAATCACTCCCTCAAGCTTCTCACGCTCCTTCTCCATTTCGACCGTCTCGCGCGTAAGTTCTTGGTAGTCAGTCGCCATGTCGGCAAGCTCCTTCTCCAATGCGCGCATACGACCGTCGTCGCGTGTGCCTGCTGCCTGGATCTCGCGTAGCGTGATGATCTCTCCTTCCAGCGCTTTGGCTCTGGACTCGGCATTCTGATGGAGTCCGAGCATTTCGGCCATCTGGCTCTCATGTTGGCCCTTGTCATGTCTCAACTGCTCCAGCTCTGCCGACATGCTCTTGGACTTTTGCTCCATCTCTTGGAATTCGGGGTGCGACGTCACTTCTTTGGCACGTTCTGATCGACTGCCGTACGCACCATCCAACTCCGCCTTGGCCATTGCGACTTCGGTGGTGAGACGTACGATTTCAGCCTCGAGGTCATCCATCTCTTCGGCCTTGATAGCCAGATTGGCCTCTGCAGTATCTCTGGCTACCTTGGCCTGGTTGAGAGATCCAGTCAACTCCTCCAGACGGTCTTGATGGTCGCTCTCCTTGTGCTGTGCTTCAATGGCTGCAATTCTTGCCTCGTCTTGATGCTCGGAAATCTTGTTCTCGAGTTCAACGATCTGATCCTCAAGTTGCTCGATACGCTTGCTGTGTGCTTCAACTTCTTCCAGTGCCTCTTGCTCACGCTCCTTGAGCTCTTCGATTTCACTGGCACGAGCAGCATCTTCGCTGGTAGACTTTCCAGCGAGCTCGCGTTGTTGTTCGATCTGTCTCTTTAGGATAGCAGTTTGGGACTCGAGGTCGTTGTGGCGGGAGAACAAGTGTTGAACCTTGGATGTGAAGGCTTCAGTGCTGAAAGGCTCGGATGTGGTCCTTTCGAGCTCTTCATCATCAAAGTCAACATCTCTGTTGGCAGCAGCAGACTCTTTAGAAGACATGATTCCCCAGAGGCCTAGCATAACTGCCTCATGTTGTGCAGATTTCTCAGCGTGAGTGTTGGCCTTGGCATGTGCCTCGTCTAGATCTCTCGTCATGGCTTGATGAGAGTCCTGAAGAGATGCAGAGTGCTGCAGCATGTGATCGACGTTTGTAATGTTCTCCTCGAGGTAGCTGATCTGATCTTGAATTCCTTGACCAGTGGGTTGTGGAGGTGATTGTATACCTTCGTAGCCAGAGAGGAAGGTGAATAGCTGGTTGTTGACGCCCTCCAGCCTTTTCTCGACAAGACCCTGATCTGCATCCTCGCGTGATTGAGCAATGTATTTGTGTTCTTCAAGTAGGGCAAAAATGCCGTCTTGCAACTGCTCGAGCTGATTGTTGAGGCGAATCGAAGGCTCGTCGTCCTCTGGGTAGGCGGATGGAATGTCGTCGGGCGAAGTGTCGATGCTGCCTGCACGGCCTTTCTTTGCTTGTGAGATGAGGGAGCGCATCTGGCCGTTCAGGAACTGTAGGCGCGTGTTGACATCGTTCAATTGGCTGTTGTGGATGATGGACTGGCCTTTCGAGACATCGCTGTGGACACTCTGATCGTAGTCGCGAATGTGAGGCAGATGGTCAGGCGAGAGATGGTCGGCGGCTTCAGCCTCGCGCTGAAGATGAGCGGCCTGCAAGACAGCAGCCGTATGGCACAAGAGCCTGCTCTCAATGTATTGTCTGCGATTTTCAAGACCAACCAGAATCTGAACCAGCTCTTCAACCTTCTTCTCGCTTTGAGCAAGTTCTTCGCTAGCCTGACCGGCGCTGTTGCTCTTGACACTGGACGAACTAAGTCTTCTGTCCCCCAACAAGCTCTTTCTACGGCCTTGCGAGAGACGGCCCTCTTGCAAATACAGACGGTGCAAGGAGCGAGCGGCCTCACGGACTTTGCTCTCGAGAGCGAGTTTGCGACGTGTTCCCTCAATACGGGCATCGACTTTTGTCTTCTCTTTCTTCAAGGCGTCGACCTCTTCGATAGCCAGGATGTCGAATCGTGAGCTGTCGAACATGGCAGTCTCGACTAGGAGATGCCTGTGCAGGGCGTCGCCATTGGCGAATGAGTCGGTCCTCGGCGTGGGTGGTTGTTGCATGTCGGAGGGACTGATCAAAGAGGGATGCTGATGAGCATAGGCACTCTGATTTTGCTGCAGAACAGCCATGGCCTTCCAGTCTGTGTCGGTGTAGCCTGGTGTGCTGGGATCGAGGAATGATGTTTGTGGGTAGTCGTGAGCGGCACTGAGATCATCAAATGGATCAGGCCTCGAGTGGGCCGGCGACTCTTGAGGATGCATCGTGACGGCCATTGCAATTGAGCGATGAGAGCCAGGAGAAAGGGGTTAGGCGGGGTTGCTGAGTCGAGTGTGTTACGACCTGTTGATTCCACCGCGTCCACAATTCAATGCTACCTTGACCGAATTTGAGGCCAAGTATCAAGGCTTCATCGTCGATACCAGGAAAGAGCGAAAGAAGAAAAATCAGGAGGCTGTAAGATAATGTTCATGAATTTGAGCTGAGCTGAGATTACTTTGGCCAATTGCTCCGCTCCACACGGGAGACACAGACTCACAGACCGGAAGCCGTTGCGCATCAATTCTCTTCTAGAAGCAAATCACCCCCTGGTCCTTCTCCTAGGATATGGTCTACACATCAACAGGAGGCTGTCAGAATTCAACACTTTTATTGACTGCATCCTGCCGAACCCTCTTTGTGCCTACTTCATGCACAAACACTTCCTTGTGCTATTTCATGTTGCTCAAATCAATTCTTGGCCTATCCTCCTTCCTGAATCGAGGCCTTTTGACAGCTCTTAAGATGAGATCAAATACACTCGTTTCCACAGAAGGCTCCACCAACATGTTCAACCAATGACTGCTTGCTGCAAGCGCACCAGAACGCGTGAAAAAATGAACCTGTGCAAGTGCCACCATGTTTGTGCTTCCCTTATCATCGTGTGTTGAAGTACATTTGTCACTCACGTAACATCGCATTCCTCTATGCTTGACTCGAATGTCAAGAGCTCTCACCACCAAACACAGCAGACACTCTTGGTCGTTCTTGCAAACTGTTCCTATCGTATATCTGGTTGCCTTTAGAATAGGCAGGTTCTTGAGCCTCAGCACTGGCGGGCACCTACAATCCCAGTCAAGCAGGGTCGTACCACAAGCTTTGAGAAATGGAACCGCGAGAAGCAACCTCGCACACCGAACAGCGACACCATAAGGTACCTGCAATCAGCAAAGGAATGTCTCTCCAACAGTCATGACAATCTGTCTCAATGCGATTACACAATCATGCGCCAAGCATGTTCATTCAGCGTGGTTGGGAGTCAGCTGTAGCCAACTTCAAAGCATCCAAGATGTGCTGGCAAGCAAGCCACAAAAGGACATGCCGGTCGTCCTATACTTGCCCTCGATATGTACCATAGCAGCTCTCGGCCGAAAGGCAGAGCAGAAATAGTTGACGCTGAGAGAAATGCCCGATTTCAACTCGTGGATAAGAGCGGTGAGAGACGGACCGCAAAGTCGGGGCTTCTCTTCCCACGCACGCTTCTTGAGAAAACACGCTGGCAAACAAACACAACAACCTCGCTTCCAGAGACTCTCCGAGTTGGAAGGTTGCGGGTAAAAAGTGTGATGAGCACTCATAGAGTGTGTGATGTCGCGCTGGAAATGACGAGGTCAGCAAGTTTATTTGCATGTTTCCAAAAATGCACAAGACACGCGAAGGACGGGGGTGATTGACAGGTCCGCGATAGATTGAGGTTACGCCATCATCTTTACCGCCCAGCCAGCTATTCGTCGGGGACCATCGGTGCATCTCTGGGAGAAATGACTCTCTTACCGTCAAAGCAGGTTTGTGCAGGCACGGGCGTCTTCTGCCAATGCACATGCTGGCCAACCACACACTGAGGCCGCACTCCTGACTATCACCGACAATCCGCACGCGTCTGTAGGCGATCATCCCATCACATCAATGCTGCAATGCACCGCTGCTTCGGCCAATCTCATGCTTCATCATCCTTGTCCGGCAAAATTGCACGCTGGCGCTTGCAGACTCCCCACTTGCCGGCCTGACTTCTGGTCTCGCATATGTAAACCCGCTTGCTGCCCAACTCGTTTCTGCCTTTCTCCTCTGCTGATACCCAATCCGCTCCTCTCTACTTTATCTTGGCATTCTCCTGTCTCTCGTGCTTTTGCACATTGTTTTGCTTCAAGAAAACATCTCAAGAACACAATCAAGTGTAACAGGCTTTATATTTGAGCCAGTTTACCACACTACCAGGATGACATATCGCACCCGCGAGGAATATTTGGACAGGTATTGACCCATGTTTTACTGTTTTTGTTTTGCTTTCAAGCTACCTGGATGTTTGCCCGACCGGGCCTTTTTACTGTTCTTTCCTTGCCGTTTGCTTTCATGCATTTTGGAGCCAGCCTTTTTAGGAAATCATTTGGATTATCCCAGGACTATATATGCCCAAAATGCCAGGCCACACAAGGATACCCAACCGGATCGGATGGACCATTCCAAGACCAGCCAAGGACAATATCCGGATCACTGTAGCACAACATACCTTTGGGAACCGGGTAAGTACCTCGAGAGCCCGGATCTTCTCTCGTCAGCCAACACTCGTACACTTCTTGCTTGCTACATTGACAGCTCTGTTGTCAGTCAACTTATATGAAGAAGACTTGGCTTGAGTTTGTCTGTTGTAATGCTTTCGGTGCGATCATCTCATTACCGGATTTGGTCCCTTTGTTCCTCGGAGTCGCCATGAGACAGATTCAGGAAGTCGCTAAATCGTGCCTTGACGAGATATGCAGGAACATTTCCACACACCAAAGCATTAGCTCTCATCGGACAGGAATCCTTATTGCTTTACTGTTGTCACACCAGACTTGCAAGGTCCTCTTCTCTCAGCATGACTCTGTTTGTTGTGGTCTTTGGTCATGTCGCCAACAGCTGTACGGCTCAGAGAGGCTTGGACATTTCCCACGTCGCTAGATGTTTCAAGCCCTTGTCGAGGCGGTACCCGTCACTTGGCTCTTGCACCCTCATACCAACAGAAGCTTTTACGACTTGGTCTTCCAACACGTAATCATCCTCCTATCTTGTCCTGGATAACCTTTGACATATCCTACTGAGTCTATACTCAGCTCCCTTCAACATCCCCATGACCGGACCTGTCAACACTATTGACGATACTCATTCTGCACAGACAGACACTCCGACCACCTTTCAAGTCCGGATCTGGATCACACTATCCACTGGGCGACCGATTGGTTGGTAGAGCTCAATGAGATAAAAGTAATGATTTGGGCTAACATGAAGCAGGCTACTTCTTTCTTCTCTCTTTCTCACTGTTCTGATACATTAGCTGCTGCATTACAATGAGTCGTTGTCGCTGACTTTTTCCTCTCTATCTAGCAACTGTCATTTTCTCCCTTCCACTTGCACAAATTCTTTGTTTGCTTCACCATCTGAGATCTGCCACTGGAATTCATCTGTCTGGGACACCACCTCTTTGACACCTCCAGCTTCCCCTGTAGACTCTTTGGAAGACGCCTCTTCGGACTCTGGCATCTTTTCGTGTGACTCAATGAGCTCATACAGTATGGACCACAGCGCTCATTACTCATCCACATCACCGGGAACCAAGATGGAACACATTCCGGAGACTGACCTTTATACCACGCCTGGATGGACGGATGGCATGTTCTTGTCAGGAGCCGCCCCATTTTCGCCAGTCATGAGTGATTCGAATCAGAGTGCCTACACTCTCCCCGCGTCGGACGTAAGCTTCCCCTCACTGGACCCATCGATTTCACAGGATATGCCCATTATGGATGCCTGTCGACCTGAAAGCTGGGTAGCTGAGCAGCCCAACTTCAACGCATTTGCGGAGCCCGCTGTGTTCGACACCGAAATGTTTGCTTTCCCTGCCCAAGGTATGGACGTCCCTCAACCCACTTTCAATGCCTGGTATTCCCCCACGGAAGCCTCTGCCGAGCCATACTTTGCCATGGATATCCCAGGACAAGACCTTCCTAGGATTATCCCACAGACAGCCGGATTTGTAGGCAACCCAGTTCCCATGGCCCCATATATTGGATATAGCAACCAAAGCCTTCGTGCTGGTCACGCTAGGGTAGACAGCTTATATACTCAAGCTTGTCCACAAGATGTTGCAGTAAGTTACAACCACATGCCATCGGATACCCAGATCCAGGAGATTGCTGGACACCGCCGGATGACTGTGCCCGTGACCTCGAATGAATCTGTCCCGGCAATGCCTTTGCCAAGTACCGAGCTGGATCTACCATATGGAGCCCCTATCCAACAATATAGAACACACATGCCAGGTTATTCCAGTGGATCCATGGTGCCATTCTCTGTACAGCCTGAGGTTCCTGTTCTGGGCAGCAACGTTTCTGAGTGTTCCGTCGGCAGTGTTGCTCCTCACGGATATGGGGATACTCCTTGCAGCCCAGCTTCTTCCACGGCCACAACCAGGACGAGGACCGAGGATACTGACGGACGGGCTCGTACTGACCCTCTGTACTCCGCCAAACCTGGCAAGGACGGCAGCTATCACTGTCCCTTCTTGGCCTCTGAAGGATGCCAGCACAAGGCTACTAAGCTCAAGTGCAACTACGAGTGCGTGAGTTTCTTTGTCTCCAAGAGTCGCTTCTAACATGATATCACAGCAAGTACATTGATTCACACATTAAGCCATTCCGCTGCAAGCACCAAAACTGCAACAACAACCGTTTCTCGTCTACCGCTTGTCTTCTCCGCCACGAACGCGAGGCTCATGGACTCCACGGACACGGAAACAAACCCTTCCTCTGTCAGTTCAAAGACTGTGACCGATCCGGCCCGGACAATGGATTCCCCAGAGCGTACAACTTGCTCGACCACATGAAGCGCGTTCATGGTTATCGTCCGGACAAAGCAGCCAAGACACCTCCAGCCTCCAGTGCAGGAAGAGCAGCTGGAAAATCCCAAGACAAGGTGAAGAAGAGAAGGACCGCCAGTGAAACAAAGAAGGAGTCTGCATCTCCGAGACTAGTGCAGAAGCTTGCAGTAGATTCACGCAAGCAACAGATGTCTGCGCAATGGCAGACTCAGGTCAATGAGATGCAGAGGCGCTCTCGTCAATTCGGATGAATGAAGAACCAGTCCAGGACCCAGAACACAATTGGAGAACAGATACCACAGCCCTTCCCATGAACGGAACTACCCCAGCCAGAGGATAACTGTGCTAGACGGATGTTGGGCCGTAGAACCACCCCCGGACACGGAGATCTTACCTGGAACCCAGCGGAATAGGAAGATGGAACATTGAAGGAAGACACATCCCGCCAGCGGATCAGAGGATATCGTGAGAAGCCCAGCGAGTCAGGACAAGAGATTGAGACACAGATCTCGGTTTCACCTGGAAGGTGGAGAAGCTAGATCGGACCCCAGCAGTTCCGGAGTCGACAACAACAGCTTGTTTGTACCAGCTCTCGTCGACATGTTCTTGCTCGTTTTTGTATTTTGTTCTTTCTTTACTTCTTTCGGCTTTTTGGAGTGATCTCGTGTTACTCGTAAATGCTTGGGCACCCGATGTAGCGACAAGCACATTTCTAGATAGATAAAATAGGCATACATGATTGATCTTGCAAGATACAAGCGGATGACACGACCGTCATCTGACAAAGTGCTCATATGACAGTCATCAATGGGAGGAATACGGATCTACCCGGTGCTGACCATAACTTTTATACAAGATACTTGATGAGTGTTGTCCTCGTAGTAGAAAGAATTAGGGCAAGGATGGTGAGCAAAACACAAATCAAGAGATTATTGTTGATCGCATTGCTCGTAAAGAGATCTTCGCGATACGAAGTGGATTAAAGTTTTAGCCAGCAGTTCTGTCAAGCGAAAGTTTATCGTTATGCTGGGAAACTTGGACCTCGGCGAATAGATCAAGAACAAGGACGGAAGTTTCGTCATCCGGGAAGGGGTCGCGACATGTGAAGGCTTCCAGATTCCAGAAAAGCCGACGGGCCTTGGTGCGCTGCTCACAAATCATTCCAAAGGGGAGCGTTGTGGTTCAAGGATTGATACGATAAATTACTTGTATATGAAGCCTGTTCTATCTTCTTCCGCTTGCTTCCTATCTGCTGCTCGACTCTCTACACCTTCTGTCACCTATATCAACCTTGCGACGAGATCTCTTTTTAGCTTCAGAAAAGTTGCGACATCGAACACAATGGCTTCTGCTACCACTTTCCACGACTTCAAGCCTCTTGACAGTAAGTTGATGAGTGTCGCGACCGCAGGGAGACGAGCGACATAGAGCTGACGATAATGTGCAGAGAAGGGCAACGTCTACGATCTCTCCCAGCTCAAGGGCAAGGTCGTCCTCGTCATCAACACCGCCAGCAAGTGCGGTTTCACTCCTCAGTTCGAGGGCCTCGAGAAGCTTTACAAGGGTGCGCTTATCCCATTCCTCGCTCGTTACCCGCATTCTCTTCTAACTCGTTCCTCAGAACTCAAGGCTTCCCACCCCAACGACGTTGAATTCCTCGGTTTCCCCTGCAACCAATTCGGCTCTCAAGACCCCGGCTCCAACGACACCATCCAAGAATTCTGCATGGTCAACTACGGCGTCTCCTTCCCTGTTCTCGGCAAGACCGACGTCAACGGCGACAAGGCCGAGCCCGTTTTCGAGTGGATGAAGAACGAACAACCCGGTATCATGGGTTTGAAGAGAGTCAAGTGGAACTTTGAAAAGTTCTTGATTGGCAAGGATGGCAAGGTCAAGGGTAGATGGGCTAGCACTACCAAGCCTGAGAGCTTGAAGGCTCCTATTGAGGCTCAGCTCAAGGCTTAGAGGGCTGGGGAGTGGACACAAGAGGATGAGAGGAAGTGGAGGCACGCTTGTGCGATTTTGCATAATGGCTTGCGCGAAGAAGAATGCGCAGGTCTATTCGGACCCTCATTGATACCCGTGTGTTTTTTACGATACGCAGAATGAATATTCCTATCACGAGAATGATGTCGCGACCTCTTTTGCTCTGAAACACTTTCTGAGCTGCCGATAGCATTGCAGTAACTCGTGGCGAAACCTGCTCATCTTGACATGTCTCGCACTTTAGTAATATGATGAGCAAGCTCAGAGTGGAAGGAGCGAATAGTGATAACTCTTGTACCATCTACCACAAGAATACATATCACACGAACAGCAACAGCCCGCGAGTCAAGACTACCATCTCAGACGATGCACATCGGCGCTTGCGCTTTTAGCAACGGGACGGTATCGACTATCGACTACCGAGTCATTCTCGGATCTCTCGCGAGCATGATTCTTGTCGACGGATACGAGTCATGAGTCTTGTGCTACAGGCTCATACCTTGAGCGACATGGAGGATCACGGCCGTAACACGAGATACAGCAAGGTGGAATACGAGGTCTTCGGCTCTGAGCGACGCTGACCGCCTTTCGAACTCTCCCATCAACCGCCGAATAGGCTTCTTCTTGTCTTGTCTATACCTATACGTTTGACGGCAACACGAAATTGTAGGTAAGCAATGTTGATTTCTTTGTTCAAAGCAAGTAGTTGTTCTTGCTGCTTGCTGTTTCGTTTGTACATACACCGAAAGAACACGTATCTTGAGTCTGTGACGCTTCTATTCCTCCCTATCTCCAAGTATCACAAGATATAGAGTATCCTAGAAGAAGCCAAGGTGTTTCTTTTGCACTGTCTGCATCCAACAGACCAAGCAGCACAGAAAAAGAAAAAACACTTTGACCACAATCTCTCTATCTCAATTCTCCCATTCGATTTCTCCAGCTTTTGCCCCATACAAGTGACTGACGCTGACAAAGAATTTCTCTTCTAGCCCTTGAATCACCAGAACAGAAAAAAATCAAATGTGGGGAAACAACATTCCCGTCCCTGGTGGCCTCAATAGTTTCGACGACAAGAAAACCTCCCAGGATCAAGAAGCAATGCTCCGCGCCGCCGCCATGAACAGCACCAAAAAACTTCACATCGGTATCGTGGGCGCTGGCTTCTCTGGTCTTCGCTGCGCAGACGTGCTTCTCTCTCACGGCCACCGCGTCACCATCCTCGAAGCTCGTAACCGTGTAGGTGGTAGAGTGGGACAAAGCCAACACCTCGGACATACGGTCGATCTAGGACCGAATTGGATCCATGGAACGGACGATAATCCCATTTTCGAGATCGCGAAGAAGATGAGCACGGAATTGCATTATTGGGATGAGAGACAGAGGATCTTGGATACTAATGGAAAACCTTTGAGTCAAGATGATGCAGAGGAAATTGGCCGTATACTTTGGGAAGACGGATTGATCTCCAAAGCTTTCAAGTATAGCAGGGAAAACACAGCCACCATCGACCCTCAAACATCACTTATGGATTACTTTAAGCAAGAAGCAGAAACACTCTGGAGAGACTTGGAAACAGAAGAACAGCAACGAAAAAGACGGACCTTCTTGAAGGTATGCGAGTTTTGGGGTAGTTATGTGGGAAGTGCTACAACGAAACAGAGTTTGAAGTATTTTTGGTTGGAGGAGTGTATAGAGGGTGAGAATCCGTTCGTTGCGGGAACGTACACTAAGATTTTGGAACATGTGGCTAGACCTGCGTTGGAGAAGGCAGAGGTCAAGTTGGAGACTAGAGTTACAGGTATCAAGGAGAGAAAGAACGAGGAGGATAAGGTGAAGGTGGAAGTGGAGGGAGGCGACAAGTATGAGTTTGACGAGGTTGTCATGACGGCGCCTTTGGGATGGTTGAAGAGGAACAAGAACGTGTTTGTCGATGGATTGACTCCAGAACTGGATAAAGCTATTGATGCTATCGGGTATGGTTCTTTGGATAAGGTAAACCATCTAACTTCCCACCCAGGGAAGCATCAAACTAACAAGACAAACAGATCTACATCACCTTCCCAAGCGCCTTCTGGGAAGAAGCTCAATCCACAAAAGGCGAACCCAACGGTACAGCACACCTCCCCACCACCACCACTTCCACTCCAAACACAACAGCAACAACAACACCCTTACACCAAAACTCCTCCTCAACACACACCTCAAACTATCCAGGCTTTACCCATTGGTTAGCACCCACCTACGCCTCATCCACAAACCCACACAACTGGGACCAACAAGCCATGAACCTCGCCGCATTCCCTGGTAACCTCGCACATCCAAGCCTGCTGTTCTATATCTATGGTGATTGCTCTGCACACATAGCATCCCTAGCCCAACTACCCCAACTCCAACGCGATGAAGCTCTCCTCGCCTTCCTCCACCCTTACATCTCCCTCCTCCCAAACTATTCTTCCTCCTCCCCTGCTTGCGTCCCAAAGGCTGTGTTCGCAACCGCATGGGCAGGAGACGAACTAGCCGGCTATGGAAGTTATGCAAACTTCCAAGTTGGATTGGAGGATGGAGATAAACATATTGAAACTATGAGGAAGGGGATGCCAAACAAGAGTATTTGGATTGCGGGAGAACATACGAGTCCGTTTGTTGCGCTTGGTACAGCGACAGGGGCGTATTGGAGTGGTGAGAAGGTTGCTTTGAGGATTTTAGAGAAGGCGGTGGAGAAAGAGGAGCAAAAGGAGAAGTAGAATGTAGGGGTTTGAATTGATGGGTGATTCTGCATAGCATTGTATCTGCTCGATCTATTTCTTTCTCATTGAGGCGTGGTTCGTCTTTCTTTCCTGGTAAGCCAGATTCGAGAAGACTCTATCCCAAGCGTCCTGTGAAGTAATTGATGCTTGAACAAGAGTGGCCTTCTCTTCCGATTCAAAAGGAAGTCCTGCCATACTTGAATGATTTTGTACCTCTCTGTACATTCTCGGGAGAGGGTTTTGTTTGGACAGCATTTCCAGATCTTGATCCAATTGTTCCCTCATATGTAAACCATAGCTCTTTACTTGTACATCATATCTCTTCCATAATTTACAACTTTCCTTCAGTCTCCTCCACATATGCCTTCAAATGCTCGATTGTGACAACCTTGATGCCATATTTCCTTCCAAACTCGATACACTCTTTCGCCCTCATCATGTGCAGACCACCTCTTTCAGCTTTTCCAGGGACTTCCGTTGACTCCTCAACAATCTCTGCAATAACACCGACGTGGTTCTTGTCGCCTGACAGCCTTGCAAACTCGACTGCAGCTTCTGTGTGTCCTTGTCGTTGACGCACACCACCAGCAACTGCGCGCAGCGGCACTACATGGCCAGGTCTTCTGAAGTCGGAGGCTTTTACATCTGCATTTGCTAGCAAGCGACACGTTGTGCTGCGGTCGGTTGCGGAAATACCGGTGGTGACGTTGTCGGAGGCATCGATGGTGATGGTGTAGGCGGTGCGATTGGGGTCTGCGTTTGAAGAAGCGGCGACCATGGGAGGCAGGTCGAGTTTATCGGCGAGGGCGTTGGGGAGGGCGGCGCAGAGGTAGCCGGAGGTGTGGTGGATCATAAACGAGGCTTTTGCGGGAGTGAGGGCTGAGGCTGCAATGATGAGGTCGCCCTCGTTTTCGCGATTGGGGCTGTCGAGCACGAGAACAAACTCGCCAGCGGCTATTGGAGGGAGCAGTTAGAGGGCTAGTCGAGAGTCGAGAGGATTGGTTGGTGGGTCAATTACCAAAGGCCTTGATAGCGGAGGGGATGTCGTCAAAGACGAGGTCGCCGGAATGGTCTGCCATGGAGTGTGTATGTGGAGGAGTATGCGACTCAGAGAAGAAATGTCGCGAAAGAGCAGAAGAAGTGCTGAGTTGACGTCGAGGTGAATTGGCGCAAATGTGGAAGGTGCTTTGTGATGTCGCTGATGACTGTAGCTTCCCCGAAACACGGCCCTCTGATAATTGATTACTTGAGCGATTGGTAAGCTAGAAACTCCAAATCTGCTATACAATCTGTGGTATAGACAGCGGAACTGGAAAACAGTATATCTGCACGAGCGCAATCACGGAAAGAACGAGTCAATTGATCATGTGAAAGTGTCTTGTTTTATGGATGCCGATAGCATCGGATAGAACCCTCGGCGGGTAGAACACTCGGAATCCCATCGCGGGGCAGTTGCAACCCGCTCAATTCCTCCCGAATCCCGAAACCGCCGAGCTAAACTTTTTAACCCTCTTTGTTAAGTGAATCCTGATTAATTAGCTGTCTTTATTTGTCCAGGATGAGGTAGTCCTGTTCGCACCTTCTATCTCTCCTTCCTCTGCAGACACATACTAGAGCTTGTATTCTCTTGCATCGCTCAAATGCTCATCTTTGAGAACCGCAAGCAGCACACCTTGTTCCACATCATCACCTTCCTCATCCTCCAACTCCAGAGCCCACGTTATTGTGCCCGATCTTGGACTTCGCACTTCCAGTTCCATCTTCATCTGGCGTACGAAAGCAATTACTTGTCCCTCTTTCACCTCTTCTCCTTCTTCGACAAGCATCTCGACTAACTTACCGTTCATTGGGAGTATGACATGCGCTTTGTTGCTTGCATCCCCTTTTTTGTGCTTCGAATTGACTGCCGCTTGACTTGCACCCGTACTTTCGAGCGACATCTTGTATGTCTGCGATCCTGCACCTGATGTGCTGACTGCAACCACGGCAGATAGTGTGTCTGGGAAGTCATTTCTCAACACTTTTTCAATCTTCACATGATGACTTCGAACTGCTTTCCCTTCCGAAGTCTCGACGGGTGACAGACTCAGAGCCCATGCATTGCCTTTCCGCAACAATGCACCTCCGACTGCACTACCACCACTTGACTGACTTGCAGAATCATCCACAGCAGGTAGACTGGTGTTCAAATTCTGTATGCGCTCACCAATTCTGTCGCCAGCCCCAAGCAGCCGTGAAACATTCTTCTCGAGCCATTGATTGTCCGCTGTGCCACTCTCAAACTCTCGATCTGCAACAATCGCGCGGAGGAGACCCAGATTGGTCTTCACACCGACGATCTCCGTGTCTTCAAGTGCCCGACGAGCTTTGACTACTACGCTCTGCCAGCTCGATGCGGTGACAATGATCTTGGCTAGGAGATTGTCAAAGTCCGATCCTATGACTGCACCTCGCACAATATGCGAATCTACACGGATGCCATTTCCGCTTGGAAATCTTGCTTGGGTGACACTGCCAGTGCTGAGCGAGAAGTTCGCGTTTGGATCTTCGGCGCATAACCTCAGCTGTACAGAGAATCTGGAAGGTGGGTTTGCGTCTGCGGTGGTGGGCAGGTCGGCGGTGTGATCTGCCAACCCCTGGGCTAACAATAGTTGCTCGTGCACCAAGTCTACATTTGCTATGCTTTCGCTGATCGTATGTTCGACCTGAATCCTTGGGTTGATCTCCAGGAAGTAGAACTCGTTCTTGTCGACATTAACCAGGAACTCGAATGTGCCTAGGCCGAGATAATTTACTCCTTGTGCAATTCGCATTGCCGCTGCAATAACTCGAGCCACAGTAGTCCGGTCTTCAATAACAGCAGGCGCAATTTCAACAATCTTTTGGAAGCGTCGTTGCATGCTGCAATCTCTTTCCCAGACATGTTTGGCGCCACCTTTTCCATCTCCAATGATTTGAATCTCGATATGCTTGAAGCCGTCCACAGCAGCCTTTTCAGCAAATACTTTTCGGGAGGGGCTCTCTGCGATGCATCTTTGTACTGCTGCTTGCAATTCTGCTGCGTCCCTGACTAATCTGATGCCTCTGCCGCCTCCGCCATCTGCGGCTTTAATCATGATTGGAAAGCCCACTTTGTTCGCAAACATGCTGATGTCCTCGGCTTTCTGAGAAGGCGATGTCATGGCTTGCAGCACAGGTACGTTGAACTGGGCAGCGAGCTTTTTGGCCTCGACTTTATCTCCAGTGGTTTCGAGAATGTTGGATCCTGGCCCGATTACCATACAATCCGCTTCCTCCCACATCTGTCGAGCAAACTCAGGACTTTCTGAGAGGAAGCCATAGCCAGGATGTATGGCATCAAGACCTCTTTCCTTTACTAGTTGCACCAGTGCAGGAATGTCCATGTATGTTGCTGGCGAAGGAATCTCGATTGCATGATTTGGTCGTCCCAGAGATATGTGAGTCAAATCATTGGATGTATAGAGGCCATACGTTTCCGGTGGACTTGGTAATTCGCGTGTTGATTGTAGAATGCGAATTGCGATTTCTCCTCTGTTGGCAACTAGGAGTTTCTTGATGGGTCGTTGTATCGTGGTAGGCATTACTGCTGGTGGTAAGTTGTGATCAAGTGATCCAACCCTCAACTGGCTTTCGAGAACAGGTCAGATGAGAGTCTTAATTGCTCAGTCTAGAGTCTTCGTGCAAGCATCGCATGCCTCGGTGTCGCGTAGGTGTCGTTGACGATGAGGGACCAGAGCGCGGGGTTGGTCGTTGAGGCCGAGCCGAGGCACATGCTCGAGAGCTACCTCACCTCATCTTTGAAGACGACTCGTTGTATACCACCATTCAATCTCATTCCGTGCATACCTAGGATTTGCACGAAATTGTTCCAGTTTTATATCGCGCATCCTCGTCATCAAAATAAAGGCAACATGGGAGACTCTGGTGATGGTCCAAGGAAGAGGTAGTCTCTCATATACATACCAGAAAGATATCTTGACAGCTAACCATACCTTGCTAGCCAACACAATGGCGAGTCTCAAAAAACAACATCAAACAAAGCAACTTCCCGGCTCTCACAACTATCTTCGCACATTGCGCCACCATCGAAACAGCGTAAAAGAAGCTCAAAAGCCAAAAATGCACTTCCAGCAGACTACTCTGATTTGATGGCTCAAATGGCCACCATGAAAACCATCACAAAGAACCCACCTGCTAGTTCAAAAGGCTATGCTCGCCAAAAAGCCTCTGGAAAAATGTGGGCTCGCGAACGAATTGAATTATTCCTTGACAAAGACAGTTTCCGCGAAGTGGGCGCAGTATCAGGGACAACGACTTGGAAGACTTCGCCCACTAATGCATTGCAAGAAAGTGTCGAGGGCTTTGTGCCTAGCAATAACCCGCAAGGGTTTGGACAAATCACATGTCCGGTGAGCAAACAGCATCGTCGTGTTTATATCACCGCAGACGATTATGCCATCAGAGCTGGCCATGCAGATGGATCTAGCCATTTCAAAACTCTCTATGGCGAAGAAACAGCACTGAAACTTAAAATTCCTGTCGTTAAACTCGTGGATGGGTCTTCGGGAGGCGGCTCAGTGACGACCATAAAACAACAGGGATGGTCTTATCTACCACCTTTAGTGAGCTTTCCGGCAGTAATCAAGCAACTCGATGCAGGCATTCCTAATCTCGGTGCTGTGGTTGGTCCGGCGATAGGGCTTGGTGCTGCGAGAGTGGTGTCGACGCATTTCTCGGTCATGGCCGCTGATGTGGGGAGTTTGTTCAATGCAGGACCCGATGTTGTTGCCAAAGCGACTTTCGAAGAAGGCTTGACTCTGCAGGATTTGGGTGGGCCGGACGTGCATTGTCGCAATGGAACAATCGACAATCTGGCACCGAATGAAGCAGCTGCATTTGAGCAGCTGAAAACAGTACTGGGATTCCTTCCTGATTGCGGAGATTTGCAAGCCCCCCCAGTGCTGCCTGACAGCTGGTCCGGCGACACCGTGAACAGAGAAGACATCAACCTTCGTAGCATCATCCCGCGGAAGCAAGGTCGAATGTACAACCCATACACGATCATCACCTCCGTAGTCGACAAAACCTCCTTCTTCGAAATCGGACGTCTTTGGGGCACCACCGCCATCACCGGTCTCGCACGTCTCGGTGGCCGTCCCGTAGGCATCATCTCCAACAACTGCGAGTCCCCCACCGGCGGCGCTCTAGACCCCCTCGGCAGCCAAAAGCTCACCCGCATGATTAAGTTCTGCGATGTGTTTAACTTGCCAATCGTCCAATTCGTGGATATCCCTGGTTATGCAATCGGAACAGCGGCAGAAAGAGGCGCAACCATGAAATGGGGAGTAGAGCTTGCAAAAGCTTATTTCGCATCCACCACACCCATCTTTTCTGTAGTCACAAGAAGATGTTATGGTATTGCTGGTGCTGTGATGATCGATTCGCGGTCACCGAGATCGGTGGTGGCATGGCCCAGTGGCGAATGGGGGTCTCTGCCGCTGGAAGGAGGTATTCAAGTTGCTCATCGAGCTGAGTTGGCTGCGATTGCAAAGAAAGAAGGTGAAGAGGCGATGAAGAAGAAATATACGGAGTTGGATACAGAGTATCGGCGCCTGATGAATCCGGTCAGGGCGGCGAATGCGTTTGGCGTTGAACAGATCATTGACCCGAAGGATACAAGAAGTGTAGTATGCGATTGGGTCAAAGATATGTATGGTTTGGTCATGGTTGAACGACTTGAAGATCGTAAGGCGAGGAGGATTGTACCGACCTTTACCTAGAGTCCTATACAGTCTGGTAGCCACACAGAGTAGAGAGATCTTGAAGAATGCGATGTGGTCATGATCGCTTCAGCTGTCAATCTATTAGAAGAGCGCCTTTTCAGAAATCTGGCCGATACGGATGTGTATCAATCGTGTCCATGAATAATGTCTCAGCTGGGGTCCCTCGAAGCCTATCTGAAGGCTCTTGAGAAAGCCCAGATGTAGCAGGATCGGAGTTTTGGTCTGCCTTATGTTGCGTGCTGGAACATTCACATTCACATTTTTTTTTTTACTTCAAAACCCGCTCACGCATCTCCGCTTCTCGAATTTTATCACCCTGCATCCCGTAGACACAAAATAGATTGTAAACCGACTGTAGTGTCTTGTTGTGATCTGCTCCCAGCAATTCCTCACGTTTCTTGAGTACTCTTTCAAATAGATCTGCTGCCTCAGATAGCATTTCAAGGTTGTTGGCATAGACGCACGCGAGGGAATCCATGACGCGTAACGAGAACTGGTCGTGGAGACCAAACGTATGCTCGAGTCTCGAAATCAGTTGTTCGCACAAGGTTCTTGCTTCTTGCCGTCTGCCTGTCTGGCTGTAAAGGCCGGCTAGCCTGGAGGCGGCTTGTATTGTATATCGATGATGCAGACCTAATCTGTGCTCATTTTCTATTAGGACCCGCTCAGCGAGCTCCGAAGCTTCTGCGAGCTTGCCTTGCCTCTCGAACAACTCGATCCTCTCTCTAGCAACTTCGAAAGCGTATTTGCAGGTTTCAGGTTTTATCTTTTCGAACCCTGTTGCTGCTCGCTCGACCATCATTTTCGCTTCCACAACCTTGCCAAGTTTGTCGTAAACCTCGGAAAGCCCTGACAAGACTCTACAAGTGAATCGATTATCTGGACCAAAGACCTTCAAACTCACTGATAGCGCTCGCTCAAAGATGACTTCCGCCTCTGTGTGCCTGGCCTCACGAATATACATGTGGCCCAGGCTAATCATGGCTGGAAGTGCATGTCCATAAGTTGCATCTTCTTGCTGATGCTGTTCAGATACTGCTACCGCTCTCTTAAACATGTCTTCTGAATCTTCCAGCCGGTTTTGGAGCTTGAAATTTCTGCCTAGACATATGAGGGTGCCTATCATTTGCTCCGAGATGATTGCAGAATCGTCGGAATCCGAGACGAGCAATCCCTCGTAGACAGCCAAAGCGCGCTCAGCTAGCTGTTGTGACTCTGCGTATTTTCCGATCTCCGTATACATATCAGCAAGGGTGTACGCAGCTCGCAGGGTCCTCGTATCATCTTCACCGTAAACCTTCTCGCTATTTTCCAAGTCGCGCTCGTGAAATTCCGCAGCCTCATCAAATGCATGGTTGTATTCAAAGATCTGGGCCAATTTGGTATATGCTCCAGATGGAATATGTGATGGCCTCCATACCACACCAAGTCGTAATCGGCACAGCAGTTGTTGACCGTGCGGGAGTAGACGTCTTGATAAGGCTGCACGGTCCTTGTCGTCCTCGCGTAGCAACATCTGCGCGACAACGCTGACTGCGAGCTCAGAGAAGACCTGGCTTTTACTACTCGTGGATGCTAGATGACGACACCATGAATGCAAGACAGCATGCATAGAATAGTTGTCGTTATCTGTTCCGTTGTTTACAAGAGAATATTTCTCCAGAAGGCCAAGCGCACCTCGGAACTTCAAATGTGTCTTAGCCAGTGTTGACAGCCATTCTGGTATGTCAATTTGAGACTCAAGCCGGATTGCACAAGCGATCAACTCATACCACATATCTTTTGGATCGAGGAAAGCCCACAACTTCAATAGTGTGGCTGCTTCCCAGTCCTGACTCTCCACTTGCTGATACGAGATCCTCCAAGTAGTCAACATGCTTCTGTGAGCATATTCTTGCAGTGGATACGAATTCTGTGCTTCAACCAAATCGTCCCAAGTGCTGTTGTAGTAATCCAGATACTCGCAAATGCTCATATTGGTATGGCGAATATATGTTCCAGCTTGAGCTAGAGCAAGAGGCATACCCTGGAGCTTTTGGAGAAGGCTCTCAAGGTCTTTCGACTCATCGCGAGCTGGTTGACCCGATACTGGCTGCCCTCTGTGATCCTCGAACAGTGCACGTGCTTCTTCGAGATTCATTTCTGTCAATTGATGAGCATTTTGAGGTATCGCCAATGTCGAAAGTCTGCTTGTGATGAGTAAGCTGCCATGATCTACTTGTGCAGAATATTTCGTCAAGTCGTAGGCTAGTGGATCGTTACATTTGACAATGAAATCGTGGTCCACATTGTCGATGATGTGAAGCCATCTCTGGTTCGAGGGAAGAGACAACCAGTCAAGCACTCCTTGTACTATGACTTCTGGACTGGCTTCCTGACGTTTGACTGCTTCGACTAGTGCTACCGGCATCTCCTCGGGTGGTAGCATAAAAAAAGAATTGACAAATGATTGTTGCAAAGCGTCCTCGGATGATCCATCCATCCATAGGACTGCGGTGTACTGCGCTTGGTGCTTCCGAGCAAACTCGATACAAAGTTGTGTCTTGCCAATGCCACCAAGACCGTGGACGACGAATACTTTGCGACGAACAGGTTGCGACATCTGGTTGAAGAAGAAATCCTCGAGTTTCTGCATCTCTTTATCACGTTGCACAAAGTGATCAATTGCAGGGATGCCTTTAAGGCTAAATGGAACCGAATGTTTTCCTTGAAATATATGTATCAGCATTGATCCGCTAGTTTACAGTGGCAATCGTACTCGCAGGACCAAGTTTCTCTATCTCTTGCACACTGACTGCACTCAAGAGCTCTTTTGCATATGCAGCCGCTGTTGCAGCTGCGTAAGGTTGCCATCGGTCGTTCTTGCGTGAGTCGGCATAGTCTGAAATACCGCGGATAACCAAGCAAGGAAAATCGTTCATGAGTCCCGCCGCCTCCATCTCGAAGCAGATGATTTTGTCACCTGCTGCTCGCAAATCTCGTGCTTCGCTGTCCTTCACCACCAGATCGCCTGAACCAAGAGTACCGTAGAAGACGAGGGGTTGATCATCTTCGCGTGGCTCGCGAGTGAGGGGCTGGTTGTTGTTGTCGAACAACTGGTCGTTCTCAGATCCCTGAAAGCCGTACTTCTTCGCCATCCTTCGATTTTCTGATATCGCGGAGAGATATCTCGGAAAATCAGGCTCATGCCTCTCATGCTTTGCTCGAAGTGAAGTAACAGCGCTTAGGAGTGCCTTTGGAGGCTTGTCCAGATGTCCTTTACGGCGGAAGCCGTCCGGCTCCATCTTGCCTAAATCGTATTGTATGACACCTCCGTGTGTGCCTACTGGAAGGCTCACTGCCACATCTCCTAGCCGAACGTTGGGTATCTGGCTTGGTACCCCTCCACCGATGCCTACCATGAGACCGAGTTTGATAGGAAGGCTGCGTGTCATGTGTATAGCAACAGTAGCAGCCGCAGCTTTGCCTTGGTGACCGCCTGGGAGGCAGGCAATAACGACATTGTGCTTACCAATTTTGCCGAAAGTATAGCTGTTGGGATCCTCCGATTTTTGATCCAGTGCCTCATGCTCTTCATCTAGCATTGCTTCTACTGCCGCCTTCTCCTCAAAAAGTGCGCAAATAATGCCGATAGCGTAAGTCTCTGGAGAAAGATCGGAGCTGGCCATGGTCGTTAGTTGGAGAATCAGGAGTAACCAGTTGCTAGAGGCACGAAATGAGTGTTCGATAGCGATAAAATCAGGAAGAGAGCTTCGTGAAAGGCTGGAAAGACAGGCATGTAGGAACGAGATTGCTTAGGATGCTGTAACATGTTGGGAGACTCAGATCACAGCCTCCCTTGAACAAGGCTGCGCCGAATACACGGGATGTTTCCGCAGCCGTGGTCTGCTGATCATGGTAGCTTGCATTTACCCCCCTCCCCATGTGCTAGAAGCAGCCACAATAGCTAGAGAACATGGTCTCCCATAGAGAGGAACCCATCAAAGGTTATCTTAATGGCCAGAGAATCGCAATTGTAATTTCTTTAGCTTATGATGACCCTTATATCTTGGAGTCGTTAGCTAAGTTCTTGACTGTCTTTAGCACACGGGCAGGTCAGCATGTCCAGTTGGACCAGCGACTAGAGGGCGGTGAGCTAAGGAGCAAGCCCAATGAATCCTATGCATGCATCATGAACGCTAATGCATTATCCAAGCCTCAGCTCCAAGATGGGCGCTCCGATGCGGTTGCTGGCTTTGCTACAGCGAATTGAAGTCGACTTCAGGGATAGGCGAACGCCAATGCGTCACATGCAAGGCTGCCCCCAGATGGATGCGGTGATGTGCGTGCTGGCCTTGCTATCGGAGTTGAATATCGAAGAGCAGCCCTTTGTAGGAACACAAGGCGGCAACTAGAAGACACAAACAGTTCGGGGGGCAGTTGGCTGCTTAAGTGTGTTGTAGCTGTACGAAGAACAGCGCTGGAAGGAGCGACCCCCGAACAGAAGTTGCAGAATCAGCTTCGTGCAGCATGTGTTGCCAACGTGTCTGAAACCGCTGCTAACATCTGGCCAGATACAAGCTGATCTTGTCTCGACGAACATTAAAACTCATTTTCTGCATTTCTAGAATATCATTCTTTGCAGGGCAAACTCTTCTGTTCACAACCCACGGATTTACAAGTGCCATAATGGTCTCTCGAAGGGCTCCGCGTACAGTTTCGATCTCTCCGGTCATTCCAGAGGCTTGTACGATCAACACGGTGTCATGTTCTACAGACCTCTCGTCCAAACCAGCAAAGTTCTCGACATCAATATCTGATTCCGTATCTGCCTTCAATCTCTAGAGCATCTCAAAGCATTCTCTGGCGATTTTTCCTTTGGACGGCGCTGGTGAATGAGTGGCAGCCATGGGCAATTCTGGAAATTCTGTGTATGTCTTGTCGAGGTCGTCGATGATGACTATCATGAGATCAAGGTCCAAGTCTTCTTTCTCTTCCATGTTCAATTCGATGGAACGATTGAGAAACTGTTACCAGGCCGAGTCAGCTTTTGTGTGCACTGCAAGAGCACCCGAAGCACTTACCTCTGAGCTCAAGTCTGCCGCGCAGCAAACTGGCAACAAGCACATCGCAAACAGTCTACTATTAGCCTTGGAAAGGAAAGTCGTGATTAGTGGGTTGCACAGCTTGCAAGATATTGCTGAGTAGTTTCGTTTTGTAATAGTGGCAGAGTTCGTGGTTGTGTAGCGAACTGCTGCGACCTCCAGTTGACAAGCAGAATCCTTCTCGTCACCGAAGGATTAAAACAATAATTCACACCGCGTTTGCAACAGCCTTCTCAAATCTAGGCATCGTTATGGTTCCCCTCGGCTACCTTGACTTCGCTACCAGATGAGCAAGAGAAATGGGTCGAATGCTCAATTTATGGAGACTGGCTAGGCTTCCCTATGGATCACAGCTCTTCATCTGCAGCTGCAAAGTTGCAAAATATTCCTGCTCAGGCAGTACGAACTCCGCAGCGAGTCATCACATCTCCTGATCTCTCTGTTCACATCCCTTTCTGGAGACATAGCTTGCTCATCTCGTCAAGCTTGCCTTATGCTATCTTCCTTTTTCCAATGTTCCTGTTCCTAATTTTTCTCAGTTCTCTTCCTCACCTTGTTTGCTTTCCTTCTCGTCATCAGACTTGCGAACCCAACTTTGAATGGTCCATGCATTGACACCTTCAATCAAGCCACTATCGTTGACAAAAGTATCACTTGATTTGAGGGTGAAATTCTCAGCCAGGCGGCCTGCAATGTTTGAGTTGGCGGCTCTTCCCTCTTGTTGCTCAGCTTTCTGAGCCTTCTTGTTGGCTTTTCTGTTCTGGTTCTTCTTGCGGTTCTTGGCTCTTTTGCGCTCGAGAGCTTCTGCTTCGGCGTCGTTGGCTGCCTGAGTTTGCTGTCCACCACTTGCGGTAGTCTCGGTGGTCTGCTGATTGTTGGTTGTCGCGCTAGAGCCGCTGATGATGTTGGCGTCAACAACATTTGAAATACCCTTAGGATCGACCGCGACGATGACCTTCGAGACGGTATCTTCAGACCTGACGTTGTAGTAGGGAGAGAAATCTCTGCTGAAAGTCTCCATATCGACCAGGAGGTAGCCAATCAGACCCTCGTCAATGTTTTCAGTATCAGTAAGTGGATCGAGAAGCAAAGAATCAAAACGTGCATACCAACTTGCGAGCTCTCTCTTCCCAAGCCTTTCTCAAGGTAGCGTGGTCCATGACTCTCTCAGGGTATGTATCGAATTCTTCAATCTTGTGAGCATATCCGAGGTCACGATACAGCTGTCTCATCTCAGACACATCGGCAATCGGACCGCTGTAAAATCCAGGAATAGGCGCCTTCGCTCCCGGCGCCTTTGGAGCCACCTTCAACAAGCCGGTGGGCGGAGCAGACGACACTTGCTTTGCGTTCAGGCGTGACAGCAAAAGGCCACGAAGCTCTTCATCAATGTTGTCGATGGCGTTTGGGTTGAGGGTAGCTGCAGCAGCGCGTTGCAACACACAAGCGTGAGCAGTAAGAAGACGACTTCCCTTTTCGCGGTGTCAGCAGCGAATCATAAGTAACAAGCCATTAGCAATGGAAATACCTCAGCTTGCAACCAGTTAGCATGGCATAGACCCATGACGGCAGCAGAGCAGCTAAGATCGTAAATCGGTAGAGATGCATTGCGCGTGTCAGACATGATATCGTAACTTATGTAGTGGAGCTCATCGCGATCTCCTTCGTCGATGCATCTGAGCAGTGCAAGTAGGCCAGAGCGGCGAGGCTTTAAGAAGTCAGCGAAGGGCATTGTGGTGTGCAAAGGCTGATATTGTGGTATGAGATCGCGTGAGAAAGTCGCGTGGTTGGAAGCAAGTATGAATGAGAAGTTGCGCTGGAGGGAAAGTTGTAGGCAAGCAAGAGTGAGAGTGAAATATCTGACAAAGGAAGATCCCCCTTGTTGTGAAAGTCGGTGTTTGGCAGCAAACGACACTAGCAAACGATTCTCAGCCTAGGGCTCTAGTGATTGTCTGCAACAAAGGCACGCTATTTGATACTGTTTCATTGAGTGCTGCAACTATGCATGCACCTCTCTCACGGTGTCAGATAGCGACATAGAAAGCTGCAGAAAAGCACGATTGTCCTCGAAACCAGAGATGTGAGCATGGAGAGAATTCAGAGAGCTGTGCCTAAGGAAGGTGTCTTACAAGGAGACCTGCTATAGAGCATATCTAAGCAAACACCCCTTACCCAGCAACATCAAAGCACCCACATGAGCACAACTGATCATGATCCCATATCACGTCCCAGAGTTGTATAGTCTGCCACCACTTCTTGATCCACGACAACCCCCACGAGCGCACATTACACTCATGAGAAGGATCATTCAACGTCCACCAGTTGCAATCACAAGACATTCCTCCAGCCTCACGGTGTAGGACCGTCAAACCCGTCACGATACAACAGTACATATGAATCTTGTCTTTGTCCTTTGCATCTCCCCTCCTGGGTTGGAATCGGCAAGTGAAGAAAATGTCTGGCTCGTTGTGCAAGGGAGGGCGAGTTGTATCTTTGTTGATGCCATAGGAGACGTTGACGTGGTCGGGAGATCTAGTCCCAGAGCGGCGTAACCAGATGGATATCCAAGGATGAGCGCGGTATTCCCATTCTTCGTAGATAAGTGCTTCATCACCAATTTCTAGTTCCGTGTGTGGTTCTTTTGGGGTCGGGGATGTTGGGTCTGGTGTAGTAGAGAGACGAGACGTGACTTGAAGGAACGAGTATGGTGGAGGCGGATCAGTGGGAGGATCCATCGCTGCTTGAATGCCTTGATGTGAAGTCTTGACACTTGGATTCTTGACAGATATGAGTGTTCTTGATTATCAGAGAAAAGGTGGTGAACTCGGAAGGGTTGAGACTTATAAAGTTACCAACGTGAGTTAATTATGATGGGACAAAAACGTGGTCGGAAAGAGAATCATCGCAAGTTCGAGGAGAAGAAATGCAATCGTTATGCTTTCATCTTCCCTTTCGAGCATTTGTTTTCTCAGAAGGTTTCTTCACGGGGGGGCAACTTCCTACTTCTCTCGAACGGTCGTTCCTGATTTAGTAGCCTGTTTACAGAACAGATGCTTTGGCCTTAATCTATGTATATGCATGTTTAGACCCAATGGTCCCGCGAAAACGCCACAAGACTCCAAGATGCAAAATCTCTTCTAACTCAAATCGAACCCAGCGCCAGAATTGACAGCATACAACAACTTCTCCTTCAACATCTCCTTACTCGTGTACCTAGGCAATTTCAAGAGATTGATACACGTGCTCGCAGTAGGGAATCTGTGTTCGTCATCTCCAGAGTCCCTGATCGTAAACCTTGGATTCAAAGACCCAAAGCCGAGTAATGGAGCACGAGGAGTCGAAGTCACGAACTTGAGAACTTTGCGTTTTTCTGCATCAGGAAGCTCGAGCATGGTTTGCCAGAAGAGCTGGACGGAAGGATGTTCTTGGCCGTCGTCGCCGATCTGGTAGACGCCGTTGTAGTAGGTGTTGGCACGGAGGTCGGCGATATCGATACTTGATGCTGCACCGCCAATGAGGGTTTGGAGTTCTTGTTGGTTGAACATATTGAGCCAGCTTGGTTGGATTATGCTGGAGAGTCCAGTAAGGAAGGCATCGGTTTGCCGCTTCGATTGCAGGGACAGACGATAGTTGGCGACTTTTGAGATATAGATTAGACGATTGCGTGAATCGACAAGAGTGTCTGTGCCATTGGGTATGAGTTCGTACTCGATAGTCTTCGACTGACCATTGGGCAGTGTGACTGTGCTGTTGACGGCGAAATATGTGCCCCAATCTGCAACCTCCCCAGGATAGTGCTTCAAGCTCATTAGTCCCTGGTACAGTTCCTCGTCAAGGTCACGCAGATCGTTGACTGAAGCTCTGTATCCAGACTCTCTCTTCGCGGCACCTCGACCACCAAAGAGAGCCCACTTGGTGAGGAAGAAAGCAGCGAAATTGATGTCAATGAGAATGCCCTCGTATAAACACTTGCCAACAACGCGACCTAAGAACTCGTATCGTTGCAAGAGATCCTTTACAGATTCGCGATGCTCTTCCATGTCATCAGGGTAGCCAGACTGCCGCAGCATCTCCTTGTGTGCCTCAACGCTGTTCGGGTTGGGATACAAGGAGTGTTGGCTGTTTTCTGTGAATAAGAGCTTCTCGGGATTGAAAGCTTCCGTGGTGATACTGGTCAAGAATTCTTTGGTGACACCTCCGCCATCAATGCCCGCTTCCTGTAGACCAAACTCATCCAGGAAAGTGATCTGAATTGGCTCCTTTAGACCATCACCAAGACTGTAGAACTGCCTGAATGCGTCCTCGAACTCATTCTTGCGGCGAATGCTTGCATGGTGCCGTCCGAGCTCGTTTTCTGGACCACCCATCGATGCAAACGCAATCCTATGCCTCCAAAGATCTGGGTCTGTGTGCCCACCTCTTCGAGACATCATGTCCAGGCGAACGAACTCGCGGAAAATCTGGACTCTTGTCTCGAAAGGTATCATAAAGGGCATGTTTTGTAAGATTTCCAGTCGAGGAGCAACGGATTGCAGATATCGTACTCTACTGTCGTGTCGATTGTTGCGTTGATAGTTCCGCTGTGAACGTGTCATGGAGATAAATTCGGCCTCATCAAACTCTGTATCGGGTTCATCATCTTCGCCGTCCTCATCAGCCTGTCGTTGCAATTGTTGTCGTCGCTCATCTTCGCCGACCACGGCTGTGATGAAATTAGTCATATCAAGTCGAGATGTCATGAGCCAGTGTCCTTTTGGCAAAAAATTTCTTCTCGAGTCTCGCTCATAGATGGAACGGAGTAGGCCAGTGACCAAACCCTTCACATAGTCAAGACTCATACCAACAGTACCTGCTACTGAGACGGTCTGTGGAGGCGCCTCGGGCTTTGATACAGTAGTGTCTGTGTTACTACCAAAGTGGCGACTCAGGTTGGCCTTACTCAGAGGTTCGAGGCTTGTTTCGAAAGACTCTGATATTTCCTGAGAGTTGAAGTGCATGGCAAATCCCAGATTCTTCAAGAAGACAGTCAGATCTTTCAGGTCTTCTATAGGGAGCGAATTGTTGTTATCCTGTGAGTTTCCAAGGAAGACTTCATCGTCCATGATCTTCAGCACAAAGGTAAACAGCTCAAGGAAGATTAGAATGACACGCCACTCTTCGTTTCGTTTGGATTGCTCTGCTTCATAGCCAGGTGGTTTCCAAGCAGAGACAGAAGACTTTGGCGCTCGTAAAAGGTCGACAGCTGCTCGAGGGTCCTTGTGAATATTTGCAAAGATGGATGTCGAGCGCATGCCCTTCCAGAAGTAAGCGATTGCAGGCACAGTGTCTTCCTTGTAAGCCTGATCTCGCGGACCGATATAAAGCCACATGCGAATGTCATCAGCACGTAGAGGAAAGATACGCAGTAGTATCAGGGCATAGCTAGCCAAAAGTTGCGAGTCTGATGTCTCGTCCAGCACTGATGTGTCTGAAGAAGCAGGCGGCCTCGGGATCAACGAACTGATGGCATCTCTGTCAACCAAGCGCGAGAGCTGATCTCTCAGGAAGCTGTTGAGATGGACACGAGCAGGATTTGTGGCGAGCACTAGTCGGTCGTAGTCTTTGTTGGTCATGTCCAGAGCAGGGGCTTCTGGAGCGATAACGTCGGCCAAAGAAGAGAGAAGGTTCGCAACGACTGGCACATAGACCGAGGCGGGTACATTGTCCTTCTTGAGATACATAAATTGGGCAAGGAGCCATAAACGGCGTCTTGTATCGAGTGTTGTAGTTGAAGGTAGATCCGAAATAGCCTGAGCCAGTTTTCGAAAGTCGACTAGGGGGGCGAAGTGGTCTAGGGCGGGCTGTTCAAGAGGAGTGGTAAGGTAGGCGGCGGCGAAGCCTTGGTAGGCAGCGGGGAGGTGTGAGGCAAGAGGAGCTGCCACAGCTTGTTGGAAGTTTGAAAGCGATGATTGGTCTAGTCTGGAGAGGGTGGTGTAGTAGTCGATTGAGATATTCGCTGTCTCATGGGGTATCGTGGTGGCTAGGAAGGTCAGGATAGCGAGCAAGTCTTCGGCGCGTTGAGGCTCAGGCTGCCGTAAGGCATCCAAACAGGCCTTCTCCAGGCGCAAATGGTGTTTTGACGCAGTCGTGTCAAGCGAGTGGTCGTGGACGAAGGAAATGAGGCGTTGGACATCGCTATGGTTGGAGGGCGAGAAGAACAGCAGCAGTGCGTTCAAGCGTTGTATCGGATCGATATTCGTCGCATCTGTAGCATCCCATTGTTTGCGCCATCCATCTCTTGTCTGTGACCTGGAGTTGTGACCTCTCCAAACTCTCTGTATCGTCTTCGCGGCGTTCAGCTCTTGTCGTTGCTTCTGTCGTTGTTGGCGATCTTGGTGGGCGTTCTGTACAGCACTCTGTGGACCGCCAAAGGGGTTGCTGGCAGCGAAGGGGTTCGCATTCTTGCCCGAGAGGTTGACCTGGCGTGGTCTGCGCGATGCTCCGGTGAATGACTGGTACATTGCCTGTCTGCGGCTTTGTCGTTGATCGAGGACGTGCGAGAACGACTAGAGAAAGACGGCGATTGCTGAATTAGTCCAAAGATTCGAAGCCAGTAGAGAACATTCTCGAAGCAAGATATAGAGAGTGTCGGCTATCAAGAGCGGTGGAAACAGCTCGTCGCCGCCAAACAGTGCTTGGATTATCAATGTACAACTCAGACGTCACTCCCTCATGACTCGCGACACTTTCCGCCGAAAATCCACTGTCACCCTGTCGCTATTGACGCCCCCTGTGCCAAAGTCTTTAAGTCCCATTACCCTCCCAGTACAACACAGATTTAAGTAGATGCTTTCAGTAGGCACAATTTCATTCCTAGACAAATGCTATCCATTGAGGGTTCATATAATGTTGCTTCTTGAGGGAAAATTGTCTAGTCTTCTTTTAGTATCATGCATTTCTACAGCTATACGCGTATATACTTTTGAACACGGGGAAGTGCCGCCCTTGACTACTCAATCATTACAAACAGCGACAGGTTTCAGATAATAATCTGACCCTCCCATCGACCAAAGGGCATTCGCATTCAAGCTCGCTGTTGATAGGTCGCTCCTTGTCGCTTCTGCTTGCTTCAACATGAAGGATGCACGCCAAGCTGTCGCATCTTCAGCCTCTGATATGGCCTAGAATCCTTCCGTGACCAAGCCTATCGCGACATGAGGCCCTCACCCGTGATTCATATAACTACCTTCCCTCTGCCATGATAGACCGTATCTCGATAGATTCTAGTCATTCTCATAGCGATGATTCTGAGATGGCCCCTCTCAATCCGACAACGACTACTGTGGAGGATCTCGATCTGGCAGTCGCTCAAGCAGCCCTGAACAGTCCTGATGAACCATGCAAGTTATACAAGAAGCGCTTCATCGGTCTTTTCGTACTGGTCATGCTCAATATTATCGTCAGCTGGGATGTGTGTTGGAAATTTTCATCATGTTCTCAGTGTACAACGCTAATCACCCGCAGTGGTTGACCTTCTCGGCCGTATCCAGCACTGCTGCCCAGTTCTTCCAAGTTTCGGAGAGTGCTATCAATTGGCTCAGCACCGGGTTTCTGTTCGCTTTTGTTGTTGCATCTCCGTTCACTATCTGGGCTCTGCACAGAGGCCCCAAGACTTCGATCGTTATTTCTGCCCTCTTGCTATTCATAGGCAATTGGATTCGATATGCTGGATCTCGTTCTGGCCATCATGGTCACTTCCCAGCCGTCATCGTAGGCCAGATTATCATAGGCTTTGCACAACCTTTCGTTCTGGCTGCTCCCACTCGCTACAGTGATCTCTGGTTCCCCGAGAAAGGTTTGTTTGGTCGGGTTTCTGCCACAGCTATAGCTTCACTGGCCAATCCTCTTGGAGGTGCTCTTGGCCAGCTCATTGGTCCCCTCTGGGCTACCAACCCAAAAGATGTACCAAACATGGTTCTCTACACAGCCATCGTCGTAAGTCTATCAATTTCTGAATCGCGTCAAGGTTCTGACATGTCTCAGTCCTGCGTCGCATGTTTGCCCGCTTTCGTTATTCCTTCAAAACCCCCGACACCTCCTTCTCCCACCGGGGATATCGAAAAGCTCGATATCACTGGTTCAATCACACTGCTAAAAGGCAACAAAGCTTTCTTCCTGGTCTTTGTCGCATTCGGAGTATACGTTGGCTTCTTCAACGCAGTATCGAGTCTAATCAACCAAATCTTCGAGCCATATGGCTTTTCCGAAACCGACGCCGGCATCGCAGGCGCAATTCTGATTTTCGTTGGTTTGGGAGCTTCAGCAATTGTTTCGCCATTCGTGGATCGCACGAAACATTATCTGCGGACAATACAGTTGTTGGTTCCGTTGATTGCAATCGGCTATGTGGCGCTCATCTTCATGCCAGAGACTCGCACGGTAGCAGGGCCTTATATCATTTGCGCCTTATTGGGAGCAGCTTCGTTCTCTTTGCTGCCTTGCGCACTAGAATATCTGGTTGAGATTACATACCCTGCTAGTCCAGAAGTCAGCAGCACGATATGTTGGGCAGGAGGACAGTTGCTTGGTGCCATCTTCATCATCGTCATGGATGCATTGAAGGGTGGGCTTGGTGGCCAGCCCAAAGACTCTATGAAGAGAGCGTTGATCTTTGAGGCTGTGATCAGCTGTTTGGCTGTTCCTTGTGTGTTTGCCCTGAGCTTCTTGCGTAGAGACACTATTGACTTGAACCGACGTGGTGCTGAGAATGCCGTGGGTAGTTCAGCTGAGGAGGGCTAGTCATTTCTACAAGATCAACTATCAATTCATTACCAACCAAATTTACATTCATAAGCAATCCAACCACCCACTAAACTTCTACCTTCTTCGCTCCAATCGCATGAAACAACCTCTTGAACCCTTCCTGCATCACATCGTCCTCCTGCGTAAAGACGATTCGAAACCATCCCGCTTGCTCCGCTTGCAGCAACGAGCCTTTTGTGATGTACACCCCATTGTCTTCCATATTTGCCACGAGTGCGTCTTCGGCTGCCCATTCGTCTTTATGGTCTGTCATGTCTAGGACAGGACGAAAGTTGACCTGAAGTTGTGTCAGCTAAGCCGTCTCAGGAAGAAAGGAAGAGGCTCTACCCACCCAGAGAAAAAACCCAGCATTAGATCCCGGAGAATACTCTATGCCATACTCATTCAGCACACCTGTACAATTCTCATACCTCTCCTTCAAAGCATCTCTACTTCTTTCCAGAAATCCACTTTTCCACTCTTCATCCTCCAACATTTCTGCTGCAAAAAGTTGATTCAAAGGACCACTCCAACTAAACTGCGAGACCGCCGATACAGCCTCCAACACCGCTGTGTTGCGCGAATACAAACACCCAAGGCGCAATCCTCCAGCTGCAAAGTCTTTGCTCATACCATAAACAACATGAAGATAGTCAGGAGAAATATAAGAACTGCTGTCAAAGGAAAGGACAGAGGAAAATGGTGTCTCAGAAGGGGAGGAGGAGGAGAAGACGGAAAGTGCATATACTTCATCAGCAAACAGATGGAGAGAGTGTTTGTTGCAGAGTTGCATAAGTGCTTTTATGACTGCCAGAGGATAGCATCGACCAAGTGGGTTATGGGGGTTACAAAGCAACAAGGCCTTGATTGAAATGCCCTGGTCTCTGGCTTCCAGAAGCGTAGATTCGTAATTCTCAATTGCAGCAGGAGAAAACTGATCAACGTTGCCAAAAGACACAAAAACACATTTCAGACCTGCTCTCGCGCCAAAATCTGCGGGAAAGGCTTGGTAACTAGGCCTGGAGATTAAAATACCATCGTTGGGGGAGCCAATTGCGTAGCCAAATAATTCGCAGAGAGAAGTTATGTCGTTGGCGAAGACTAGGTCATTGGGGTAGATAGCAGAGAAAGGCTGGAAGTATTTGTTCATGTGGTTTGCCATGGCGGTACGTAAGCGTTCGCTTCCCCATGGACCTTCGCCGTAGGTAAAGTCGTGGGGAGAAGTGCGGATTTTGGTGTTGGCGAAGGAGGAGACGTCTTTGGTCATGACGTGCTATGGATGGTGGTTAGAAGAGGTGAGAGATGTTTAGAGAGAAGAGTGCTGTCTCACATTTTCGGCAGTACCCATGTCGACGATGCCATTGGGATTGTCTTTTGGATGGTAGAGATTGCAGAGGAGTGGTTGCAGGCGAGCTTTGAGACTGGTTTGCGCCATTGCTCTACCTCTGTCTGAGAGAGTAGCTTCCGACATGGTTTAAAGAGGCTGCGCTGCCTGGAAGATCGAAAAGGCCAGAACCTAGAAGAAAAATACGAAAAACATGGTGTTGAAGTTTTTTTGTAGATTCAGTAAAGATAGAGCGAGGTATATTGTTGCTGTATTGGCAGGAGATGATATGAAAGTGCGCATATGTTGGGTCCAAAGAGGAGAAGAATATATACACCTACTCTGCGAGCTTGTATTGACAGCTGCCTAACGAGCCGTGGATAACACCTTTGCTACTATCATACCTTGCAGTCATGCAGGCATGAACGGGATGAAGCAAGAGTCGCTGATTCGTCTACTTCTCAGCTCTGCATAGTATTGGTGGGAGATATGATCCGTGACAGGCAGAAGGATAAATTGGAGAAAGGTCGACAGAAAGAGGCAGGAGCGCGTCATAAGGCGGTGAGGTTTCAAGCAAGCCGAGTCAGGGCGCGCCATCGGCGCTTCAGAGACCGACGCTACTGGCGAAGGCGGAGACAAGAGCATGAGCAGCGCAGCAGCAGCCAAAGCGATTCCAACTTGTCTCAATCAGTCCCAGTCCTGCCCTTCCACTCTCTTGCAGACCAGAGCAACCTCATTCAAGCACACTTCTGCCATGCCGAAGCACGCTGTCCCATCCCTGCGTTAATCCCCTCAACGACTGCTTTTTTCTGCCACTCAGTCTCTTGTCTCTTTGATTCCCCTCGCACTGCACCCTCTACGCAACCGCCATGCCACCGACCTCTTCTGTCAGAAAGGCCTCGGTAGCCACTACCGATACGAACTCTGGCCGTCGCCAGTCTGCTCGCCAGCCGCGAACCTCTACCTCGAGACCAATTAACTACTATGCCCGCACCTTCGGCCAGCTCGACAACAATGACAACCAAGATCCTGAACCACCAGGCTTCTTTCCTGCCGTCCAGTATTTCGCCGACTCGATCGCTGCCCTTCCGCGTGAGGTTCAGCGTCACATTACATTAATGAAAGAGGTCGAGGCCAAGGTCTACGGTCCTACAGAAGCCTTGAAGTTTCTAACCTCCAGTATTCTGAATAAGCCCGCCCCTCTATCTCGCAATCAACCCTCCTCTCCACGCTTACTATCCTTCACCGCCCCTCCTAGCGCCACGGCGAGTCTGGCTGGCTCTGTCGTCAACGGAAACCAGCCTCTCACCTTCGACCAGCGCGTTCAAGACGACCTCGAGTCGCAACAAGACGAACAAGCCGATCATGCAAGGCGCGCAGAGTTCCAGTCCCTTCGTCATGTCATTGGTAACATGATCACCAACCTTGACGAGAAGAACGTCGTCATGGCAGAAGCCAATCGCGCACTTGCCCAACAACTCGCTCGTCTCGACAGCGTCATGCCCCACATCGAGAATGAGATTAGCGAAGAGTCGCGTCTGGGAAGTCTGACACACTGGGCCTACCAGGACAATCGCACCAAGAAACAGACTACAACTACACAAAGCGAGCGCAACAGAAGAGACGTTGCAGCCACAAGCAGTCTTGCCGCTGCTGCAGCAGCTGTCCACGACCAAGACATTGCCGCAGCTAGAGGAGAAGCAAGACGCGAAACCAAAAAGACAAATCGTGCTCAAGCCATGGATTCGGACTTTGACGATCGTCCGACAAAGAGAGCGCAAACTGGAAAGTCGCGAAAGAATGCAGACGCAGAGCCAAAAGGCAGTGGGTTGGGAATTGCCAATGGCACAGCTAGTGCTGCTACAACCAAAAGAAGAAAGGTCGAGAAGGCTCCTGCTGCTGCTGGTGCACCAGCCATGGAGCGCTCGGCAAGTAATATGAGCAACGTGACCAAAGCCGCAAGAGGTGCTGGCAACACGACACCAAGATCGACACCAGCAGTCGAGACAACGAAGAAGAAAGGAAAGCCAGGTCCTGCCCCTGGCACTGGAGCTGGAAAGAAGAGGTATACAAGGCCGGAACCCTTACAACGCGTACACCAGCTAATACGATTGACAGAAACACGGCCCTCAATCAAATCGCAAACTCACCGAGATTATCCAACTCGTCGCCCGTGCTTGGCAATGCACAACTACAAGCCGAAACCATCTCCAGACCTACATCCTCCCGCATGCGCCAAAACTCGAATTCAAACTCCACGTCGAACCTACAGCATTCGCTACTTCCCGAAAAAGAAGTCAGTCGTCCAGCGTCAGCCGCCGACAACAAATCTGTCAATGGCAGTACCAATGGCCTTGTCGAGCCAGTTGCACCTTCGATCGCGTCAAGCAAAGAAGCCAAGGAGAGCGTGGAAGAGGTGGAAGAAGACACAATGAACATCGACAAGGCCGAGAGCACTGGGCAGAAACACCGACCCGAATCTTTGAAGAACGAAGATGTGATTATGGAGGATGCCAGTACCGAAGTCCGACCAAGGCGAGGATCGATAACGTCAACTCCACGCACAGAGGCGTTCCCTGAGGTGGGCATGTCACGAACTAGGGGCAGACATCTTCACAATGGACGCTCTCGTGGTAGCAACACGCCAGACCATTCTGCATCCGGACAGGATAGAAAAAGCCGAGGCAGACGCAAGAGCGGCAGTGGAGCACATATTCTTAAACAGATCGCCAGCTTTAATCGCAGCCCAGATGCAGGTAGGCGTCGCGATGAGAGTAAGGATTCGGAGATTTCAGAAGACGATGGACATGGAAGATCGTCACGAAGAAGCCAACCGCCTCGTGTCACGACAGTGTCGAGAAACAGACGCGATCGTGGAAATGGATCACGAGGAACGACTACGTCTCGACGAACAGAAGCATCGCAAGAAGCGGACGACGAGCCAGCTGAAGTCGAGATGGAAGGAGAAGGTGAAGAGGCGGGACAAGTGGTTGATGAGGATGAAGGTGAAGAAGGTGAAGATGGTGATGAGCCCAAGTACTGCTACTGTGGACAGGGCAGTTTTGGCGAGATGATTGCATGCGACAATGACGACTGCCCGATGGAATGGTTCCATCTTGGGTGTACAGGACTGCGAGCAGTACCAGGTGATAATGGTGAGTGCGATGATGTGTCTTTGTTCATGCAGTTACTGACAAGTTCAACAGTCAAATGGTTCTGCGATGTGTGCAAGGAACCCAAAGGCAAAAAGGCCAAAATGATGGCAGCCAGACATTGATGGGCATGACGAAGATGAATTTCTTGGGAACATGGCGTTTATAGAAGGCATTGCATGGACAAGAGACGTTGGATAGTGTTCGGACATGGTGTGAGTAGGACTAGGGCAGGACAGAAGTAGCAATGAAATGTACATGGCCGGTGAAGGCCGTTTCCTGATAGATGTTCATGGTCAAAGGCGGTGAGGATGAGGCAGTAAGTTAGAGCTGTCGGCAGGAGCGGGAGCATGACGCGTGCCTTCCGGGGGCTCTGGCTTGGCTGGGCGTGGGCGTGGGCTGTGGACACCAACTGCATCTCGCGGGGTCTTGGATGCTTCAAGGAGTCGACCAGCTCGTCAACTCTACCCATTCACTCATACAAGACACTCGACATGGCTGACGTGCCCATTGGTACGCGCGCATTCAGCCCTCATACAGCTCGTCCAATGCGCTGACAGACACACAGTGCTCGATGGCGGAACCGGTTTCCTCAAGGCTGGTTACGCCGGCCAGGTACGCCAACTACCATTACACGTCCATATACCGCTCAATCCATACTGAAACGCCGACTCTATACAGAACTTCCCCGAGCAACAGTACCCGTCTATCGTCGGTCGCCCAATCCTCCGTACCGAAGAGCAGACTGGCCTAGATGTCCAGCTCAAGGACATCATGTGCGGTGACGAGGCTGCCGCTGCCAGATCCATGCTCCAGATCACCTATCCCGTACGCCGCCCTCGGAAATACCCTCGAAATGCTTGTGAAAGCTAACGCGACGCCATGCAGATGGAGAACGGTATCGTCAAGCGCTGGGACGACATGCAACATCTCTGGGACTACACCTTCTTCGAGAAGATGAAGGTCGATCCTACCGGCCGCAAGATCCTCCTCACCGAACCACCAATGAACCCCTTGAAGAACCGCGAAATGATGGCTGAAGTCATGTTCGAACGTTACAACTTTGGTGGTGTCTACGTCGCCATTCAAGCCGTGCTTGCCCTCTACGCCCAGGGTCTGTCATCTGGTGTCGTCGTAGACAGTGGTGATGGTGTTACCCATATCGTTCCCGTCTACGAGAGTACCGTCCTCAACCACCTCACCCGCAGACTCGATGTTGCTGGAAGAGATGTCACGCGCAACCTCATCTCCCTCCTCACCCGCCGTGGTTACGCCCTCAACAGAACCGCCGATTTTGAGACTGTTCGCGCTATCAAGGAGAAGCTCTGCTATGTTTCCTACGATCTCGCTCTTGATAAGCAACTCAGCGAAGACACCACTGTTCTTGTCGAGTCCTACACCCTCCCCGACGGTCGCGTCATTCGTGTTGGTTCTGAACGCTTCGAAGCTCCCGAATGTTTGTTCCAACCTCACCTCGTCGATGTCGAACAACCTGGTATCGCCGAGTTCCTCTTCAACACCATTCAAGCCGCCGATGTCGATGTCAGATCAAGTCTGTACAAGGCTATTGTCTTGTCTGGTGGTAGCAGCATGTACCCTGGTCTTCCTAGCAGATTGGAAAAGGAATTGAAGCAACTTTGGCTCACAAAGGTCTTGCAAGGAAACCCAGAGAGATTGAGCGTGAGTAATCTTGAGATTTTACATGACATCCACACGGCTAATGATTGCGCAACAGAAATTCAAGGTCAGGATAGAAGACCCGCCGAGAAGAAGGCATATGGTCTTCTTGGGAGGTGCAGTCCTCGCAAACATTGTAAGTCTTGAAATATTTGCAAAGAGCAAGGGCACATACTAATCAATGACAAACAGATGGCCGACAAGGAGAGCATGTGGATATCCAAGCAAGAGTGGCAAGAACAGGGTACTCGTGCCTTGGACAAGCTGGGCGCTCGATGAAGAAATCATCAACATTCATACAACTAACGAAATCCTCCCAAATGCAAATACCAAATCAGAAAGCCTTGAGTACATTCTCCCATATTGGACTTTGATGTGCTATGTGCTCATGTGTTCTTGCCGCTTAACACATGTCATCAAGAAATCGTCGTTGAGAATTCGATATCGATGCTGGTCGATAATACAGTAAAAGTTTGACGCTTTGCTCAAAAAAGATTTCACAACTTCTTGGGTAATGATGAAATCGTCGTACAAAAGACAGAAAAAAAGATGTTTATTGATGAATTGCGCCCTGCACAGATCTTTCCAAATGCCACCCACTCTTACGCTTCTGTCAAAAACCCACATAACCCATTACTAACCACGTACCTGACCTCTCCATTTCCGCCACTATACCCAAAAATTGCTTTTGCTTGTTGAATTGGACATTGTGCCTCTGCTTTCCCTGCGTCTTGCTCTGCCTCTCGCACTTCCCCCGTTCCTTGTTTGTTATCGTTGTTTCTCTTCTTCTGCTGTGACGATGTGTTGGAGAGGAGGGTAAGATAACAAGACCCCTTCTCCCTACCTTCAGCTTGCCAGATACTCCACGCACATCCTTCCCTCTTGACACAGTGCTCACAACAAATTTCCGGGTTTTCTGTTTGCAGGACTTGCACTTCTGTCTTTATTCCCTGTTCTATTCCTTGGCCAGCTAGGGGCAGGGAAACGCCATTGATCCTTTTATTCTTCGAGGTCTGGGAGAGGAGGTTGGAAGTTGCGCAGGCGGCATAGGAAGTCACCGTTGTTGTGGCGTGGAGAGTGAGGACAGAGGTGGAAGTGAGGGTACGCGTGTGGGTGAACGAAATCGTATAGGGAGTTTTTGTCACTGTGGTTGTGTTTGTGACGATAGATGTCGGTACGACAGAGGAAGAAGAAAGATAGGATAAAGCGATAGAAGCCAGAGGGGCGCGGGAGTGGATTGGTGTGAGTGGACTTGTGATGCTGAAGGCGAGGGTATCTCTTTTCCTCTCCTTGTGCTTTGCTTGCGATACTGCTGCCGACAAGGAAGTGCTTGCAGAGGCCGAGGTTGAAGCAGAGCCGGAAACAAGAATAGTAGATGTAATGGTCCCATATACCGTTCGATTCTTGTATACGGTTTCTGGTCGCAATGTCACGGTGGCGAGTTTACTTGCTGTAAGAAGCAACACCTCTGTCGTGTGGATTTCTTCCCATTGTTTGCAGGCGACTCTTGCCGCAAAGTTTCCGGATGTAGGTTTGACCAGTTTGGGTTTTGGAGAAGGCTTGTTTTGGCGTCTGGAGCGAGGGTGGTGTGCCACTGCAGTTGCACTTCTCTTTCGTTTTTGGTTTCCGTTCGAGACAGCAGCAGATGCAGATGCAGAAGACGCAGCAGAAGAAACAGTGTTGTTCCTCACACCCACAAACCCAGTCGGAGCATCAACCCATTTGGTCGTCCTACTCGTCAAAAACCTCGTGCTCACCACCGTCTTGGTAGTGGTGTCGTGTTCCCAATGTGTGCTCGTCCCAAACTTGGTCATTGTAACATAAAAAGTGCCATTTGTTGCTTGTGCCTCTGTAGTGACGGTTTTGGTAGCCAACACACTGAACAGCGTAGAAAATGGTTTCGGCGTCACAGTGGTAGTGGTAGTGGTATAATTGTGTAAAACCACAGGAGACAGTTCCAGTGGGGAGGGGAGGGTTGAAGTTGAAGTGGGAAGAGGCAAGGGAGCCGAGGAAGTGTCGTATATGGTCGAACACAGGAGCGTTGTTGAGGTTGTGAGGTGGGATGAGAGGGAGAGAGCCAGTGTTGCTGGCAAGAGCATCGTAGACGCAAGAACTGTGGTCGGCTTCATCTTTGCTCCTTCTATCCTTTCCAGATCCAGTCCAGAGATTCGTTTTTGAGCACGCAAGGAAAGAACTCACAATGATATCCAAGGCCAAAAATGTCGTAGCGATAGTCCAGCAAATGGTATCAGAGACAATATCGCAAATCAAAAGTACCATACAACAGGAAAGAACAGAAACAACAAATGGAAAAAATGGTTATACCTTGATCCTAGATGATCATCAACCGGCTTCTCCTATCCCTTTGGTGCCTACTAGAATAAGGGTTGCCGTAGCCAAAACGGTTCTCCTGGAACGGTTGGATCTATTGCTGCCCATCACCAACATCTTTCTCGGCACACAATGATCCAGATTTCGATAACGCACATGGCGATCACCTACTTGATCTTTCAAAACACCTACCCGTCCAGTCGCTGCGGTGGAAATATGCATATCGCAGCCATCATACTTGATTCCATGCAGATATCAAAGATGGAAGTGGAGACCGGCTCGAAAAAGTGCATTGCCCCCTGCCAAGACAAGGGTCCGCTTCGACCACCAAGGTCATGACAGCATATCAAAAACTAAACACAGTCTGTTCAACATCAAGATGGAGATGCAATTGTACATTGTATATAAGCAACGAAACAAAGGCTACAGAGTTCAAGCACCGAATAAGAACAGCAAATTCGGCCAGGCCAGACTCCATCAATCTCCTTGTATCATCATCATCAAAAAGAGAAAAACCAAGATACAGAAGAAGCTTATAAGAAACGCCAGTCGTGGATGGTAATAACCACAATATCCCCCCTGTCCCTGTATAGAAGATCTTGTATCTGTCTTCGTATGCAATTGCGCTTTTTTCTCTTTTCTCATCGTGAAGAAAATCATATTCCCAAAACTCCGTAATACTTGGTATGTGTCTTTACATGATAATCGAGGGAGTGTCGACGTTGGCCTTGATGCTCTTGTGAGGGAGAACACTGGAGTTTGTGTTAGTTGAGGATCAAGAAGAGAGTCAAAGACTAAAACATACCTTCCACCGTTGACGTAAATCTCATCACCAACAGTCACGTCGTCACCGAGAACGCAAATGTTCTCAAGACGAGCCCAGCGACCGACAACGCTGTTCCAGCCAACGATTGTGCTCTTGACCCAGGCGTGCTCCTTGATCTTTGAGTTTGAGAGAAGGACACAGCGTTGGAGTCTGACACCATCACCAATGACACAGTTGGGACCGATAACGACATTGGGACCGATCTTGCAGTTGTTTCCAATCTTTGCTGAGGGGTCGATCATGACGTTACCGCCGTGAACATATGACTCGGAGGTGGAAGCGAGCTCCTTGCTGCCCTTCTTGGTGAGGGAAGAAAGGTACAGGCAAGTTCCGGAAAGGAAATCCTTGGGCTGACCAACATCCATCCAGAAGCCTTCAAGATCGAACGAGTGCAATTGACCATCCTTGGTCATGGCAGGGAAAGTCTCTTGTTCGATGGAGGTAGGGCGGAGGTCGATGCGGCTGAGGACGCTGGGGTTCAAGATGTAGATACCGGCGTTAATGCGGTTACCGACAAACTCGATGGGCTTCTCGACGAAACGGTCGATGCGAGAGGGGTGGTTGGGCTTGTGAACAACGACACCGTACTTTGAGGGCTCCTCAACCTTTGTGACAATGATGGTACCCTCATCACCGTGGGCCTTGTGGAAGTCGGCCAGTTGCTTGAAGGGGTAGTCGCAAATGACATCCGAGTTCAAGACAAAGAAGGGAGAGTCGTCCTTACCGAGAATCTTCTCGGCGAGCTTCAGAGGTCCAGCAGTGCCCAAGGGCTCGGTCTCGACGGAGAAATCGATCTTGACGTTGTATTGTTGCTCGTACTGAGGGAGGTGTCAGGATTGCGCAATTCAGCGACCTTGTGGAAGTGAATATGTACCTTTTGGAGAGCAGCAGTCATAATCTCGGGACGGTAGTTGACGGCAAGGACAATGTTGGTGACACCAGCAGCAGCAAGAGCAGCGACCTGGTGCTCAATCATGGGCTTGTTGGCAAACTCGACCAGCGGTTTGGGGAGAGTAAGGGTGAGGGGACGCAGACGGGTACCGAAACCGCCGACGAGAATAAGAGCTGCATGGCATTGTCAGTCATGGTTGTTCTCATGGGCCCTCAGCTCAGGGTAATGAGGGGCAGGTGGGCGGCTACTCACCCTTCATGATGAATTAAGTGTGGAGGGGTTGTTGATTAGAGTAAGAAGGTAGCAAGTGTGGATTGAACCTGGATGATCAAAAAAGTAAAGAAGCGAATGGAGGAAGAAATTACAAGGGACAACTCGGTCAAAGGATCGCGAGCGAGGCTGACGACGGCTGCTGCCACTTTACATAGTGAACAGCGTGGCCGAGTCCAATTCAAGGGGGGCAGCCAGTCCGAACGGCTTGGCAAGCACCCCCGTGGCCTTTGGCTGGCCGCTGCCACTCCCCTTGCTTCTAATTTCGAACACAACGGCCACCAGCTCCTGATGACACGAACACGACCTGCGCCAGCCGTCTGAGCCCCTTTACACTTTGACTGAGCGGACAATCACCTTGTGACACCACGTGCTGGCTCTGTTCATGAAAATGTCTGTTTTTGTCCGACCTGAACATGTCGACCTGTCTAAATCTGTATGTACCATGTAACAAGCAACACCCCTGTTTTGCGGCTAGTAGTATGCGCCTTCAACGCCGCGCCCGACAATATGCGAATCTTCGTAGAACATGGCCTACCAACTCTTTACATTTTATATATTCCAAGCCACCATCATGCATTTTACTCGTTGTAGTGGTAGACAAAGTAGTTGGGCACTCCCCAGCTGCTCCATCCCAATCGCTTTGCCATCTTTGCGAACCCTTCTGTCTCGATAAGGTGGTAGAAGGGGAATGGCGGGAACATGGCGCCGTCTCTATGAACATCACCCTTGACGAGCAATGCTGTTCCGCCGACACCGTCCAAGTTGACAATGTCCTTGGGGTTGCCTCCAGGATCTGTAAAAACTGTTAGCTCGTTCCTTTGTTTTTCTCTGTGGATTTACGTACGGCTCATGTATGCCATCAAGCTTCTATATGTGGCCATCTCTGCGTAGCCTTCGAGCAAAATCTCGTCAGGGCCCATCTTGGAAGCCAAATTCTGGGCAGTGTTGCTGTCTATCCAGCTGTTGAAATCATAAGGTCTGACGTCCATAGCACCCTTTTCCTTGTCGTAGTAGCGCTGGAAGCAGTTGGGAACAATGATGGGCTTGTCGAAAGCGGCCAAATCCTGAATCAATGTGTGAGGAGTCTCGACAATGTCCGAATCAAGCCAGAGGACCCACGAAGTGGTAGGGCCAAGAGTTGTGAAAAGGAGAGCATTTCTTGCGCGCGACATGGCAGCACGGCGCTCTTTCTGGGCCGACATGGCATGGCGATCGTGCTCAGACTGGCTAGTGAGCGGTGGCTCGTCTTCTTGTCTGAGAATTGTGATGGAAGCAAAGCGCTTGCTGCTTGCTTGAGTTCTGGCGATCTGTTCCTGGAGCTGAGCAGTTGCAGCATTGCCCTCGCGACCTTTGGGGATGATGAAGCCCAAGCTGATGAGGTCGTGGGGGTATGACAGAGCAACGAGGTTGGTCCAGTACTCTTCGTAAAAGCGGGCGAGGGGAGTGAGGATGAGGACACTCTCACGATTGCCGATGGGGTCGGGAGTGTTGGTGACATTGTTCATGTGGTAGTGAACGACTGGCGGAGGAGGGGCCTTTTCGCCGGCCTTGAGATTGGACTTGAAGAAGGGCAGCGATGGAGGGGAGAGGGCGTTTGAAGCAGCATCTTTGGATTTGAGTAATTGTCGTGCACCAGGGACATGCAGTGCAGGTCCAGCGTCGGTGGATGAGAAGATGAAGATGAGGAAGCCGATGGTCAGAAGGCCGGCCAGGACCAGTGTGATAGGATTGGTACGGCGAATCGATCGTGCGACGGCCATTGTGAAGGCTGTCAGGGAAGGGTAAGCAGGCGACCAGCGTGTGTATCAAGGAGCAGCATACGAAGGGGGAGCTGTTCCTATGTGGCTATCGGATGCTGAGCATAACTCAGCCTGGAGATGTGACAGATGTTCAGAAAGGTACGAGATGTCAATGAAAGGCTAGAAACACAGAACACTCGAGTGCACCTCCTGGAAAGAGGGTGTCAGAAGGAACAGCGACAGAGTTTCTTGAGGACAACGGAGGTCCAACGCTTTTCCCGACGCGTACGTACAAGCAGCAGCAGCAGCAGCCAACAGCCAACAGCCAGCAGCGACTCGGCGGCCGCCAGCCAAAAGTTGCGGAGAATCTGCCAAGGGGTTCCCATGCAACTCAGGAGCTTGTTTCAGAGATCGTCCGTGCTTCCATCTTTTCCTCCCAGTCACGTCACCATCGCTCTTTCCTGCTGCACTTGCATGTTGTGGTCTTTTTGGAGGAAACAGGTCAATCATGCTGCGTCGCACATCGCAATGCCTGTCACGGCGCCAGATTTCGCTCCTAAAGCCACGCTGTCTCAGCACCACTGTTCCGCATGGACTGGCCACTCCGACTTCTGGCTTCGCTCCAACATGGGACAAGATCAAAGAGACATTGAAGCCTCCGATCGACCAATTCATGCCAAAAACTCGCCCTTCCTACACCATTGATACTCCCTCGCCAACAAACTCCAATGATCCTCTGCGCACATGCACCGTCCTAACTTCGAATCCCTCCACCACTTCTCTTCAACAATTGCTCGATCAAATTCCTCAATTCCAACCAGCCAACGAGTCTGGTCTCTTTACCGACTTTCTCCTCCTCGTCACCCCTTCTTATGCCGCAAGTCTGCGCAACCAAAAGCATGGCATTGAACAAGCCTTGACCCGCATCTTTCCTGCCAAAGAGTTGGATAGGGACACACACAACTCGCTCGGAGGTGATTCTAGAGAAGCCGTTAGACTCGTCGCCGCTGTCGTCGATAGGCTGCCCAAACCTTCTGATCTCTCTGCTTCTGCTGTTGGTGACACGGGCTCCGAGGGAATTGCCCTACGATTGATTGCCAACGAGAACCCAATCTGGAAGCCTGAACTCGCAACTGAAGACCCTCGTGCTGCTCTCTCTGACAACAAGTTCCGCTTCTTGAGTTTCCACCTCAACGATGCATCTACACCTCCTCACATGCTTCCAATCGTCCAACTCCCTCTCGCGAACACCATCTTCCACAATGGTTTATCCTCGACTTTGATCTGGCGCAAATATGCTGTACAACAAGGTGGAAAGGGTCTCACTCAGATTGGCGAACAAGTCTGTGACTCGCACCGTGTCAAACTTCCTCAGCCAGCGGCATCTCAGGAGGCCAACAATCTTGCTCTGTCGGTGCCTTTGGTACCATTGACATCTGCCAGATCTGTTGTTGCATGCATGGGAAACATCATCCGTCGCTTGTCTGCTAATTCTGGTCTCGGCCCTGCGGATGACTCAAAAGAAGCTATCCTAGCCTCTCACGAGCTCGAGCAGTCTGTCACTTCGTACCACAAGACCCGTGGCCTCTCTCCTCGCGCCGTTTCTGTATGGGCTCTTGTCATCCCAGAGAAGACCTTCACCGGAGGCTTGTCCATGGCAGCCAAAGTCCTTGGCGAGCGAAATCTGCCCGAGTTGTGGAAGGCTGGTTCTGATCATCACACCGACCCCTCTCAGCCCAACCTTTTGACCTTGTTACAGAATGGAGCTCGTCTTCACAAAGTTTTGTCCGGAGGTGGTGGTTGGGGCAAGAAAGCTGGTCTGCTGTCCTTGGATCCCGATTCTGGTTATGGTCAGCACCCATCCTGGGAAGAGATTGCGCCAGCACAACAGACCGAACCTGAGTACATCCAAGGTTTGTCACCCGTGCCAGCAGATTTGCATCGCGTCTGGGGTGTTGAGCCTCAAGAACTGCCTAGCATTGTGAACAAGGGAGATTATATCCAGTTTTACATCTCACCACCAGCCTCTTCTGAAGAAGCACCTGCACAGTCTGCACCGACCACGAACACGCCAGACCAGACTATGTCGAATGTCAAGACTGTAGAGTTTGGCAGTATTCCCAGCACCGTCGATGACATGCCAAGCAGTCAATCAGCTGCTGCAGCTGCACAAAGTGATGTGCAAGTCTACCCGAACCACTTTGGTGCTTTGTCCGAGACCGGTATTGCCATGTTCTTCGGTTTGCAATCAGACAAAGCATCATCTTCGAACATACGTGATGCCACTGATGCAGCCACAAAGGTCGACGTGCCTTTTGGTCGAATCAGGTCTCGGTCGCAAGTTTCAGCAGCATCTTCCAAGCCAAAACAGGCGCCGACGGGCTTTGGTTTCTCACCAACTCAGCCGCTACAGTCGATGATGTGCGGCCCCTCTATCTCACGGCAGCTCCTGTAGGTAGCCTGTGACACATCAATTTCAGCACTTCGACCAACCTGACTCAGTATAGATCAAGCTAAGGCAGCCATTGAAATACAAAGCCGAACTATCAGCTCGAGCAGCGTCTATCGAGATGAGCCAGTGTGTCTGAAGGACACCGACAGCACTATCTGGCAAAGTGCCTCAAAGTCAGCCATCTCTCGTCGTAAGCTCAAGAAAACTATGCGGATACCGAAACAACCAAACAAGAATTGGACTTCTAAAGATATCAATGAAGCGCGTAAAGCACTAAAACAAGCTGGTCCAGACTCTGGATCGTCAAGGCTCGTTTTTAGAAATCTGCGCATCATGAAGAGGCATGCAGAACATACACCCTTTTCCGAAGAGTTCTTGAGCAGTCTCAAAGGTCAGAAACTTCAATCGTGGGCCGAACAGACTATGCGAGAAGTAATTTCTCCCGCGGCCTTTGAACAATGGGAGATAGATCAGACCATCCCTAAAGAACCTAACGACATTTGGTCAGATAAAGATATTCGCAAAGCTCACACCTTCAAGAAGCGACAATGGAAATTGCAAAAAGCAGCAAACAAGCAATTGTATGAAAACAAGGTTCCGTTAGCCACGCGAAAAATGCAAGACGTCCTTACGCCCGAGGCCTTCAAGCAATGGGAGAAGGACAAGACTATTCCTGAGAAGCCTGATGAAGTCTGGTCAGAGACGGATATCCGCAGAGCTCGTATCTTCAGAAGGCAGAAGTGGGAATTGCACAAAATTCCCAAGAGCCTAGAACTGGACGCGACTCCATCAATACCTAAGCAACCTCGACAACAAAACGCCTCAACCAACCAGCACAAGCAGGAAGCAAACTTCAACCATGTAGAGGGAACATCAGGGAAAGAGACAGCAACACAAACAATAACATCCCTAAGACTGCAAGCCCAGGCCCGCGCCCGCAGTCGTGTTCTCCAAGAGGCCTTTCGAGGGCTACTCTCGCCAGCGCAACAGCACCGTGCTAGCCTTCAAAGACCTTCAACCCTGTCCAAAGGCTCTCATATCAGCGAACCACAGCTCACGAAGCGCGTCATGCATCTCATTACCATGCATGAGCCTGGGTGCCCTCGCATACGCATCTACGAATTGCTGGATAGAGACTCAGTAAGCCAAGCAGAAAGTCAAGAGAAGGTTATGCAGCAGACTGAGATGAGAGATCAGCTCGGCAAGTGGAAGACTGCAGCTGAGGAGTTAAGTGAAGCTATCGGAATGAAATGGCCGGAAGAAAGCAAGAAGAAGAGGTTAAAGCACGTCGTTGAGAAGGAGATGGAGGAGATTAGGTGTGTGGAAAAGAGTGTTGAAGGGTTTCTGGTTGGATAGAGAAAGACGAAGATATGGCATAGCATGTAAGATAGGTTTGATCATCAGTGTCATGATGTGTGGATAGCGTTCTCGTCCTTTTCTATGTACAAAGACCTTCTCCTCATTCAACAAAAGTCTCAAAGAACACGTAGGTCCACTCTCCCAGAAGCCAGTGTGCAAAACCAGCCTCGATGCAATAAACAACCACGGCGCCCTCAATGCTATAAATCAGAGAGCGTCCAGACTCAATCAACCTTTCGCCTCTCCTCCCCCTCACCGCCACTCCCCAAGAGTCAAACGACCTGCACCTGACTCTTCGTCCTGCCGGCAAACCGATTCCTGTATAGAAACCCAAATACCGTCGCCAAAATCCAGACTCTAAGTACATCCAACCAGGTCCTCCAGCTCAGCGCTGTAGTCTCCTTGCTGTGATCGTACTTCCTACACACCTCCAAAAATAGCTTTGGATCATCTGTAATGACACCGTCTAGTTGCTTTCCTATACACCATTTCATCTTTGAGGGTTCGTTGACCGTCCATGCTAACACGGGTTTATTGTTTGCCTTTGCGTCGTGCAGGAAAGAGGACCCGCCTGGTGCCATGAGGATTGGTAACAGCATGTTGAAACTGACGTTTGGGACGGTGAGGAATTGGCGTGCGTAGGAGAGCGAGAAGCCGATGTGTGTGCATGCGTAACCGGGCAGGTAGTCAGCTACCAAAGGAACGTATTTTGCTGCCCAGCACCCAAAGACGATTCTTTGGCTCCAAGGTCTGTCGGGCAGTGCTGGTACGCTTGCTATCGTTTGAGCGATCAGGCGAATGATGTCGTCAGAATTGTTATCCAGTTTTATATCCAACAGCACCCAAATGTCTTTTCTTTCTTCGTCAGCCAGAAACTCTAATAGATCTGCCAGGCGCGGCATATGTTGCTTCGGCTCCTGCGTCGTGAGGAGTGGCTGTATAAAACTCCAATCGCAATCTATGATTTTCTCGGGACGGCCGAAACACCGGTTTAATGTGTTGTCGTGGGATAAGACGACCACACCGTCTTTGGTGATGTGCACATCGGTTTCTAGTGCGTGGGCACCGATGGAGATTGCACCGGAGAAAGCGGCCAGAGTGTTTTCTGGAAACTTTGCTTTGTAGCCGCGGTGGGCTATTGCTTGGGGGAGGCGTGGTTGGGAGGGGTCTTCTGGTTTTGTGGATGACATTCTGGAGAAGGGGAAGATATCTAGAGAAGGAATGAGAAAAACTGGTATTCAAAGAGAAAAGTGAAAAGTAGAGATTCAAAATAACTTACTCGTGGGCGTTTGGGAGCGTCCCTCCAGATGTGTCTTGTCAGACATTTGTTCAAAGCAGCCAGGTTGGGTAAAAACAGGTGGAACAGAAAGACGGCGCAACAGAGGTGTTTCTTCGTCTGCCGCCATCACTTTTCGATGTCGAACAACAGATGTCAGAATCTTATAGATCTTTGGCGATCGCAAAATGTTTTGGACTTGTTTAATTATTCTCCGCGGCGGGTTGAGAGGAGGCCTGAGGGCTTTGATATATGTGGTCGCGAGGCACGGAAATGTGATATGAATGATCTGCGACAAGGGTATCCGTGTGTCGTGTATTGCGTTTCAGCTTAGTGGTTTTGATAGGTTTCTAGACGAGTTGGCGCAAACTTGGGTGATGAAGGGCGTCCGGCGTTGTTAGATGTCTTTCCAGCGACGAAGATTCTTATGCTGTATGTTTTTGCAAAGAGGAAGAGAAAGAGTTGGAAAGAGTTTCAGAGGATTTGAAAGATACATAGGTCATTCGGGGACAGTAAGCTTCCAACAGTCCACGGTTGAGGCTAGTGGAATTGCATCGCTGTCCCCGTTGCCCTCGCCCATCTTTGCTCGTTCGGCGTGCGTGGGCCAAAGCTAGCGCCACTCACTAAGGTTTATAGTTAATTTTAAGCATCGTCGGGGTCAATCGTTTTGACCGATCTTTTGGGTGTCAGTTAGCCAAATCCTCCGGTTCGTTTGCCAAATCAACGCCCCTTCGCATGCGACATGGCTTTGCTCAAGACAGTCGAAGGAATATCTTATCGCACATTTCAAGGAGTAGACGATACAAAATATGCAGCATCCCGAAACACTCTCGTACTCTCGTACGCTGACTCGGCCGCTACAGAAGCATGACCAAGCTGAGACGTGGTTAGAAGGACGGGAGCGAAACTGCTGGTCTGCCGTAGAAGCCTATCATCGCTGTCTACCGTATCTGTGACCTGTCACTTCGGACATGTTTCGCTTCTGCAATCAGATAGCCTCATCAACAATTGCAAGAAGCTCTGTCGTGTTCCCAGTTATCTTGACGCAACGTTAGATGTTCCCCTTGAAGCTTACCAAGCTTTGGGATCGCCCGCAAGCATCTTTTGCAACATGACAGCTTGCAGCTTGCAGGTGGAGAGTCCCTGTCAGGCGCGCGGGTGCAGCACCAATGACATGCCCTCCCCTTCATAACGCATGGAATATTATCATCTGCCTGCGGCCGACAGCGGCGTCGCAAAAGCAGAATAAGGATATGCTAATGGAGATCACTTGCTCTGGATTGCAGGTACGCGTGTTGCGCTATCATGCCTCGAAGGATCTTTTGTCCATAGCTTTGGATCAGCTTTTCCCGTGTGATACGGAACGGCAAAAGGAAAATGTGGGATGGCATGGCATGGCAGCCCAAACTTTGGATTTGCGCCAGCCACACGACATGCACGTTTGAAAGTAAGAATTATATTCTCCGATCGACGACGAGTTTGAGAAAGAGGCTCTCCTTCTTCTTGTGTTCGGTGATTTGTTCTATACGGCAAGGACAGGAGACCAAGTCCTTCTTGAGACAGGTTTCGGCGCGGCAAAAGGGCGAGTCGTGCAACAGTAAAGACGTTTGCCTCGGCACGATCCCTGAGAGACATGATTTCGTCAGTGGCTCGTTCTCACCGATACTTCTTTCAAGGCAGTCCACCATCCACGCTGACAACAGGGCTTGCTTCACTCGGAAATAACAAAGTATTACCGAGACAAGTTCGTTACATCTTCGTAGCCCGAGCAGTTGTCGTTCCTGTACTCACTGACCCTGGTTGGTACGAGACGCATTGAAGCTGGACCCCAGATGCTTGTCGGCGGGTGCTCCGGAATTCGTGAGTGAACATGGGGTGACATGAGGAGCACGTCACAACGTGATCATGGGTTGGCGACCCAGCAAGGTGGTTCTCTCTGCAGGTGATTTCTTGACACGCAGCTGCTCTTTGTAAACAAAATCCTTGCTCCTCGTTTTCCATCAGCAGCTGCTTGATGCCACGTTAAGTTATTATACCTCATAACATCAAGACTACCACCAGCACGAAGAAGACATAATCCAGAACCCTACCGTGAAGATGACGGGCGGCAGTACAGAAGTACACCACGACTTTCAAGCTCGACGACCTCACAGCCATGTGCAGCGACTCGAACGAGCACGCAAAGCAGGTCGACCCGTAGATGAGCAGCCGCAGGTCGGATCTACCCACACACTCAACCTCTTTGCTTCAAACACTGAAGTCAGCAACAGGAGATATTCTTCGGCGTCGCAGCTACCAAAAGACCAAACGACAAGATCGAAGTAGGCTTCTGCGCTCACGATGGTACCTACAGCATGGACTTTGCAGTGCACTGCATTGAAGCCAAAGGCGATGCCGCAAAGACCTTCTCCGACTATGTAGTTATGAGGGTTAGGAATTACCAAGACGAGCACCATTACAAATACCTCGGCGCTGGTATCTCCAAGGCTGCAGCAGAAATCTCACCAGACTTGCCTGCTAGACTGTGGACCGAACTCGACATTCCTACCTTGGAGTTTGAGAGAAGTGTTGTGGAGAGCGACCATGTCAAGACTCCTGACGTGGATGTTGATGAGGAGGCTGATGCCATGGCTAGAAAGTGTGTTGGCATGTATGGCCCTCAGAAGCAACCTCTTCTCCAAGTTGGCTTCTTGAATGAAGTTTCAGTCGATGCTGCGGGTCATGCCTTACTCTGCACACTGGAGCAATATCGCAAGACAGTGCGCAAGACCACATGGGATGCCACTATGCACTACGCCGAACGCCTCAAGAAGAAAGGCATCAGAATGGCATTCCTGAACGCAACTCCTCAGGGCGGAGGCGTCGCACTAATGAGACATGCCTTGGTCAGACTCGCCCGCCTCCTCGGCATTGAAATGAAGTGGTATGTTCCAAGACCAAAGAACGAAGTCTTCCGTATCACAAAGACAAATCACAACATCCTCCAAGGTGTTGCTGCGCCCAATGAGCGCCTTACCTCCGAGCAAGCCGAAACAATCAAGACATGGATTTACAGCACTGCCAAGCGCGACTGGCTGCGCAAAAAAGGTCCACTGGCTAAGATCGAAGATGGCGGTGCTCATATCCTTTTCGTCGATGATCCTCAAATGCCGGATATTGTGCCTCTGGCAAAGGAAATAGAACCCGGTCGTCCTGTGCTCTTCCGCTCTCATATTCAGGTGAGATCTGACTTGGTGGATGGCGAGCCCAAAAGTGCCACGGCAGAGGTCTTTGATTGGCTGTATTCCCGTGTCAAGGAAGCAGATATGTTTATCGCTCACCCCGTCAGCGACTTTGTGCCAAAGGTTGTTGAATCTAAGAAAGTGGCTTACTTGCCTGCCACTACCGGTGAGTTGTCTGCTTCCACGGACCAGATTTGCGTGAAAATAACACATGCACAAAAACAGACTGGCTTGATGGCCTGAACAAGGAGCTCCGCAGAGAAGACTCCATATACTATTTCCGCAACTACAACATGCACTGCCAGCAGGCCAACCAACCACCCCTCGCCTTCCCCGACCGCGACTACATCGTCCAAATTGCACGTTTCGACCCTTCAAAAGGCATCGACACCGTCATACGCTCCTACGGTGAATTACGCAGAAAGTACTTTGCAAACACCGACCCCTCCAAAACACCCCAACTCTGCATTGCCGGCCACAGCAGTATCGATGATCCCGATGCCTCTGCCATCTTCGACAAAACAATGGACCTCATCGAATCTGAATACTCGGAATTTGCAGATGACATCTCAGTCATGCGATTGGGACCTATCGATCAAGAACTCAATGTCTTGATGAGCAACGCAAAGATCTGCTTGCAGTTATCCACCCGTGAAGGCTTCGAAGTCAAAGTCTCTGAAGCTTTGCATAAAGGCGTTCCGGTAATAGCCACACGCGCAGGAGGTATCCCCCTCCAAGTCGAAGACGGCAAATCCGGCTTTTTGGTGGACACAGGCGATCATGAGAAAGTTGCTGAGTACATGCACAAACTACTCACTGATCAAGAACTGTACAGCAAGATGAGCAAGTATGCAGCTTCCCATGTCAGTGATGAGGTCAGCACTGTGGGGAATATGCTGAGTTGGCTGTATCTTGCGGACACCATGGCTGGAGAGCAAGGAAAGAAGTTAGAGGTTAATGGACGCTGGGTCAATGATCTGGCGAGAGAAGAAGCGGGAGTGCCGTATCAGGAGGGTGAGCCTAGGTTGCCTAGACATTACAAGACTCAGCGATATACAGAGGCAATGCAGTAAGATAGAAGTATGGTAGAATGCTTTACTAATAGTTACTTGAAGAGTCCATCAGCATCTTGGTCGTGTCTGGTGTTTATCATTCTTTTCCTGCTCTAAGATATTTTCCTCGTCCCCAGTTATGGCTTTAAAACTTATAGACAGTTCATCAATGTCGCACAAATCACCTCTTTTAGTATCCTACGTTACAGCACACGAAAAGCAAACAAACTCGATCAATAGACTTACAAGTGTTTCAGTTTACTGTTATTCTTTTTTTTTTTTTTTTTTCAGACGATGCTAGGGACACCCTGGTCGTCATCTTTGACCAACATGGTGTTCAACACTATCTGTTTCTGGAAGCCTTTTTTTTTTTGTGAGGATCTACAAAAGACACATCTGATGGTTTGCATACAAACGGAAACATAGGCAACAGAAAACTAGAAAGTGGGTCGGTGAGTGATCCAGAGGTAGATGGGCAAATAACCGCTCCACGGTCCACCAAATCTTGAAGAACAACTCAACCAAAGTGACACGAAACGAAAGGTATGGAAAGGAGTTGAGGAGTTCATAATATCCGCAATTCGAATTTAAAAATACAGGGAAAGAAAGGTAAAGAAAAATATGTCATGTCAGGGTATGTTCTCTCTACAAATCTTCCTCACCAAGAACCCACCAAAAAAAATGAAAATGCTCAACGCCCATACTCAATTTTGAATCTGTACAATCTGTTCTCAAAGTAACGAGCAGAGAGGCTTAGTGACCGCTCCACTCGATAGTGTTGAGATCGATACCCTCCTGGACAAGCTCCCACAGAGGACTCAGCTCACGCAAGAAAGCAACACGTTCTTGCACGGCCTTGAGAACGTAATCAATCTCAGCATCGGTGGTGAAGCGGCCAATACCGAAACGGATACTGCTGTGAGCGCTCTCGTCACTGCTGCCGAGAGCACGGAGAACGTACGAGGGCTCGAGGGAAGCGGATGTGCAGGCAGAACCGGAAGACAGAGCGATATCCTTGAGAGCCATGAGGAGGGATTCACCTTCAACGTAGGCGAAAGAGACGTTGACGCAGCCAGGGTAGAAATGTTCGGGGGATCCGTTGAGAGTTGTGTGTTCCATAGCAAGAAGACCATCTCTCAGCCTTGCGGACAAAGCGGAGATGCGCTTAGTGTCGTACTATTGCGAGAGTTAGCATCAATTATATCCAAAGGAATGAGTATTTTTTGACTTACCGGCATCTCTTCCTTTGCAATTCTCGCAGCTTCACCAAAACCAATGACAAGAGGAGGAGCGAGAGTTCCACTTCTCAAACCTCTCTCTTGACCACCACCGCTGATGATAGGGTCGAGTCTGACACGGGGTCTTCTGCGGACGTAGCAAGCACCAATACCCTTGGGACCATAAAGCTTGTGACTGGAGATGGACATGAGATCAACGTTGAGCTTGTTGACATCGAGAGGGATCTTGCCCACAGCCTGAGCGCCGTCGGTGTGGAAGAAGATCTTCTTGGATCTACACAGCTTGCCAATTTCCTCCAAGGGCTGAACGACACCAATCTCGTTGTTCACAGCCATGATTGAGACAAGCATGGTCTCGGGGCGCATGGCGGCTTCCAGCTCCTTCATGTCGATTCTGCCATCTGACTGGACAGGCAAGTATGTAATTTCGAAACCTTCGTCTTGCAAGTGGCGGCAGCTGTCAAGGACACACTTGTGCTCGGTCTGGCAGGTAATGATGTGGTTCTTCTTGCCACCGCGCTTGAAGAAACGAGCGACACCCTTGATGCTCATGTTGTTGCTCTCGGTGGCTCCGGATGTGAAGATGATCTCCTTGGGGTCAGCGCCGATGAGTTCAGCAATGTTTGCTCTGGCTTGCTCAACAGCCTTGTCTGTTTCCCAACCATAGGCGTGAGTTCGTGAATGGGGGTTGCCGTAGAGACCGGTGAAGTAGGGGAGCATGGCATCCAAGACTCTGGGATCGGTGGGAGTGGTGGCTTGAGCATCGAGGTAGATGGGTCGAGTTCCTTGATCCATGATGGTTGCTTGCTTGAGAATGCCGGCGGCAGGGCTCATCATGGCTTCGGCGCTCATGCCAGTGGCGGGCATGGTGGCATCCTTGGGCTTGAGTCCAGTCTCAGCCAGAAAAGCCTTCTGGTCGGCCTTGATGGTGGATTCGACATTGATAGTGGCGTTTCGCGATGAGCTTTCGGAGACATATGATCGAGTGGCGGCAATGCGGGACGAGAGAAGGCGAGGACGGTAGGAGGTCGAGAGTCGTCTTTGTGACTGGTGGAGGGCCTGCCTCGCGACAGAAGGGAATGAGGACGACATTATAATCTCAGGTGTGTTGAGAAACAAATGGGACTATCAGCAGATGTCACACCAGATTGGACTTTTGCTAGACGGGAAGCTCGACTGTCAGAGGCTTGGCGGAGTTGCTGAGTAAAGCGGCGTTAATCAAGTCCTCGGCCGAGAGAAGAAGAAGGCGCGTCCCGAACACGGCGAGAGACAGCGGCAGCAGCAAGCAGCAGCTTCGAGAGTGTCGGCGAATTCTGCTGCCGAGGGGTCCATTGACGTAGCCGGCGTATTGTAGCAATGCCAAGGCCTCGTCGATAAACGTTTTTGGGATGATGCGGCCGGATGAGCCAGCCCGAAGACGTAGGCACCCGACCAACAAGGACATCCTCTGCCTTGCAATACCCTTCCATTCTCGTCAACACAAGCATCATTTACACCACAGGTAGCACACGCAGCTGCAGCAACCGGCTGTGTGCATACTGTAAACAAGCCCGCATCATCAGCCACAGCCACAGCCTGAGCCCTCCTCTCCAGCCCCGACAAGATCGACGCTGCGAATCTACAAGCCAAGACGGACAACAGCCCCATAGCCTGAGTAGTCTAACTTACATCCAAAGACTCAGTCTTCTCTGCGCTCTTCGCCCTCCTACTCTTCACCAGCATACAGCTCTATTCGACCCCCCGCCAATTCGGCCTGCTCAACCCCAAACAGCGCGACAATGAGTTGGAAAGGCTTCACCAAGAGCGTCAGCCGCGTACGTACTCTGCCACTACATGATTGATGCGCCTGTCCACCGCTGACTCTCCCCCAGGCTCCTCAGCAGTTCAAGCAAAAGTTCAACATGGGTGAAATCACAAAGGATCCCATCTATGTTGACGCCGAGCGCCGCTTCACAGAGCTCGAGACCGAGACCAAACGTCTGCACGACGAGTCCGAAAAGTACTTCAAGTCCATCAACGGCATGTTGGACCACCAGATCGAATTCTCAAAAGCTTGCGCCGACTTGTACAAGCCCATCTCTGGCCGTGCTTCCGACCCAACCTCTTACGTCGTCGATGGCAATCCTGAGGGAATCCGCGCTTGCGAAGAGTACGAGGCTATCGTCAAAGACTTGAAGGCTTCACTGCAACCCGAACTAGAGATGATCGAGTCTCGTATTGTGAAACCAGCCGACGAACTTCTCGAAATCATCAAGCAGGTCCGCAAAGCTGCCGTCAAGCGTGACCACAAGCAGCTCGACTACGATCGTCACCGAAACACCCTCAAGAAGCTACAGGACAAGAAGGACAAGACGCTTAAGGACGAAAAGGCCCTGTACAAGGCAGAAAACGAAGTCGAGGTCTCGACCCAGGACTACAACTACTTCAACGACCTGCTCAAGAACGAGCTGCCCGAGCTGTTCCGCCTTGAGCGCGAGTTCATCCTTCCTCTATTCCAGTCATTCTACTACATGCAGCTCAACGTCTTTTACACATTGCACGAACGCATGCAGAGCATCGATATCGGTTACTTCAATTTGCAACTGGACATCGAGGCAGCCTTTGAGGAGAAGCGCGGAGATATCCAAGAACGTGCCGAAGCTTTGACGATCGTACACTTTAAGACCAAGGGCTTGGGTCGACCTGCTGGAAGCAAGTATGGCAACAACAGATTGGCCATCGAGGGCAAGGCCAAGACGAGTCCTGCACTTGAATCGTCCACTGCTCAGCTGTCAATTACTGACGGCAACCCGACTTCCCCTCCACCTTACTCAGCTGGTGCAGCTGGTGGACTCTCACGCATGTCATCTATCGCAAAGAGCAAGCCTCCGCCACCAAAGCCCAAGCCATCGAGATTCAGCGGCGTACCTCAGGCAGAGACATGTACGGCACTGTACGATTACGAAGCACAAGCAGAAGGCGACCTTAGTTTCAGCGCTGGCGAGACAATTGAGATTGTGCAACGTACGGCCAACGAGAATGAGTGGTGGATCGGAAAGATTGGCGGAAGACAAGGACAATTCCCTGGTAAGTGCAGCTCGAGAGATGACCTTGTGAAGAAGTATTCTGACAGGAATTACAGGCAACTACGTACAACTCTCGTAGAATGAGAGGCGGATGCGTGGCAGTACTATTCCATAATGTGTAGCAATAGCGATATGACGTGCAAATGTGTTTCTGAACAGGCAACGGGTAGAATGGACCGCGTACAGGACAGAGAATAGCCACGTTCTTCTTCTCATGTGGACTTTAGCCGATAATCCAGGAAATTTATTATTGTTGTTATTCAGGGTCTTCTAGAGTCTCAAAATGTACTCGGTAAAGGTGTTTTGGTGTTGTCGAACAACGCGATTGGGCGCGTCTCCCAGACTTGAGCTTGGCCGGACTGGCAGACTTGACCTTGAACCTTTTCCTTGCCATGCCCCAACGCAGCCATGCCGAGGTTTGTGATTCTTGAAAGTCATACGAGATGATACAAGACTAAAAGCAATGGTGTTTTAGAGAAATCATCACGCTCCAAGCAGGCCAATGCGGCAATAGCGGTACCTCTAGTCCCCTACGAGTAGCAGCTTTCACATGCGCCGACTGACGCTTCTCGTGCAGTGGGCTCTCAATTCTGGCAACAACTCTGCCAGGAACACGGCATCAATCGCGACGGCAACCTCGAGGACTTTGCGACAGAAGGCGGCGACCGCAAGGATGTCTTCTTCTACCAGTCCGACGACACGCGCTACATCCCACGCGCCATTCTGATGGATCTCGAACCAAGAGTATGATCTCTCGATTCTCTAACAAACAAGACGCTGAACCGGACACAGGTCCTCAATGGTATCCAAACAGGCCCGTACAAGAACATCTACAACCCCGAGAACTTCTACATCCACAGCGGCGGCACTGGAGCTGGAAACAACTGGGCTGCTGGTTATTCCATGGGCGAGACAGTGCAAGAGGAGGTTCTGGACATGATTGATCGCGAGGCCGACGGCTCTGACAGTCTCGAGGGCTTCATGCTGCTGCACTCGATTGCTGGTGGTACAGGTTCTGGTCTGGGTTCATACCTACTGGAACGACTCAACGACCGCTTTCCCAAGAAACTCATTCAGACATACTCCGTCTTCCCCGACACGCTACAATCAGGAGATGTCGTTGTCCAGCCGTACAACTCATTGCTGTCCATGAAGAGACTGACTCAGCACGCCGACAGTGTCATCGTCCTCGACAATGGCGCCCTCTCTCGTATTGCTGCAGACACTTTGCACGTCCAAGCACCTTCGTTCCAACAGACCAACCAACTCGTCAGTACCGTCATGAGTGCCTCGACGACCACTTTGCGCTATCCTGGATACATGCACAACGACCTTGTCGGCATCGTCGCCTCGCTGATCCCTACACCACGCTGCCACTTCCTGCAGACCAGCTACACCCCCTTCACAGGCGAGAACGTTGAAGCCGCAAAGACGGTTCGCAGAACTACTGTCCTCGAAGTCATGCGCAGACTGCTGCAGCCCAAGAACAGGATGGTCAGCTCGAACCCCTCCAAGAACAGCTGCTACATCAGTATCCTCAACATCATCATGGGCGAAGCAGACCCCACTGATGTGAGTAGCCATGCTCCTCCCTTCTTCGTTCGACAGATGCTGACACAAACTCTTCACAGGTCCACAAGTCCCTCCTCCGTATTCGCGAACGCCGCCTCGCAACATTCATTCCATGGGGCCCTGCCTCGATTCAAGTCGCCCTCACCCGCACCTCTCCTTACACCACTGGCCCACACACGCCGCGCGTCTCTGGTCTGATGCTCGCAAACCACACGGGCATCTCGACTTTGTTCAAACGTATAGTGTTCCACTACGATCGTCTCCGCAAGCGTAACGCCTTTTTGGAACAATACAAGAGAGAGGATATCTTCAGGGATGGCCTCGGAGAGTTTGACGACGCGAGAGAAGTCGTCATGGATCTGGTGCGAGAATACGAGGATGCTGAGAAGGAGACCTACCTCAGTGGACCCACTGCTGCGCCGGAATCTGAGGATAGAGATGGCAGGACTGATGGTATCAGGTGAAAGTCTTTGTTGGAGTTTCAGTCCTGCGAGATGGGCTTTCTTTTTTGCAAGGGGGCGTTTTGGGGAATATCCTGGTTCTCAGGAGATGGGCAGCATGCAGACAGGAGTTTCTACCAGGTGTTGTTTTATCTGTTGGTGGCATGGCTACAAACATCCATGATCCATGTTCGTTCTTGCATATCCCAAGGACCGAGGTTGAAATCGAGAAGCTTTGTGATCAAGTCTATCCCAGCACACCATCCACATGTCTGAAGATCAATCTGGATCTGATCTCGGTACCATTTCATCTATCTGAGTTTGCCTGCTTTAGTGAACTGTCGCATTCGCTACTTGATACAATCTACATTTTTAATCTGGCTCGCGCCTTTCCGACGGGTTTTCCGCACGTGGCTTGCTTTGCTTGTGCTTGCGCTTACTTGATCTTGTAAAACAGAACATGGATGAGAGTCATGCTCATCTTTGTTGCTCGCATTCGTCTCTCATAGTCGCGGACATCGAGGATTCATTGTCCCAAAAAGAGGCATCCTCGCCGACGACTTCAAAGACCCCATTCAGGGCACAATGGATAGTCCGCCGCCACGCTGTTTTGGACCACGCAAGCGAATCTTATAGCTGCCCTGGTTATCCATACTTGCATCACACTGCGGACAATGAGTCAAGAAGCCGAAGACATAGCCATCGAAACGGTATACAGGACCGACCCATTGATCTGCCTTTTGCTCCCAATACTCGGAACGAAGAGCCGAATTATTGCTCCCGCAGATCACTTCAGCAAGTACAACAGGGCACGTTATAGGGCACAAGCAGCGAGTTCAAACTTGAAACACCCCAAAGGGATTCTTTTACTGAAGTCTCCGGGCTTTTGAATACGAAGTTGGGAAGTTTATGGCTGGAAATGGATAATAGGTGCTTTACTCGGGCTTGCTTTTCGTGTTTTGAAACAGGGCAAGCTTATAAGGTCTGAGGATCGAGAGAGAGAGGAGTAATAGATGGCTTTCGTGGCCGAGGTTGGAGTGGCTCGAATTCTACTCCATGAGTCAATGTGTGTCAGGACTATCCATCTGACATGCTTAAGCGAAGGCATGTGTCGTCAATGTCGCTTTGGCGCGGAGAAGAGAAGGGTGTTCTCTCGGCCAGCCATAAGTCAATTCCATGGTTGACACAGGGGTCTCTTGCACCTTGAGCCTTGGCAGATGTCGATTATGTGTCTTTTCCCACCATCTGGCATGTATGCACGACACTGATCGTCCTGTTTTGCGGAGATGAAACGGTAGCGACATGAATTGTGGCGCTTGATATCCGCTCGCTTAAATGAAAAGCTCGGACTTGGCAGACGCCTTTCTTCTGCTGCAACTTCAAGCCGAGGATCAAACCTCATGCTTCGATTGCTTCGACGTGCAGCAGCTTGAAACCGAGTTTAGAGTTTCCCAAGCACTAGCATTGACGATCATGGCGACTACAGGATATAGTCAGAAGACCGGTCCTTGAGCCAAGGCCTTGTCTGTGGAGGTATAGCCCAGCGAGGCTCTGAATCGTGGACCTCGCCAGTATTGGCATGCTTCATTTGGCTTTTCGCGAATAAGAGGTAGGTGCGATGCATCATAAGGTAGGCCTTGAAACCTTTGGATATAAAGAGGCACTCTTTGCCAGCTCTCAATCTCCTGATCACTTCCATCATTCGCTTCAAAAACAATATCTTTCTCTATCGACACTTCCATTCTTATCACCATGTTCTCAGACATCAGTCTCAAGGGCGCTCTCCTCAGCGTCTGCCTCGCTGCAGGTGCCATTGCCACCCCTATCGAGAAGCGTGCTGCTTGCTCTAAATACACCATCATCTCCACCCGCGGAACCGGCGAACTGCAAGGCCCCTCTGCAGGTTTCTTGACCATGAACCAAAAGACTCTTGCTCAGGTGCCCGGCGGTACCGTTTACAACACCGTCTACCTCGCCGCCGCAGACCAGAACTCTGCTCTTGGTACTGCAGACGTATGTGGCTTTCCTCTCTCGCTTTGAGGTATCTCGAGGGATTTTTGCTGATGTCACGATGAAACAGATTGTCAACAAAGTCAAGTCTTCCCTCGCCTCCAACCCAGACATGTGCTTTATCCTCCAAGGCTACTCCCAAGGCGCCGCCGCCACCGTCAACGCCATGCCCAAACTCACCGGCGCCTCCATGGATGCCGTCAAGGGCGTTTTCCTCATCGGCGACCCCGAGCACCGCAGTGGCCTTGCTTGCAACGTCGACGCCAACGGAGGCACCACTACCAAGAATGTCAATGGGCTTTCTGCCCTGCTAGGAGGTATTCCCTCTGCATGGGTCGAGAAGACGATGGATGTTTGCGCCTTCGGAGATGGTGTTTGTGATACTACTCATGGGCTTGGCATCAACGCTCAACATCTTTCTTATCCTTACTCCAGCAGTGTGCAGAGTATGGGTCAGAAGTATATGGTTGAGAAGCTTACTGGTTCTTCCTAGAGGGTTTGTCTCCTTCCGAAAAGTACTAGATGCAGAGGATTGGGATGGGATGGCTCGTGGAAGGGCTTTGATGCGATGGCTGGGCCTCGCATTTTGCTTTCCGCTTCCTTGACTTATGAGCACACGTGTATATTGGTTTGAATATAATCTGAATAGGTTTTTCTTTTTTTTCCTTTGCGTCTGCCTCTTAACTTCCCTTCCATACATGTGCTTGCCCATTCCACACTCGTCAGAGCATTTCTAGAGGTCCTAGATTGACTGTTCTTCAAGAGCTGCTCTCTACTAACACTCTTCTCGACCCTGCATATCAACCGACGTCATACCTTTCTCTTGCTCCCACCCATCTGCAAACCGCGGAATGCCTAGAAAGCTTTGGAATGCCTTACACCAAGACATCCAAAACTGATTGCATCATCCGTCAGTGCGTACAGACGTCTTCCGCCTGTCCGGAGTGTCACACAATGGGATGCCTTAGATATTTGAAACCGGTACTTGAAACGTCAACACAGCACGCCTGAAACTTTGGCGAGTCTACGTGGTTGTATGCAAGATGAGGCGAGGTAGGTATATGTGATGTCACATCTAGTTTGGTCGCGTCGGAGATTCTTGGTGTAAAGCTATGCTTCTCTTTTGAGTCTTTGAGCAAAATGTGCGTCTTGTCTTCTCCTGAGCCTTTGTTTTTATCAATTCTTGACGTTTCATGGGTAGTACCTGGAATACTAGAGTGTGTTTTTGGCAACTAGTAGCAAGACATGAAAGCAGATGAGCAGATATAAGAATACTTCAAGTGGCTAGTGTAAAGGGGTCTGTTCGATTTGCTGCTGCAAAGCTTGATCAAGGTAGGGTGACTGAATTAGATGCGTAGACGTCTATCTTGTGTTGCTCTCGAGTATAGAAGGCTGGAGAGCAGTCATTCACCGCTATCACGTGCTTTAGCGCCTTGCTCGGACAGGTCACACTGATGCATGCGGCTACATGCACAAACACAAGCCTCGCCAGCAGGATGACTGATTGCAAACTTCTGTATCTAATCAAGCCTCCAACTTTCGTTCAGTCCGCAACACATACAGCCTCCTCGTCTTCTTCCTCTATCACCAGCCACTCCAGCGGTGTATCAAATCAGCTTAAAGGCTGTCAGATTGTGAAGCAGCTCTCGATCATTTCCGACATCTAATGCAGAGTCAAAGGCGAGCGGCAGACCGGTGACCTGTTGAGACTCCGGCGTCAAACAAGGCAGGCTTCCATAACATGCCTCTACCGCAATCAATGTCGACCAAAGCCTCGAAGTTGGACAGTAAAATAATCTGGAACCCGCCAATTCCTACTATTGACTTGACCGAAGTGCATCAGACCATCTCTCTACACGGGCTGTTGGCAGTAGCGTCCCAGCTAAGGGATGGCAAGGAATGTGACTTTGCTCTTGAAACCGATACCAAGCCTATTTCCGGCGGCCAATGTATCATCTTCGTGGTAGAGTATTCGGATGGCATCAAGTATGCCTTCCGGCTACCTTACCATACACGAAAGTCCACAATCCGCGACTCGTTCTTTGCCCACGAGCTGGAAACGTGGAAGGCTCTGATCAGCAACCGCATTCCTCTCATACCCAAAATCTTCGGTTTTGGCTTGTCAGATGATAATCTCATTGGCTTTCCCTTTATTGCATACGAATGGGTCGAAGGGAAACCATTGGTATGGACTGACAACGAACCATGCGATCCAACACATCGAGAAAAGACAATCAAGACCCTAGCATCTTTCACCATTGAGACTGCCTGTCGAATGCAGAAACCAGGTGAGTTCTGACTTCTGAGCTTGCAATGAGGCTACTCAACTGAAAATGACTACAGGGAAAACCTCTGCCGAGGTGTATGTGACTGAAGCCATAGACCGCAAGATCAAGCGTGTCTTGAATGGGACGCTCCGAACAGCAAAGCTCATAGACTGTCTTCGACAACGAAGTTTGATTCACAAATATTTGATTCCCCAACTCAATGATTCGCCTTGGGTTATGGTTCATGGAGATCTTTCCAACTCCAACATCATTGAAGATCCCGAACATGATATCTCTGGGTTGGTAACGACTTTGTCCCAAGTTTTTGATTGTTGAAGCTGACTAAATCGCACAGAATCATCGACTTTGGGTTTGCTGAATATCTTCCACTACAATTCGCAGCAGTCTTCCCATTGATTCTCTGTCATGAAACTTACCAGGATCAAAATGACATCGATGTTGCACTAGAGCTACCACATGACCCTCATTCTTCACTTGTCTGGCGGAGCAAAAACACAGAGACGAAGCGCCGCGATCGTCAGCTGTTCCTCGACCAAATCAAACGCCTTTGCAAAACACATGGAGAGATCTGTGAATCTTTTTATCGTATCTTGAGCGATAAACAAGAAATTAGACGCTATTGGTGGTTCACGGCAATTAGTAATCAGAAGTTGCATCAGGTTATGGTGAAAGTGAATTGGTTGTTGCCAGAAGAAGAATTGAAAGATGAGGATCTTTCGAATGAGTGGAAGATGTTTCGGGAGAAGAATCCTGGTCATTGGTAATGATGATTTGAGCTATTCTTTGCCAATGCTATTCCCATCTATATGCAGCAGGTTCTCCAAAAGGTGTGCTACTGTCACCTCTCCTGAACAGCTCGTCGATGAATTTGTGTATCTTCAATGCATCCCGCCAATCCGCATACATGTTCGTCTTTCCTTTCGCGTAAGCATCGTACAAGCGTCCGACATTCTGTGCCGGTTGCTCGAGCCCACTCAGCTCATCTTCAGGCAGCGCAATGATCTCCGCCTCTTCTTGACCTGCTTGTCTGTACTTGATCTCAATACCAATGTGCTCGATATCAAAACATCCTCTTGGACTTGTTAGTAGGATGTCTCCTTTGTCGCCGTTGATAAGCCATCGACAGCCGGGCTCGCCAGGAAACGCTTTGCCTGCACGCATCTGATAGCTTATCAAAGTTCCGGATTCGAATCGACCTTGAAGAAGGATGTTGTCCGGACATTCCTTCTTGACGGTCTCGACTATTGTGCCACTTTGGGCTGGATCCATGATTTCGACAGTTGGGTGATCAATTCCCATCACACTACTGAAAGCTTCCAGCTCGCCGAAAACCTCCAGCACACAATTTATGTCTGATTCTGTAAGCGTTGGACTGTGTTTGAAACATGTGAGACTCACTGTGCAAGAACCATATGGTAGCAAAATTGGCCCCACCATCTCTTTCTGCCAGCATCCTAAAAGACAGTGGTAAAGGCTTGTCCAAAGGGAAACCTGAAAATGACACGACAGTCGTACTCAAAGGCTTGCCAATCTTGCCTTCGGCTATCATCTTCTTGATCAAAAGGACAGCTTCATGTGCTTGACCCTGACATCCCATGATGGTCCTGACACCCTTCTTCTCAGCCTCATCCTTGAGTTCTTGCATCTGTTTGATATTCGTCGCGAATGGCAGCTCAGTATACACATCCTTTCCTGCTTTGACTGCGGGAAGGCAAACATTGTAATGGGCTTTCACGCCCACCACGCAGACGACGAGTTCGACATCCGGGTCAGCAGCTAGATCTTCAGGTGATCCGTAAGTCTTGACAGACTCAGCGAGTCCATAGTGTTTGACCGATTTTCTCGCGCTTTCAACGGAAGAATTGCAGAGAGCAACGATCTCATAGAGGCTCTTTCCATGTTCTGACTGTAGGTATGGGAGATGTGCGAGTACCGCCCAATTTGTCGCTGTTGAAGATGTACTCAGACCGACGAGGCCGATCTTGATAGGCGCCATCGAATCTGGATTTGAATAACTAGGGTGACTGATTCTTCATATTCAAGCGCAGAGCAAGCTTTTCAAGAACTTTCTTCGTCTTCTTGGAATCGGACATAGTTCATCCGCGTGGTGCGGTCAAGCACATGCATGAAGTCGGGGTCGGCACAATGTTTGCACCGCAATGTGGACATCGAGATATCTAGTATTCGACTCCCTCGGCGTCTATCATCGATTTTATTAGAATAAATTCATGAAAGATCAATATGCTTAAGGGCTCTCTGACTGTTGTTTATCTAGTGTAAGAGATAGGCATATGACTAGAACTGTTCAAGGATCAGAATTCAAAGCGCCAAAGGTCAGTAGTCGTGGATAAACGCGCTGTGGGCGCATCGACCGACCCTTTGAGGGATTCCGCATTCCAACATCCTTGGCCCGACAACAATGGATCAGGACTCGGAGTGGCACGCTTTACTTATCAGCTTGGGGCGCCTGTCATGCCGCTCGGCGCATGCGCTTTGTCAGCACCGCTTGATTGCCGCCAGCGACACTGGTTAATCCCTTGCTTGTACAAGTGTAAGCTGTTGAGCTGTCGTTGAAGAACCACCTTTCATCAGTCCCTGCAGTTTGCTCAGATCACCTTCACAGAAATTGATCGCAACCATGGGTTATGCAGCGACATTCTTACGCTCTCAGCTTTTCACCAAGCTGCCTTACCCAAACTCAAGCTTCGCTGGTCAGACTGTCATCGTGACTGGAAGCAATACTGGTCTTGGCCTTGAAGCTGCTCGACACATCGCTCGTCTGGAAGCTACTAAGGTCATTCTTGCATGCCGTACAGTCACGAAGGGTCAAGCTGCAGCAGCAGATATCACAGCATCCGAGCACCTCACGTCCGATCACATCGAAGTGTGGGAGCTGAACCTTTCCAGTTATGAGTCCATCAGAGCATTCGCTCAACGTGTGCAGCGCCTTGATCGTCTTGATGCTTTCATACAGAATGCAGGCATATTGACCACCGAGTACAGACTTGAGGAGGGCGAAGAAAGTACCATCACCATCAACGTGACCAGCGCGACTCTTCTCGGACTGTCAGTCCTTCCCAAGCTACGAGAAAGTGCCAACAAGTTTGGCGTCCGCGGCAGATTGACATTTGTGGGGTCTGACCTTCAATACATTGCCAAGTTCAAGGAAGCCGAGACAACAGGTTCGCTGTACGCAGCCTTGAACAACAAGGAGGGTGTCGACATGGACGACAGGTGAGACGGTCTCGATAGGCAATCTTTCGCTCCAAGATCGCTGATCCTAGATAGATATAAAGTCTCAAAACTTCTGCTGCTCTACACAGTACGTGAGATGGCTGCTCGTAGTCCGATGGGTCAGGACTCCAACGTCATAATCGACTATGTGACTCCTGGAGCGTGCAAATCCGACCTCTTTAGAGATGATGCCTCATGTAAGAAATATCACGTGGAGAACAAGACAGCAACATTAACCTTGGCTCCTACAAGGGATCCAAAAGCTGATCATGAATATCATGATCTTTATCATCGCCCGTACGACTGAGCAAGGAAGCCGCACGCTTGTTCATGCTGCAAGCCCTGATATCAGCACCAACGCTCATGGCGCGTTTTTGATGGATTGTCAAGTCTTTCCGTAAGAGCCTTGACCTTTGTAATTTGGAGACTTTCGGCCAACTGACCTGTCAAATAGCAATGGTGACAACGTCGATAGTGAGAAGGGACGCAAGATGCAAAAGAGATTCACCGAAGAGCTGTTTGCGAAACTTGAGACGATTCATCCAGGCATCACTTCCTGCCTCTGACTTCCCATTTGTCACCACCTTTTTCCTACCTCTCCCCTGTGATTCAGATCTATTTGAGCCAATCTCATCAAATACAGTCACTAGCGCATCATACCCAATGATATTGTTGTGTTTCTCTAATCAACCTGATCTTTGTGCCAACTGGCGCAAATTGTACAAGACCAAGTCATTTTAACTCGCCTTTGTCACTACTGAATATCATCACTGCGCGAGTACACTTCTTGCCACCGTTCCATGTTCGCACTTCGGGATGTTGGCGCGATCTTTCGCGGCTTTCATCCTGCTTATCCAGACTCAACGAAACTGCACCTGCATGGTGCAGGACTCGCGCAAGTCGCTTTCTGTGAGCATCAAGCCCAATGAAGAGTTGCCTCATCCTGTGCCGGCTTCTGTAATAAGTTCTCGCCTCAATTCTTCCATGCACTGTGCACTCAACCGCAGAAAGCAATCTTCTCGAATGTACCATGAGACTTTCGATGATCCCTCGCTGATTTGTTGACCTTCGCAAGGCTGAGCATTCTTATCGCCTGAGTCACTCTGCGGCCAACAAAACGGACTGGGAGTCTTCTCACTGCGACACAGATGTGCGGCGCAACCAGACTAACAATTCGCAAGAATTGGCCCCGCCATGCCCGATGCCTTCGGCTGGAGGTGAGGAGAAGCCAACAGTTACTCAATTATGCAAGAAAATAAAGTGCGGAGCAAGCGGGGAAGTCTGCAACCGACGCTTGTTGGGAACGCTTATCAACATGATATCCGACCTTGTCATTGCCCACTATCGTCTCCGACTTGCGTCTACTGTATAGATCTGCCTTAGTAAAGCCTCGTCATGGGTCACTCACATGCTCTTGCAATATGTAATCCACAGGTCAACATCCTTATCTCATTATCTAATCCAGAGCTCCGAGAAAAGTCCAGTGGTCAGTGACATGGTCAATTGTGCATGTACACTTGAGTGAAGCTATCAGAGCTTTTCGTCTGCTCATGAGTATATTTACTCCCTCGCATTCCGGTGTCAGAGTTGGAATATCTTCTACCTCTTTCTGAACATAGTTCTCCTACAAGCCATCAACATGCCTATGCACAACAAAGTCCGCGTCGCTGCCGTTCAGGCCGAGTGCTGCTACTTCGACCTCCAAGCTGCGGTAGAGAAGACATGCAAATTGATCGTTCAAGCTGCATCCAAGGGTTGCGACATGGTCGCCTTTCCTGAAGTGTGGATTCCATGCTATCCGGGCTGGATCTGGTAAGTGGAAACCATTAAACAAGTCATGAATTCTACTAAGCCTGTGCAGGCAACGACCTATCGACTTTGAGATGGTCGGAGATTACATGAAGAACTCTTTGAAGATCGACTCACCAGAGATGGAACGCATCTGCGCTTGCGCTGGCGAGAACAGAATCTCAGTCATGCTCGGCTTCTCCGAGAACTACGACAACTCCTTGTACCTCGCTCAGGCTTTCATCGGCAAGGACGGAAAGATCAAGATGAACCGCCGCAAGATCAAGCCTACCCACGTTGAGCGTACGCTCTACGGTGATGGCAGCGGTGCCTCGCTTCTCAATGTCGTTGACGAACCAGGTGTTGGAAGAGTTGGCGGGCTTTCGTGCTGGGAACACTCTCAACCTCTGTTGCGTTATCACACCTACTCTCAGGGTGAAGACATTCATGTCGCCGCTTGGCCCCCGATGAACTATTACAAGTCTTTCCCGGAAGGCTCCGCTCTTTGGTCACAGTGTCGTGAAGGTAAGTCCAACAATCAAGCCACAAGAGTGTAGAGTACTGACTAATTATGTATCAGGTGCCCACAACCTCTCCACAACGCATGCCATTGAGGGCAACTGCTTTGTCGTTCTCGCAAGCTCCTTCTTCACTAAAGAAGGCGTCGACAGAATGCAATTGGGCGACGGAAAGCTTTACCATATCGGAGGTGGTGGTTGCGCTGCCATCATCGCACCTGACGGCAGAAAATTGACTGAGGACCTTGGTGAAGAAGAGGAGGGGCTCCTGATCGCGGATTGCGATCCTGATGAGATCCTCAAGGTCAAAGCTATGCTTGACGTTCACGGTCACTACAGCAGGCCTGACTTGCTTTGGCTCGGTGTAGATTACAGAGAAAAGAAGCAGGTCAGAGCAGAAGGTGCCGAGAACCCTCTCCTCTCTTGAGTGTATGCAGACTCTGTGGGAGCATTTGTGACTCGAAGTATCTAGGTAGCAATCTAGGCGCATCCCAGGAAAAACAATTTGATCCCCAAAAAAAGTTCCGTGCTCAAACTCATTTGACCTTACAAGGCCAGTCGGACACTAAGGAGTAGGTCTCCTGGAGCCGATGAGTATGACGTATCATGGAAGCCTTAGAGATATACCTGTGAGCAACAGTTGTGCTCTACCCATTTGCTGCCACAGTATGATGTACCGGGCGAAGAGCTCGTCCAATGTGGAACTTCCATAGACAGAATGCACGAGAATGTCACGGAAGGCGAGAAGGTGGTCTTCTTGACTGGTCTTGGTGATAAGTCCCTATGATCCTTCAATTATTCTAATCCTCAGATATTACACTATCTCGAGGCATTCATGAAAGGACTTCTCTCTCTGATCCTGTGGCCATATAAAACCAATACCCAAGGTGTGATCGATAGGGCAATCGCAATTCCACCTAATAGGCTGGACGCGCCTGCATAAGTCATACCGACGTACATCTGCTTCGTCACCAACGGAAAACATCCACCCAGTGCGTTTCGACAAAAGCTCTGGGCGGCGATGGCTGAACTAGCCCACTGGCCATACGAATCCGCAAGATAGTTGAAGACGGCGAGATAGACGAAAAATATTCCAGCGCTAGCTACGCCGACCCCTACGGTCGGTGCAATCCAGTGAATCTCCGAGCGACAAGTCCAACCGAAGATGAAGAGCCCAATCGGCAGCAGGAGTCCCTCCGCACACACAAACCACAATCGGGACTCGGGCGAGTCTGGGAGCAGCTTGCGCTTTCTTGCCGCTATATCCTGATATATGCCTATGGAAGTCGCCAGAATTGTGCCGATACACGAACTTGCAAAGGTAGAGTCTGCTTGAGAGAGGGTAAATGCGTAGCGATCTTCGAAAACCAGCGGGACGGCGGATAAGCAGATGTAAAGGACTGACCAACTGAAAGCTGCCCAGAGTGAGAAAGTGAACACTACCGGATCCTTGAACAGCAGGAGAAACGGTCGAGTCACCGATGATAGAAATGTCTCTGCGATGCCTTTCCGTTCATCGTCTTCTCTGACCTTCCAGCGTATGTGCGAAACAGACTTTTCTGGATACTGCGAGCTGGCAGGCAAGTAGAACGAAACAGAGGCATTGCTTTCTTTGCATTTCCGATGCCATTCGTTGAGTAGTCGAGCCTTCTTGCGAAGCATGACAACTTGACGAGTTTCCTGGAAGAACACAATGACAACGACAACGATGGTACCGTTCACGATGGTCTGCATGTAGAAGATCCAACGCCAAGTCGAATATTGACCAATGAAACCACATATCAGAGGACCGAGGCCGATTCCCAACACAGCTGACCCCGAAAAAAGCGACATTGGAGTGTTGCGTTCTTCAGAAGAATATATGTCGGCTATGAGGCCGCCAATCATGGTCGAGAAGGTCGAGCTGCCAACGCCAGCCAAGAATCGTGAGACAAGAAGTCTAGATCAACGAAATCAGCTCACAGAATATGTATGATGCCCAATTCAACATAGACTTGCCCTCCAAAAGTATTCGTGACGGCACAACAAAGAGTCGTCACTACGTATAGGATGCCAGTCGCAGTGAAAACCGGTTTGCGGCCATAAACCTCAGAGATTGGAGCCAGTGCCATTGGTGTGATGGCGAATCCTACTGTGAAGATTGTTACCCCTGTCAATGTTTCGACCCGGCCACGATCGAATTCCCGAGAGATCTGATCAAGTCCTGGGCTGTATGAACTAGGGGCAACAGAAGCAAAAACTGTAGCCACGCAAGCGACAAACATGGTGAAGTTCTTCCGAGATGCTGGCCATGATTGTGGGCTAACTAGACGGGCGGCATCTTTGTGAACCTTGATTGCCTCCTTGTTGCATTCTGCGCTGCCAAAATTCTGGAGGGTGGGTAGTGGTGTAGTGAAATCAAGGTACCTTTCCTCTATCCCATGATCATCTGAACCTTTCTCGAGTTCACCAGGGTGAGATGTTGAAGAGATCATAGCAAGAGTTCCTGTTCTCCACTGGACAGGCTATGTAGACGAATGAGGCTGCTAATTCAAGAAAGAATAGAAGCAAGTAGGCAACCGAGAAGACTCCAATATGATCAACCTCTTTTGGTCGTGAGCATGCTTGCTCGGACCTCATCGCATCATTGCAATATTCTGACGCGCGCTGACAAAGCCCTGAGAAGCATCTTCATTCTGGGACTAATAATTCTCGAGTTCGATCAGATTCGGTCTTGCGTCTGAATGAAAGTCTCCAATTCTCCAAATCTTCCCCCTCACCCTTGCACGTTGGGACGTCCGCCACGCACGCTTCCCCTCACGCCAAGCCAGTGCGAAAAGCTAGATGGTTTTTCGTTCACCCCAATCATGCCGTCCCACTAACGTTCACGTAATCTGAACAAACCCGTCCCACGTCTCCATGTATGCGATGAAGTTTGCGCTCAGACCCTGCTCTTTCAGGTAGTCTCTCGTAACGGGCAATGCTGGCGCGTGATACTGGTGATCCATCTCCACTCGTTGTGGAAAATCAGATTGGAGAATAGCGGCTTTGCCTATCATGACAAAATCGCAGCCTGCTGCAAGTGCGTCGGCCGCATCTTGCGCCCCAAGGATCTTGCCGGACACACCCAAGCGCACAGACGATCGAGGCAGGTCAGTAAAAACACTCAGCAGTGTCTGTCCTTGATACGGGTCATCTTGCGCAAGCTTTCGAAAGTCCCAAGGAGCAAGGTCCAAGTAGTCGATTTGCTCTTCCTTCATTGCCCTTGCTGCAACGTCCCGAATGTCTTTCAAGTGTAGGCCGTGGCGCTCCATCGAGAGACGGAGTCCAATCTGAAAATCGGGACGGCATGTGGCTCTAATGCGATCAATGACTTCGAACAACAATCTGGCGCGGTTTTCCAGAGAGCCTCCGTAGCGGTCGGTGCGATAGTTGTACGTGGGTGACAGGAATTGGCTCAACACCCAGCCGAACGCGGCGTGAACTTCGACGCCATCGAATCCAGCCATCTCGGCGCGCTTGGCTGCCCTGACATAGTCATCTCGAAGTGTTTCAACGTCTTCGAGAGAGAGTGCGCGAACTCCCATCTCCGGAACAGCGGATGGACCAACGGGATCAGATCCAAGTGACTTCTGAGCTCGCGCGCCACCATGGTGAAGCTGGACAGACGACGTAGCCCCATTTTCTCTGATCATGTCGGCCACCCGTTTCAAGCCTTCCAGATGTCTGTCGTGATAAATGCCCAATTGTCCTGGGAACGTCTTGCCATCCGCATGAACATTGGCTGCGGCAGTCATGATCATCGAGAAGCCGCCTTTGACGCATTGTTGTAGCCAATGTTCATCCTCTTTAGAGACTGTGCCGTCAACGTTACTTTGCCAGTTGGTCAAGGGAGCCAGGATCATCCGGTTCTTGAGCGACGGGCCTCGTTTGAAAGCGAGAGGTTTGAAGAGATCGCAGACAGCCATCCGGAGTAACAATTATGGAGGGGCAATTTCAAATTATGAGAGCAGAAAGAGATGAGAGTCTAACAGGAGAACCCAATCAGGAGAAAGGTATTGCAAGAAAGAGACCTCCTGTAGTCACGGATTACCTAAGCACAAGCACTATCGATATCACCTCCAAATATGCCTTATGCATTCATCTTATGTTATGTAAGCCTTGAGCTTGGTTTTTGTTTTTGTATTTTCAGTTTGGCTTCTCTATCATGTTTGCAAAATGATGCAAACCATCGCCGATGCACTGAACAATGGGCCACATCTTGTTACTACGGAAAATACCTGCCCAGATTCTGAGAATCGTCGAAGCCATACCTTGAGACTCGGCAACTGTCCTGTCTGCTCCCGAGCCATCCGAAGCTAGAGACTCGCGAGCCTCGCCAATCAAGAATTCAGTCCATTTGAATATTTGCTCTTCGAGGTCTGTGGCTGTCAGTGCGATTTTACTAGGAAGGAGTGATAGACTGACGTGAAAGACCTCGATTCTCCCCAGGGGACTCCAAGACCCGTAGCCACTGGACCAAAAGGACGGCACATTCCAATACGGCAATACAGTGTTGAACACTCCAGAAGAATGTCTGATGATGCGACACGTAGTGAATTCCCAGTCGGACAACAACATCGAGGCTGTGGGCAGAGTGAAGAAGTGGGGATATCAGATCTTGACCGCGGCAGGGAAGCGGTGAGTTGTACAGAGCTAGACCGATCGCAACAGGGTCGCGTGTCTGTAAGAGTCGGAAGGGCCCAAGGTCTACTTGCAGCCGGACGTAAGCCAGTGCCAGGAATGTCGCTGAGACGAAAGACATGGGACCTTCTGGATTAGTTGGATCGAGGCTAGCTTCGGGTGAAGTCTGCCACGCAGCCTTCCAGCGCTTGAAAGCTTCTCTGAAGTTGTTAGCGGCTCGTCATACTGGAATCAAGATTGATTTGCACGCACTGCATGATGCTAACATCTTCTGCCCTCAGCTTTGCTGATTTGCCGGTCGTGGGGACGAGTAGCCAAAGCATTTGGAGCCGCTGAATCAGAGCATGCATGAGCACATAATTCGCGAACGGTGTCGGCGTGGCTTGGTTTGCAGCTATCCTACTCCCCTCTGGATCGTCAAAGACCAGAAGAGAAGACAAAGCTTGTTGGAAGGTTGGCGGATGGTGCCGCCTCGAGGCTCTTTGCCTATGCCAATCCAGCTCACTGTCCGCGCTCCACTCTGCAGACGGACAAGGCATGTTGAGATGTACTTCACTTGCCGTGATTGTGGGCGGAAGGTTATATGCGATACTTTGAAGGTTCAAAACGCAAAAGGCTGTCATTTTGATGCGACGCTGAAACTCACCTTCAATCCATTCGGGCCAATTTAGTGGGGGAGATTCAGAGACATCCTCAACAAGGCCATTTTCTCGACAACAGCGAGCTAGAAGACCCTGTAAAGCAAAAGACTCACGCAACAACGCTGCGTCTTTCTGCCAGGAAGCGAAACAGAGCAGGAACATTGTGGCGCAGGCTGTGTGCATACGGGATCGACGAGCCAACGGATCTTCAGGCCATACGGGATTGGCGACTTGCATGGAACGCCCCTGCATCAACACAGGCGGTACTGCGAGGCGAGCGTCCGCAACATCACGTCCTGCTGTCATTAAAGTCTCTTCTCGGCGCCGCATCTGCTCGAAAACCAGGGACCGCGATACGTAGAACAACTTAGCACCAGCCTTGGACTCGAAACAATACTGCGCGCCTACGGCGCAGATTGCGAGAGAAAGTTCTGGTGCCATGAGATCGAGCCTGAACGTTGGCAAATGTAGAACAGGAAATGAAGGATGAAAGCCGCTGACAAACGCTTCAACATATCGGGCGAGAGTATATCTCGAGGGCAATGACCATTTCCCAAGCACATCGCTGAATTCATCCAGATTGGCCGCGAGTTCGAGTCGTATCTCTTCAGTAACTCGCCAGCCGCAGCGCACTCGTCTAGGATCAACAACCAAGCTATCTTCATTACGATCAGCATAATTCTCATGTATAATCGAGCAAGCGCTGGTTGTACCTGCATGATGCTGTAGACCTCTGCTTACAGTCGCTGAGTGAAGAGGACTTGTGGCATCGCGCGGCATTTCCGGGGGCTGTTGCGGAGTTGGTGGGAGCTGATTCGAACCGTCGCTCGGTCGTCCAGTGTTGTGCTGGCGAGACGAACGAGGATTCTGGTCTGGGTCGACTGCCGGTTGCTGAGCAATGCCCCAACCGAGGTTCAAGCCTAGATTGCCAACGAAATTTGAGAAGTCATTAATTTCAGGAACATCAGCAAGTTGATCGAGCTCGTCTGGGCAGATAGTCAGAATCGGGGTTTCGCAAAGAATTACGTTGTCGAACCTGGTACCAGATGGTCAATGTGGGTGAAGTCAAGCTCGCCGCTGTCACCCATGAAGGAGTCCAAATCATGGGGCAAGAGGTCAGGCGGTGCATTGGGAGGGTAAGTGGGGTAAGGATGTTGATGATCAGTGGATGAGGTACATGAATGATCAGCTGCTGGAGTGTTGTCTATCTGAATGCTGCCGCTGGCGGAGTCTGGTGGGGACTGCAGGGAACCAGATGCAGCCGAGTGTACCAGGCGACTGTGACGAATCAAAAGATCGCGGCGAGCGAAGCGACGCCCGCAACCGCATACATACGGCTTTTCTTTTGTGTCTGAGGTGAGCAATCAGTATATCTCAACGAACGTGTATGCTGGAGAGGAACCGCACGTGTGCGAGAGTGCCTTTGGAGGTGCTCGAGTCGCGCGAAGTTACGATTGCATACTCCGCACAGAAAGCCGCGGGGCTCATCCGGCATGACAGCTGTGAGCTCTTCAGTGCCGCCGTCTTCTTGCGCACGCTAGCTCAGGTTTGCAAGTTGTAATCTTCTGCCTGTCGTTGAGATGCGAAGAAGAAGACGAGGCTTTCAACTACGAGGTGCACTCCGCAGGCGCGATCGTGGCCCTCTTGGCGTCTCCGCACCTTAAACTGGTCGCTATCACGACTGTCGTTAGTTACCATCTTTGTTTTGTCACAGGGGATTTTGTGATATAAGATGCCCGCGACAACACTACATTGCTGCGCACTACGATTTTGGTGGTTCAAAGATGCCTGGCACCTTCGACGTCGATCATGTGCTGTCAAAGCTTAGTGACAAAGAGAAAGTCGCTCTGCTCTCTGGTGCGTAGGCTAGGCCACCAAAGGGACATGGAATAGTCATCGACTGACGTGTCACAGGAATCGACTTTTGGCACACTTACCCTTTGCCGGAACATGGAGTCCCTTCAATCCGCTTGTCGGACGGCCCTAATGGAGTCAGAGGAACTCGTTTCTTCAACAGTGTACCGTCTGCTTGTTTCCCGTGCGGTACTGCATTGGCAGCCACTTTCGATCAAACCTTAGCAGCTGACGCTGGCCGCTTGATGGCCATGGAAGCTCACGCCAAGGGGGCCCATGTGCTGCTTGGTCCCACGATCAACATGCAACGTAGTCCGCTTGGCGGTCGAGGTTTCGAGTCGTTCAGCGAAGACCCTCTGCTGTCAGGTCTACTTGCGGCTGCCGTCGTCAATGGCATCCAGACTGAACCTTACGGTATCGCTGCTACCTTGAAACACTTTGTCTGCAACGACCAAGAACATGAGCGCAACAAGGTCAACTCTATCGTTACCGACCGAGCCCTCAGGGAAATATACTTGCTCCCTTTTCAGATCGCCATCCGTGATGCCAAGCCTCGCGCAATCATGACTGCCTATAACAAGATAAACGGCATTCATGTCAGCGAAGACCCAAAGTTCCTTGAACAGATCCTCCGGCAAGAATGGGACTGGAAAGGGCTTATCATGAGTGACTGGTGAGTGCCCCTCGTGTCTCTACCTCTCCCACTGCTGACCTACCATAAGGTTTGGGACCTATTCTACTGCCGAAGCTATAAATGCAGGTCTTGACCTTGAGATGCCGGGACCTACTCGTTGGAGAGGCGAAGCTGCCGCTCTTGCAAGCGCAACCAACAAGCTCTTACCTACTGCCTTAAACGACCGCGCCCGCGAAGTGCTCCAGCTCGTCAAAGACTCCGCAAAATCATGCATCCCCGAAAATGCACCAGAATCGACTGACAACAACACTGCGGAGACCGCAGCACTCTTAAGACGATTAGCGTCCGAGTCGGTCGTTCTTCTGAAAAACGACCAAAGCATTCTGCCCCTGTCAAAGGACAAAAAGGTACCTGCGCAAGTCTCTGTTAAATGAAGTGGTTGCTGACTCGTCGCCTCAGACCTTGATCATCGGACCTAATGCAGAGGTAGCGCGCTTCTGTGGCGGCGGTTCAGCTGCATTGAGACCATATTATGCCGTGTCTCCCCTTGAGGGAATCAAGAGCAAGATCGGCAGCGAAAACGTTTCCTACACACTTGGTACCTATGCTCACAATGAGCTGCCAGATCTTGGCACGACGTTATCTCCAACTCAGGACAGCACTACCAGAGGTGTCCGATTTTTGGCTTACAATCAACCGCCGGAGACTCCAGGCCGCCAATGCGTAGATGATCTTGTTTTTGAGACATCCAGCATGATGTTCATGGACTATAAGAACTCACAGATAAAGGACAAGTTATGGTATGCGGATATCGAGGGCTTCTACCAGGCGGATCGTGACGGCTTCTTCGAGATCGGCGTTTGCGTCTACGGCTCCGCCAAAGTCCTTGTCAATGGTGAGTTGATTGTTGACCTCACTGAACGTCAACAGCAAGGTTCGGCTTTCCTTGGATGTGGGACAGCAGAGACAAAGGGGCTTGTCCCGATGAAGAAAGATCAAACTTACCACATCAAACTCGAGTTCGCCAGTGCCCCAACAAGCAAGTTGAAACCTGCTGGAGTGGTTTTCGGTGGCGGAGCTGTTCGCATTGGCGGGGCGTGGCAGATTGACAAGGATGCAGAGATACGCAATGCCGCAGATTTGGCAAGAAGCACCGATCAGGTGGTACTTTGCATCGGACTCAACATGGACTGGGAAGGTGAAGGGTTTGACAGGGAACATATGGGGCTTCCTCCTTTCACCGACCGCCTGACAGAAGCAATCTTGGAAGCAAACCCTTCGACAGTCGTCGTTCTGCAATCCGGTACTCCTGTAGCATTGCCATGGATCGAGAAAGCATCCACCATTCTTCAAGCTTGGTACGGCGGCAATGAGACAGGCAACGGCATTGCAGATGTTCTCTTCGGGGACGTAAACCCAAGTGGAAAACTCCCTCTGAGCTGGCCGAGACGCGACCAGGACACTCCAACTTATGGTAACTTCCGTAGCGAGGCAGGACGCGTTCTATACGGCGAGGACATCTACATGGGCTATCGCTGGTACGATTTGCGTGACTTGGACGTGGAATTCCCATTCGGTCACGGTTTGAGCTATACCACTTTCCTGTTCAAAGACCTCAAGATTTGCAAGGACTATGAGACACTTGAGGTATCGCTGACTGTCAGCAACACTGGGACCGTTTCTGGTGCCGAAGTGATTCAGGTTTACGTCAGCCAGAAGAATCCATCCATCAAACGTCCAGTCAAGGAACTGAAGGGGGTGACCAAGATTTTCCTCGATAAAGGGGAAAGTCAGACGGTCACAATAAGTATACCGCTCAAATATGCGTGTGGATTTTATGATGAATGGATCGGTAGCTGGGTATGCGAGAAGGACACATTCAAGGTCTGGGTGGCTCCTAGCAGCGACAGTGCTTCAGACAGAGCATTGAGTGCTGACTTTGCCCTTGACCACGCGTTCACCTGGAAAGGTGTGTAAAGTAGAGCTGAGGGAATACTCAACTTGGAACAAAGCATGAAGACAATTTCCTCAAGATTATCAATGGCCTTTGAGGCCAGCTTTTCCATTACCCTGTGCCATACCAATAACCTCACTTTCCCTGTAAGAATATGACGTAGTGCCTGCTCCAATCGTTCCAGGGGAAGTGATCGATCTCGAAACTGCCGTGGAATATCGTGGGGGCTCTTGTGTTGCTTCGACTCGTGTGAGACTCGGAGGCCTGTCATAACACGGCCGCGGTACTCCCTATCACGTCCTGCAAGCCCGGTAAGCCTTTCGCCCATCCGTCCTCACTATCATCCAAATTGAGATTTTGACAAATCTTGCCACGCTTATCGAGTCTTCCCCCCTCCGTTAGTCGAACTTGTTGTTCGACGGACAGTCTCAGATAGCCTTTATCGAAAGAGCTCACGTAGGACTAAGATCTAGGTTTCTGGTTCAGCTCAATCTCCTCACTTTCAATATCAGTGGCTTGAGCATCCCCCGCACCTACACCATCACCTCTGATTACCCCTATCTAGTATCATGCCCCGCTCTAACGGTAGACGCGGAGGTCCCTTGGACAAGGGTGCGAGCCCGGTTTCCCCACTGGGACGACACCACTGATACAACACGATCCAGACAACGCCACTTTCATCGGATGAATTCCGCTGATTCTGGAGCAGTTCTTGCTTTGTTACCCTCGGACGACTGTATAGTACCTGGGGCATCTTGGTTGCTAGAGCAAGAAGGCATAAATGCTACGTCCCCCCATCTCATTACTTCTGGTTCTGCAGGCTTACCTATCACTTCTTCGTACTTGTCCGTTCTCCACAACAACTATACATATCTTGCCAACATGCCAGCTCTAAGTGAAGTGCTTCCAAAGAATCCTGATCGCTGGTACAAGCAGACTCATCTTGTACGACTCAACTTCTGCGTTTTTTCACTCTTCATGTTCGGTAAGATCGATCGTCCCAGACTTTGTCAAGATTCGCGGCATCTGACATAGTTAGCTTCTGCTAATGGCTACGATGGCTCATTAATGAACGGACTCCAAGCATTGAAGCAATGGAACCACTTCATGAACTCACCTGCTGGTGCTTGGCTGGGTTTTATCAACGTCAGCTACTGGATCACCGTTGGTCTGGCAAGTCCGGCTGTGGGCTGGGCCACTAACAAGTATGGCCGCAAGCCGCCCCTCTACTTTGGATACGTGTTTCTACTGATCGCCACCGCGATCCAGACTGGTGCTAAAGATCCCGCTATGTTCATCACAGCTCGTTTTCTACTCGGACCTGCTACTGCCTGCTTTGGAAACGCAGCGCCTCTATTGGTGGCCGAAATTGCATATCCCACCCATCGTGGAGTCGTCACCGCTTTGTTCTTCTGTGGATTCTACGTCGGTGGCATCATCGCAGCTTGGACTGTCTTCGGCAGTCAGTACATCCTAGGCGACTGGGCCTGGAGATGCCCTTCCCTGCTGCAGGTGATTTGTCCTCTTCTGGCGCTGCCTGGCTTGTATATGTGCAGTGAGAGTCCTAGATGGTTGGTCTCTGTGGGTCGAATTGCAGAGGCTCGGACCACACTTGCGAGAATCCACACTGGAGGAGCCGATGAATCTTCGCCTTTGGTCAGTTTCGAGCTCGCAGAGATTGAAAAGACGATTCAGTCAGAAGCAGACGCTCAGGTCAATGCAAGCTACACTGATATGCTCAAGACGGAAGGAAATCGCCGCCGCTTGCTGATCACATTGACGCTTGGTTTCTTTACTCAGTGGGTTGGCAACGGAGTTGTCTCATACTACCTGGCACTCATGCTCAAGACCGTTGGAATCACCAGCACACGCGATCAGACTCTGATATCGGCCTGCCTCCAGATCTGGAATCTTTTGCTCAGCGCGGGCGCCGCTCTGTTGGTCGATCGCTTGGGAAGGAGGTTGCTTTTCCTGAGCTCGTTCGTGATCATGCTCGTTAGCTACGTGGCAATCACTGGCTTATCAGCATCTTTCGCATCGACAGGCGCCTCTGCGACTGGCTTGGCAGTGGTACCTCTACTTTTTATCTACTTCGCTGGCTACGACATTGCCCTGTAAGTTATTTGTACTCTCAGCATGCAATTTCCAACTGACCAACAACTTAGCACACCCCTTCTCATCGCTTATCCTGTTGAAATCTGGCCATATCACCTTCGCAGCCGTGGCCTCAGTCTCGTGTGGGTTACAGTGGTCGTCGCAGTTGTTTTCAACACCTTCGTCAACCCTATCGCTCTGGCCGCAATTGGATGGAAATACTACATTGTGTTTGTTGTGGTTATTCTTGCATACGGTATCACTGTGTTCCTCTGCTATCCAGAGACTCGCAACCACACTCTCGAAGAGATCGCCATCATATTTGACAAAGATGATACAGTGCTGCAGGGGTTGGAGATGGACTCATCAGAGGTCACGATCAAGGATAAGGGGGCTGATGTCAAGATCACTGACGTCTGAAATCTATACCAAAAGGTGGAATGCAGAGAACGTTTGTGATATGGAGAGTCTTCGACCAGCCGGTTGAATTGTAAGGAAAGTAGAACATAGTGGTATCAGGCTAGATCAAACTGACAAGCATCGAGGCTTACACATACCGCCTGTATCAAGCATATCAAACATCTTTGGGAGACTCATCGAGTTCAAAGTGATCAGTACTAACAATGGAATTATTGTAGTGAACAACCACCCCATCTAGAATTATCCCATGCTCTGACCGCAAGCATGGAAACTGCGCTCGTACATTCCGGCTCGTCGCTGTGAAAGAAGAGCTCAAATTATCATTTCCAATGCTAGTAGGTGCCATCGACTCTGAATCCGGACCGGGGAGATGATTCGTCTCTGCAATCTAGGCAGCGAGAGATCTTCTCACTCCGCACTATACGTAACCGTCAACAGTTCGGAGATCGATATTCATAGAACGACCCTTCGACAGCTGCGATTTGAAAGTGCCATCTATCTCCAGCAAGATGACCGTGAAAGCGAGACGGCAGTCATACGAAGGCACAAGCATAGAGTGGCGTCTAGGTTTTGACTTCATTTGTACTCATTTCGAGGTCAAGAAAGCGACGAGGAAATTCGTTTCAAGCTATGAAGCCGGAGAAGGGTTCTGAGCTTCAGGTCACAAGTCGCACTGTTCAGTGCGGTATGTTTGTCTGGTAAGATGAATGCAAAAGCTGTTACACCAAGACAAACCTCTACGGTGGTGAGCCTCTGGACAGCAGTTTCTTGGTGAGATTTTGCTTTTCAAGCTTTACGCGCAGGGTTTAGGTCACATCCTTGTCACGCGTTCCCCTTTGGGTTACCCCGCAGCGACTTTGTAACATGTCTGCATGGCTTATGTGCATGGGTTTATTGATCTCAATCCAAATGGGGAGAAAGATCCGCAGCCAAGTACGTCCTATCTGGGGTGCTTATAAGGCCGACAACATCGCTGACCCAAGCTTTGTCATACTCTGCCGTCTTATCATCCAGCTTTCACTCTTCGATTAGGGAGACAAATACTCCGCCTCACCCTGTGTCGCACATTTGTGTCACTCAATAGTCCAACACTGTCAATACCATACATTCTGACAGACCCCAAATTGTAGCTCGTACACCGTCATAATGCTGTTCAGATCGCCGCATCCAGACGTTGTCGTTCCAAAAGTCAGAAAACATCTCCGATGCTCAACTGGGAGGAGGCTGACTATTGAAAAAGCTCGGTCTTCTCACCTGGCTATTTCCTCAAGATGAGCCAGTCTCAGAAAGTCCCATCTGGATTGATGCTGTCAATCCGAGCAAGTCAATAAGTCCAGCAGAGTTGTTGATGTGGGCCAAGAGAATAGGCGTTGGGTTGAATCAGTTGGGTGTCCAGCCGGGCGAAATTGTGCTCATATACACCCCGAACCACATGTTCGTCCCTGTAGCCTACGTTGGGATCGTTGGAAACACTCGAGCTTTCAGTGCTATCAACCCTGTCTCCACAGTCAATGAGGTTGTGCACCAGCTCAAGGACTCTCAAGCAAAAGCTCTGCTGGTCCATCCGAACATGGTAAAGAATGCCATCCTCGCCGCTGAGGAGGTTGGTCTGCCCAAGAGAAGTATCTTTCAGTTCGACGACGAGTATTGTGAAGAGGTCGACGGGATCAAAGACTGGACAACGATGCTAGGCAACCCTCAAGAAGCAAAGACTATGCAGTGGAAAAAACTAGGCACGGAGTCCACCACGACATTGGCAACAGTAAACTACAGCTCTGGTACGACCGGTCTTCCGAAGGGAGTTCGTATAAGCCACTTCAACTTGATTGCAAACGTGCTCCAGAGCATAGCTTGCCTATGGCCCCATGCCGACATCAACCGCGGCCAAGTGGTCCAAGAACGCTGGCTCGGCTTTGTTCCTTTCTACCATGCTTATGGGCAGATGTTTACCACTCTCCTAGCCTTGAAGATGAACTTCACTGTCTACATCATGAAGCAGTTTGTCTTTGCCGACTATCTGCAGCATATCCAGGACTACAAGATTTCTCATCTGCAAGTCGTGCCGCCGATCCTGGTGATGATGATCAAACGACCTGAGACAGCTCGATACAATCTGAAGAGTGTGCAGGGTATATTCTCTGCTGCAGCACCTCTATCTAGCAAACTTCAGAGTCTAGTCGCAGAAAAGTTCAAAGTCGACATAGTACAAGGTTGGGGCATGACGGAGATTACTTGTGGCGGAATCTTGCAGCAGGAAAGGGATGACGCAGACATCGTTGGTCAACTCTTGCCCAATCACGAATGCAAGCTGGTCGATGATGGGGGCAATGAAGTCGGTTATGACACACCCGGTGAGATCTATATCCGAGGTCCCAACATCTGTATGGGATATTTCAACAATGAGCAGGCAACAAAAGATACTATCACCGAGGATGGATGGCTAAAGACAGGCGATATTGCTATTGTGGACAAAAGAGGTTTCTTCCAGATTGTCGACAGGAAGAAGGAGGTGAGCGGAAAAAGACATCCCTGACTTCTGAATTTTCAGCTGACGCTTTGGAAGCTCATCAAAGTCAATGCGCTCCAGGTAGCACCCGCTGAACTTGAGGCTATGTTGCTCGAGCACAATGATATCGAGGATGCAGCGGTCACTGGGATCAAGCTCTTCGACGAGGAGTGGCCTCGAGCTTACGTGCAGCTCCGAGATCAAGCAAAAGGTCGAGTAACGCCCAGAGACATTCAAGATTGGTTAGCGGCGCGCAAAGCAAAGCATAAGCATCTTGTGGGTGGTGTCATGTTCGTCGATGAAGTGCCTAAGGTAAGACACCCGATTGATGCGCTGTTCACGCATGATGGTGATGGCAGACTTTTCATACTAATATGAAATTCAGCTTGCGAGTGGCAAGATCCAACGCAAAGTCGTGAGGGAATGGGCAAAGAGAGATATTTTTGCCGTTGAGAAAGAGCTGAATGGTAGAAGCCTGCATGCAAAGCTTTGATACCGATGTCGCATTAACTATGATAGTCTGGAGCCATGATCATCGTCTTAATTCTTCGCTGTGTGCACAGGACTATCACAGACCTGATCGATCTCGCGAAACCTCTGGCTGCGTCCCAAGCCTTTGTATCACACATCTTTGCCGCACCGCCGAGCCAACACGATTGGATTCTTGTTCCACGACAGCTCCTGTTCTTGTTCTCTACGGCAAGCAAGACTGAGAGAACGTTTCTCGCTTCTCGCACTGAGGAGAGAATACCGCTCTTTCGTTCTGATGGCTAACCTCAAAGAAGAAAAGCCGGAATCCAGTGTAGCCATGAGAATGCTAACATGACGACTGGTCGGGGTAGCAGCTCTGTGACAGACTGGGGGAGCTGAAAGAACGTTCCATCGGCCCATAAGAGCCAGGTGAGCAGGGTGCTGATTACCATACTCAGAAGTACACAAGACTTTAGTGGCGTAAGATGATTTGTAGAGAATCGCAGTATAGGTTGAGGTTGTTCATCATGTTGTAAGTTTCGGGTGAGATATTCCTTCGAGATGACTTTCCGGCTTTGCATACTGACGTTTGCGGCTCGAGACGAGAGGTCTAAAAATATTGTATGTTCGTTTGATTAGACTGTAGATATCTGGTCGATGGCCGGAGGGTATATCTGAGTGAAGAATGACTGTCGGTTGACTTTGTCATGTCAATGACACAATTTGAACGCGGGTTTTGATTTTCGAAAAGCGTATGTAATCCCAACCAAGCGAAGATTAGGGAACACAAAAATAGCATGTCGATGACTACATAACTCTCCAGATAAACGTTGCTCGAAGGGTTAAGCCCGAGCGGGAATAAGAGCTCGGCTTTCGGCACAAACCACTTTCTTAGCAACGATATCCGACTTCAGGCTTCTTGATGAAACCCATTCGTACCTGAGCAGACTCCCGATCAAGTTGACAAGGTCTTAAGATAATTCTCTCGATCCGAGTCTACACTAAAATCGACTGTACTCAAAGACGCCCATCGTCAGACTCCCCGAGCGGTCCCCGAAGGCAGGGATTGCTCGTTTTGCGTCTACAGACAAGTTGAGACCGCATGACCATGTTTACGGCTTCACTTGTTCTTTGAGGCTCAGAAAGAACAAAATTTGAGGAAGTGCAGGACTGCTTGGTGTTTCAAATTACTTATCAGCTATTCGTCTTCCTGTCTGTCGATTAAGATTAAGTCTACTGATAGCCACATTACAAGGTGACTGATGACTTGGACAGTCGCTATATGATTGTGTTCTCTTGATCAGAGTCATCTTGATTCAAACCATCTGCTCGGTATTCTCCAGGTCTGCTATCGTAACTTCCTGGTCTTCAATTGATTCATCTTTGGCCAGGATGATCTCTTGTTGGTAGTCCGACTCTGCATCCTTTGGCTCAGATCTTTCTGCGAGAGCGTCATCAGCAGCTTTGCGGTGTTGCTGCGACATGAGCCAGAATACTCTTGCGCCCCAAAGCTGTGCGCAGCTGAACAACAAGTGTAAAGTTGGCGTCAAAATTTTGAAGTCCAGCGTCCACTCTTTCCACACCGAGAAGAAGATCGAGAACACAGTTATGATTTCGACCACGGTACCGATGACCTCGAGGATTGCAGTTGCAAGAAAGATATCTGCGAGCAGCACGTGTTTCTTAGGCCAAGTGCGATAGGTAATGACAGCTAGATGTGGCCACAACTCGGCGAGAATATCGAAGATTCCTGCTCACGATCAGTTACCAATCATCAGAGGAAGGAGGCATCAACGAATACCGCAGAGTAAACAGAGCATAAATTCAAGCTCGGCATCCCGTCTATGTTTCGGATCTTGGAAGAGCACAGTGGCTGTTTGCGTGATGATTACAGCGCCGATGTGATGAGCAGCACTAATATAGCTGACTTTTTCCCGGTAGAACAACTCAAAGATGTACATTGAGGTGAACAGCTCAAAAACGCATACAAGGACATCACCATAGGTGACATTTCGGCTGCCGAAGGAGGACTGTAAGCTCCTGTGTCCAGACAGAACGACGATCGCAGGATAGACAGCAACGACGATCAAAGTCAGCTTGATGGTAGCGGCCACATAATGGTTGATAAAGCTCCTTCGTTGTGCCTGATCAAGGTGCTTGTACTGTTTTGTGAAGCGGATCACGAGAGGTTCGAGGATATAAACTCGCACAAGGAAGACAACCACGCAGCAGATCGTGAGGATGAGACCTGAATAGGGCACCAGTTTAGATAATCTCTTGTAGTCGTGGTCAATCTTTCCAAGACTCTCATCCAGTTCGGTGAGTACCATGTTGTGCGATAGTTCAAGGGATATTCGGAACGACGATGACGCAATATCGTATGTAGAAGCTCAATGAATGTATTTGATGATGAATAACGAGTGAATGTAGATCGTGCCACTAATTGGAAAAACGAATCATCTTGGACACAGGGGCATAAACATCATATATAGAAGCAAAGACTATGGATGACCGGCATGCGTGTCGTTTTACATTCGGTTTGTTGTGATGTTGAACGAGAAACAGCGCAAACGAGTGACATGCTCGAGGCTCACTTGAACACGATGGTATGAAACGTGTGCCTATACCAAATGTCATCGGAATTTGAAAGCATCCAATGAGAGAACGCGTAATAAGCAAGAATGGCTGTTGACGATGGCATATGGACAAACATGCTAAGCTTTCTATCCGGAGATAAGTCCAGATAAACTTTGGCAAGGGGTACGTGTTAGACGTTGAAACCAGGGGTTCCGAGTCCGTGACGAAATTGTGGATTACCCTCCGAGCTTTCGAACAGAAGACCATACGCCAGGTGTCGCTTCTCTATCGGGAGACCCAATCTTGCAGCACATCAGAAGGACCTGTAGGTAGTACTAGTATCTGCTTGCGCCGTAGGTGATACGTAACGTAAACACCGGTAATCTCGTTTCAATTCCCATCTCTCCAGCCTTCTTTATAAGGTTTGAATGCACACGCAGTCGCGTCATCTCACATAGCTTTGTAACGCGTGTCGCACCTGCTTGATTCAGTCAAGTCGAACGCTGATGCCAAAGGAACCTCGGGAAGCAGAATGGCAGAGACAGAATGAGGAACAATGCTGTCGTCAGCGGTTTGTGGATACGCATAAGAAACACAAAATTAGATTGAGTGGTTCATGTGTTTGACATGTCAAGACCCTGAAACGTTCACGCATGCAAAGAGCGGGAATGATGACCGGGAATGCCGGCCCGAGGACATGACAGACGAGTCTTCCAGTTTCGGGAGGTCGCGACCAACATGAATATCACTGCTCGATCTGAACATCATGTTGTTTATTCAAAACATTTGCGAAAGTATCTGAAGCGATGTGCGAGGCATGAAGCATAGAAATTCATGCTTATCAGTTTTGGTTCTGCAGCTATGACTCTCATGACTCCAGCTTTCATTCTCAAGATGCGCATGAGAAGCCGAGAATCCCAATCGAGCGGGGTTTGCGCATACGTATTCCTCTTGGTAACTTGTCAAAGCATGACTACCCAACAATTTTGGCTATGTGCAAATGGTCGGCAGATCATTTCCGTATGGGACTCGTCTTCTTGATCTGAAGAGCTTGATGACCGTAATAGAAGAAGTGCCCATAGCAAGTTCCGTGAATGGGCGATGGATGCCGTAATCACCATGCCAGGTGCCTGCCGGAGGTGCCTCAGTTGAGTCACTTACGTACACTACAGCGACTCGTACTCGAAGCCTCAGGCCACTACAGTCCACATCTTACTAGCAGAAAAGAAGAGCTCTGTGTAGTGAAACTGTCACGGCAAAACAGGCAGCAAGACATTTACGCAATGATGTGCCGAAGTTCCATATCTGACGTTTCAAATGTCGATTTTTTCTGTATGACTGTAATAATGATGACTGTAAGAATGATCACAGACTCTTTGTTTCGCGGATGCTGCTATGATAGCAGAAATCCGAAGGCTGCAACGACAGCTCCCAGATACCCCAATCCCTGATTTACTCGCTGTATTGCGATCAGAACCTTCTGTCACTGATCCTTGGATGAACCCTTCTGACAGATTCCGGCTCGGCAATAGCCAGGCGACCTGATGCATCGTTGTGAACCATCGCGCCATATTTGACTTCTCTCTGACCAACTTCTCTGATTAGGTCTTTGACACCTGCATTCGCCACAGCCGGATGGTCAAGAACGGGAGCGCGGAAAGCATTAGCAATCTCGAATGGTCCTAAGGTGACATCGCGACCCAGTTGCCAATATCCCCAGTAGCTGGGCAGGACGCAAAGAACACAGACCAACATCGTAGCCAATGCAGCCCACATATAGCGACGTTCCGTTGCATAATGGATGCTTGAGCCGTATTGAGTGGCTCTGAACTTCTCTGTGAGTGTCAAGTTGTTGTTGTTGTAATTTACACCCCACGGATCAACAGCCAGAACGAACATGAGAGAATTGACTTGTAAGATTGTGTAGTCCAGCGGGTCCCGGTACGCAAAGTCACAGCCAGTAGTGCTGTTACGCGCGAAGTTGAAAGGCAACATCCCAACAGCGCCGGTTTGAGCCACGGAGAATCCACCTCTATCATAATGCATGCTGCTAGTCCCCGCAAGATAGCGATTGAGAGCCTCGACAATTCCACCGAGAATGGTCGGTGAGTCGCTAGAGAAGAACGTGGGATCCTCGAGCACATCCTTGTAAGCAACAACAGAGTAGTCCTTCAATTGATGCAGCTTCGAATCGTAGAAGGTTCCGTTCATGTATTGGGTCATATCCTCATCAGCTGTGTAGAGGGTTTGAAGTGCTTCACTCCAGTAGCCGACTTGGCCACCATAAGAAGTAGTATTGTAGCCAAGATACATGTTGGATACAGATATGGTGGAGTCAGAAGCCGACGTGTCTTCTATCGTGACAGGATAGCGAACAATGGCCGGCCGCAGCATGCAGCTATGACGAGTCATCTTACCAGGACAACTGGCAGAGCCGTCCCCGGTCGCTGTCGCGTTGGTAAAGGTGAGATTCATCTGAATCCTGGAGTAGTCGCCGTCTACTCCAGTAGCTCCATAGATAGCTTTGAAGTTGATGTCAAAGAGGGTTCGCTCGGCAGTCACGTTCAGAGACGACGAGTTGTCGGATTGGGATACAGCGATGGCTTCTTGAGAAACAGCCGTGCCGTAATCCATAGCAATTTCTTCACTTTGGCAATCAATACCAAACCCAGTACCATGAACGTCGAAGAGGCAGGTCCCCTCGCAGTAAGAGCCCGGGAGATAGATGCCGCCAGAGTGAGACCAATAATGAACGTCTGTGCCAAACCAATCTATGAAGGAAGAGACATTGCCAGATCTGTCTGCGAATGTCGCTGTGATAGGCATGGTATCGTTGACATACATATCGAGCGTGAAATTGCGAGCAGGATCAGGCCGGATCTCGGTGCCAGCAGCTTTCTGTAGAAGAATGCCATCAATGATGGTCAATTTTGCTGCAAGGGCTGCCAAAGCGATGAAGTTGAAGTATCTGCCATATAACACAACGTCTTTGATGCTTGAGCTGAATTGCCAGGAACGATGAAGTTCTTTGATGGTGGCTCCTCTGAGGGCTTTCCTCCACCATGTGATGGCGACACCATTTGCGATCGCCACTCCAAAGCAGATGTTCGCGATTCCATTGAAGGCTGAAAGGAGGACACTGGGTCCAATCTTTTCAGCCCAGTGCCTCTGTCTCTTGCCATCAGAGACAAGAAGGACTATGAGCGAGCTGTTTGCGCAGAGGATGATGATGAGTAATGCGATGGCCCCATTCCGAGGAAACCTGGCCCTCAAGCCCGTTCTCCATTGGGGATCAGGAAAGACCTGCTCTTCATTGTCGAGGCAGGCAGTGTTGACCTCTGGTATCTCTTTGCTCGTTGACATGTCTGGGAAAGTTTAGTGATGATGGGATCTTGCTCGCCAGTATCTGAGCGAAGCAGATTTATATGCCCAGAGCATGGCCAGATCAAGAGACTGTATGCAACATACAAGCTGAATTGAGTGGTCCATGGCCATTTTCCGGATTCTGTCATGGCTGTAAGTCATTTGCTGAGCGATCCAGAAGCGGCTTCATGTACAGGTGCTTCAGCTGAAGTGGAGTTACAGCTCGCATAAGGAACGCGATCACAGGTAACAAGATCCGTGAGGGTGTGCCTAGGGTTAGTACCGAAGCAGGATCGTAGATCCATGACAACACGTCGGAGTCTCGAGTAGACACACAAGCAGACGGCGCGTCGAAGTGGCCGGACTTGCCGTGCGCTTAAGCTCACATCGTGCATGGGAGATTCAGCTGTATCTAGAAAAGTATGAAGCTGAAACGCAGCCAAGCAGCAGGAAGTAGACACATGGCGCAAGTCGTTATAGAACAATTTGAACGTCATACTGAGCAACAATCCAGCTGAATATGCTGCATACGCTCGTGATGCATTCATGTCGCAAGGTGGCTCCTTTGGACGCCTCGATGGTTATCGCGTAAGAGCAGCAAACAGATTGACCAAGATCGATAGAGGTATTTTGCCATGCTGTAGGCGAGAACAAGAATGAAGAAAGCGCCATGCGGCAGCTTGACGTTCTGTAAGCAAGCACGTTCCACGGCTATCTTTGCTGCCTCTGAGCCGCGCTCGGTTCCCCACGACTCCACAAGCCCTCCTTCGCTCCTTCGAATTCTCAGAATCTTCTCTGCTTCATACTTCCATCTTGCATACAAACCTTGCAGAAGAAGTATGCAACTCGTGATCAGATCACCAGTATGGCTGAGCTCACATTATACTATAAGCGCGAGCATAGCTTCTTTTTGAGGACGCCTCTTGACCATCGTCACCACACCATCACTAGAACAAAGACTTGTTATAAATTTGTTTTCAAGTGGTCCATATCTTGAAGACTTAGTCACGGCATAAGACATCTATTGCGTATCCTCGGCAGACGCTCGACAAGATTCCTGAACCCCTTCGCAGCTCAGTCGGTCAGCCCGAGTGAGTGAGCCTTGCAGCTCGAGAGGCTCCGTTCGCCAGCCGCTTCTTCATCCCAGCTTCGGAGCGAGAAGCCTACTTTACACTCAGCAAGTGATTCAAGATACGGATGTGGCCGAGCATTAAGCATACTGCTGGAGGCTTTGGCGAGGCCCCTCTTGGGACCGTTAGACCGATTTGGACAGGTACGTACCAAGGGCAGCACAGGCGCGGCACGCGGGTCAGGAAGAAGCATACATTTTTGTGATTGGTTGAGCAGGTGATGTTTTCCATGGGCACCACGTGAGTACTGCATCAACGTAGCTGAGGTACATGCGATAGAAACATACTTACCACACTTCGCTTGCATATCAGCAGACTTGCTGTTCAATACCAAAGAGCAAGCAGTTGTTGACCCGCTGGCAGGTTTCTTCAGCTCAAAATAGGACAATGGTTTATCGAGACGTCTGGATCAACAACTCTTTCTGGGATGAGCTGGCACGCGAGCAGATCTCGTAAGCTTCGACACAGATAACCCAAAGTTGAACCACAAAGTCCTTGCACCAATATTGGTCAGACGATATATAGTCACTCTTCTTCGGCTCTTCTCTGATCTGCAGCATCCTTGTCTGAGATCTTGTTCTCTTCACGCCTTGCAGGAGTTCAGTCTGCTCCACATTCATCTGCCATTGGCACCAAAGTCTTCAAGCCAACAATCAAGCTGCCACCACCAAGATGGCCAGCGATGAAGCAATCATACCAGTCGAGATTTTGACGTACGGGGCTGTCAATAACAAGCTCAAGAACGACGTCACAGTCACCGCAACCGCTATTGAGTCGCCAGATTCGCCCAAACAGCGCCCGACCGTCCAACTGCAAGGCCGCCGCAGAACGAATACATCTCTGAGCCAAGCAGAAGTGACAAACACTGATCGCGACAACAGTGATGCCCTCACACGGCTGGGTAACCTCGTTAAAAAGATCCATGGTTTTTCTATCATCACACGATATGCCTTGTACGTGTTGCCAGTTGCAACACTACTGGTCATCCCTCTTGCACTCTTCGATACTGTCTATCAAGGCGCAAGAGCTGGAAACATACGTCTCCTTGGCCTTTTCATCTGGCTAGAAGTGGTCTGGGTTGGCTTATGGGTCTGCAAGCTATTGGCCAAAGCATTACCAGTCATCTTCCAAGGTGCATGCGGCCTAATCAGCACCGGCATCAGGAAGTACTCGCTAGTCCTGATGGCCCTTGAGATTCCGATCAGTCTGTTCCTCGCTTCTATCGCGAACTGGGCTACAGTACCAGTAATATGCTCCTTCGACAAAGGTCACTGTGGCGACCAATGGTTGAAGACGCTTCACACGGTCTGTCTGGCAACCATCGCGGTCGCTGCCGTCTTCTTGGCCGAGAAGTTCTTCGTGCAACTCATCAGTATCAACTACCACCGCAAGCAATACGACAGAAAGATCAAGGACTCCAAAAGACTGATCTCGATCCTGGACATCATGTATGACGCCTCCCGACAGTTGTCGGCACCTTTCTCCCATGAATTCGCCGAGCTTGACTATGACATCTTTGACCCTGACACTTCGGGAATCAAGAAGAAACTCGGTCAGGCAGGCTTCCGCACTACCGTCATCAACGACATCGGGCGTGCTCGCGACAAGGTCACCTCGGCTTTTGGCAACATCGCGTCTGAGATCTCCGGCAAGCACATCTTCAACCCCAATTCAGCACACTCGATTGTCATCGGGGCGCTGGAGACTCGCCGTGCTTCCAAGGCACTGGCACGTCGCCTATGGCTCAGCTTCGTGCCTGAGGGAAAAGATGTGCTCCTTGTAGAAGATATTCGAGAAGTGCTAGGACCCAATCAAGCTGAAGAAGCAGACGAGATATTCAATGCTCTTGACAAAGACTGCAATGGCGATGTCAGTCTTGACGAGATGATCATGCTCGTGATGGAAGTGGGTCAGGAACGCAAGAACAGAGCTTCGAGCATGCACGATATCAGCCAAGCCATCCAGGTGCTTGATCGAATGCTCGTCTTCGCGGTCTTCGTGGCCATTGCTTTCATCTATGCTGCTTTCTTTAGCAAAACCCTTGCTTCGAAGACCGCTCAGCTCTGGTCTACTTTCACCGGTCTTGCCTTCGCGATTGGAGGCACTGTAACAGAATTTCTTGGTTGCTGCATCTTCCTGTTCGTCAAGCATCCATATGACGTTGGCGATCGCGTTGACATTGACAAGACCGAACTCATTGTCGAACGTATCTCACTCATGTACAGCGTCTTCCGCCGCGTGGACAACGACAAGACCGTTCAGGTTTCTCATGCCGTGGCCAACACCCTCTGGATTGAGAATGTTTCTCGCAGCAAAGCGATGAAAGAACGCATTACCCTCAGCGTTTCTGCAGCAACCACCTCTGCAGACATCAGTGCTCTGCGCGTCCATCTGGAAGAGTTTGTAAGAGCGGCAGAGAATGCGCGTGATTACCAGTCTGGTATTGAGGTTGAGGTCGTTGGTGTCGGGAATCTAGACCACCTTGATCTCATGATCGAGATCAAACACAAAGTAAGTACTGTCACTTTTGCGGCTCACATTTCTTGCTAATTCTCTGCTAGTCGAATTTCTCGAACGAGGCTCTGCGAGCATCCCGTAGAAACAAGTTCATGATCGCCCTTCTGAGCGCCATCAAGAACGCAGGCATTGAAGCGCCATAAGTTCTAGCTCTCTAGCGTCCCAAAAGCCATAGTCATCCTCTGTAGATATCCAGGTTCAGCTATATCGTGCTCTTATATCTCTTAACTGTTCAAAAGTGCTCGAGCCTTGACTCTTGGTCGAAGTTGTATGAATTGCCGTAGCCACGATTGAGATACCCATCCATGATTGTTTGCTCAGAAACAAGTCTTTTTTGGATCTGTAGGTCGCTACCCTCCCGATCCAAGACGTTTTCTAAGTCTTTCGAGAATTCAATGGTCATCGCATTACTGCGAAAACACGTCAGCTTTGTGAGTCTCAGGCATGATTCGAGTTCCTTGGAGAGTCCTACCGAAACCACGGAGCGAAATGAATCATGGCAAGCATGACCCGCACATCATTGCTGAAATTGGGCTTTCCAGCATGCCAAAGTCTGAGATCGCGAATCACAATCGAGCCTTTCTTGACCTGAGGCTGGCAGGGGCCTCGTTCTTGCTTACGTTGTTCAAGCAGATGTTTGGCGATCCGCCCGCTGGCTCTGTCTCCCTGCTTGCCTTCCTGTGCGGCCAGAGAAGTGATGTTGTGGGTACCGAGCCATACTTCTGTGCTGCCGTTGTTGATGTCCATCTCGATCAGTGGAACGTTGACAACGAGAGCGAAAGGCGATTCCGGATGGTCGAAATCTGCGTCTGTGTGGACGGGTTGAGATTGCGGCGTCACTCCTGGTACAGGTGGAAGTGCGCTATTGCCGGACATGAACGTCAAGCGGGGTTTGGGGCCGAGCACAGAAGTCGTGACCTGTGTGGCCAAGGGGTTCAGAAAGATCGAGGGGTCAAAGTGGCTCTTCATCATTGGGGGGTCTTGCTGAATATTGCTGGTTGCGTATTAGACATGGCTTTAACGATCAGGAGAATGAAACATACCCTTTATTGTAGTTGAAAGGACCATCATCGCCAAGAGCTTGGAGTTTGAGGGCATCTTGTACCATAGTCCTGTTCAGAGCGTCAAGCTTAGAGTGCTCAATAACATCCTGCAATACTACAAGCCCATCACGGTGCAGTGCCCGCGTAGCTATTTCAAGATTGTGCCACCCCAGCTTCTTTGCAGCTAACTCTTCTGACGTGACAGCAACAGTGATGGGTGCTGAAGATAAGTTGCGAGTGAACTGAAGTTTCATGTCAGCCCGGCCACGGCGGGCAGTAGTGGCAGGAGCAGCCCTCAAGATCTGTCTTGAGAACATGTTCGATGATGAAACGACATAGACAACGGAACAAAAGCGAGCTGATGAGATGAAGTTGGAACAAGACGTGTTCAAGGTCTACTTATAACCATTTCCCAGTTGATTTGCTTCCAGCACATGGCAATGTGTTCGCCAACGCTAGCTATCAGGGGCAATACCGTCAGAGGTGGGGTTATGGTCCTCGAGCAGCGCTTCGCCTACGCTAGCCCAATGTGGAAGTCATCGCCGAAACACCCTGATCAATAATTCCAGAAAGCTTTCAGATCCTCTGTGATGCGATGGACCGGCCACCCAATCTCACGGCTGCTAGTTTGCAAGAGTTGTACAAGAGCTTTTCGTTTTACTGGACGCGTGAGAAATCTTCCGCCTGTTCAAAGTCATTTTGCTATCATTCTTGTTCGAAGCATAACAACTTACAAAACGCCATAGGTCCAAATGCATTGACTCTTGCAGCCTTGTTCTCATTCGTATAGGCTATGCCGCACAATCTCTCTATATCCTGGATATCGATCTGTGTGTCCGGGTTCCGCAGCAACAATAGCGTCTTGGCTGTCAGGAAGTATTGTGCAGCTGCGACTGTGTGCCCTTCAGTAGATGATCTTCCACTTAATTACGTCAAACCCACTGTGCCATGGTCGGAGATACCACTCGGATGGAAAAGGGTTGCCCTCTTTCGGTGCCTGTGAATATGGTTTGTAAGTGGACGGTAGGTTATGACTCCAGTACGCGAGCTCCGCATTCAGCTTCGTCCATTCGGCTTCGTTGAACTCAAGAATATTGCCTCTTTCGTCTCGGCCAAAGCAGAGGTTGATCACACGTGCCAAGATGTATGTCACAGTGTTTGCATGTACGCTGTCAAAACCAGACGTCACACTCCGGGCATCAAGATGAATGTTCAGGCGTACTGGTCTTTGACATTCCAGCGCCACTGTGATCTCTTCACGCAGATAGTTCCAGGCCCCTGCCTGCAGCAAGCCTGTTCTAGTCATGTCAATCTCTTCTGTCGATGAAAATCGATAGGCGCCTAGAAGATGTCGCTGCTCTTGTCTTGAGTCAGCTGCAGCGAGATCAGCATATGTCCTGGAACATCGAGCTCTAAGATACGGACCATTGAGAATCTCATAGGAGCGTAGCAGACAAGCTGCCACCAGATAGTCCTCCTGCAAGGTTGGAGTAAAAGCATTCAGTCCACTGAGAAGCTCTCGTATGCATGCGCTGTGATACAATGTGCTGCACGTCTCGTATCGCGCATCACTCAACGCTTTATGTTGAGCTGAAAAAGCGATGATGGCGTTGAACAATACCGAAACGTTCAGCGCTCTGGCTGGAACCATGGATTCAAAAGGGCGTTCGTGTTCGCAAAGGTCGTACCATGCTGCAAGATGTTCGATGTAGTGATGGTATAGGCTGGCGATCAACTCAGTGCGCAGATCTTCTGAGGGGCTGACGGGAGTGGGGACTTGAAAACTTGTCTCCCTGTCAGACAGCAGCACCGCTGCATCTGGCGGTGACTGGGTGACAGCTGTTTGAGCATAATTTGACGAAGTCTGTGACTCGTTCAACTCTCTCTCAGGCTGACTCGGAGCCGGACCAGCCGTATAGATGACGAATTTTCTGTTTGGGCTTGACCTTTCGCACTGCAGGTTCCGCTTCGCACAATTTTGGCACACAGGTCGATGGCCGTCACCTGGATTCGTCATATGAATGATTGTCAAATCTGTATCCAGAATCTGCACCTACATTTGACCTTTCGTCGCCGACACGTGGGACTTGGATGTCAGTCGGTCCGTGTATGTTGCATCTGCAGCCATGTTTCTCACCATGCTGCAGCATCATCAGCTCGGTTTTGCTTCGATCTGTAGCGAACTCTCACAATCTGGAGGTACTACCCTGGGCATTGCAAAGCAAGAGCGGTCGCAGATGTTATTCTCCAAGATCAATGATTTTCGTGACGCATACGTACGACGTGTCGGACGCTTTACTGGTTTGGGTCCGAAGCCGATGCGTTTGGCATGGTTGGCGTGATGGCAACGATGCCAAGAATGTGGATCAGACAGGGTGATACCTTTGACCAGCAGTTTTCGAAGTGTCATATCCTAACGTATATCAACTACACTATGAACGAATTGTGCGACAATTCGTTATACGACTTTTGTTCGACTTTTGTGCTTGGTGTAGTTAGCGCAATAACAGAAGCGACATCAAGATCTCGACGTCCACACACATAGGAGCAGATCTTGAGGTCAATCAGATTATTGGCTAGGAGTCGTTGTTGAATGAAATGGCATATTGAGTCGATTGGTGGCTGCCTGACGACAGAACTCTCGATTTTCCTTTTCCGGTTCTGTTGTTCAGCAAAGCCAGGCGCAAGTCAACATGACCGTAGTCAAGATCTTGAGACTAAACAAACTTCACTTTCGAACGGTCATGATGTTCTCTTCTTGAGAAAACGCCCTGCAATGAGACCCACAGTCTGAGTGTCGTCTCAGACTTGGAACATTTATTCTAAGGTCGCGATAGAGGAACGGACGAGGGGATCACAGATCGAGGCACAACTTCGGCAAAATGCTTGTTTAGAATGATGTCCTGTTGACGCGCTTTCTGCTCAGCTTCTCTTCTTGCTGCAGCGAATCAACCTCACTGACTTACCGCTGCTGTGAAAGCGCTGCGCATGCGCCCATCGCTGGCATCCATGTACAACTTTGTCAGACAGCCGCAATAGTCAAGTCCCTCTCGAACGCGTGTCCATGCGACCGACATGACGGAACAGCTCAGCCTCGATGCAGGGCAAGCGAAGAACGCCTTCTTTGAAACCTCGGCCCCCTTGTCTTTGCGTTTGCAGACGAGACAACGGTAAAAAGGAACTTCTTGGCTGAAGACTACCATATGAACGAGGCATGAGAACATCTATTACTAGACTTGACGTTGGACCAGATTTCCCGTCCTCTTCTTGAGATTTTCATGGCTGTGCATCTTGACGCCCAAACTTGCCCAGAAGTCTGATTGGATTGCCAAAAATATGCGATGGTGATCGGACTGTATATCCGTGACTTGTCTTGCAGCTCAGCCTATCTAGGCGCGAAAGCTCCACATATAGGCAGGATGACTCTCTGTTCGAATCCAGATCCATTGCCCTCCATTGCTCTTCAGACAACATGGCCAATTCTGATACCGGAACAAAATATGCAGCAGTCAAGACATCAGACATTGAAGCAAAAGATCAACCAGTATCAATGTCTAGGAGATATTCTGATATTGCACTCAGTGCTCTCGTGATAACAGTCCCGTTCCTCATCTTGTCTGGTGTGCTTCTGGCCCTCGTCTTCAATCTCCGTGTCGTCCAGGAACCGTCGATCTTTTCGCAAGGCCAACAAAACACTCTCAACGAACCTGGAGTGTATTATGTGAATATCAGTTCAACTTTTTTGGTTTTCATCGCATCGTGGTCTAGTAGCATCGTACCCATGCTTGCGACGTTCATGATGACTCTGGCATCTTTTCCGATCGCGAACAACGTTCTGAAACAGAGTCGTCTTGAGAAGTGCACTCGGAGCCTGACACCATATCAATTCGCACTGGCACTGAACTTTCTAAGCGGAGGAGGTTATGGCGCTGCATGGAGATGGATAAAATATCTGTTCATGCAGAGGGAAGCCCGAGAGCGACAGGCACAGGCTCTGACACAGGCTCCTTCCTTTGCACTCCTGACGTTATTGCTTGGGTGAGTTATCTATATACTCCTCGTCCGAAGGCCTTGCTGACTCGACCAGACTGCTAGTGCTATTAGCCGACACCTGGCTACACGTTGCAACGAAAACGGTAACCTTCACCCAACTACAAGAGCCTGAGGATCCTCCTGCTTCACATGGTTTTGGTCTTGTGGAAGCGTGCACGATCAATAACAACTCATTTGCAGACGCGATTTCGTCACCTGGTCATCCATGCGCTTTGAATGAAGCTGCCACAAGTTCAATGCTTGTGAACGGAACTCATTCACTGGAAGTTCTGAACAATGTGTCGTCTCTAGCCACTGTTCCCACAATCACGTCTGAAAAAGACTATGTTTATTTAGCAGTTCCACCCTCGGCAATGTTGGCCAAGGAGGATTGGAGAGTGGGATCATTTGCTTTGCAGACTCAGTGTCGTCTTGCATCTGCAGAATGTGACATGAGAGGTGTGAACGGTGCCTCAACGCCATTTCATTGTTCGGATGCTTTTCACGGAGATGTGACCAGCAATCCGCAGGACTTCATTTGGGCGTTCTTTACAGATGGCACGATGTCAGATAATGACACTAGCTCTGGTGTGGAAAACCCTTCCTACTTTGGCATGGCAGCTCTGGTCAATCCGAACATTGGGGTGCGCACAGTTCCAGGTACTGTAAACCCTATGCATGGGGGCACCGCCTTCGTGCTTCTTTGCAATACCACTGTTCTGGAGGTGACTTATGATTCTGTCAATGGAACCATAACAAATTTACAGGGGGTTCTCAGTAATGCATCGACCGTCAACGTCTGGCAGAGCGCTATGGCTTATACCGTGGTTGGTATACCCAACATGAAGCAAGCAGCAAGTCTTGCAGCCATGGGTCATTCTCCTCAACAATTCACGGAGGATATGGCGTTGTCGTTCAGCAAAACAGCGCTCGCTATTGGCTCTCAGTCCGTCGAAGAACGATCACCTTTAGCTGTTCAGACGAGATTCTCATTCCTCGTAGCCAGAGTTCCAACCGCCCCACTGTACGCACTTGTTGGAGCAAACATGCTTGTCGTCTTTGTCACAGTTGCGCTCACGATCGTTGCCTTGATGACTTCAACGGGCGACGTAAAAGAAGTTCAAAGTAGACTTTCGATCGTTGGTCTTGTTGCCGACCGATTCGAGGACAAGACAGCCAGGTTTGTAGCTAAGGATCTCGACGAACTCTTCCGCGAATCCCAGGGTAAAAAAACTTCAAGAGTTGGTATAGACAGTGCTGCTGAGGGCGGTTTTGGTTACAAGACCTGGAATGAGGACAGGTAGTAAGTGAACTCGATCTATGGTTCTTTGGGCCACCGTGCAATGTTTCATAACCGAGCCGGATCTATGGTTTAGATTTTCTTCCTCAGTCTCTTCGCATTGCATTACATAGACTTTTGAACTCGTCGAATTGGACTGTTGTGCTTTTCAGGATTCCTTAGTCGATGTCCGTGCCCGGACGTAGTACTCCATCATGAGATCTTGCGGCTCGTTCACGATCCTCTTCAACGGTAGTACTGCCTGCCATTCGTAGGAAGAGCTGCGACTGCAGCATCTCGAAGGCGATGCGTACCGACATCGACTCTACTCCGTCTGACTCTTCTGGCTCAGTGACAAGTACCATTGTGCCATCGTCCAAAGACCTCTCATCAATAATGGCGAACGAGTCGCAGTCGATGTCAGAGCCATTATCTTCACACAACTGCTTGAGCAGCTTGTAACAGTTGTATGGGCTTTGACCAGCAAAAGGAGCCATGATTGAACCGCCACACTCCCCAACCTCGTCAGGCTCTGTGTAAACGCGTGAAAGATCGTCAATGAAGACAAGGTGAGTTTCTATGTCGTTCAAGTAATCTGCGTTGAGTTGCAGAATGCGGTCTTTGAGCTGGACGACCAGTCAGTGATGAGTTTGTTTGTAGAAGAATTGCGATACCTCTGCGGAGAGCTTGACTGCACAACAGATTACATCAAGCATAGTGAAGTACTCAACCGTAACAGGTATGGTTACAAGCATGCGGAAGCAGATGGACACGATCAATTTAAGACATACGTGCGCACGCGATCCGCCAATATAGTTTGACTAGCCCAACGGCTCGGCTGAGAAGACCCAAACCTGGGTGCCTATAATCATTAGTAGACGATCGATCGCTGCTGCCTAGCTTCTGAATTGTCAATAGCTACTGCCCTCTTGCAGTACTCTGCATCAATGAAAGTCAAGCGGCAGCCAGATATCCATCCTGATCTTGTTGTCGCACATAATGTCTGATCTCTTCTCAACCTTACCAGCGCCGTTGTCGCTGTACATCCTGCTGGAAGTACCAGATCTCAAAGCTCTATACTCCGCGATCCTGTCATCGCCGCATCTGTGGGCTGTGTTTCGTCTAGATGCGCGACGAATCTTCAGAACAATCATCGCGCGCAGTCTGCCAGAAGGGCTCGTCACTCCAGTGCTTGTATACATGTTGACACGAGAGCAGCTCACAAGAAGTCACGACTCTACTTCTCTTACCTTGCAGCAACTACGGATGGTGATCGATGATGTTGTCTTTGCTACAACGGCAGACCCTTGGTCCAAAATAAACACCCACACCATCTTTCACACTGTGGCCCAGGCGGTACGCATCCATGATCTTGCATACTTCATTCTCCGCTCCAAGCTCGACTACTTTGGCACACTCAAATCTGAGAAGCTGGCCGACCCAAAGTATAGATACAAAAGACCTTATATCGCGGCTATACGGAATCCTGAAGGCACACCCATGGATGTAAAAATGCCTCTGAGTGACCCGAGCTGGGCCGAGGAGACTCGCGCTGTACGCGTACTATGGCTGTTAGCTGCTGGCTGGCGAGCTTCTCATATTACGACGACTTCATCAGATGATGATACGGAATACTTGACTGCGCCTCAAAAGATGATTCTCAGTCGTGGATCCTGGGGGACGATGAATCTAGCCATCGAGATAGCACAAAGCATACTTTTAGGCCCTGTACTACTGCCGCCCAGCAAGCCAAGGAAGATCGCTATACATAGTTTCGACGCCCTGCATACATACCCAGTTCAATCTACCGCGCGTACAACCAAGCGTTCTGCGATGGACAATTTGCCCTTGCCATCTTCACCGCAATTCTCTTGGATCCCAGCAGTCGCACTTGACCCGTCATCCGAGGATGCCGCTAAGTGGAACGTGGACATCTTTTCTGTCGAATCAGAAAATCCAGAGCTATTGTTCACCCGAGCGAATAGGCTACGATACGAAAGTCCTCTTCAGGACTCGAAGAGCGAATCGTTTGACTGCCTTGGGTTTGGTTTCTGGGATCATCGGCGTACCTCCACTGAGCTGTGCATTCGTCCATGTCCCGCCCGTCCGAAATGGCTGCTGCAACCATCTGGAGACAAAAACCTGAACCCGGACTACGTAAGCCGCAGTGATCAGATGTTCCGGCTCTATAAGCTCTACAAGCAACAGGAGCGGCGTGAGCAACAGGGCTGGCACAGGTGAAACATATTTATCCACGAAGTCTTACACAGAGCCAGATAGATTGCCCCATCAATGTTTATCAGGCTGAATTTAGACAGACTATAGAGTTGTGTCAGCTCTGGTTCGAGAATTGTTTTGTCCTGGTCGCCTTCATATGAAGGACATGGTGAAGAAGCATACACCGTTTAGTAGGTTCTAAAGAAGAGCATATTGTGGCTTTCGACAGTGTTAGACGCTGCCAAGTTTATGTGCTCTGCCAGAGAGTAGCAGACATACTATTAGTTGATTTTGGATACATTAGGTATCCGACAATGGAAAACTATGCCATTGTTTGGTCCATTCTTGCTCTTTGCACTTTGGCCACACTCGGCACAAGGCTTGTGCATAATGCAAATCGTTCATGTTTGGCAGTTCGTCGTATCGTTCCGCCTCTTGCCTGTCTGATTCGTCTTTTTTGTCATATATTTGGACAGAGCATTGATGGGATCCATCATCACGCAAACCACGACTACAAATCCACGAGCGTGCGATATATCGTAGAAAGTCTAGTAGCTTGTGGTCACTGATCGTCGGCCATTCTCGTAGAACGTTCATTCGAAGCTCCAAGCATTCCAGAGGAGGTGCGTGCAAAGGCTTTGCCTTGGACATGACCTGGAAAATTGTATGAAGAAGTGGAAACGATCAACCAAACAGACCGCCTGCGTTCTGCCGTGGCTTAAAGGGCGACATTACGGCCGTTAGATTCTCAAATGATAGGGCTACTGAAATTCAAAGGTCAATCGCCTACCCACTCTTCAATTCTTTCACGAATTTGCATACTACTATCATGCTCTTTAAGTAGATTCCCAATACGTCTGACATTTATCAGGCTCGAACGTACTGTGCCGATTATCAACTTTCATTTGCCAAATATAGAAGCACAAAGTGCAAACTTCAAGGTGCGGGTGCGGATTGCCGAGATAATGACGTGATGCCCCGTGATCTTTAGCTAAATATCGTCGTAAGTGTCAATCTCTCCTGCCATCTTGCTCCTGGGCAATTACTTATGAAATCCGACCAGCTGCTGACCATGCATCAGGCATTCAAATGCAATACAATCAGGTGTCGAGACCCTTCCACAGGAGACCCTTGAGCATACCAGTGCCTGTCTTGACCGATTGACCGAAAAAGTCTTAGCACACTTTTTGCTTTGGACCTGTCGAGCAAGACACATGACAATCCCTCCGATCTTGGAACACGAAAACAGACTTGTCAATACTAAACAATTTGAAAATACACTGTTTATCCGGTGCGTCTGACTTGCAACGGCTAGTAGAGCGTTGTTGATTCCGCTCTCTGGAAGTTCTGGCCATTAATCCGCAGACTGCCGGCGACGAAGAAACGAGCTGGCAGATTCAGTGGAGGTCTTCATAGCGTCTCTCCCTCGTCTCGCAAGTATCAGAGTGGTTGGACGGTATAGGCAAAGTACACTCAGCTTCAGTTTCTTCTTCTATCATTGCCCAAAATCGATTGAGCGAAATTTGTTCCGCTTCTGGACTTTAACCCTGACTGAGTCACTCCGACGAGAGTGTCCGTTGCTTGAATTTCCAGCGATACTCTTTCTTCGATCTCGAAGCTGCGAAAAGGAGGTCAGTATCTATGCAGTCTCGGTCGACCCATAAGAATCAGCAAGCTTGCAGTAGCCGTAAAACTTGCCAAATCAACCTGCCATAACATCTCGACCGCCCAGAACCTATATGGGCTCGCCTGTGGACGCTCTGAAAGCGTGTGGAGGATATGATTCCTGGTCTCAGATGAGAAGCAAATTCCAATACGTTGGGCGCTCGTGAACGTGTGATTGTAACACCCGCGACGATTTACATCATCAGTGTTTCATCAGATCCTATGACCTCGAAGATGAGGTTTCGACGAAGTGGCTTGTGGCTGAGGGCAGAATGGACCATGCAGCAAGGGCACACTTTTCGCTAATCTGATCCAGTGTTTGGCAACGAACATTTGATCGTGAGTGGGAAGAGCTGTGACATAGTTTTCTTCTGGCTACTGTCCAGCCTCGAATGTCTTGACGAAAGCATGTTCCAGTATCTAAGGGCCTTTCCTTCTCTATGTGAGTTTCCGCTCCTTCGCTATTTAAATCAATTTCGAGCCCACTCATTTTCTGTTTTACCAACGAACCTGGTCACCTAGCGACCGACCGGATTATTTTATCAAATCTATGTCGCTTTGTTTCTCTGATCGTCAGGCACGGCAGCGTAGACCGCGCGTTAATGCTCATTGATCCGTGGATGGTACTTGTAGTTGTAGTTCAATCAAGGATTTTGGGGCTTCGGGACGTGCCTGACCCGAAGTTAGACTCCGCATATCCGGTACCCGACTGTTGCTGACTGTGATCCGCAAGCCGGCACACTTTCCGATTCCTCGGAGAGATTAGATTTCCATAGTTGAAGTCTGGTTGCGCGCCGGGATTAAGCAGGTACGACGCCGCGCGGTCATTGCAAGATCTCATTGCGTCGTAAGAGCTCGCTGAAGAGGAAACACGATGTATAGCGCGGGAATAACAGTAACGGCCGGTTGTTTATCTGCCAACGGACATTCTGAGCGTAATCCATGCAAGACAAGACACATGGGAATATCTCGCTGAGCAAAGTATGCTTGGGAAAGTATATCAAAGGTTAATTGCCCGTCGCAACTTCCAGCCAGTACCTTTTTGTCGCTCGCTGAGTCCGTCTTGAACACAGACTCTGTACTACTTTCATTCGTTATCGCATCTCTTACTCTACTCGCAGCATGAGACAAGGTGTTCTCAATTGTGCCTTCGCCGCCATCAGTGTTCTCGCTGGATACGCGAACGCTGATGTTGACCCAATTGTGATCAAAGGATCAAAGTTCTTCTACCAGAGCAACAACACACAATTGTCTGCATTTGTTTCCGACATATAACAACTGGTCAACAGCTAATCTGGTACCAGCTTCATCCGTGGTATCGCTTATCAGGCAGACCCCTCTCGCAGCGACAACTCTACCTCAACAAATACCTCTTATGTTGACCCCCTTGCGGACCCAGACGCATGCAGTCGCGACATACCATACCTTAAAGAGCTCAGAACAAACGTCGTGCGCGTATATGCTGTGGACCCGTCGCAGAATCATGATTCCTGCATGAATCAATTAGCTGACGCTGGTATCTATGTCATCTCAGACCTATCCGATCCCACACAAGCAATCGATCGAGATGCTCCAGAGTGGACTGTCGACCTGCTCAGTCGATACACGAGTGTCATCGACGCTCTCCATGGCTACACCAATATGCTAGGCTTTTTCGCCGGCAATGAAGTATCCAATGCGGCCAATAATACCGCTGCGAGTGCATACGTGAAAGCCGCTGTGCGCGATTCGAAAGCGTATATCAAATCCTCGAATTACCGAAGTATTGGTGTCGGCTATGCGACTAACGATGACCCCGCTATCCGAACCGAGATAGCTGACTACTTCAACTGTGGTGATCAGACCGATGCCATCGACTTCTGGGGTTACAACATATATTCGTGGTGCGGCGATTCGTCCTACGAACAATCGGGATTTGAGGACCGGACCATAGAGTTCAGCAACTACTCGGTACCGGCGTTCTTCTCGGAGTATGGATGTAACCTGGTCCAGCCTCGCACCTTCACCCAGACTGATGTCATATATGGCCCGAACATGTCTCAAGTCTGGTCTGGAGGTATCGTCTACATGTACTACGAGGAGGTCAACAACTACGGGCTGGTAGACGTGTCTGGTCAAAGCGTAACTACGCTTCCAGACTTCACTTATCTTTCGAGCCGCATGCAGAGTGCGACTCCAACTGGTGTTCTGAAGGATTCCTATTCACCTACCAATTCACCTCAGGCATGTCCCACCCTCGACTCTGATTGGCAGGCCGAGGCGTCTCCTCTACCACCCACGCCAGACTCTGATACCTGTCAATGCGAGTTTGAAAGCTTATCCTGCGTTCCTAAAAGCTCTCTCTCTGCGACCCAGATGTCGAATCTTTTCGGTACTGTTTGTGGGTTGTCGGAAAGCGCTTGTTCCGGCATCCAACACAATGCCACCACTGGAAAGTATGGCGCGTACAGTATGTGCAATTCGACAGTTCAGCTTGCCGTGGCCCTGGATACGTACTACAAGCAGCAAAGTTCCGAAGCCAGTGCGTGCAATTTTGGTGGAATGGCTATGATTCAGAACGCAGGTGGAAAATGTTCTGGCAGTGTCGCCGCTTCGTCCGGCCCATCTGGTTCTGCGTCGGCTTCGAAATCGAGTAATGCCGGATCGACTCTTGCTGTTCATCACGCGTTCAAAATCAATGGTGCGCTATGCTATGGCTACCTGCTTCTGGTCGGAATTTCATTTTCTGCAATCGTATTATTGTAATTGCCGTCAGCCTCCAGCACGAGACGATTTAGCACTCGATGTCGCCACGTCAGGACTGTTCCGTCGCCTTCGATGGATATATATATATAGAAACAGCGGCCCTTTAATCCTAATTACAATGCCCTGATTTTGCGCCGGTCGAGGTCTACACTTAACCAAGATCCATATCGCCGTCTGTAACGGACTCTTTGCAAGCTTTATGTACGCTTCTCGGACAGGCAGAGCCTGCGGCAATTTCTTACACCTGGACATGAGCAGACATGAATGACCACCAATCTGACCAACTTAGATATCATCTAGCTGCAGGAACCTTCGGCCGAACATAATGGGCTTAACAGATTGTTTGAGGTTTTTGAGCTCGAGTCCCCTATACAAACTCAGATGTCTTTGGTAGCAACAAGTCTTGCATGCAGGATATAAGCACTAAATAATGTGAATCTCGACGCAGAAATGTCACAAGTTGGTTGGAAAAACTCTTAGAGTCAAGATAAAAATTGATTGCATCCAGCAAGGTGACCAGAAGTAATCCTTATTGTCGATATGTCTTCATCTGCAGATCGAAGCTAGACCAGACACATGATTATAGGTCACGATATAGGTTTGCCATTAATACACATGGATGCGAGATCACTGTAAGACGGCGAACATCCATGTAACTAATGATGCTGATCATAACACATTTTCAGGTGGAAGTGAAAACAGCTGATAGGGCCGCCTCGACCGTCATGGCCAAGAAAGTTAGTTCCAGCCGGTAAGTCTGTTGGCAGATTTCCGCAGACAAGCCTCGGCGTTTGGACGCCGACGGCGATACTGGTCCGAAGCGCCCGAGGGCGTAACGTACCAAACAGTCAGCTATATAAAAACTGTCATCTTTCTACTGAAACCAGAAACAGTTCCTTTTGGCAAGATATCAAGGCCGCTTCCACTATCATTGCTGTCATGGCTACCCAAGACCTCATTGTCCCTGGTGCATCGCATCTGCAACTTTCCCCGACTCTGGCAATCAATGAAGCAGTCGAATCTGTTCAAGCACAAGGCAAAAAGGTTGTTCATCTTGGGTTTGGAGAAGCGACCTTTCCGATCCAGAAGGATGTTTTGGAGATTCATGAGCACTACTCCAGGTCAACTAGCTATATGCCGGTAGCTGGCCTCATGTCTCTGCGGCAGGTAGGTCACATGCTCCAATCGGTTGCGGGAAGTTTGCTTACGGATGTCGAAATCTAGTCCATAGCCAAATTCAATTCCAAACGTCTGGGAGTCCAAATCGATACTGAGCAAGT